CCTAACCCTAACCCTAACCCTAACCCTAACCCTAACCCTAACCCTAACCCTAACCTAACCCTAACCCTAACCCTAAATCCATTTCCAATCGCATTTAATGTCTTTGGCGGATAGCGCCATCACCCGCGACGCTCCTGTCGTCGCCGGGTCCTGTCAATATTTGACGCCAGCGAGGCTCCCTGCTCGTACGCTCTGTCTCGGTCACCACTTCTACCAAGTTCTAACCCGTTCTAACCCGGAGAGGTACCTTATACTTGAGTCTTGAGTTACTGCGGACGGAATTCCGAGAGCTGGTGGAGCGACTGAAAAGTCAAACAAGAGAAAGAGGGCACAACGAGACCGACCCTCGCTCCAGAGCGTCCGAGCAAGTCAAGTCAATCAAGTTCTCAAGTTCGATCAGTTGAGCGGAGCTTCGCCAAAAAGAATAATGCTGCAATTGCAAATTACCGCCACGCGTCATCTACCTCGCGCCCTCGTCCAAACACCAACTCGACCCCTCGGCCCCTCGGCCCCTCATGTCCGAGCTCTCTCGCGACTCATCCTCGTTCTCCTCAATAGCCAAGTGAACGACTCCTTGACAGCATTCGGGTTCGTGCTCGACACAGAGCTGCGAGAAAAATGCGAAAAAAGGTTGATCAGTGAATACGCTCGAACGACCGACCGAGTTCAGAAAGTCATCAACTCACGCCTCGAACCTGCCCAAGAATTCCTTCTTCTCCTCCTCCGAAGCGATCCTCGTCGGTAAGTGCCCGACCGCGGTGGGGACGTTCTGCGCCAATTCGTTCGCGAACTCGATCGAAAGCAGTCGCAGCACGGTCAACACGTTCCCTGCGACGTCCTCGTCACCTTCTACCAGCGCATCGATGAGCAACGAGACGAGTTGTTGCGCCGTTGAAGAGATCGTCGTTTTGATCGTCGTTGAAAAGGCCGAAGGACCGGGCGACCGAAGCGCATCGTGACCCACCACCGAACGGACGGCATCGAGAGCGGCGAGGACGATGTGGGGCGAGTACAATGTCAAGGTCGAGAGCACAGCTTGGAAAGCTGCGGGGAAAGCAGGTGAAGGGAGCATCACGTCGGGACTTTGCTCTACGAGGTTGAGGAATAGGTGCATAAAGTCATCAAGTACTGCGAGCGAAAAGAACAAAGCGCTGATTAGCATGGCAACACTCCGTTACACCCCTTTAGGCGTCATATTTTCAGCTTGCGCAACCACTCACCATCCCCAATCTGCGCCGGTGGTCGCGACTGCAAGGCCTCGACAATCTTGACCGTCTGTCGCTCAAACGCCTTCTTCACCGCCGCATCGAAACCCGCCTCCTTTCTCCAAGCGAACGCATCGACCATCTTGGCCGTGATCCACAAATAGCTCGAAGCCGGATGCCGCTCGAATTCGGTCGTCAACCTCTCCAACACCGGGATCGCGAGAGGGAAGACGAGCTCGTCGAAAAAGTACAACCCTCTTCGGACCACGACGCTCGTCTTCTCCGCCACCATCAGATCCGTTCCATACCGCGCGAGGAAAGCATCGAGCACATGCCAAGCCTGTTCGGCCGTCGAGACGCACGAGGGAGGAGGTCCGTCGGGGAACCGATCGACGATCGCGAGCAAGCAGTCGAGTCGCTCGAGTGCGTCGCACGCCGACCTGAGTTCATCCTTGGTCGCATTCGCCGTCGCCTGCGTGAGTTGATGAACGACCTCGACGTTGGGCATACAAAACGTCGACAGAGCCTGAAGTGCCGTTGCGGGATCCATCGCGGCGATGATGTGCGCAATCGCGGCGGAAAGGTCGAGCAAATCTTCGGGTGCGATCTTGTTCGCGATCCCTTGCACGAACGCGTGCAAGTCGGGCAAGAAAGGAACGAGATGTTGACTGCAGTCCTTACAGAGGTACTTCATCGCCTGCGCCGCCGCAGCCGAGACCTCGCCTTCTCCTTGCTCGAACCCACTCGAAATGAACGGCAAAAGTTGCTGGATGTGGTCGGGGTGGTAGTTGACCCATTCGGTGTACCGTCCGATCACAAGAATGGCGGCATAGCGAATCTTGGGGTGCGCAGGTAGACTCGTGACGAGCTTCAGGATGGCGGGCATGATCTCGCTGTCGTGGACGTCGACTTGGGCGCCCATCGAGCGCATCGAAAAGAGCGGCGCTTCGAGGTCCTGCCACTTGACGGGGCTCGGCGTCGTCGGTCGTGTCGCAGCAGGTGTCGTCGAAGCCGACCCACTGACGAGTCCCGGCGTCGAAGGCAAACTCGCGGCCGAGAGAGCGGACATGATCTGTTCGTACGATTGACGGAGACAGGCGATCGCGCCGAGGACGGAGCAGCAGTCTTTGAGCGTGTCGCCGATGTCGTGACGGAATGCGCGGAACTGATCCCTCTCCTCTCCTACGAGCGCGGCGTCGTCGTCGGGGTAGTGTAGATGCCGGATGATGGTACCGACGAGTTGGGAAAAGATGGCCAAAATCGCTTGTGAAGTCGTCGCCGAAGGACCTCTTCCCGATGCTCCGTTCGGTGTCGACGAACGCGAGGCGTCGCCCTTTGACCGCCCGAGCCCTTGTGAGAGTCGATACCAGAATCGAAGGGTGATGCCGACAACTTCGAGATTGTCGTAAGCGGCACATTCGGCAATCGCTTCGACGAGTGGTGCGAACGAGTCTTGGTGCTCGACGATCAATCGCGTGTAGGTCTCGCCCGCTTCGACGAGGATGCGACAGTAACCTCGCATGCGGTCCTCGTCGTCCCTCGTGGCAGGGTCGGAAAGGATTGGTTTGAGCGCCGTCAGCCGCGGTACGAGCTCCTGAATAATCTGGACGTTGTCTTCGAGCTCTTGGGTTTCATGGATGATGTCGACGAGGAGGTCGACGGCGGTGTCAAAGCATTCGTCCGAGGCGAGCGAGGCAAAGGCGGCGGAGAGGATTGCAGATCCGGCTAGTGAGCTGGAAGTGGACTGTCCTGTCCGAAGCCATGATCCGAGACAGGCGTAGCATTGGTTTTGGAGTGCGGGCGTGATGCCTGTGAAGGTGGGGCGACGGGCGTGAACGGCGCGGAAGTCAGTTCAGGCGCTGTTGGATCGCACCCCGACTGAAACGAGAGGTCGAGCACTCACCTGGTGCTTGAACATACATCGACAGTAGATTGACAACCTGTTCACCTTTACTCGGCCCCTTCCCGTTGGCCTGCCCCCTCCCAAAGTCATTCTTGACCTCGATCTTGAGGTTCGAGGCATACTCCTCCGCAAGCACCTGCAAGAATTCGAGCAACGCCGCAGCCATAGCGGGGTCCTGGCCAAGCAGCTCGATCATGGAGCTAGTCGGGTCGGCCCATTGTTGCGAGGTGAGTTGTAGGGCCAGGTCGGCGAGGGCGATGCAGATCTGGGTGAGGATCACGCGTGGGCCGGAGACGGCGAACGAGCGCAACGCCGACAGCAACGAGTCGCGCAGGGGGACCAGTTGGGCTTCGGGTAGTTGGTCGAAGTCGAAGCTGATCTACGGGCGGTGGGATAAGATGAGCTTACGGTCCATCAAGGCTTAGCAAGGGGGCGTCGAGCTGTCGAGCTCGGACGGACTTTGGTGCGAAAGGTCTGAGCGGCAAACAGCTTGGGCTCGATCGGCGCATCGGGCGCGAACAAGATCAAATGCGACGTTGCCCAAGCTTCGTTCTGTACGAGCAAAAGAACGATGGTCAGCGCCAGCACTCGTCTCGTGCGTCAACACGAGCTCGTGCACGCAGGCGAGGACGAACACTCTTTTGAAAGTTGCTGAGCCAGGCGTTGGCGGTCTCCTTGGCGTCCGAACTAGGGTCGGTATAGAGCACATTCAGAGCTTGGATCACCTGCTGTGTCGCTGCGTCGCTCATGGAGGAAGAGGTGTGCAGTCGTACGAGCGGGTAGGGAGGGTGGAGAGCAGATCGATGAGCGTAGTGGGTCGTAAGGGGGAGCCAAGGATGGAGGGGGCTGCACAATCACGGCCTGATAGTCGAAGCTGGTGAACGGACTGAGCGAAAAGGAATGTGTGATGACGAGGTGGGCAGAGCGTGTCGTACGCGTGAGCAGGAGCGAAGGGGCGAGCACGAGAGCCAGCGCCACGATAACCGCGCGGCGCACGTCAACGGGCTCAGCTGCAGATCGAGTCGAGCAGAGTCGAGCACTAATAATTAGTAGTGAGCGCTAAGTGAGAGCAAGCCGGCGATTATTTACTGCCGCCGAAGAGTCGGTGGAACACCTCTGAGCAAAGTCCGAGACCGTGGTCGACCCACACCAGTCTGCAAACAAATTCCAGCCTGCACTCTGTCGACAACCAAGTTTTGGGCTTTTTCCATCCCAAGCTTCGAAGCGCCGTCAGTCAAGTCGGCGATAAAAGGTCGGTAGAAATCGGATCGAATCCTTCGAGCGAATCATGTGACTTCGAACCTAAGAAACTCTAATGGATGCGCTTTCCCTCGTCATCTTGAACGAGTTCCGCATCTTCGACACAGATGGGCACAACACTCGGACCGTTCGGTGCAGTGCGAAGTCCAGCTGATCCTCGGCGGGACCTCGAACGAGCGAAAAGATGCGACGAAGAGCGGGGCCCGATGTCGACCTGATGAGCTCTTGATCCTCATAGAGTGCATTGTAAGGACTGATGAAAGCGCAGTGTATGGGACGATGAATTCGGTCCGAGTCAAGCTCCTCCGAGTCTCGGCCCGAGTACTAAGTTGCAGCGTCAGATACATAGATGCGCCGCTGAATATAAAGCTTTGGCTTCGAGTCATCTTCCTCGATCGCTTTCCCACCGAGGTCGGTCGCATCCACATATCGGGCACCAAAACGGAAAATCTGCAATGGAGACACTGGTTCCTGAAAAAGCTGAACAATGCAAATGCGAGACTCAGGAGTTGCGAAATGTGAAGAGAGGATATACAACGCGGTGGTGCGGAATGGGAACGGTTCTAGAGACTTTCGACCAAGCTGAATTTTATCTGATTTTGTGTGAAGTATATGTTGCTTTACTGTGAGATTCAGCATGCGCCAAGGTGCGCGTCTCCTCTTCCTCCACTCTTTGGCTTCATAGCGACGCGAATTTGGGTGAGAAGCCTTTAAAGTCGTAGGTTCCGAGATCACGCATTTTCTGGCGAATCTTGTCCTTGATATCCTCGCTCGGTTCGTCGATCTCAAAGTCCGACTTGTGGTTCATGAACAGCGAGAGCAAGAGCGCGAGACCGGGACGATAGAGGGCGGTCGATGTCGAGTCGGGGCCTTCGTCGACGGCCGAGTAGGGGCGATCGACGAGAAGATGCATCTTTCCGTCCACCTTGACTGCAAATAATTCATACGTACTCAGTCACGAATCGCAGCATTGAGTTTGATCACACCGTTGAATCTATTGCCGCTCACCGAGTTCGACGAGCATGTAATAAGGCGACGCGGTGAGCAGACCAAAACGGCCGTTCTCAGCGTCGATCAAACGGATCACAATCTGGCGAATGAACTTGGCAACCACATCAATAACAATAACAAGAGCGCATCTTCTCCAAATCCTTTGAAATGAACGGTTTCCCCACCTGCATCAAGATGTTTTTAGCCGGTCGCTCGTCCACCCCTTCGGCCAAGCACCTCACAAATCGCAGATCGAATCCTTTGCGCGACATGCGTTCCAAAGTCGATATGCCCCTTGAATGGATGACGGGAAGGATGCGCTTCCCGTCCTCATCGAAAACGAGCTCCTCATCTTCTACAGAGATGGCCACAATTGTCGCCATATTTTGACGCGTAGCGGTCGATGACGAGGGCTGCTTGTCGCCGGGACCTCGGACGAGCGTGAAAATGCGACGAAACTCCGGACCCGAGGTCGTCAAGTTGAGCTCCTCATCGTCGCTGAACAACCTCGCAGGTCCAACGACACCCCATTCGATCGTTTGAGAGAGCGTGTCCGGTGAGAACATCTCCCTGCTGGAGAATTGTTCCGCATGGGGCCCATAGATGCGTGCTTGAAGATCGTCCCTCGGCTTCGAGTCCGTAATCGGCTTGCCATCCGCCTCAACACCAGGACCGTATCGAGCAATGTGACAGGCGAGAGCACCCCTCTCAAGTCCAGCAAACGCTCGGTCGACGATCCTGGTGTCTTGTACGGCGCACCTCAGTCCTTGCAGCTTATCCGTGCCGTCGATGTCGACGTCAAAGTCAGGGGACTGTAGTTCCTGAATCCTGAGCGCGATCCTCAATTGAGTCAGAAAGTCCATGCAGGGGGCGTGGGAAGCCACACGGTGTTCGTTGTTGCTGCTGTTGGGCAGTGTGATCGACTGCATGACACCCATTTTGTACGCGAGGTGAGCGGTGCGTCGCAAAGGTGCGAAGCGATGTCCCCGATCATCACGCTTGTCACTCGCCAAAGCCCCTCCAAGCCCGCGGCTCGTGAATAGACTCCCTGTGCTCCGTATGCTCAGCTTGTAAATTTGTGGCGGATGAAAGACTCTAACCTAATCAACATTAAACATTGAATTTCTTAAAAATCCTCCTCGCTGAAGACATGATTCTTCCGGTCGTATGAAACCGTCAACGCTCGAGATTCTCACGTCGACTAGTAATCACGCCCAGGAGAGGGGTTTCCCCGTCACGTGTTGTTACCGGGAGGCTCGCGAGACACCGCTTCGACGTACAGTCGTCAAAAGGGCGCGCAACAAGTAGTGAAAAGTTGAGCATATTTTCGCGCTCGACTGAACTGAGTATGAGCACCAGTGACCGTTGGTAGAACCAAACAATATCATTGCAACGCAGATGTAGATGTATCGAGCATACACCTAAGGCGTGAGGAACACTCAACCGATGGACCACTAGGCATGCCAAGTCAAGTAAGATTATATTCTTTCTTGCGAAAGACACGAAACATTGCTACGAGCTTGAAAGTACACATCACGGGCTCGGAAGCTGGGAGCCGACGAGCGACGATCATCGTGTCTTGGACTGCGCACGTCAGGCTGAGAATCGGGTCGGGATTGCTGTCGACGTCTAAGAGTCGGCACTTGCGGTGCTCGGACCGCATGCCCCACCTCTAGCAGAGCTAGCATATCCGCATGGTGAACACTGTGTAGTAGGTTGGGAGTGCTGCTTGGGTGTGGGGACATCGAAGCTGGCGCTGGCATATCGTCGTCCGCGAGGGATACCAGAAGAGGCAGAGAAGCGCCGCGAAGTCAATCGCTTCCCCACCCCCGAAAGCTCCACGGCGACTAGCTCGGTGCGCAGTGCTTCGAAATGGCGAATGTCAAACACCCACCCCATACTTCCATTACTATTGTGTTTGCTAGCATCAGGCAGGCTCAAATTGAATGGTCTGACATGAGGTCATTTTAGGGGGTTCTCGAGTCGACTAAACATACCGTCGAGCAAAGGAGCCTCATCTCCACACCCCCACATGATGTCACCCCACGCGTCGGGGTTCTCCTCAGCGGAACGCTTCGCTGGACTTCGCCTCGAGTTGAAGCAGCGCCATACGTCGCTCATCGAGCACTCAGAAACCCAAGCTAGGTCTATCCCATGTAACTTACTCACTAAAGTGCTAAATCACAACCACTGATATGATCTTGCAATGCAGAGTATGGAAGCAGCAATCAAAAGTAAGGAGATGCAATGAGGAGTGCAAAACGGGCGTTCTCGCAATCGATAAGACCCATAGCGGCCTGAAAATGAAATCGCAAGCGCTGATAAAGCGTCAATATAAAGACATGTATCGAGTCTGTCAGGGTATTCTCTCCACACGACTTCCCTGCGTCAACACATTCTCGTAATCCTGCCCGTCAAGGCCTCTGAAAATCAACTCCAGGAAACGAAGATCGCCACCTTTTTGCGACATGACTTGCAAATCCACCAAGCGGTCTGAGTGAATTCGTAAGCCCTCTTTTGTTGTACTTGAGCTCGAAATCTTCGAAATCGATCACCACAACCGTCGCTAACGTTTGCGGAGCCGCAATCGAGGACGGGATCTGACTCTTACCGCACTCGCGGACGAGGGAAAAGTGGCGACCGACGGAACTCCGTAGGTCCCGAGTTGGTCAACTTGAGGTCCGGATCGTCCCACAAAAATTTCACCGCATCTAGGATAGAAGGCGACATCACAAGTGGAAGATTATCCATCGACATCATATCCCTGAATAGCTTTTCCTCCAGGTCCGGGCCGTACAGCTGCTCCTGGATCCCGAGCTTCGGCAGGGACGAATCGTCAGCCACCGCGGCTTGATCACCCCCACATCGGAACTCGCGAGCGAACGACTTCTCAAGCGCCGCGAGCGCACGAGCGACGATGGTCGTGTCTTGGACCGCACACGTCAGTCCTTGCAGCTTATCGGTGAGGTCGTCGACGTCGAGCTTGGGTGATTGGAGGTGACGACCAAGTTTCACCGTCTCGGCCTGCTGCAAGGGGGACGCATCGCGGAATCGGGGGCACAGCAGCCGAGGGGAGTCTCTGCGGCGGTCGGTGCCGACCTCGAAGTTGCCGCCGTGTGCGTACCCGAACAAATGGGGGTGAAGCGGAGACGAAGCTGACTACGAAGCGAGGGGAAAGATCGAAGCGGTCCCATCATTCGAGTCGACATTATTGGTGGGTATAAGTGCAAGGACGAAGAGGTCTTGATTCGTGTGTGAGGGGCGAGGGAAGCTCCGAGTCGACGCGCGGGGGAGCTCTTGCGCAGCTCCTCCAAGTCCGTCCTAGTCCCGAGCTGCTAAGCGTGCGCGTGGCCGCACTGACCCCCACAGTGCTCGATCTGGGATTTCACGGAGTTTAAAGCCGATTGAAAATAGCGCATTATGACACAAGTGACTTCACTTGATTGATATTGTGAACTCTTATTCACTACCTGGAGCTCAACAGACTTCACTGGACTGCTTTTTCCCGAGCTTCGCTTCGATCGTCACGGTCCCCGCAAAACAACCCCACGCCGCTCCGTTCGCCTGAGCTGACCTAAAAACCAGCTTACTACGATGCCCGATGACGACGATAAGCAGTCAAGTGCTAGGATGCGGAAAAAAAAACTTGCCATGCGATTATGTAGAGCAGGTTCAGATACGAATCAGCCTGAAGATATCAGGTGTCTTTTGTTCCGGTGGGACAGAAGGCGATCGATCGAGCCCGCGGAAAACTAAAAGGAGCAGCGAGGAGAACACGAACAAGCGCCGGCAGTCAAGCTGCAACTTCAACACTATGGGTTTCATGCCACTGAAGTCATACTTGGGAAGCAAGCTCGTCTTTTCACGAATTTTGCGCTTGACCTCTTCTCCTGGGCCTGGGATCTTGAAGCTCGGATGATGATCCATGAACAGCGAGATCAAAAGCGCGAGGCAGGGACGATGGGGGACTTTGGAGGTGCTGTCGGAGCCGTCGTCGAGGGCCGAATAGACACGATCGAGGAGCAGGTGCATCCTGCCATCAATCTTGGCTGGGGTTTTTATGAGAACATATCAGTTCAGTGACACTCCTTACAGGAACACCACTGAGCCAACGCCCACGCACCGAATTCGGCCAACAAAAAGTACGGATTAGCGATGAGGAGAGCGAAGCGGGCATTCTCCTTGCACAAGAAGGTGATGATCTGTTGATCAGAGAGTCAAATTATGTTATCAGCCCGAAAGGAGGGTACGCTCCAATACGCTCGTTGGCCCTCCTCATCACAATCGAGCCTGACTCACATTCAACAAGCCGTTCTTGACAGATCCGTTCTCTACACCCTCGACCAGAAACTTCACGCTGCGCATGTCTACGCCACCACGAGTGATCGCTTCGAATCCATCCAAGGCAGCTTTGTTGCTTCCTTCGCCCGCCACTACTGTCGTGAGTTTCTGGGGTGTGGGTGTCGACGGTGACGAAGCTTGGGGCTCGTCGGCGCTTCGGCGGCGGACGAGCGAGTAGCCACGAAGGTATTTCGGCGACGAAGGAGCGAGCGACAGATTCGAATCGTTGCTAAATCTCCGCACGGGATCCATGATGGCGCTACGCAGCAACACTTCAAAATCTTTCGCCGAAAAAGTATTGTCGCCAAGATAGCGTTTTGCGCGAGTTCCGTAAATCCATTTCTGAATCTCGCCCGGTTTCATCGTCTCGAACTCGTCAACCCCAGCGATCTGACCGCAGCCACATTGAGCATCGCGAGTGACCCCGTTCTCAAGCGCCGCGATCGCACGATCGACGATGGTCGTGTCTTGCATGGCGGTGGTCATTCCGAGAAAGGCTGGGCTTTCAGTAGCTGTGTTCTTTGTGGTCTTTCCGAACACCTTGTGCGTATACGTGTCCACGTCGAATTCAGGCGATTGCACGATTCGGCCCATGAAAGCGATCGTGAGCTTGATCACGGGGGAGAGGTTGCGGAAATGGGGCGAGAGCAGTGGATCGATTCCGTCGAGGGCTCGTGGTGTCGCTTTGGCACGGGTTGCGAGTGAACGAGTAGGAATGACGCGGCGAGGCTAAACTTGGCTGCGGAACGAGGGGAAGGATCGAAGGGTCCACATCGTTCGAGCTGACATCTTTGCTGAATGGATTGAAGGGAGAAGAGGATGTGGCGGGTGCGCGGCGGGCGCGGAGAGAGCTTAAGGAAGGAGTGCGATCCGACTAAAGTTTACGACTCCACGCCCGCTGGCGCACAGACCCCCTGTGCTCGCTAAACTTTGATCCGATGCACCGGGTGCATAGCTTGTCGAACAGTAAATTATGTGTGCTGAAAATTCTAAAATACTTTGTGAATCAAGACTTATGTGGCGTTTTCATAACTTTCGGGACTTGGAAGAAATTACTTCTGTTGGGTCGATCGAAGAACACCGAAGAGATCCCCACATGCCACAAAGTATCCGTCGCCGAGCTTCTCCGGCCTCTCGAGCCCCCTGCTCTCGAACGAGTCCTCACCGTGAACCGGCACGAACAATACCAAGAGCAGACACACAAACGAAGATGAAATGCACTGAAACACAGACTCGAAGACAGCACAACATTTAAACAGCGATCACGAAGCCTCGGTGACTCTGGACCCACGATTCGAGCGATCAAGCGAGTGACAGAGCAGAGCCGAGTATGAGACCTACACCCCCGGAAGCGACCGCTACATCCCAGTCATGTCGTAAGCCGAACCAAGTTCCTTCGTCTTCTCTCGGACCTTGGACTTCACATCTTCTCCCGGACCGTCGATATTGAATGCGGGGAAGTGATTCATGAAGAGGGCGAGCAAGACAGCAAGAACGGGACGATAGGGGGCCGACGATCCAGAGTCGGGACCTTCATCGACGGCGGAGTAGATGCGGTCGAGGAGGAGGTGGGTTTTGCCTTCGACGTGAACTGTTGGCGTCAAGATTGAGAAGAACCAGTTGAAGGTACAGCACTCAAGGATTCGATCGCAATCCCGCTCACCCAGCTCGGCCAGCAAGAAGTAAGGGGTCGCGATGAGAAGTGCGAAGCGAGCGTTCTTGGCTTCGGTCATGCGCAGGATCATCTTTTGAAAAAATGGAAATGGACTTTACTCAGTTCTTTGTGGGCAGCTGACATTTCCCTCAATCCACAACTTGCAAAGCTGGGTACTTCACCTTGGTGAGCACACTCTCGGCATGTCGTCCCTCCAGTTTGTCCACCTGATGGATCAAGGTCTTCAAGAAAAGCAGATCCAAACCTTCGCGCGAGAGGGCTTCCAACTGGGCTAGCGCTCGCGAATGCATCAGGAGACCATTCTCATCTAGGTCTTGATCCAAGTCTTCGTACTCGACACCGACAAAGGTCGTCAAAGGTCGACTCGTCGCCGACGAAGAGGAAGCTTGGCCATCACCGGCTCCTTTGACGAGTACAAAGTTGTACATCTCGTCCTCTTCAGAGGTGACGAGGTTGAGGTCTTGATCACGAGCGAGGATTCGAGCGATGGGAAGGATGGCATGTTTGATCAGGCGAGGCAGGTTGTCGATCGCGATGATGGTACGATGGGACATGTGCTTCGGTTGAGCCCCCCAGACGCGGTCCTGCACATCCTCACCGGGCTTGTCCTCCAGTTTGACCCCATCTGCCATGCAACGAGCGAGAATTCCCTTTTCGAGAGCAGCGACGGTACGATCGACGACGGTGGTGTCCTGCACCGCCGACGTGAGCGCCATCATCGGATGCTTGGTGAGGTCAAGTCTCGGCGCTTGAAGCGACAGCGCCACAAGCATGCGCACAAAGTCCCCCATGTTCTCTGGCATACTGAAGCCAGAAGAATCCTTGGTTCCGTCATTCGGAATAGACATGATCGATGATGAAGATGATGACGTGCTGAGCCGAGTCAGGATACGCGGAGCGTGACGAGGGTGCTTGTAGTGAGCAGAGCGCGACGAGCGTGGGAAGAGTAAGAGTGATCTCCGCTCGACACACTGCAGCGCCGATCCGATGACCCCGAAAATGCTCCTCCGCAGCACGTCTGGCCAAGCGCGCGCGGGGGTGCACTGACCTCCTGAGCTTAATCACCGATTTCAAATTTCCTCATGCTGACCCGAATAGATGGTTCTTCACCAGCGGTGGTTTATCCCACTGAAAATCTCAAAATGTCTCTCGCTTGCTGAAATAAGCATGGCACAGACCATGCTCGAGCGGACCGAGTTGGAAATCAATTCAGGGGTCTTCATCGCGATCACCCCGGGCTTCCCGGCTCGGAGCTCGGCTGGAATCCCCGGCCACAGGCATGCAACAAATCAGCCCGACTGCTGAGTCGGATTACAATGATGACGAACAGAATGCTCCAAATGCGAAATGATGCGACGTGACACGGACTTGCTAGAGTGGATCGGTGGGGAAAGAGAGCTCCTGAACCTAGTTCCCTTGCGACTCTAACGGTCGAATGGAAAACTTGCTCGGATCATACGCCCCACCAAGCTCCTTGACTTTCGCCCTGACCTTATCCTTGATCACCTCACTCGGGCCTTCGATCTTGAAGCCTTCCTTGTGATCCATGAACAACGCGAGGAGCAGCGCAAGGAAGGGACGGTACTCGAGGTCCGAGTCGGCCGATTCGGTCGGATCCTCGCGTACGGCGGTGTAGACCTGGTCGAGGAGGAGGTGCCATTTGCCGTCGATTGTGACTGTTAGATCCGGGTGTTTGCCAAATGAGCTTAAGTGAAACGACAGACTGCGGGATCGACCATGGGCAAGTACTCACCGAGTTCGGCGAGCATGTAGTACGGCGTCGCAAAGAAGATGAGGAATCTTGCATTCTTCGCCTCCTGCACGCTCCAAGCCGCCTGCAGAATCGACCGTGCGGCGTAAGTACCGAAGAAAGACTTGACTCGGTTTCGACCCTAACACATCGATCGGCCTCACCTGCATCACCAGATTCTCCAAATACCTCCCCTCGGACCCCTCAAGCATGAGCTTGGGGAAACGCATGTCGATCCCATCGTACGACCTCGCTTCGAACGACGCCAAGAACAGGGAATGTACGCGGAGGCCGTCGGAGAAGATGGGTTTCCCTCCATCCTCGATGTTGTTGGCAACAAAAGTGACGAGGGTCTCGTTGGTCGCGGTCGATGAGGACGCTTGGTTCCCCGGTCCTTTGACGAGCGAGTAGTTCCTACAGCGATCGAGCCCCTCCGTTGCGAGGTTCAATCCCCGATCCTCACAGAGAAGCTGAACAGTAGGTAAAATGATCTCTTCGACGCGACTGTGAAACCTGTCGATCAGCATCATCTCGCGCTGCTCTGCCTCTCGCGCCTCCTTGCCCCACAACCCGTCCTGCAGATCGACCAACTTGAAGTCCTGATCTTGCATCTCGCTCTTCTGCCCGGGGCTCAACTTGCTCCTACGCTGTTCGAGCACACCCTTCTTCAACGCCTCCAACGCACGATCGACGATACTCGTATCACGAACAGCGCAGGTCAAGCCCATCAACGGGTGCTGAGAGGGATCGAATTCGGGCGATTGTAACGACAAAGCGACCATGCACTCTGCGACTTCGACCATCTTCTCTTGGGTCCGAAACGCGAAGGAGAGGTTCTGCGGTCCAGGCTCTATCGGAATAGACGAGAAGGAGGTAGACTTGGGTGACTTGTTCTTCGGCTCGAGGCTACGACGAGGGGGGCATGGGGTGCGTGTTGGGGTTGGGGGGAGATCGATGCGCGGCGAGTGAGGTGCGGAGGCAGAGGAGCAATTCGAGTTGGCGGGCGAAGCGAGCCCCGCGGCCCCGCGGGCTCGCCCCGAGCTCCACAGCCCGCCCCACCCCCCGCATTCTCTCAACGTGCATGAGCCTCCTAAATTCCGGCGGGGGCGGGGGCGCACTCGGAATTGAGCCACGACGAGAGGTCGGTCTGATGAAGTTATTTTGATCCAGCTAAGCTGTCCTTCACGAGTGTGATCAACTGCTTTGAAGCAAAGGATGCTCGGTTGGCCACGCCGAACTGCGCAGCTAGAAAGAACCTCCTTTCACTGTTGCCCTCGGCCACGACTCCGACTTGACATCATACGCAATGATTAGGTAAAATTCCCACGACATCATACCACCCTCGTGGATCCTCCCATAGTCGTACAACAAATCAAAAGACTGCACTTCCAAGAAATTGCCTAACCTTGCTCTATTTTCCCAGCTCAAGCTTCCCCCCAAGGTTCCTCGATTAATTCCCTCCTGCTCATTTCGAGCACCAACTTGGTCCTCAGGTAAGGCATGTGCGACTGTTCAAAGTCAAAGAAATCGGCATCGCGCGAGAGGGTCTCCATGTACATGCACTGCTCGATCATTCACAGCAACGATTCAGCTTCTAACCGTGAAACCGTGACGGGGGTTGGCCTCGACGACCCTCGAAGCAAGTCGACTGACCGTAAACACTCCACAATCGGACCCATTCCCCTGCAGCGGCACTTCGCCCCCTGTCCAACCCTGTTCCCAGCCACTCAGATCGATCTCCTCGCCGCCATGTCGTGCCTTGTACTCCTCCTCCATCCACATCCTCAACAACTTGTACACCTTCTTGGACCCGTGGCCCAACGAATCAAAGTACTCGAAGCGCTTGTCACGCAGGTTGACGGCGGCGCATACCCAATGATTGCCGCCTTGGTTGATGGGAACGATGATGCGGTCCTTTTTGAACGGGTCGAACTAAGGCGTCGTACCGTGGAAGGTAGAAGCAAGCCCGTCAGCGAAACCTCGAACGCACTTTTTTTCTTCTGGATAGCGTGCAACTCACCCTTCTGGACCACCTCTTGACGGCCGAATAGCCGACGTCCCTCAACCTCTCAAAGAAATTATGATTGAACGCATGTACATCCAACACCCTCCTCTCCTTTTCCTCGGGTTGCTTCAAGGGCGGGTTCTTCTTCGGATCAAGGGGATGATACGAAGCGGACCTGAGGTTGATCAACGCGCCGTAAAAAGTGATGGTTTCGTCGTTGAGCCAACCTAAACCTTGGAGGAAGGAGACGTCCTTGTGTCTGACTTCGCCGCCGGTGATGCTCGAGACGAACGAACGGTTGGCGTAGATCGCTTTGACGGTCGCGAGGTCCGAGGGTGCGAGCGTGCGAGGGAACTGTTGTGAGGGATGCAAAATCAATCAGATCCTGTTTCGCGGATCGGCCCTTACGTCTATCACGTAAAAAAACTCACCATTCGCCGTTTGGGAGGTTTGACCGAAAGCAACTCGAGCTGACGCTGGGTCTCGAGGTACTCGTCGTACTTGAACGTCCTACTCTCCGGTCGAGGGCTGCGAGTATGTAATCAGCACCAACACAGTCAGTCGCAGTCTCAGACGATCCTTCACGACCAGGTAGCCGTGCGTCCCGTGTTCATCCAGCGCGATACTCACGTCTCCATCGTCGCCTTGGCCTTGCTCAGAACGGAATCGACATCGCGCGAGTACTTGAATGACGCCTTGCGCGCGACCTGCGAAGGTTTCCTCGCTCTTGACGTGACTGTGATCGCGAAAAAGTAAAAATTCACGCTTGTTTGTTCAGTTGCTGGTAGCGGGTGAAGACAGGTGCGTGGCGTTCTCTTGCAACTCACTCGTCTGCGCGGTTTCCATGTCTTCGTTCGCCTGCATCACGCGCCGGCGATACGCATCGACTGCAGCAAGTACCAGCGAGTACAGTTGCTCAGTAACGGTGCATCTCTCAAAAGATAAACATCCCATATGATCAAGCGCCGAAAAGAACTCACGATCATTGGCCCTAGCCAAATCCTCCTCCTCCTGACTAAGCGCGATCGTCGCCAACTCATGCACCGTCTCGGCCCGCTGTCGATGGTTCAATTCCAAGTGCTGTCTCCGATGGATCGAGAAGGCTCACATCAGCAGGTTGATCCAAAAAAAAAAAAAAAAAAAAAAAACAACGCGCTGTAATGTCCACACTCGAAACCACGGACCTTGTTCGCGCCCATCGGTTTCTTCTTCCTCCAACTCGACACGACCTGCCCACCTTCCCCAACCCGTGCATTGATCGCGCCAACGAACAAAGTCGAGGTCGAACTCTGCGGCAAGTACTGGGGTGGTGGTGGTCTTCTCAACGAGGTCGGTTTCTCCGGTTCGGGCACACCCTTGGCGCGTGCGATCGTACAGTCGAAGCGGTAGGCCTTGCGCGCTTCTTCGTACGCGATGAAAGCTGGGTCGAGGGTACGGCCACTGCCTGGGCCCAGAGCGGAGGAGGACGAGGATGGGGATGCTAGTGCAACGGCTGTTTTGGAAGGGGGTGGGAAGGCCATCTTGGAAGAGAACTGCTTGATCGTCTTGGACGACGAGCGGGGTTGTGAATTCGTCGTCGTCGTCGTCGTTTTCGTGGTGATCGCGGGTGGGAAGGCGGGTGTCGTATACAGCGATTGCCGTTTCGGGTTAGAGGTGGGTGGAGGTATCCTTTTGGAAGGTGTGTCGTCATGCATGTCGCAATCTAGCCACAAGGCATCATCCGTGACAGAGGGAGGTGTCGCATCGGCCGGGGGTTCGGCTTCTCGAGCTGTGTTTTTGATTCAGCAAGACCGAACGATCAGCACCAGCATTCCGACGCGAGGCGCATACGAAAGCGCACCAGCTTACCGAACGGTGGTTTGGGGAACCAGATCCGATTCCACAACTTTGTAAAGACGTTCTTGCGGGCGTGACCGCGCTCGCCGTTCGCACTGATCGTACTCGTACTCGTGCTCTCGTCGTTCTCCTGCGACCGTTGAAGCCTAGGACTGATCCCGGTCCTCGACAGCCTCCTCGCCTTCTTGTTGGGTGAAGACAAGGGTTGCAACCTCGACGAGGACGAGGAAGTGGCCGAAGAATGGCGTTTTTGATTGGTCGAATCGTCCAAAGTCGAACGCGTGCGTTTGGACGGGGACAGCTGATGAGGTCGTGGGTGATGGTGGTGGTTCTCTCTGGACGTGTGGGTGTAGGATGTGGAGGGTGTGATGGGTCGGAAGCCGGGCATGGTGCGAGGGGGGGCGGACAGGGGCCTGGGCGTTGACTGAGAGGAGAGGAGAGCAGCGTGAACTGTGCAGCGTGAACTGTTTGCTCCCTCGCGGTGTGGCTACTAGTCTCATTTGACCGGTTGAGCGCGAGGTGTAATACTGAAATACCAAATAGCGCGCCGGCCGAGGTGAGACACTGGACAGGCGGGGAGACAACGTGCGAATGATCGCCCACCGCCAGCGCTGTTGTTGCTCAATGTCCTTACACCGTGATCGTCGAACGAGCCGATCCCAAGCATCCTCCCCTCGTCCGCAGCCTCGCGCCCGTTCTCTTCCTCTGACGTAGCCCACACCCCCTGTTTCACGGTCGCCCATTGGCCAAGTCACGCCGCCTTCACCGACGGCGACTGGCACTGGCCCGTTGCTGCTCAGGCTGCGTAGCTCTGGCCACCGCTCGCCTCGAACCGACCCCAACGTTGTCCTCGACCGCCGTGACTTCTTACGTCATCAACCGACCGACGATATGTAAGCTCTCCCCTGCGTGTGTGTTGGCCCGAAGCTGCTGGGTCGATCCGATCCCGCCCGCCCTCGCGCCGTCGTTCTCACGCTCGCTCGTCCCCCCCTCTCGCGCGCTCACTCACTCGCCCGACTGACTGGCTGATGCCGATGCTGATGCCGATCCCCTCCGATCGATCCAATTCGCACTACACCGACCCCCAACTCGCCCACCAAAAGGGGCCTGCAACACCGAGAATACCTCACTTCGGACGTCAAAGTGTTTGGCTGCCGCACGTGCAAGACCCACCTGAGCATACACGAGCACATCGAATCAAAGGTAAACCCACCCCACCCCGCGATCATGAAACTCTGTGTCCCCCACATCACCCGAACGAACACGCGCAACTGCTGACGGCCGACATTCTCGGAACTTGCGCGCAGAACTTTAATGGACAGCATGGAAGGGCGTATTTGTTCACGACCGTGTGAGTTCCCCCGAGTCGGTTTTCCATTCAACGGTGGGGAGCAAGTGGGGCCCAAGAAGTGCGCGCCAGGGGGGGAGGGGGGGGGGGGGGGGCGGGACTCTCCACTCCCCATCTTCCCTCTACGAGTTCACGTCCCTGATCAGTCCCCAAGATCCTCTTTTTCCGATCCAGATACAACATCAACGCCGGACCACCCGAGGACCGACCGATGACGACGGGGTTGCATACCGTGAGGGACATCAGCTGTGCCAAATGGTAGGTCCTTGCTTGGCAGGATCTGCAGCAAGAATGGAGCGGCCGAGCGAAATTCTCTTCGAGGCATCGTAGATTGGCACCGCTAACACTTTGTGTGCATTCCTGTCATCAGTGGGGATGTTTTGGGGTGGAAATACGGCACGTCCTCACTCCCTCTCTTACCCCCCCCCCCCCCCCCCCCCCTACTCGCGACCGAGCCCAAACTCACCTCCCTCTTCCCTGCCTCGTCCGTAGACAAAGCCTACGACGCCTCGCAAAAGTACAAGGAAGGTAAATTCATTCTCGAGCGGACACTGACCGGTGAGTGACCATGTCCTCACAAAAAGGAAGTGTTCAACCCGATCAGATCTGACGATCCCGGGCAAATCTTAACAGTTGACGTCAGTTAAGACTACTCGACCTTCTCCATTCATTTTTCTCATCCTTTTCGCATCTCTTTTTCCTCGTCTTTGTCCTGCGCATTCACTATACTATTCACTTTTTCGTTCGTCGTTCCGTCCAGCCCAAGCTTTTTCGTTCCTTCTCTACCCCTGCTGGTCTCCTCCGTCATGTTTTGTCCCCCCCCCAAGACTCTTCTTCACCCCCTTTTTTTTTTACTGTTGTGCTGAATAGGTTTCTGCTATCCCCTCCCGTTCCATCGGGGTTTTTTTTTCTTTTCCTTATCGTATATTTTTTTGATCTACTGTCGACACCTTCATTTCGCTTCATCAATGGTCACATATCGAAACCTCTCCAATCGTGCCCACGAGTGCTCTCGAAACTCAGTGACGACTCAATCGGGGGGGGGGGGGCCAGAGGAACAAACCGCCCCCCCCCCCCCCCCCCCCCCAAAAAAACACGAGAAGACATGATGATGTTACAATCCCAACCCGAAAAGAACCACATACATGTACCCACCACGCCTCAATTGAAGGATTCGTCCTCGTAACCCCCCACCACCACCAACCACCCTCTTCGAAGACGTACCTCGCGCACAGAGAAACTTGCTACCCCCACATTCCGAGCCAATTACTCAATCCAATTCCTCACAGCCGTCCTCAGAAGCGCGGACTCAAAACGGCCAAAAAGTGTCGTCGGATCTTTTTGAAAAGCGCAACGAGAGAGGGTCATAACCAGACTGTCGAAGATGAGAGTTCGAGGGTTCGCACCCCCGACTTTTTTATTTGTTTGTTTACTCGGCTTTGGACCCTACGATCGATCCATCATGAACGTTGACGCCTAATCTCGGCACGATTTGGAACTAACCCCGAACCGAACAAGTGAGGTATCAGCCACCCGAAAAAAGAAGAGATCAGTATCGCAAGGTCGAACTCGAACCAAAGAAATGCCTTCGAATCCCCTTCTTCGAAGAAGTGCGCCCGCGCGAACTCACCGTCGCCAAACACCGCCCAAACAACTTCAAAAGGTTGACCTGATTCGCATTCAAAGCGTCGCCCTTCTTGCACACGACATGTTCGTTCGCCAAGGTGGGTACACCCCTATTGAGCGTGGTCGAAAGACCGAGTTTGCGAAGTTGGGGTTCCAAGGAATGCGCGAGCGGTTGATCGTCGATCTTGAGCGGGCCTGAGGAAGGAGGAAGGAAAGCGAAAGAAGAACTCAGTCTGACCGTGTGAAGGGGTGTAAAATGAAAAAAAAAAAAAAAAAAAAAAGTGGTCAACGGACCAGCCGGTAATGTGAAAGCTTCGTCGACGACGTTGCCCGAACGAGCAAAATCTTGCTTCTGGAACGACTCGAACCATTCCTCCACGACATCGGCCGGTTCGTTGGTGAACAAAAGGCCGCGCGAACCTTCGAGGAGCTGCGAGGTGAAAAGGGAGCAAAGCAGGATGAGCAGGGGGTTGGGGGGGTTGGAACGTAGCCAGGAGGTAACGTACGTTGGCGACTTTGGAAACGCCAAGACGGCACTCGTCTTCGGGTGTCGCACCGAGCGCTTTCCTCATCACCGCGTTACGACCCAAGAATATCCTGTCACAGCGCAACGCAACGCACACTAGAGGATCAGCTCTGCACCCCCTGTACTGTACACTGCGCCGCTCCTCGCCAACTCTGTCATCCTTTCCCTTCGCACTCACCTCGACCCCTTCCAAGCGGTCCTGACCTCCTGCAACAAGTTATTCCTCATATGCTCGACATCGAACACCCAAACGTATTGAAACTGCTCGCAACAGTCGCGGATGGTCTGGATCAATTGACCCTTGTGCGCCTTGTCCTTTTTGTTCGTTTGCGTGAGCGCAACGGTCGTGTTGCGTTTGGAGCGGGGCATGATTTTGAAGAAGGGGCGAGCGGGTGTGTGGAATGGGTGGTGGGCTGGTTGTATGTAGTAGGGGAGAGGAGGAGCCGAAAGTGAAGCTCGCGCGGTCGATTCTCATCTGCGCTTCGGCTGCGAAGCTCGATTCCTCCGCGCGCGCGCGGTGCTGATAGTGTGCTGATAAATGCCAATTTCCTAATTTGTAATTGGGCCGGGCCAAGCCGAGATTCGCAAAAGTCCAAAAGCTTCCTTGTTCAATCTCTCTCTATCCACACACAAGCACGCATACACGCACGCACACTCGTACACACACCATCGCACGGTAGCCCTCACACCTTGACTCTCACTCTACACCAAAACTTTCACTCAGGATCCCGCCCCCTGTCTTGCTTTGCACGCTCTCATCGCCGGACCCCCAAAGCACAAGCACCGCCACCTCATCCCCATCCATGTCCACCTCAGCTTCGACCTCCACCAGCTCTTCCGACCTCTTTGACGAGCTAGACGCGCAGCTCAACTCGTCGTCGACGCCGCTGGCGCAACGTTTTCGCGCGCTCTTCACGCTCAAGTCCCTCGGCGGTCATCGCGCCATCGACGTGATCGGCAAAGGTGAGCTCAATCTTCTCTCGTCATAGCCTCTATTCCGTACGGGGAGCTAAATAGCTTCTCAGGAACGCCCCCACGCCAGGTTTCGATGGTCAATCGGCTTTGCTCGGTCATGAATTGGCGTATTGTCTCGGGCAAATCAACGATCCTTACGCTTTGCCGATCTTGCAAAACGTGTTGGAGGATGAGCACCAACACCCCATGGTTCGACACGAGGTACGTCACCATTCAATCGCTTTCCTTTTTCGAACTGAGCTTCCAAGCGCAGAACGAATCCTCCTCCTCCACCGAACTGACCCCTCCTTCCCCCGAATAGGCCGCCGAAGCAATGGGAGCCATCTCGGACCTTTCCTCCCTCCCCGTGTTGAAGAAATACCTCAGCCACCCAATCGCCGCCATTCGAGAAACAGCCGAGATCGCTCTCGCCAAGATCGAATGGGATAATTCCGAGGAGGGCAAGAGGGAGAAGAGGCCAAAGTCAGTCCGCTCACGAGGGCAAACCTGCTCGGGGAGCTTTCCTTTCGAAAACTAAACCTATATGTTGATGTGTCGTTGACAGCGAATTTCATACCATCGACCCCGCCCCTGCTTCCCACCACTCCCCTCTCGCCTCTGGATCCAAAACCTCGACCACTACAACGCCCATCCCCGAACTTCAAGCGACCCTAAACGACACAACCAAAACCTTGTTCGAACGCTATCGAGCCATGTTCGCTTTGCGGAATGATGGAAGTAAAGAGGCTGTATTGGCGTTAGCGACCGGGTTCGACGATGAGAGTGCTCTTTTCCGGTACGTCGTGCTTTCTTTCCCTTTTCCCACTCTTCATGAACTGACCATCTTCTCTCCCCACCTAAAACCCAGCCATGAAATCGCCTACGTATTCGGTCAATTGTCCTCCCCTCACTCCGTACCTTCCCTCATCAAGGTTCTCAGCCACACGAATGAAGAAGATATGGTCCGCCACGAAGCGGCCGAAGCGTTGGGCGGTATCGCGACGGAAGAATGTTTACCGATCCTCGAACAGTTCGCAAAGGATGAGAACGTACCGAGGGTCGTTAGGGAGAGTTGTGAGGTGGCTTTGGATATGGTCAGTCTTTCTTTTTTCGCGGGGGACTACTTGGAGCGAGTTTCGAGTTCGTTCGAGTGTTGATCTGGGTCATCTTTGTTTTCGGATAGTACGAATACGAGAATTCGAACGAGTTCGTTCCCTTGCCGACTTTGGTACAAGCTTCATAAATCACTCACACCCACAAATTCACCCTTTCCTTATCGTTCTTCCATTTCTTTCCCTTTTGTGGGCTCATTTTCCACGCATTGCAATTCCACTTCTTCAGTACCTACCTAAACACAGAACCCTCGACCTTGAATTGCGTCACCTTTCCCCCAACGGGAGCCGATCCCGAGAAAAGAACCGCTCGTCACGTTCGACCCCTTCAGTCACCACACCTCTTCAAGCCGCTCACCCCCTGCATCTAATAAGGATTTGAATCACTTTTTGGGCTGACTGGCTTGACGCCTTCGTAAACCTGATCATTCTCGAATCCGTTCGGGCGACCGACTAACTTGCGCTTCGACTTACATCCCAACCGACGCAGGCTGAGATGAACGAGATGACGGTGTTGTAATACAGGAAGGAAAAACGATCACCCAACATCCTTACGCCGAGAAAACATGCAATAATCCTACTCCTTTTTTTGTTTCCACCCCTTAGATTCGCTGAGACTAATCTCATCCAGCCCGGCTCACGCAAATATTTCGGATCAAAGTTCAGCGTGACATGATTCCGATCGATGACTCGGAGGCACACCGAGGAGTCGTCGTCGCGAATCAAAAGCGTTCTTCGTATCCTTCATCACCGTGTTGGATTCCTAGTCTAGAGAACAGCTCAAAGCCCTCACTAGGAAGAGACAGCGAAGCCAAATCAGTCTTGCAAGAGGGAGGAGGATCAGAAAGAGGACTCACTTTGGATCTTGTCGCAGATCTCTCCTCCGCCTCATCCGGCTCCGAGTCAAAGATCCAAGCATCATCGCTACCCCCATCCGTAGATCGATACGTGCCGTAATACCGAGGTAGCAAAGCACGAGCTTCCGAAGGCAAGAGAGAGGGAAGACGTGCTCATATAAAACCGACTCAGATGATGAAACCCCCCCGTCAGCGATGCTATCAACGTACCCGAACCCACCCCCGGAACATCTCTCGACAAATGGCGTCTTGAGCGGACTCAGTCGCGATCCGCCTCTAGTCTCAGAGACGCAAAGCGACACAACGGGCACGAGTGTATCTGCGAAGCACCTTCGCGACGACGACGACGACACTGACGACAAGTACTCGCACGAATTTCGCGGGTCCGCTGAGACACTGGCCGCTCATTTCGCTGCAGATATGCAGCCATCCAAGTCGTTCTACCCGACGATCGAATTCATCGATTCGATCCTAGCGATGGGTTTTCACGTCTTTCTCACGATACACCCCCCTCGATCCTGCCACGATTGCTAGTGCTTTCGGCCTCAATCCGATCCTGAATATTCTGGCGTGAACGAGTCGGTGACCGCCGTGATCTCGCCAGAGTGCTCGTTTTGGCCGACGACGTCACGGTCACGCCAGAATGCAGGATTGAGGCCGAAAGCACCAGCAATCTTGGCAGGATCGAGGGGGGTGTATCGTGAGAAAGACGTGAAAACCCATCGCTAGGATCGAATCGATGAATTCGATCGTCGTCGGGTAGAACGACTTGGATGGCTGCATATCTGCAGCGAAATGAGCGGCTAGAGCCTAGTGTCTCAGCGGGAGTCCGTGAACATCGTGGGAGTACTTGTCGTGAGTGTTGTCGTTGTCGTGGTCGCGGAGGTCCCTTCGCAGAATTAGGTACACTCGTACCCTTAATATCGCTTTGCGTCTCTTTTTGTCTGGAGGCGGATCGCGACTGGGACCGCTCAAGACGCCATTTTGTCGAGAGATGTTCCCGGGGGGATCGGGTACGCTGACATCATCGCCGATGGGCGAGTACAAGAAACCAAAGGTTGGCTCGTTGGGGTCCGGATGATCGATTATAGATCAAACCAATATCATTCCCGTTCGAGGTGTTCGAGGTCAATGGTGGAAGCCGGCTAAGGAAGCGATGCACTCAACTCACCGAACTCCCCTGAGCAGGAGAGACGCCCCCCCCCCCCCCCCCTGAAATGGGATGATCCCGGGATCGGGCCCCCGATTTTAAATCCCACGCCGCATTTGAAATCCCGAGCTGCATCTGAAATGCATTTCAGAAAGGCGAAGCGATTCCAAATGCATTTCAAATCACTCCGACGATTTCAAATCGGTGGCCCGATCCCGGGATCATCCCATTTCAGGAGGGGGGGCTTGCTATGTTGTATGAGGCTAATCTCATCGAACCGGGGGGGGGGGGGGGGGGGGGGTTGCTATGTTGTATGAGGCTAATCTCATCGAATCGGCTCACGCAAGTATTTCGGATCAAAGTCGAGCGTGGCACGATTCCAATCGATGAGGCACACCGATCCGTCGTCGCGGATCAACGCGTTCCTCGTGTCCTCATCACCGTGTTGGATTCCTAGTCTTGAGAACAGCTCGAAGCCCGCACTAATAGGAAGAGAGAGAGAGAGAGGAGGGGCGGGGGAGCCCAATTCAGTCGGAAGATGTTGGGTTGGAAGAAGAATGATCGAAAGGAGGATCAGAAAGAGGACTCACTTGATCTTGTCGCAAATCTCCTCCGTCTCATCCGGCTCAAAGATCCTCCTCCCGCCGTACCCAAGAACAAGCATCATCGCTACCCCATCCGTAGATCGATACGTGCCGTAATACGGAGGTAGCAAAGCACGAGCTTTCGAAGGCAAGAGGGGGAAGACGTGCTCATAGAAAAGCGATTCGATGATGCACGACTCCAGATCCTCATTTTCATACAGCTTGAGCACAACGGGTTCCTCGTAATCAATCACGCCGCTTTTCGTACGTGTCCGTCGGTGCGTTGAAACTTTGGGCTCGGTTTGCTCAGCTCGAGCAGTAGGCACGTTCGATTCAGTTCCCAGCTTGCGGCGCTTTCCATCGGCGAGCATGGAGCGGTCGGACTCTTCTCGCCGAAGCGAAGCCGGATTCGACTTCTTAAGCTCTGATCGTCTCGACGGCGCCTTGGACAAAACACCGCCAAACACCCTACAGGCACCACCGTACGCGATCAATTGGGGGTAGTACATGACGGGTAGTCTCTTGGCGTCCTTGAAGTCGCTCGCTGATAAACGTTCGTAGGTCATCTCTGTCGGGTTCATTGGGGTGTTCCTCAATCCGCATTCGAGATAGGCGATCAATTCTGGTGGGAGAACGCTGAAGCGACGGCTTGGCTTGTACTTTGGCCTCGACGCTAGCTCGGGTGGGGTTGATCGTAAAACAGGCTTGAATTTGACCGCTTCGAACACATTGGTCCCGTCATAGAGGAGATTCCACATGCGCCCACGAGGCCGACGAAAGAAGCGCAGCTTTGAAGTTGGGGGGGCAAAGACGAGCCGATCACGTCAGGAGCGAGGAGAACAAAACTGCACACGCCGTCGAGGGCGAGCTCACGGGTTTTTGGGTATGGGCCAGCTGTGCGCGTACAGAAAAGTACTTTCCTTCCCACACTTGAACGGTCAAAGGGATCTGCGCATCCAACTCGGGGTCGTAGTCTTGGATCCATTCCTTCTCGAATGCTTTCCGCCAAGTTTGCGCGCCGATCTTTGGCGGTCGGAATAAGCGTGCGACCATTTCGGGAGAGGGCGTCGGTACCTGAGTAAGGCTGTCGACCATAACAGCAAGGGCGAGATCGGTCATGGATTTATTTTCGAAGAAGAAAGGGAGATCGCCCGTTGTGTGCTCAAAGTTCCGACGGACGAGTTGGATAGAGGAAAGAAGGTATCCGACCTCTTGAGTGTTGTTTGGGTTTTGGACTTGTGGGTAACCAGGGTAAGCAAACGACATCAAGATTGGGCTCAGAGAACGAACCCGCAATGGATATAGTGCTGGAGCTTACCAGCTTCTGTAAGAACACTCATGCGCGTACCGACAATCAAACCAAAGCGCGGCTGCCCCGATCGCGTCCCTGTCAAGGGATCGCACTCAGGGACCCCTGATTCCATCAGCACAGCGAGCTGTGGGGAAAGACCATGAATCTGATCAGTAAAATAAACTCGATCCGCATCTGTGGTCGCTATCAGCAAATGAACAGCTCGCCCTCTGACCTTGTTCAACATCGCCTGCGCGCCGTGACTCCTAAGCGTCGGGTCTAGCGGAATAGGATCGTCTTGCTCGAGATGAAGTTTGCATCGATCCTTGCGTGCGAACAGGTTCGGCTGCGGTCCAAACATCAAGAAATTCATATCACGTTCGAATAGAACCGGCAAGCGCGAGACGACGACTCCGCCGACGACGAGAACGAGGATGATTCCTGGAGGTCGACCGGTTTCGGGGGTGACGAAATGAACCTTGCACGAATCAGGTTTAACCGGTGGTCCTTCCTTCCGCTTGTGGCATTGACTCCACATATACCCGAGGAGTGGCTCGAGGACCTGGATGCGCCAATTGTGAATTGTTTCACTGCATCCGGGCGTAGCGTTGCAAAAGATGGGATCGGAAGCACGAGAGAGCAAATTCGCGGCCTGCTCGAGCACCCTGTGAGCGACACGATGTTTCGACAGAAAGCTGAAGAGGGCTTTGTAGGTACGTTTCTCGAGTGCGACGTCTTGAAGGGCTGCGACGGGACGCCGTGCTCCGGGTGGCAAGGCTGTTTGAGGTTCCGAGTGCTCGTATAGGGCTTGGTAGTCCAACTCGTGGCTCAACGCGGGCACCGCGTGCGGGTACACGTGCTCGTGCGGTCGAAGGCGGAGGTCCCTTGCCAAACGGGACCGGATTGCACGATCGACTGCATCGGTTGGGCTAGGCTGGAGCAGACTCGACATTTACAGGCACGAAGGTGGTGATAACGACCTGGCTAATGGGCAGGTGGTGCGATGTTGACCGGTGACCCGCGACGTGACCGCTCGCTGGACGCCATTACCGAAAATGCCCGCTAATGCGCGAGAATGCGCGCGGACAAAGCAGGGCTAATCAAGGGCAATTCGATCTTCATACGATCTGCGTATACACATTGCGCGCGCGAGACTTGAAATTTATGGACCCCCTAGTGCAGAATTCGCCATCTGTCTCCCTTAGGGAGATGGTGTGGTTTCTGTAAGGCCCCCGTGACATTTTTTTTCATGGCTGCTGTACGCGGTCCTTCTGGTTGCCGTATGGCCTCAATATGGACGAAGCATGGCAATAAGGAGCTTGGAAACGTTCTGCTTCGCGATGATAACTCAGTCTGCATAATCGATGGGAACGACGCCATGCTCGACTTTGATCCGAATTCTATGCGCGACCCTGTTTGGGGCAACTCACCAGTCTTCACGGACGGTAGCATGGTGCTAGTATTGCATGGTTCCTGTTCCTACAATAGCCTGATTCTAAACCGTACTCCAATATCTCGAGTTCCATGACAGTGTCATCTGGCTCCTCCTAATAGCCCTTATCGAGCCATTTGATTCCCGAGCTCGTTCCATATGCGCGCGGTGCAAAATTTGCCTCGGTGTCGGATGCGAGGGCGTTTCAAGTTGGAAGACGAACGGACCAAACTCAAATGACATGGAATATGACCGAAATCCATTTAAGCTCGAATAAATTTTTTCTTCCATCATTGCAGACCAGAAAACGATCGAATCATTGCTTGAGGTGCAAGAAGGAACCGAAACCCCGTGAGGCCCCCTCGCCAGCGATGTGATCCTCTTATTCAAACAGGGTCGCGCAAAAACTCGGGATCAAAGTCGAGTGAGGCGCCATCGAAATCGATGATGCAGATTGAGCCATCGTCGCCGATCAAGAGATTCCGATCCTCCTGATCACCATGTGAGACACCATGTTGTTGAAGAAGGTCGAAAGCCGCACTGCGCCAGTACAACAAGGTCGTATCATGAGCCAAGAGCGTTAGCTGAGAGGGGGGTAAAAACCGCAGTAAGAATTAACTCACTCAACCTTGGCGTCAAGATCATCGGTGCGGTCTTTGTCTTCGATGGGACGACCCCCATACTCCAAAATAAGCATGAATACACTCCCGTCCGTGGATCGGAACGTCCCGTAATAGCGAGGGAGCACCGCCCGAGCTTCGGGCGATAGAAGCGGGAATACGTACTCGTAAAAGAGAGATTCAACGAACACTGAGTCGCTTTGATCCCCCTGGAATACCTTGATGACGATGAGCTCGTCGAATGGAATCTGGCTTTTCCTGGTCCCTACTCGCGGCTTGGAGGTGGTCGTCATTTGCAGATGTTCGGGCTCAACTGTGGGCTCGAGTTCTATGGCGGCTTTGGTCGAAGCAGCGTTTGGCAGCTTGTGCTCGACTTGCGAGGGAGCTTGAGACAGTCTACCGGCAAACACCCACCCAGCGCCGCCAATAGCAAGCAGTTGAAGGAGCTCCAGCGCGGGCAGTGGGGCAGGATCCTCTACCTCGAGCCCTGATAAGCGATGGTATCGTTTCGATCCTTCTCGACGCTGAGTCCCACGTTTGAGATAATCGATCAAAGGCGAGGGCAGGGCATTTGCTAGTCGACGACTTGGTTTGTGCACGTGACTCGACTGAGCATTGGGTGACGCTGGTTTGGCTTGAACCATGAACTTGACCGCTTCCATCACGCTGAAGCCAAGAAAGCGCCCCGTGCGCCCGCGAGGTCTGTTGATGAACCGTGGCTGAGGATCATGCATACAGGGACAACACAAGGTCAGCGGCGACGACTATATGAGTAGGAGGCCGGCTCGAGCAAAACGGAAGTTCACACTGACGCGTTTGTTGTGGTGGTCAAGCTTCGCCCGCACGGTGAAGAGACTGCCCTTCCACACTTCGACCGAGGTTGACGGTCGTTCTTCAATCTCTGGTGCTCGAAGATCATTTAGCCAACTCTCCCTCTGAACTTGCCTCCATTCCTGCTTGTCGATCGAAGGAGGACCAAACAGCTGTGCGACTGTGCTAGGGGAAGGAGCTCGGATATGGGTGAGGAAGTCAACCAGCGTTGCAAGAGCAAGACGGGTCGAAGATCGACTGTTGAAAAGGAAGGGCATAGGTGTATCACCACGGCTTTGGGTGTCGTCGCGCGGATCGAGTAGGATTGGAGTTAACAGGAAGCCGATCTCTTGAGCGTTTCGTGGATTCTCGACTGGAAAGGAACAGATAGCGTCAGCTTTGGAAGAAGCTGCCACGGCAAAGTGTCTTACAGAAGCTTACCAACTTCTGCCAGGATGCTCATTTTTGTGCTCATTAGCATGCCGAATCGAGGTGCATGCATAATCTCCCCGGTCTCCGAGTTTCGACAAACAGCCAGCTCCATCGACATGGCCAGCTAAAGACGGAGCAGGCATATACAATCCACGATAGCGACAGTTACGCGTGTTAACAGGGACATCATAATCTTCAGTCGGCTCTGGGATGGACAACTGACCCTGTTTAATATTGCCTGTGCGCCGTGACTTTTGGTGTTCGGGTCCAGCGGAATAGGATTCTTTTGTTCAAGGTAGTAGTAGGCCGGCGTGGTTTGGCCGATCTGACCCTGGCGCGCGATCCGATGGGGTTGCGGTCCGAACGTCCAAAAGTTGGAATCGTGTTCAAAAACGATGGGGAGGCTTACCCCTTGGCCACCATTCTGTTCGAGGAGGTGGAGCGTGATTCCTGACGGTTGCGAGCCATCAGGGGCGGTGAAGGACAGCCGATACTGATTCGGATTCGCGGGCAGCCCCGTCATCTTATAGCTGTAGTGACACAGAAAAAACTTGAGAAGAGGTTCGAGCACACGGATACGCCAGTCGTGGATCGTCGCCGTGCACTGGGGCATGTCGCTGCAAAAGATGGGAGTGGGGGCAGCTTCCAGGAGCGTGGCGGCCTTGGCGAGCACCTTGTCCGCAAGCTCATGTTCGCCAAGAAAGGCGAGTAGTGCTTGCTGCACACGGTCATCGAGTGTGCTGTCCTGCATTGCCGCAACAGGATGACGTGATCCGGATGGTAGGGGCGCTTGAAGTCCCAGGTGCTCGCTCACTCCGTGGAAGTTGAGGATCGACGAGGCACCCGTCTTGCGCGACTTGTGAGTGTGCAGTCCGCCGCGGTGGTACCTCGATGACGGCAGAAGAGGTGGGTCGGATAGATCAGGTTGGAACATTCGGGCCGTATGTAATCTCGAGCACCGGACAGGGAGAGATCGTGACCGGTGACCGGTCCGTATGGAACACTGATGTGCCTGAATGTTGCGGCAGGTTGCGGCTCGAGCATCCGCCACGGGGGGGAGAGGGGGGGCCCCCGACAAGCTCAACGTAGTATCCACACACTCCAGCTTTTTATTGTCCTCGCGCCCACCCCTGACTACCCGCCTCGGCGATTTTGGCCCATCTGAGGCCCAAAATTTGTCCAGTCGGGCCCTACGCGCCTCAGGCCGGGCTTTCGGGGGTCCTGCTATAGCTGTGCCTCTGCACGTTCCCTTCAGGGTCTTCACTGCACCGTCGACGTCTCCACCAGCCTCTGCCGCTGCGTTTACCACCTGTTGATACGGGTGCGTTTCTCACTCCCAAGATCACCTCACAGTTGACGAAGTCGCTGACCGAGCGTTTCATCTTGCAGGACGTTTCTCAGCTAGCCCGAGCAGCCGCTAGCTCGTCTAAATCCTCGACGTGGCTCTGTCCAAGAGTAACTCGGGGTAAGTGTTATTGGTCACCCAAGCTTGTTGCACGGTGAACTTACCACTTCGATTCCTACAGTGATCTTGCTAGTCCTGTACGGGCAGTTAGTCGGTAGTCCTTGTTGGACCACTTATCTGACTCCCACCCCCTGCATCTCTCAGCAGTCCGTTGCAGAACCCCTTTCGCTTGAGACGCAGCCTCTGGCTGCCTCCGCCGCATCACAGAGATTCGCTTGTTCTTGCAAAGGTATGCTGAGACGAAGGTAGCTATCCCCACTCTTACCAGTTGCAGCCAACTGACATCACCCTGAGATTGTTCTTGCAAAGCTCTGTCTGATTGATCCCACCCTCCATCCCTTGTCACTCGCGTGAAAACTACTTCATTCTTTCCAAAAAATTCTTCCTTTCTCTTCTTCGGTTCAGTCTGCCTTCCCATTACGTTCATTTCCGTTTCTTCTGGCTTCCATCTCGCTACACTCGCTGGGTTTCAATCTCGTCTTTCGTTGTCAGACGCCCTTGGATAGTTCGTTCTTGTTGAACAGTTGGACACACCGCTAGTTGTCCCTCATCCCGCTGCAACTTGACTCATTTTACCGCTACACGTCGCGCGAGCGGTTCAGGGAGTCGATGCGAGGCATTCAGCGGGGCCACTCACTAATAGGCTTTGGCACAAAGCTTACTGGTGCGGTGTTCGACTTCGATGGGTTTTATGCTGCCAGCGAGAGATACTATGGGGCTGTACATCTGAACGCTATGCCAGATGCGATACATCGACTATTGCAAGATATACAGCCGTTTGAATAACGTGTTACCAACGTGACCAACAACGTGAGATCAATGTGACCGACAACGTGGGACCAAAGGGTTTCTTGATGTTGGATCACAATGACCTCCGACGTGGTCACAAGGTTGCGCGAGACGTAGGACCGGAGTTCTCTTGGACGTGGGACCAGAGTTCCCTTTGACGTGAGACCAAGAGCGCCTAAGACTTGAGACCAGAGTTGCCCGCCATTTTCGCGATTATGTCTGCGTGCGTAATAAGAGGCTCTGCCCGGCATTAAACGTCGCTCAGTGATTTCTCGATGCCCACAGATGTCTTTGTCTGAACCCTCAGCCTGCCAGGTTGATTCAATTCGCTGTACATTGGGTTCTACATTTCGAGGGATCTTTTCCTTCCAACATGTGATGTCAGTCTTGATTCCCGAAGAAAGAAATCGTGCTTGGGCTCAACTCCGAGCCGTGCGAAAGGTTACCGAACTCAGGCGACAGGCGAAAGCGAGCGTTGTTCGAGGTTGGCATCTTTGCCCTCTCGTCTAGGCAGAACAGTCTCTCCCACGAGGTCTTTTCCTTTCTAAAGTGTCTCTCGATGCCATCAGTGGTCAACGAATCCGACTCGGCTTGTGTACAATGGCCGACGTTGTAAAATTTTAAACAAACGGCTTGCCCGGTGTGCTGCGTAAAACTAAAAACATCGACGACCGAGTGATCTTAATCTCGACATCTCGTCTTTCAAAATCACCCTCAATGCTTCTCCCAGAATACTGCAAATTAAAAAGTTTGAAGCAGGGGATCAGCAACCACCGCTGACTCAAGCTCGCCTTACTTCGATCGAGCCAAACGGGCCAGAAAGGCGTCCGAGGCTCGTCCCCTCCCCTCCCTTGAGACGTGTCCATCGCTGTGGAACTTACCCGGTAACTTGTCCCCCGGTACAAAGATCCTCTCGACTCCGCCCTCTGTGATGATGGCCATACGGATCGTGCCTCCCGAACTTCCATCGCGCGCCATCGCCAGTGCCAGAGCTGAGAATCGAGATAGGTAGACGAGCCCCCCGTCAGCTTGATCGTGCTCTTCTTGATTGATCAAAGTATGCCTGACGTTTCTGCGTTGTGACGTACCGTTCCTGACAAAGTCGACGGTCTGTTCCTTATCCCAGTCCTCGCGATAGGTCGCATCGCAATACCCATAGATGTACGCCGAGCCGGAACCTGTTTTGTCGCGGCTTTCACCAATCAGTTCCGCTGTACAGAGCCCTTCGGAGAGACGATTGACGCACCTCCGATCGCCCAAGGGCCTTTGAACAATCCTCCACCGAGAGGGATGTTGTACACGGACCCTCCTGTCAACTTGTCCCATCCGGCGACGATGATACCAGCCGAAAGCGAGTCCCTACGTAAAGCCGACCAAGCAGGCACTCAACTTTTGTTGGTTCTCCGAGGCTGTGTGCGGATTGGAAACTCACTTGTTGGAATAGCAGATCGATTCTAGCATCGCGCCCGCTACGGCCGTCGTCGGTCGTTTCTCGTGTTGCATCGCGTACTGACTCAGTTGCGCGGTGACGATATCCGCAACGGCCTGGTCCCCGAATTGGGTGTCAGTTCCGAGTTCATAGAGTCCGTCAGGATCCTCTCTTAACCGCTCTCGGGAAGGAGGGGGGGGGGTTCCCGTCCCGTCCCGTCCCGTCCCCTCCGCTCCCCCACGCACCTGTGTATCGGCGGCCGATCCGGAACGACAACAATAAATCCTTTCGTGCAAATAGGTCAACTTGTCGGTCACTCGATTGGCGATGTAGGATCCGGTGGTCGTTCTTGAATCGGCACCGATGACGACGCCTCCGGGGAAAGCGCAGGCCATGATCGAGGTCTGCATTCGGGAAATGGGGGTTGGGGATCAGATTGAGGGATGTATTCGGGGTGTGTGTGATGATCGAAGTGTACTTACTCCCAAGTTGACCTCGCCCGATTTGAGATGGCTCACGTCCGGCACGAGCGTCGTCGTCATCGAGCTGTGCGCCATGTTCTGGCAGCTAGAGGAGGAAGAGGTCGGGCTGCGAGGTGGGGTGGTGAGCAGTGTGGACGAGTGGAGGTGGTCGGAGGGTGGTGGGTGGGTGAGTGGTGTGCAGAGCAGGGGCCAAGCTGGGAGCGAGTACGAGTCCACGCGTGACCCGCTCGTGTGTAGTAATTGGCGGATTAGGACTTGCGGTGCCAATGAACTCAGCTCAGATTAGTAATGGACTATTTACGCCAGGCGCGTCGTCAGCGTCAATCCCCCCCAGCCTGCACGCTCCCACGCTCCCACGCTCCACGCTCCCACGCTCAGCTCAATCCCACCCTCCACCTCTACACACTCCGCCACCACCACCACCACCACCACCACCACCACCACCACCGACCTGCCTTCAAACTGGCTCCCCCTACGCAGGACCCGCTCCCGACCTCGACCCCTTCGCACAAGCGTCCTCGTCCTTCCTCTCCGCTGAGCGCAGCAACCAGCACACCCTCCTCCTCCTCCTCCTCGTCCTCGCTCCAACGTCCGCTCAGCAAACGCACCGCCACGACCCCGACGCCCGACTTGGCCCATCTGCACATCACCCCACCTTCTTCCTCGCGACCCAAGATGGCCTTGACGAGCCAGGCCAAGAGCTTGTACGCCGAGTTGCAGCGCCACCAGCTCAACCCGGACCAGGTCCCTACCCCACAGCTCAACAACTTGTTCAATCAGCTCAAGGTCAGTGCAGTCGATTCAGCTGTCAGCTGGTTATTTTGTCTGGCTGACATGGAAAGCTCGTCTCAGATTCACCTCGCCGAATCCGGCTTACTGTTCCCCACCGCGTCACCCTCGACCGAGCAAGAGAAAGCGGACCTCGTCATCGCGCGTGAGTACGCAGCAACACAGTCAAGAGTCGGTCCCCATCTTTTTAACCAAAGTCGACCCTCTTTCACAGGCGACGTGCTCGAGTTTGGCGCGCTGTTTTCGATCCAGACCGAGGACGTGCCCTCGTTCGAACGCTACATGTCTCTCCTCTCCGCCTTTTACGCAGAGCCATCGCAAGTCTCCCCGTCGCCGAATCGAGCTGCGTTGTCGGCCTTGTCCCTCTTGCGCCTCTTGTCGCAGAACCGCATCGCCGAATTCCACACCACCCTCGAAACGCTCTCCTCGGACCTCATCCTCTCCCGAGAAATAACCTGGGTACTCGAGGTCAGTTGCCGCGTCTTTCCTAACCCCCCCAATTCCTGCACCCCGCCAAAAAAAAAGCAAAAGCTAACCGATTCCGGTCCCGTCGACGATCGACGATCCACACCCAGCTCGAACGTTCCCTGATGGAAGGTTCCTACTCGAAAGTGTATTCACTCTGTTCGAACCCTTCGAATCTACCGCGCGTCGAATTCGAATACTTCATCTCGACGCTGCTCTCGACCGTGCGTTCGGAAATCGCTTCGTGCGATGAAAGGGCCTACGCTACTTTACCCCTCCGCGACGCGCAGACCTTGTTGTTCTTTTCGAACGAATCCGACGTTCGAGCGTTCGCGAAGGAACGGGGGTGGAGCGTCGATGAAGCGAAAGGGATCATTCGATTTGGGGTACAGAGTGGGCCGCTGAAGGCCAACAAATCGACGGAGGCTGGGTGGGGTTTGGGAGGGGATAAGGAGATGAATAAGGAGAGGATCGTCGCGAGTGTGGTCGGGTACGCCAAGGAGTTGGAGAGTATCGTTTAGAGACCTGTGCAACGAGGGGGAGTGTCTTTGTTCTTGTTTTGGCGAGGGTGTGGGGAGACGACCTCGAGATTGCTGCGAAGCAGTTGATGCTATCGGTATAAATGAGGCTTACGTTACCTCGTCCAGATCAACCACTACAACGTGGCTGTCTGTACCTCCTCCAGTGTACTCTTCGCATAGCCACTCCCAGATCCCAACCTCAGCCCTCTTCCTCGCGACGCTCACGTGACCGCGTGACCTTTCGGGTCCCGCGCGCTTGCTACGCAGGTCACGTGCCATGCTTTGAAAGTGTTTCCTGACTGGGCGAGCATTCGCCTGATGGCACGACGGCTCGCTCGTTCTCCCTCCCGCCCCTCCCTCGCACGCACCTCCCACCCCCACCCCCCGCCTTTCTAACCTCCTTCCACCATCCCTCTCTCTATGTCCCTCACCACCCCCACCCCTCCACCGCTCTTGGAATTCCACCTGCTAGGAACGGGCACCTCCTCCTCCGTACCGTCGATCCACTGCCTCACCTCCCCTACCGAAGGTTGTCACTGCTGTAGATCGACCCTGAACGCCAAGGAAGGAACCGACGAGGCTAGGAACGTGAGGAGGAATACGAGTGGTCTTTTGAGGGTCCCTCCGAGGGTCGGGCAGGAACTTTGGAGGACTGTGTTGGTTGATGCAAGTCTTTTGAGGTAGTCTGCGTTCCTTCGCAGTACAGAAACTTACTATTACGTACCTCATCTACCCCCCTCCCCTCCTCATCTCCCCATTCCGCCGCATACCCTCATCACCTCATTATCGTCCTTGCCCACTCTACTCATCCGCCATCATCCAGTGCGGCAAAACCTTCTACGCCGCCGCATTGGAACACTGGCCCAAACACCACCTCCGACAAATAGACGCTTTACTCATCACCCATGCTCATGCCGTACGTTCGCGCGTTTTCTCCCAACGGTCCCTCCCTGTAATCCATCTCGTAAAATCCGGAACTGACTTTTTTCTCGCTTTTCTTACCCTTTCAGGACGCCTTTCTAGGCCTTGACGATCTTCGAGGTTGGACACTACACGGCTCGATCCAAAAATCGATCCCTATTTATGCGACACAGGATACGTACGATGAGATTGCGAGGGTGAGTCGGCAAGACAAGAGGGGGGGGGGGGGGGGTGGGGGAGAGCGCGTCGGTTTTTTTCGTGGTCGAGGAAAGGTTTTTCATTCGCGACAGATCTCACAGGGGGCCGCGGAGGGGTTTTGGATTTTGGATGAGATTCGTGAGGATCGTTGACTGAAACGCTTTCATATACACGCAGTGCTTCCCCTACCTAGCCGACCGCTCCAAAGCGACCGGAGGAGGCGACGTACCCGCGTAAGCCCACTCTTTCCTCCCCCCTTCACCCCCAATACTAAACAACCCCCCCCCCCCCCCCCTTCTTCTTCCAGTTTCGAATGGCACATCATCACCCCCCTCGTCCCGTTGCACCTCTTCGGCATCGAGATCGTGCCCCTCCCCGTCCACCATGGGAAAATCTTCTCCGACCCTCCCAGACCTTATCTTTCCTTGGGGTTCATGTTCGATCGCGAGATCGTCTACATCTCTGACGTATCCTACATCCCCGAAGAAACGTGGCAAGTCCTAGAAGGACCTTCCACCTTTCAGAACTCTGACGCCCCTCGAACGAACGAAGTACTCGGCTCGTTCTCCCTCCCTTCCGAACCCCCCCGCCGCCGCCCGACGCTCTTGATCCTCGATACGCTCCGTTCGACAACCTTCACCTCCCATTTCGGTATCGGCGAAGCCATCTCGACCATACGTCGGTTAAAACCCCTACGTACCTACCTTATCGGATTCGCTCACGGTACCTCTCATTCAACCTGGGTTCGAACCTGTTCCCTCATTTCCAGCGGTCAGATCTCTCCTTCCCAACGCTCACTCGTCATCCCCTCCGAATCCAAACCCAACGACGAACCGCAAGGTCTCCCCTGTCCACCCCCAATCGGACCCTGTCCCAATTCGATCCATCTCCTCCCACCTCCCTCCCAATCCTGGTTAGCCATCTCCGGAACCCTTCACAAAGGTCTCGAAGATCCGCTAGTTCACTCCGAATGGGCATTAAGCATCATCGACGCTTTCGAACCTTCGAAAAAAGGGGTCAAGTGTTGGGTTCGTCCAGGTGCGGATGGTTTGGTGCTCAAGGTGTTCGAGGAAGAAGAAGAAGAAGGAGGAGGAGGACGGGTTCGAGATCGGAGGGTTTGGGATGGGTTGTACGATACTACTTAGGAGGGGGGAGAGAAAAAGTTGGGTGTGGAGGGGGTTCGACTCGCTCGAGATTGGCGGATTCGAATAGACGGGTCAAGATGCTCGGAGTGTCTCCCACCTAAACTTGAGACTTGGAAAAAGATACAATGCATGACGTAGATACAACACAAAAGATGTTCCAATTCCACCTCCAGATCCTCGCCAAAGAAATAAGAAAAAGAAAAAAAAAAAGGGGGGGGGGGGCAGCGCTGGAACGCGTCCCAAAAACTTCCTCCTTCCATAACCTCTTCCCCCCCACTTTATTCCTCTTGCAACAAATCCTTCAAGAATCGTTCATCATCCTCCCTCAACTTACCGACGCCGACACTGCCCGAACTACTACCCTGACTAGCTTTGGGATCCCAAGCCATTCCCCTCTGTTGCGCCGAAGGCGGGGGAAGATGATCGCCTCCAAAATCAGAGGCCGTAGCGGATGAGGCCATCGAGCTCTTCGAAACGAGTCGATTGGAGGGTAGTCTCGACTTAGGGGATCCTACACCGAAGAAAGGGAAAGGTAAACGTGATTTACTACTCCGCCCTTTCGGCATCGTGTGCGATGGCGCCGAAGACGAACTCGTTCCCTCTTTCGTCGAACGATCGATCACGCCCGAACGGTCGTACAACGAAGTCGTCGTAGCTTGGCTCGAATGACCCCATGACCTCGACTTGAGCGGCGTGCCAACGAAGGAGCCGAAAGAGGATTTCGGCCCAAAGCTCGCGCGTTGTTCCATCAGCGGACTTGAGCCTTGTCCATCGAGCATCGTCACCGTCGCATCAACGAGACCTTGTGAATCGTCGGATACGTTGCCGCTCGACGCGGCCGATGAAGCTCGGATGCGGTACGCTTGCGCGAACAAGGCAGCGGGTGTCGAAGGTGCGGCGGGGAGACCGAGAGCGGACATCTTGGTGGGACTCGGAGATGATCTAGGACCGCCGAGGGATTGCGAGTCGTCGGCCGACACGCGCCGAGGAGGGCGTGGCGGGGCGGCTCCACCTCCCAGTCCAATCGACCCCGCACGCGGACCACCGATTCGCGGACTCCCCACCCGAGGACTCCCCACCCGAGGACTCCCCACCCGAGGACTCGTCCCATTCGAACCAGGCCTTCGAGCCAAACTCGTCACCCCGGCAGCAAGCGTGACCTGCGTCGCTTCCATCGCCGAGACCTTCTCCTCGAGCGCAAGCACTTCGCGTTCGAGCGTGTCTTCCCTCTCGCGCGAGTCCATAATCTCTTGCCGCGCCGCCGAGACCTCTTGCTTGGCCCGTTCGAGCTCTTCGGCTGCGTCGAGCGCACGCGCTTCCCAGTTCGCTCGCACCTGTTCGAGCTGGGCCAGAGCAGAGTCCGAGGAGATGGTCTAGGGAAGTACCGCATAGGAATGGTCAGCACTTACGATCCAGGAAATTCTGTACCCGCATCGCCGGCTTACATCATTCTGCTCTCCCCTCCTGGCCTTCTCGACCTTGAGCTCATCCAACAACGCATCTCTCTGCGACCTCACATCCATCAACGTCGCCCTCGTCTCCCCCAACGCATCGAGCAATGCATCCCTCTCCGTCGCGGCCTTGTCCAACTCGGCCTTGACCGACGTATAACGGAAAAAGATCTCGAGTTTATCCATCGCACGCACGCTCGTCATCGTCAAATCGGACGAATCAACGAGCGTGCGCTGCGTATCGTTTAAGGAATCGCGTTCGTCGGCGCTCGAAAAGCTCTCCTCGCGGTGGTGGTGAACGTGACGATTCGGAGTGTGCGGGTACCACGTCCCCGTCGAGACTTTCGGTTCGGAGGCGACGGAAGAGGGTCGTTCTTGTGGGGCGATTTGCACCGCTCGTCGTTTGGGTGTCGTCTCGTTCGTGGAGGTGCGAACATGCGCCGCAGTACGGGGACCCAATTCGTCCATCGAACGTTGTTGGAGCGAGCTCCTCGCCGGACTCGATAGCGCACGAGACACATCATTAGAGCGAGGCGACACACTCGATTGAGCGAACCTCAACGTGCTCATCGGCGTCGCCCATCCGCCATCCTCGCTCGTCCCCGTTCCCGTGCTGCCGATCGTCGCCGGTCGAATGGAAGAGGTCGAAGCGGCCAGTCGGGACGTATCGCTACCACGCTTGCCGCTTGGTCTTTCGGGAGTGTTGCGGCTGGCGTCGAACACGTCCCCGTTGGACCTATACGACAACGACGATTCGTGAACGGTGTGACGGCGTGATGCGCGATCGTCAAGAGCCGCATCGTCGAGCGAGCCTCCCGTGGACGAAGAGTCCGTGCGCACCGTCCGTCGTACACCTCCTGCGCGATCCGGACTGACGACCAGCGAGCCTGGCCGAGCAACGCTCTCGCGCAGAGCCTTGGCCGAGGGTGAGCTGATTTTCGGACCTCGAAGTCCGCTGTGGCGATGCGTCGGTGTCGTTTGTTCACTCGAGAAGGCCCGAGTCCTCGCAGGGGGTGGGCTGTGCACCGAACCAATACCGTAGGTCAGCGCTGGCACGACCATCGAGGATTGCAAAGGACCCAACTCACGTAAGTAAGAGCTCTTCCCGATCATCGTCGTCGTCCGAGCTGCCCAGAACGGCCTTGACGGGGTTCTCCTTAGCCCTCGCCCTGGCGAGCGTCGTCTCGAACGCGTCCTCGACCGCAACATCGCCGAGCTCCGAAGCGGATTCATTGATCGTCCCACTATCGGACATCGCCGTAACGGATCTTGAGCTCGCCGAAGCAAGGATCCTCTTCATCCTCTCGTACGCCCGTTCAACCTCGACGATCGACCATCTACGAGCCGTACGTGGTGTGATATCGCTCGAGAGGTTCGAAGACGTTTGTGAGGGGTTACGTTCCATTTCGGACGATGACGTAAGCGGTGGTGCTGCCCAAGTGAGTGGACTCGTCGTCGAATTGCCGAGCACGCCAGCGAGCTCGACCGATTTCCTGACGCCGCCTGGAGGAGGGGTCGCAGCGTCCATCGGGCCTAGCATCGAGTCGTCGAGACCCAGTGTGGCGAACCGTTTGGACCGAGCACCTCCTCCCGTCAGCGCTAACTCGGCCTCCATGCGATCAATTTCCCGCTCCATTTGATCCAGAGTCAGAGGTCCGTCTGAAGAATTGAGCATTTAACGAGATCAGCAAGGTTGCCCCCAAAATTCGAATAAAAAGCCAGAAGAATGCTTCAAGCCAAAACTAACCGGGATCAGGGAAGCTCGCCAGCGCCGCTGCGTCATCCCCACTGAGTCCATGTCCTCGAGACGACGAAGACGCAGAACGAGCAATCGAGATCGACGGCGAAGTGCCACCGACAACAGCTTGCTCAGGAACTCGAATCGATGGCCCAGTCGAGGCGACCGCGGGGCCCATTAGGGACCCCCCATCGGAAGAAAGTCGTCGTCCGCCTAGTTGAAACACGAGGTCTTCGAGGGGTGAAGCCAGATGCGATCGACCCGACAGTCGTTTGCCACGCAGATTCTCAGGGTCAACCCCTTCCGTCGGGGACCGTGACATCCTCTCGACGAACTGTGGCGCTTCCCCTTCTTCTTCCTCCTCGTGGCTGGAAACCCGCGCTCGGAGACGGACCCCTGGCCCTCGACTTGATTTCGGCGACTCGGAGAATCCATCCTCGGGTTTGACCAAGATCGGAGAACCACTCTCTACGCTTCGCATCGCCGCAGCGGGATTTTTCCTTGCGGCCTCGATCGCAGAGAATCGTTTCGAGAGTCCTGTTTGGTCCAAGAGCAGCGACGAGCGAAGGCTGTCGGGGATCGGGGAGGGCAAGACGGACTGCGCGCGCGGTTCGCCAAACGTGTCCATCGACGAACGCGATTCCATGACTGTACTTTGACTGTGCGGCCGTTGCTGTGTCGATTCGAAAGATACGAGTGGCGGGAGGTCTGAGCTGTCTTCAGCGGCTTTCTCCGAAGAGCCCGTTGTCTGATGATCCTCACTTGCCCCGGCCTTCGTGTCCTCAGCAGCAGCAGGCTCTGAAACGCCGACGGGACCAGCCACCTCGTCGGGCAGAGGACTGGTCTCGCGCGACCTCGACCACGACTGTGCGCCGGTCGAGCGCGTCTCAAAGCTCTTCCGCGAGGAATGCGGGAATGTAAAATTGCCCAACACGGGCGAGATCGAGTGCCTTCGATAAGCGAGGTCGTCCTTGTTGGGTGCGAGCGAGTCCTTGTGGATCGCAAGACCCTCGGGTGGGCCTTGTTTCATGAGACTCGACGTGCTCGACGTCGGTCGCTCCACTTCCAACAGTGACGAAACGCGCGAGGAAGTCGGCCGTTGACGAGGCGTTTCGATGGATTGCTCAGCGTTCACCCATTCGTCGACGTTGGAGGCTTCCGAATGACCCCTCTTGACCGGCGTAAGATGCAGAGGTACAGGTGAAGGACTTGCGAGTCTGAGGCTCGAGTCTCGCTTTGAAGGGGAGAAAGACTCTGGGTCGGCTGTAACGTGTGAACGAGTAGAGTTTCGCGAGGAGTTGGGCGGAGTGGCATCGCGCGTGTGCTTGTCGTCGTGAGAAAGTGCCGACGACAGCCGTGTCGAAGCGCTGATCGAAGCGACCTTGGCCGGCGACGTTCGCGTATTGACGAGACTAGTCGCCGACTTGCTCTCTTCGTCGATCGACTTTCTCGATACTTGCTTCTGGAACCTTGAGGAGCCGTGCGGATGCGCGATGGGAAGCGAAATGGACTCGGCGGGCATGCTCGTTCTCCGACGAAAGCCGAACATGCCCCTTTTGCGCCCCACACTGTTGCCGCTGATGCTCGTTGAACGAGTGGGCTGCGGAGCGCCATTCGAGGTCTTGGCGGGAGCAAAGTCAGAATCTTGGGGTGACAGTAGAGCCACATCCTTGATTGAGTCGTCGCCTAATTTGTGGGTCGAGATGGTCGTGACGAGTGGCGGGGGTTTAGCAGCCTGGATCACGACTTTGGGTCCGGCCGGCGCGGCGATCTTGCTTCCCCTCTTGATCGAACCGCCAAGGAAACGACTTCTGAACGTTCGAATCCCAAGCATGGTCGATGCAGCAGCCGGGGTCGACGCCGCCTCGGTAGTAGTGGTGCCGATCTGCTTCGCACTAGCCGAACGAGGCATGCTCAAGGAGCCATTCAAACCCTTCCCATTAGCGCCGGCGCCGGCGATGGTCGCCGAATTAGCGGAGACTGAGCCGTTGGCGGTATGCTTGAAGCCATATTTGGTGGCATACGATGTGTCCGAGACGGAACGGGGTATCGGAGATGCCGAAGGGGATGTCGCGGGTAGAGTCGGCAGCTTGGAAGGCGCTACGACGCCCTGCGAGATCGGAGTGCCGCCCATCTCGTCGCTATAGCTGCAGGGTGATGTTCGGTTCAACCAAGGCCCACTGCTGAAATAGATAAATAAAACGATGTTCGCCGGGAGTATATACCACAAGGAAGCACAAGACGAAACCGCTCACGCTGCAGCTCAACGAGGCTCGTGTACGGTGTGGTGGTCGGTGCCGCCGGCGACTATAGCTCGCCTCGGGACGTGGAAGGGTGGCAGCACCTCGAGTGATGTCGCCCCGACGCGCACAGTGTACAATGTGCCGAGAGCGTATCCGAGTACGACTTGATTTTGATGTAAACGAGTGATGGAGTGGACGTCGCGATGACAAGCCAAGACGTACGACGTAGTTTGTGTCGTGCAAGCTGAAAGCAACATACAAGTGTACAACTCGGAACCCAAAGCTGCGCTCGGTCGCCTCTGCACTCCTTCGCGCACGGCGCGCGGGAAACCCCCCTCCCGCAAAGCGCTAGCGCGCCGGCTTCAAGTTGGTGACGTGAATGTCTCAGAGCGGAAAACGCGCCCCGCCCCTTCCTGCCAAATCAGGCGTCTATTTCCGAGCGCGCTGAGCGTCGCAATGAGACGACTTCTTGTGCAGGTTTTTGCATCGATCGGGGTGCAGTCTCAATGGCTTCCTGCGTGTGGGATACTCCTGCACGCAGATCTTGCCAAGGCGTTCGACGCGTACGACTTTGCGCTGTGGCCTTTTGGGGTCAGTCCTTTCGTGCTCTTCAAGGCCGACTTATTCATTTCACATCGGCGTTTTCAGATATGTGCCACCTGCTTGCTCTATTGTTGCGGAGATGCTTCAGAGCGCACTGGTTATGATGCCACATGCAAAGCTCCCGGTGGGGGAGGGTGTGCATAGCGCCACAGAAACGTTGTCGGGGCAACTTGATCTTGGCGTGGTAGGGCCGCAGGTTCTGGTTGCGCACAAGAAAGACAATCACGACATACGAATCTTCCTGCAATCAGCGAGAAGAGAGTGAAGAAATGAATGCGATGCCAAGAATCTTGTGGTTGTCTTTCTCATGCGCAACCAGAACCTGCGGCCCTACCACGCCAAGATCAAGTTGCCCCGACAACGTTTCTGTGGCGCTATGCACACCCTCCCCCACCGGGAGCTTTGCATGTGGCATCATAACCAGTGCGCTCTGAAGCATCTCCGCAACAATAGAGCAAGCAGGTGGCACATATCTGAAAACGCCGATGTGAAATGAATAAGTCGGCCTTGAAGAGCACGAAAGGACTGACCCCAAAAGGCCACAGCGCAAAGTCGTACGCGTCGAACGCCTTGGCAAGATCTGCGTGCAGGAGTATCCCACACGCAGGAAGCCATTGAGACTGCACCCCGATCGATGCAAAAACCTGCACAAGAAGTCGTCTCATTGCGACGCTCGCCTACCGGAAAGCAGCGCGGACACGCAGATAAGGAAAGCTCACGACTTACATCAGTACGAAACCCGGGTACGAATGACGTCACCATACACTGGGGCGCGTCTGAGAGTAGGCAGGTGCCGTCGCGGCCGCGAACCCCGTCCCGGAAAAGGTCGTACTCTAATCAAGGGCCAGCAGACGCGGTAAGACTTTGCGATGCCTGTTCACAGCAGAAGGCAGATATCGGCACCTACCGCATCCGAGGGAGCTATTTCCAGCACGCCGTTCAACGTCTCGGGGACAAGTGGTGCCCTACGGGGCCCTCGCCTGGAGCTCGGGCCGGGCGCAAACCATACGAGGGACATATCTTGCAGGACATTATGGACGATGGGTCTTCAGCGAAACAATTCGTGATTGATCTGCAAGCTCATGACTCACCATTGCGAACGTAGTAATACTGTTCTGCGGTGGGCACCGCCGCTCGAGGCCCTGCGACCGCAACCTGCTTGCCCGCCTCGTCGAGCAGATGACCATAGCCGGGGTGGAGAAAAAACATCGACAAACAATCTACAATGTAACTCCAGTTCATCGTACCCGTCTGAGCCATCCATCCGACGGGGGCTGAGAACACGTCGCGCCACTTGTCCGCCTCTGGCGCGACTTTGGCCAGGATAGTGATCGCAGGCCCGGGGACCCAGGTCGAGGCGTCCTCCATAGTAACATCTTGCATATCGTTGTGTTCTCAGGCAGGCGAATCGCAAGGTCTGCGACGGAGCGATAGGCGGTATCCAGCCCATGGTGCAAGACGAAAGCACTACGGCGATCGGCCAACCAGACCACCGCGCACGCGCTCACACACGCCGGACTGCGCCGGAGATGACTCACAGCCTCTGGCCGGACATTCCATCGGCACCTCGAGCAGACAATTCATAGGGTCGGCCTTCGCCACGCAGCGGAAAAAAAAGCCGATCAAATCGGCAGCTTGGGCCGGTAGCAACGCTCTTACCGTCGGCAGCAAGTTTGGCGGGGATCAAGCCGACATATCCTGTTCAGAGTGCGTTACGACTACGACAGTTGAACCGCATGTTGTAGAAGGCTGTATGGAATTTCTGGCGGGAGGATATGATTATATCTTGACATTTCAATAGTGAGAGCAACTCAAGCTTTACCTTCAATTTTCACCAGTCTGGGACGACGAGTCGCCGTACGAGCAGGCTCGTGGTCTTTTCGGCTTTTGCTGCAGGGATCTGACCCCTACGAGAAATCCACGCAACCGCAGTTGACCGCGGTTGGACCGCAGTCGAGTGCAGTTGACCGCGGTTGGTGGAACAGACGTCGCCCGTCCAGCCATTCGAAAGTAACCGCGGTTCAACTTCAGGCCTAGAAACTGGATCTGGATTGCGGAGGTGCACTTTAACCGCGGTTGCAAAATACCCAACCGCAGTCGCGACTTCGGCAACCGCGGTCGCAACCGCACCAACCGCAGTTGTAGTAGATCAAGTGGTTGCGGTTACAACTGCACGACCGCGGTTGTAATAATGTAGTAGCCTATACTATCCCTTTCTTCGCTCTCCTTTGCATGTACAGTAAAGATATAGTGAAGTGGCACTGCCAATGCCATTGCATTACATCAAGCATACGACTCGAACCAAGAGACGAACCTTGAGCCTGATGCCTGATGAGGCACTCGGCCTCAACTCGTGAAATCGCTAAGTCGGATCGGCCCGAAGACTCGGGCCCAGCAACGCCGACTCACCTTCCACCCTCGAATCTTGCCACTAAACCTGTCAATGACACACAAGGCTGATGATGAGTGTCGCGCTATATTCAGTGGATTACCTCAGACTCAGTCTGGTGGCTAACTCACTCGACTGATCAAACTCGAAGAGTCGATCGGACGCACGCCTGCTGCGACGGATCAGAATCCAGCCCGGTCATAGTGTAGGAGCGTACTGGAGACTTACCCTATAATTCAACATCAGGTCCTGAAATATGCCTGTACACATCTTAAACATCTTCTCGTCGAGCTTAGATAACCGACTGACTGCTTACCTCGAAGCTCCCGTCCACAGCATCGAATCGGAGGCGAAGCAGTGTGACCTGTGGCACTGTTCTCGATGTGAAGGCAAGCACATTGGCATCAGCGAGCGAACGATAGAGCAAAGCTTGCTCGCACTTCTCTCGAAGTCAAAGAATGGCCACCTGTGGGCTTTCTGAACAGAGACAAGTGCATGTGACTCGGACCGCCGAGCAAGGCTAGGTCCCAGTGCAGAACAATTGATTGATGTGGTTAGTACACGAACTAAGGATACCAGATGGCGATTTAACCTGGGGAGCATTACAGAGTCGGTGGAGCAAGCTGCTGATCAGTGCGTCAGCGTGATCGGTGCGACGTACCATCGAGCGAGGCCGGGTCGGACACGTGACACCAAAAAAGCACGGGCCATGTTGAGTGACCGGGTAGCATCGAGATTGTAAGTCATCTGAACTCAGTCACTGAATTGGTGCCGATCAAGTTGGTGAGTCGAATGCTGCAAGTTGGCGATGCCAAGGGCGCTTCAGTTGAGTCGGCGGTGACGATGATGTCGGCATGCGTGGAGCAGGAGGGAGAGAGGCGGCGCGCGCTTCGTGCGCGCTTCAAGCAATGAATGTCGACTTGAAACTGTAAATTTAATCGGCAAAAATCTGATTAGTTTGCCTGACTTTTGCAAGCAGGTTGGACGTATGAGGAGCAGCGCAGTGAGCAAACGAAGATGCCGAGTAATAGGATTAAGAACGTTCATAGTGTATTACACTAACCTATGAGGAGCAGCGCAGTGAGCAAACAAAGATGCCGAATAGAAAAGGATTGGGAACGTTAAGGAAATAGAGAGAGAGACAGCTGCGCTAGTCGCAGCTCGAGTATTCTGAGTCCAAGTTCAAAGAGGTCCGAGCGCGAAGCGCGAGCGCGCCCAAGTTCCCATCCACCAATCTCCGCATGCTGGAGTTGAGAGCGCTCCTGCAATGTAGTGTACACGATGACAGGACGAATAGGGACATCAGGCCAGCGGAATCTGTTTCAACTCACACTCCCTTTCTTCAGATGTGTGGTGACAACATGTATAGGCTAATAAATCATGTCCAACCGGACGAAAAGAGTGCAACTTTCCATAGCAAAACCACGTCGACTTGGGCTGCTGACGGGCAAACATGCTGAACGACGTTCATGAGAAACGAACACGGCGTGGGATAGAAGAATACATGCTGAACCACAACACTTGGGTTCGAAGGTTGACGCTCATTCGGCTTTGAAGAAAGGATCAGTCTGCTTTGCCGACGACTCGAGGATCAAGCTTGGGGACGAGCTGGTACGACTTGCCATGTTCTACCTTGACGCCATCGCGGTTTTCCAAATACTCAAGCCTTCCTCTCATGCCCTCGTTTGCGGTCTCGAGCGCAGCGACTCGGGCTTGAAGAACGTCACGCTGCGCGCGGGCAAGATCGCGCTCGGACTCGAGTTGATGTAGTACCAAGGCTCGCTCGGCTTGCTCAGCACGAACACGCCAGTCGATGGTCTCGGAGTTGCTGGACGACATCGGTGGAAGTGATGTGAAAATGCTGTTCACGCGTGACCTGACGCAGAGGTGCGAACGAGGCGGCGTGGCGAGTTGCGTGGGGGGAGCGAGAGGAGAGGCCGGAGAGGGGCGAATGCGGAAGCGAACGCCCCTAGCTGGCGTGGCGGAGATTTAAGTCGAGCCGCGACAACGCTGCCGAACTCGCCGCGCACCCCCACGCCGGAACATCACTGGCGTGACGGGCGCCTCCAGCGGTGGCTACTGGGGGCCTTCATCCGACCCCTCTTTCTCTCCCTACGGTTGTGACGCCATATCCCCTCTTCCAAGGCGTCAGTCACACACTGGTTCTGTCATGTCTCACAGCAGAGTCGAACCAGACCTAGTTGCGCAGTGGAGACAGCAGATCGAGCAAGCAGATATCAACCGCATCCAGAAGAAGCTCGCAGACACACGTCCGTTGAGCGGTCTTGTCGAACTGCCCGAGCACGACAAAGCACACTACAATGAATGGAGGTACTGCGTCTGCTCAGTGTGCAGGTCTAAGTCTGGAGCCTGGCTTGCAAGAAGAACCTGGACAGCGCATCTCAAAAAGGACGTTAAACAGCAACGGCCAGGCGCGGGCGCGAAAGAACTAGCCAAGTGCTGGAAGCGAAAGGGGGCTACACCAGGTCCGTCAACGACTTCACTCATCTTGGCCAATCTCCATTCTGACCTTCGGGGACGTCTTTTGCCGGCAGCAGTCGGTCACGCGATCCCAATGGCGGTCGATAACGATAACGCCGATGATATGGATCGAGAATGAGGCGGAGAGGCGGACGAAAACGGCGACGAAGACGATTTCCAAGGAAACCTCAATGAAGCCGCAGATGAAGAGGGAGAAGAGATGGTCTTAGACGAAGAGGAGATGCGCGGTCCGAAGGAGCTCGACGATCTGGAACACAGTCCTCGCTGTTTCGTGGGCCGAGAGGAGGTGATCAGTAAGATCCTCATCTCGCACTGTAGACGTTACCCCACTCACGTTTTGACGCGGCAAGAGCGCATCCATACATGCCCAGGAATCAATGGTATCCGCCTCGAGATGGTTGCGAGGTTGAGTACGGTCTCGATGATTACACGCAAATCGTAAAAGCTGGGGCGTAGGCAAAGAGCTCTCTAAGTTTCGGAGCCTGCTTCTTCGAGCCTGCTTCAGACAGACTCACTTTCTGGCATCGTCTCCGTCCATCACCAAAAATTTCGGTTCCGTTCCCACTGCTTCTTGAAGCTTGAGCCTCGAGGGTGCAATGTATTCGAGTCGAGCTTCACACTCGTGCCCAGGCCCGATCGTGGCGGACCGAGTTCCGCCGAGTCGACTACTTTCGATTCTTCCCCTCCCTCAAATCTCCTCTTTAATATACGTTCCATCCATGACCTTCATCGACGTCAGAAAGAGCAGCAAGATGAGCACGACCAAATCCGCCACCGCTGGGGCGGCGCCCCTCCACCGTCTCCCACCGACGATCCACCCATCCTCGGGCCGTGTACGACTCTCTCCATTCGATGCGCCGTAGTCCCTCTCTCGAGTTCCTCCTTTCGCTTTTCTCTATCCTTCCTCTCTTCTTGATCGGGTACAATTCCGATCGATCGTTGACTCCATCTTCATCATCGTCGTCCGAATCGTCGTCGACCAAGCTCACGTGATCGTCACCGAACTGGCTCTGCATCGATACGCTCCATACACTATCCTTGCGCTGCCCCTCTGCCCCATCCAAGCTGATAACATACTCTCCACCGCGAGTAGGTGGATATGTGAGTGAGACGGTCATGGTTGCTGTCGGTGACGATACTGGAGGTCGAGCGTCATCGTCTCCCGCCTCCTCCGCGCCGCCGCCACTGCAGCCCCGTTCGAGCGACTCGGAGCAGCCGCCGGTGAATTTGGCCCCTCGATCGAGACAGAGCGTTGATACCGAGGTGATTCCCCACGAGGTTTCGACATGATGAGTTCACACGCTATCCGAAAGGAGCTGACGATAGGCAGTCGATGTAGGTTGGGGAGAGGGAAAGGTGATGAGGGCTCGAAGCTCGCTGCCGCCGTCGGAGCTTCGGAGGCCCCGCACCTCCCAGAGCCTCCCAGTCACCTCCCCGCGCCTCCCCGAGCAGGGACGCAACAAAAGCTCCGGCTAATACGAACGCCGTGTGTGGGTTAGTGATTTTTCATTAGACCCGGCACATTGCTTTGATTCACTGGTCTCTTCTCATTACTCTGTATCTGTAAGCGTGGTCTAACCGGAAATTCGTTCACCGTACATTGGCGCTGGAAGGGAGGGGTGCCAGTGAGGAAAGGGAAGGGCGCCGAGGGAATGGATTTTTTCGTGGCTGCTGCGGAGTAGGGAGTGTCCTATCTTGGTTCGGCCGGGCAAGCGAAGGTCGTTATTCAACCAATATAGAGTGAGACGAGCGGGACGGTAGAAAATGAATGTGTGGTGTGAGCTGCGGCTTGCTTAGTACCGCAGCTGCGACTACGCGATACTTACTCTGGAATGGCGATTGAGCGGAGATGCATCAAAACGCACTGCTTGTAATGCCATCTGAGATACTCGACCTTTGGCAATCGTTCATCTGGGCAGCGAAAGTGCGAGCGATGGATGCGCTTGCCGTGGCACCGGTTCTCCTCTTCACTACTTGGCTGAAAATAGTGGATTATGTACTCCCCGTTCTGCCGTGAGACGAAGGGACGCAGAGCCAATCAGAACAGCTCGCAGAGGTGTTCAGCACGGCGTTCGAGGATGAATGTGATGACTGACTCCCAGTGGGTAGAGTGACCATCCATAGTAAGCGAATTGTCTGTGCTGTATTATGCCCAGCAAGATGCCGCAAGAGGCGTCGTACACGTCAACTACCCCGAAGTGGTCCCAGATCTGCAGAGCGAAATCGCATCAGCAAATTTTCAAGTCAACAAGAAGGTGGGTGGGGGAAGAGGGACCCACGTCTTGACGGGTGATGGGAATGATGTGAGCAGCACCGATCCAACCGTGGGTATCTTTATTAGAGATCAAACAAGTGCCATCGCGAGCTAGAAGACTTCTGCGGAAGGAGGTCTGTGACACGCGGGCCACATCATTTCAGCCGAAGCGATCTGTGCAAAGTTGCGCGATATTGTATCGACGCATGTCAACAGACGATGAATTGCCTACCCGACCATCACTTGACGACCCGCTCGAGTCGCTGTCTGAACTGTTCGATCTGGGCGATGGTGGCCTTGGACTTGGAATTTCAAAGCGATTCTTGCCGATGGGGCCAGCCGCCAGATCGAACGGTTGACCGTCTCCCGGCCATCGCGAAGATCACCTTGTGCGTCAATTAAGTGCATTGAATGGGGAGGATCATACGCCACCTGGGCCTGTACGAGCTCGTCACTCACCTGTTGACACGAGCGTGTAGGCTTCTGCATTTGGTGCAACGGGACCTTTCACGTCGACTTGGGCGCCGTGCTCATCAAAGAGACGTCCTTCGAGCGGCCTTTCAAGACACATTTGCAGACAGTCAACGAGGTAAGCCCATGTCATGGTGCCAGAGTCAGCGAGCCAACTGAGAGGACTGCGTAAGATTTGTGTCGGTTTGCCGGGCGCTTGCGCGACCTCGGCCATAACAGTGAGCAGGGGGCTATTATCACCGGGCCAGCGCCCGCGGAGTGCGGAGCCGGTGTGCTCCATTCTTGGTCAACAACAGCTTCGTGGGGTGTAATCAGTCGATAGTCGATGTCAACGGGAGAATACTGGTGCACTGAGGAAGGAGCTGCTGAGGCGGAGAGAGGCATGCGCTCGCGTGCAAGGGGTTCGACCGCCAACAGTGACAGAAGAGAGAGCAGGTAAGACAACTCAGCCTGAGACAGTCCGATGGGAGTGTCCGGTCAAAGGCTGTGACATCAACGCTTGCGCGTCGTCTGGTTGGCCGAACGCCAAAGTGCATTTCCTCTCAGCTTTGAACCACCGTGAGCTGGGTGCCGCCTGTTGCTCTGTTGCCGACTCGGAGGTGCGAGTATTTGACCTCAGCCTGCCTGCTCGTCGCAAAGCCTTACTGCGTCTGCTGGCCCTTCATGGTACGACCTTTTTCGAGACGGGGTTCGCGACGGCGACGGCACCCGCGTACTCACAGACGGCTGGTACTCCGATTGCATCGTGGCGTCGATCGATCATTCGTACCCTCGTTCCGTTCCGATGCAAGTCGTGCACTTTCGTTGACCCTTCTCTACGTCTCTGCCCTGTTCAACTCTGGCAAGCGGCTCCGTCGCAATGACACGATCTCTTGTGCATATGCTGGCATCTCCGAGTCGGAGCGGACTTCATTCTCAATGGCTTCCGGTCTGAGACTACTATCAAACAAAAACCTTGCCAAGGCGTGCAATGCCGGTTGGTATAATGTCCGCACATTCCCAGGGGGTTGAACGCCTTGGCAAGGTCTTTGTTTAATAGTAGGAAGCCAACGAAAATGAGGTCCACTCGATGCTAGCACCTGCACAAGAGGTCGTCTCCGAGTCATTGCGACGCTCGCCCACCAGAGACTAGGGCAGGACGCATTGGAGAAGGTTGAATGAGAATGAGAATCTGAAAGCGCACGAGCTACATCGGTTCAGAATTCAACCCGGAGTCAAGTGATTATACTTGTAGTCGTGGCCGGGAGTCGGTCCTTCCTTCCTCGAAGAAAGCAGAAGAGACTACGAGCACTGCAGCTTCATCCTTGTCCAGCTGATCCATCCTTGTGCAGCTCTGATCAGAGGTGAGCAACAGGAAATCACCTTCCTTTTCGAGGCTACCCACGACGGGAATATCGGACGACGTGTCTGAGTTCCGGGCATCCCAGGGCTCAGCGGCACTGTTCCAAGAACGGGACCTCGTATCGTCAGCGCCGAACGTCATCTTTCTCCCATCTCAGGTCGTTGACATGAACCGGCCGCCGTTAGAGCCTGACCCAGACGCCGCACCCTCGGATGCCCGAAACTCAGACATATCGTCCGATATTCCCGTCGTGGTCAGCCTCGAAAAGGAAGGTGATCTCCCCTCGTTCACCTTTGATGAGCTGGACAAGGATGAAGCTGGTTTTGGACGTTGTCTTTCCGGAGTTGCTCATCGGATCCCCTTGGCCGAACGCAAGCAGTCCACGACAAATATGCTCTTTAGTGAATACACCGTACCGACTCTACATAGTCTGTTCAGCGATCCACTTACTGTGACATACGTTGACTCGCATCTCAGAATGCCACTGCGGAGACCAGCTCACTGGACTCCACACGATCGCGCGATTCAGCACTCGTTGTCTACTTTTAGGGGCTCGGGCTCGCGATTTCCGGTCCTTATACGGGCTGAGATTGAGCAGAGCACACCTAGACAGCGAGTATACCAGTTAGAATAAGTCATCAGAGGTTTTAACGTTCGCGCGCGTCTGCTGTAGCACCGATATAAGATGCTTCTCGCACAATGCCCACCCCTCATCACCCGCTCCTGCACAGATTGGCGGGGTTACCTCTGTTGTACCGCACAAGATGCAGACGGCGTGTGGAGAGCGGACCGCATTGCGATCGCAGGCCGGGAAATCATTGACAAACAATCGAACTGCTACTGATGGGAGTCAAAATAAAGCGAATGCGAGATGGAGAACATGCTCAGACAGCAACAAAGAAGAAGAATTTCAAGCCGATTGACAGAAGCCGAAGGTGGAGGATGCGATATCAGAGGCGCAGTGGTTCCGAAACATGTTGACAGATCAGCACAGAGGATATGCAGGCTTCAGAAGCGCGGATAAGTGTGGGATGAGCTGCAGAAGAAGATGAGTGGCGGACCACCGGGGCCATGGTCACAGCTCCACATGGCCCTGCGTTCCTCCCAAACTGTCTCGGGCACCGCGGCGTGGGGCCTGTCATTTTTGACAAGTGATGCACGCCTCTCAGCTGACATGGCACGGCCAAGGCTGTCAGACACGGTCAAGAATCAGAATCCATGCTTACTCTTCTCTGACAGCAATACCGCGCAGGTGCATCAGAACGCACTGGCGGTAATGCCAGCCGAGACACTTGAGATTGGGATAGTTCGCGCGCGAACCACGAAAATGCGAGCGAGGGACCACCTTCCCGTGATACGCGAAGTCGATGTCGCTACTCGGATGGAAGTAGTGCACGACCAAGTTGCCGTCCTGAACCGAGATACGGCGCATGTAGAGTCAGTCGAAGGGTCGGTACGACGCAATGAGAGGGGGTGCAGAGACAATCACGTCGAGACTCACTCCCAAGGGATAGAGGGCCCATTCGTAGCGCTCCCACGATTCATGCAGGCGCTTTGACAGGAAGAGACCGCATGGACTGAGGTAAGGCCAGACCACGTCGAACTGCTCCCAGATCTGCCGGGCCAAGCGGAGTATCAGTACATGTGACCACATCAGCGGAACACTAAAGCAGTGTCAATGAGCTCACATCCAGCCGTGAAATAGGTATAATGTGTGCGGCTACGCAACCCTGGTATTCTTCCTTCGAAACGATACACTCGCCATCACGCGATAGAAGATCTTCGAAGAAATTGTTCTGTCAGGTGGTCACAGTTGTTCGGGCGGAGTCGGTGGCAAGTTTTTAACGTCAAGCCAAATAAAGTGTGGACAACAGGTGGGGCAGCAGCCTAGAAAGGGTGGACTCGCCTGGTAGCGAGCTGCCACGGTGGGACTGGAGGAACTTTTCGTATCATCCGCGCGGCCCGAGTGACGCATCGAGGGGATGCTGCCCAGCTTATTGCCGATGGGGCCAGTCGAAAGAGTTACATATTCGCCGTCTGGAGCGCGGACATGGTTTGACGTTAGTGCATCAACAGCTGCGCTGAAGGCGAGACAAGGGGCGTCGGCTCACGATTAGGAACAAAAGTGTAAGTGCCTGCGACCGGCGGCGTCATCGAAGTCACGTCGACCCAAGAGCCCTTCTCATCCTGCAGACGGCCGGCTTCGTTCACACACATGTTGTATATCTCAGTGAAATAATGCCAGTGATTGGTGTCTGACGATTGCAGCCAACTGATGGGAAGGGTGGCGATCCGGACCGGCTTTGGCTCGTCGCGAACGTGGCGACGACGGCCACGCATGTGTCCGGGTCGTCCCAAAGTGTGAGGAACGCCGAATCGGTAAAGATCATCGCAGCTGATCTTGTCGAATGAGAGTTGATGGGCAGCAGTGGGAAGAAGTGCTCCGGGTGGCGGCTTGACGCGTCGCCGCGTGGCCGCCGGCTGCGAGGCGTGAAGAAGAGTGCGAGTGCAGGCGAGTGCAGGCGAGTGCAGGCGAGTGCAGGCGATTCTAATAAGGGTCGACTTTTCTTGTAGACTAACTGGAATCCAAAGCATCTGTCACGTTCCCTGTACAGGCTGGGCAGCGGAGTGGCGGAGAAGGGCAGAGGCAGAAGGTGGCAGAGCTGCAGAGGCGGCGTGCAAGCCCGTGAAGGCTCGTGAAGCCACGTAATATCTCGTGGCGTGCGTAGACGTGTGAGGACCCCCGAAATATACCGAAATGGGTACGGGCCCCCATTTTCAACCAAAGCAGCCTGGCACATGACTCTTCGCTTCCCGGACTGAGACGATGTAACACTCCGTAGTTACTCAAGGCCTGACGCGCGTCTGGCCTTAGCCTTGTCGGGAAGGACAAAAATGCCCTCGGATTCTCGACTCCTGTGATACTTGATATATCAGCTCATAACCAAGAGGGTGGCTTCTTGTAGTCGTTGTGATCAGCGCCGTATACTCAGAATCCCCAGAGATGCCGTGAGAATTCAGTGATCACCGTCGCAAAGTCAGGGCCCTATCGAGCGTCGACGCGTCGACGCGCGCGAGTTCGCGAATCGACGTTGGCCACCTTCCGCATTCTCGCCCCGACATCGAAGTCACCACCGACTTTCGAGGTGTTTCAGGAAGGGGGAAAGTCTCTACGAAAAGAAGGAGCTCACACATGCGGGCCATCGATATGCGCTTGATCACCAGTTTCAGCTCGACATTCGCAAGTCTGACACGCGTCGTGAGCAAGAGTGTCCAAGATCCTCCGTGCACCTTCTCTTTCATTGCTATCTCCAAAGGAGAATGCAGTGTTTGGATCATCATTGTCTCAATGAAGCCCACAGTTACTGATCGCTGCTACACACCGGCGACAGCAAGAGCAGACTTACGCGACACCGCTCCAACCTGTTCCATCTCGGGCCGAATGGAAGCTGCATCGTCTTCCTCGTGAGCGTCATGAGGTCACGGTGAAGTGGGCGATAGTGACTCAACTGGCGATGAAGAGGGTGTCAATATTATTCCGTCACATCTCTCCAAGCGTACACGACGTCCGATCAAGCGCAGGATCCGGGGTGCGGACGAGAGGTCCAAGCGAGACACGATCTGTGGTCTCTGCAAAGGCCCCGAACACAATCGAGTTACATGCGATAGATAGATAGACCATTTGATAAATCTGAGCATAAGTTGTCAAGACTGTCAACCTTACTAAAAGTTGAAGGCATGCTGGCCTGTTGCATATGGAATTCACTGCGGTCTATACGACTTGGACTCGCTTCAGTCGCGATAGGGCCCTGACTTTGCGACCGTGATAACTGAATTCTCACGGCATGCGTACATTATACCCGTGTCGCGTTCGGATGTGAGTTTTTATGGGTCCGTCTTATCGATCAGGTGTGCATTTGTGTATCAGCCCTCGGTACTGAACATGCGCTGGCGGCGGTGCAGATTTGGGATGACCGAGTCGGTGTGCGGTTCTTTGCGACATGCGGGCTCTTGCTTTCCAGACGTGTAAGGTATGCGCCTCTGATGTGCATAAGTTACAATCTGTCGCCTTGACCGCTAGGCTAAAAGCAAGTCGTAACTAGAACTCGACAGTTCTAGCTACTCAGAGGCTACTTATGGGGCTGTTCTGTAAGGCATCCCCTTACAAGACGCCTGCATAAGTCGTTCGACCGCTACGAATGGGCTCTCTATCCCTTGGGAGTCAGTTCTCCTGGTTCCATCTTGGTTTGCGCCTCTTCTCTCCTTCCATCGGATCTTAGACTGACTCGCTTCCGACATCGCAGGACGGCAACTTTGTGGTCCACTACTTCCACCCGAGTAGCGACTGCGACGTAGCGTACCACGGCAAAGTCATCTCCCGCTCTCATTTCCGCGGTTTCAAAGGGAAGCTACCTGGCGAAGTTTATGTCCACTGGCATTACCGCCAGTGTGTCTTGATGAACTTGCGAGGCATCGCCGTGCGAGAGGTGTACGTGTGGACTACGGTCCTAGTCTTTTATCCACCCTGCCTTGTCTTCGGGAAGCTAACAGCTTTTTACTACGTGCCTTGTGAAAGAATTGTCGTCGGAACGACAACCTTACCGAGCGGGACCGGCGATGACAGCGAATTATATGATGACGTGGAAACATAGATCGACCAGAGCAAAGTCGCTGGCGCTTCGTGGCTGCCCTGCTCCAACAAGTCTACACTCCCAGTCTTGCACTCGTGCTCAATCCCTTAAGTCGGAAGTCATTCCTTCAATCTTCCGACGGCCCTCATCCATCGCCGGCCCGAAGCGCTCTCCCCACTGCGCAACATAAATTTTGCATGTGATCTACCTATCTACCCCTGCCGCCACTTCAGTCGCACTCTCGAATCTTCCATTCACTTGTCGGACCCTACTTTTCGCATGTTCCTTTGCAGCATCTGTAATCACCAACCCGTCCGTTACGCAGCTCGCGGCTGGCGTTTTTTTTTTGCGAGCCCCTGTCTTTTTCAATTAAAAGCCTTGACGGGGAAAGCAACCTCTCACGCTTGAAATGCAGCTACGACACGGGTAAAGTACGAACTGGGTCTGGAGCTTAGAACGATTTAGCGCCGTTTACCAAAACCGCTCATCGCGCTCGCAAAGGACACCCATACCCGAATCGAAAGCTCCGTCGAAAAAGGGGTGCTCGAGACATTCCTCGGCGGTCCATCGTTTGGTGCAGTCGAGTCTGAGAAGATCACGCGCAAGAACACGTCAGCACAGACACCCTCGAAAAGGAAAGTTGACTTTGACTCACTCTAGGCACCTCTTCATCAGATCGACGGCATGGTACAGCGGACTATCGGTATACCACTTCTGATCGTCCCCCTCGCTACTCGGGATCGGCCCATACGGGGTCGGCGAGTTCTCGACAAAGATGACGGGGTTCAAACTCTTGACTAACGCGTGTAGGTTCGGATGCGGTGGTGATTCGAGGTGAGGGATGTTGGTGACGAAGGTGCGGTTGTGTAATGCGGCGCAGCGCTCCATCTTGCGTTTGCCGAAGATGGTGCCGATCTCGGCGAGCGCTTCGGTGTCGTCACTCGAGTTGAAGAAGGGGAAGCGACGCGTGAGGAAGCACAGCAGGATGATACCCGCGGACCAAATGTCCAAAGCTGCACAGATGCGCAATCTTTTGGTGTGAGATCCAAGACAAGGCGATTGGTTAGAATCGCGGCCACTCACCAACGGTCTGATCGGGGCATTTGAGCAGCACCTCGGGGGCTCGGAACCCCCTCGTCCCAGCTCGATTTGCTCGAACGCTCGGTCTGTAAGCTCAGATAGACTGGTCAGAACTGGCATATCATCGCCCTTTAAGCAGGACTCTGAACCCACCTTCTATCCTCCTTCAAGAACCCGATCCTGTCCTTTGGCATCGGTGCACTCTGCAACGCCGATCTCCACCCCTTGTAGAACCCGACCCTTTCCTTGGCCTTGAGCCTCAGATCCTCGACCCAAGACTCGGGTGCCCACCACGGCTGACGGCGTAGAGCCTCGGTCCTCATCTGTCCGCCGATGATGGGGTCTTCCACGATTTTGGCCCGATAGGCTTTGCTCCATTCCTTCCAGTCCTGTTGCGATTTGGTGACTTGGTCGTGCAAGTTAACCGGCCGCGGCATCCTCACGCCGTGCAGACCCGCATTCAACCCCGGTGCGACCCCAGGTGCGAGCTTTTCCATCATTTCCCTGCTACTGTGTCGCCCATCAAGACCACCCCAACTCGGACCCGGCAGTGAATGCAAGCATTCCGACTTCCACTCATACCACTCATCACCGCCGATCTTTTGCGCGAGCCCATAATCGCAGAGCACCCCGGTCCCTTTGGTGACGTCAAAGAGGAAGTTGGCGGGCTTGACATCACGGTGGATGATGTGGTGGACATGGGTGCCGGCGAGAGCTCGGAAGAGGCAAGCAAAGTAGGAGCGCATCAGTGGGATTGAGGCCGTTCGATAGTATGTCTGCGGGCGAGTACACGCGCGTGCTCATGTCAGCTCGGTCTCCCCTCCTACGAAAAGCATTCGAGGGCGACACCTACTCGAAAGTCTTGATGACGACTAAAGGGCATGATCGCGATGACTTGATCGTCGTGTCGCATGGCGTCAATCAAGTAGGCGATGTTGTCCTTTCCCCTGCTCGTGATCCCAAAAGGTTCATCAGGACACCGAGCGCGGGACACTTATCCGGCAACTGACCTGAGCACGTTGAGGATGTCGAGCTCGTTCTGGATGCGTACCGGCGAGCTTGTGACGTAGATGCGCTTGATGGCTACGTAGACCTGTCCATTTGGGCCTTCACAGGACGGACGACCATGCTTGTCAGAGGCTTCCCAGCTCGAGTTGTCGTACTCGTCGTGCCTGAGGTCGATCGCCTTGTACACGGATGAAAAGGTGCCTGCCCAGCCGAGACTTGCGCATCAGCTTCTCATGTCCACGGTCAGAAAGGTGTTCGATGTCACCCAGATATACCTTCCCCAAGTCGGTCGATGAGCTTGTACTTGTCCTTGAGGTGCGGGACCATCGTCTCGAGCTGATGCATCTCGTAGCGTAGTGCATCCCTCTCGCCGTCGGACCGGCTGTCCATTTCTTCGTCTTCGTCCTCGTCCTCGTCCTCTTCCTCTTCCTCCTCCTCCTCCTCTTCCTCTTCCTCTTCTTCCTCTTCCTCCTCCTCCTCCTCTTCCTCTTGGGCCTCTTCCTCATCCTCGTCGTCATCATGTTCATCGTAAGCACCAATGTTCCCCAGAGAGTTCCCACCCGGTTGCAAAGGTCGGCCGTCACCACCAGTGACGACGTCCATGTGCAGGTCGGCCGTGTTCGCCGCCGCTGCCGCTGTTGCTGCCTGCATAGTGACGATCTCCTTCGGCGGTGTGAAAAGGCTTTCGATATCGAACTCCGACCCCTCCTTTGCGACCGATCGGAGATTAGACGCGAGGTCCTTGGGCTCTTGGGTGGTACCGTTCTGAACGACGTCGTTGAGCGGCGTGCGTGAGAGCTGCGAAGGTCGAGTCGTCCTCGGAGTTGCCATCAATGTCTTGCCTGATCTGGTTGTCATCGAAAGACGAAAAGTTGTTGTGAAAGTCCGCCAGAGTGAAGGGGTATTGGCTGGCGAGCGCCGAGGGGATGTCGAAGCGCGTGGACGACGCGTCGGTGAGTGCACGGTTCAACGACGCGATGACGTCAAGTCGGGCAAGAAAACAGGACCTGATCGACCACAGACGGGAGGTGAAGTACTATCGAAAGTTGGTGAGCGATGTGAATGCTAGCAGTGTTGTGCAGCGCGTCGGCCGAGTGCTGTGAGTGGTGCCGTCGAGGGAAAGTGGATCGCGGTCGCGCGGCACCTCGTCTCGCGTGGTGATGTCCCCCACGCCGTCCAATCACGTGACTATCTTCGATCCCGCCGCAGTCCCGAGGAAAGCGGCCCGTCCTGGCCCGTCGGTCACCGGAGAAGATCCGATCCGAGCCCGAATCCGTCGGCGTGCGTTTGACGCTCTCCGTGCTCCAAAGAAAAAGGAAAAAAATTGCCGACTTCAGTCGACGCGTCAGCTCAGGCTGAGTCCCTGTCTGCGGGTCGAGCACAAGCGGGGACCCGTCGGAGTCACCGAACGGCTCAACGCGTAAGCTGTTCTTTGTCCATCGATCAACGGTCCAGAGTCACCGGCCTTCTCTCTCCCTCTACACGGTCATCCTCGCTCCGTGCTCGGTGCTTTCGAGATTAGCCACAGGGTTACCTTTCCGAATGCCTGGACCTGATCTGTCTGACCCACCTCTTCTGCCGTCGTCAAGGCGTGGCGCCCACGAGATGCACGGCCACGACTGGCGCAAGACGGGCACTTCCGATTCGAACCTCAGCTACCCCTCAGCTAGAGAACACCTCGAACCTCAACCACCACTTCCCACCGGATCACGTAGTCCTATTGCGGCATTGCACGACACCACCCTCGATGACCGTGTGCATCAAGCCCTCGTCACCTTTCTCGGCGAGCATGAACTGGCGAACAAGGTGCTGGCCAAGGCCGCCACGCTCTTGGAAGATTCCCCCCATCCCATCTTCTGCAGCGGCACGCCCGAGTGCACGGCGACGATTCACGACTGGCGCATCCGTGTGCTCGAACCTCTTCTCAAGTTTCTCCTACGTCACTACACTCACAAGACGACCGGGTTGCCCGTCGATCCGGATCAATATCGCTTGTCCTTCACCACTCCCGACGCCTCACAACCGTCAGGGATCACGCTCAACCTCCTCGAGCGGCATCGCGGTCGCATTTCGAGCGTTCCGATCGTTTTCGAACACGATTCCAGCTTCTGGTGCTTTGGACCGCAGCCGAATCTGTTCGCGCGCAAGGGACAGTGCAAACTCTATCTCGAGCAAACGGATCCCATCCCGCTGGACCCGAGCATCAGGAGTCACGGTGCACAGGCAATGCTGAACAGGGTCAGTTGAAGCTCCCAGAGGATTCCCCTTCGAGCAAAGTATGGCCACCGTTGCTAACGCTGTGTGCCCGCTGGGTTTCTAGCTGGCCGTATCGATGGAGTTGGCCGTCAAACGAAATCCGCAGACCGGGGAGATCATGTGTGCGCCTCGATTCGGCATGCTGATTAGCACGCGTATGAGCGTCCTAGCTGAAGTTGGTAAGCTTCCGTATCCCAATCCATTGCGGCAGCTTCTTCCAAAGCTAACGCCATCTTTTGGCATCCAGTCGAGAATCCTCGAAACGCTCAAGAGATTGGCTTTCTGTTCTCTTCAATCCTTCTCGATCCAGATGACGAAACGCAGAGCCGTGGCGGTCTACCTCTGCCTTTCCTCTTCAACCGCCGTTCTTCGACGCGTCTTGCTCTTGCAACGCTGGTGGACTTCCTCACTCATACTTGAGCTCCTTCCGCCGAGACAGTTGCGCGACTGTTCGGTGGTCCTTCGATCGACAAGCAGGAATGGAGACAAGTTTGGAAGCAAAATTGGCTACTAAAACTCCAATCTATACCGATGCAAAAAACTCCATCGTCGTCGGTTGAGGTTTGGAATGGCAGTCTCTTTGCCGTGCGGGCGGGGCTCGCCCAAGGCGACAAATCAGTGAGTGCCGAACCGGTTTGCTCCAACTTGCGTACTACTCAGATCCGCTCAACCATTGACCGGGTCCTCCCTCTGTATTTTCCATCTTCAGCTACGGTTTATCTGCAAACCTCAAGGACGTATGGGACGTTTCCTCGGGATAATCGTGATGGAAGCGATCAAATTCAAGGTTTTCCAGAAACCGCAGTCAGCCAATGCACAGTCGTATCGCCGGTATAAACCAAGTCGTCGTCTGAGTGCGCTGCCTCCGCCCCTGGTCGCCTTTCTCGAGCGCGGTACTCAGCCTCGTGAGGGATCCAAACGACCGCGTCGCTTATCAGGGCTCGAGGTCGAAGATCCTGAATTACTGCCTGCGCTGGAGTTTCATCAACTGATAGCTATGGGCGGCGCTGGGTGGGTATATGGTGGTATACTCTCTCAAGCTCCCTCACAGCTCCAGTCCAACCTGCCAAACGTCGTTTCGGTGGACAAACCAAAAACATCCTCGTCTAAACTTGAGCTCGAACACCGACAAGTGTCCCGTCCCAAGCGGCAGCTACCTACCAGGAAGAGCCATCTTCCATTCGACGAGCCGATTATCATCAAGGCCTTCCGTCCGGACCATAGGGACTCCTTCATTCAGGAATCCTTCTTTTACGAGAAGGTTTTCCCCCTCTTATCGCCCGAAGCTCAAGCGGTACTTCCTCGCTATCACGGGACCTTCCGGTCCACGGATGGGAGCGTTTACATGCTCATTTTGGGGTTTTCGGGTCGTCATATCGAAGAGAAAGACTGCACCGATGAGACACGTGCCAAAATTGCGTGAGTTGACTCGTACTGCTGGTTTTTCTTACCTCATCTCATCTGACACTGTCGGTTCATGGTGCGGCAAACCTTGTTGCGATGGCGCAGAGCCGCTTTCGAGCTTCTTGTCCAGCAGGGTGTCGCACATGGTGATGAGGAGGAAAGAAATATTTTGATTCGAGACGATGACTCGATCTGCATCATCGATTTCGACTGCGCCAGACTCGATTTTGATCCCGAGGTTTTGCGCGACCCGGTTTGAGTGAGCGGCTCACGTCGCTCGCACGGCGCTCAAGGGCCTCGTGTTCCATCTTGTACCTCGGGCGATGATTTGATCATTTTGTGGTTTGAAATAGAAGAAGAAGTAATTTCATATCGGGAGACTGCTCTCAGTCATATTCTATATGGTACTTGAGTCTCGTCCACTCACCCACGCTTCGCAGGCTGAGTGGTCCTCGCCCTATACTCCTGCGTCCGCCCGGCTCCAAGCTGAGATCCGTGCCGAATGGAATCAGTACTTCACAGATGCCAATTTTCGAGTTCTCTGCTGCTTGGTTTGCTCTGAGAGGGTCTTCGGGCACGAGGCATTTTTTTAAAGAAAATCCAAACATTCGGCGTAAGCCTAGGGGCCGCGTCAAATGCCCCTGAAATCAGCTCCTCAGAGTTTCGCACGCTCCTGGTCTTTCCCCCCTCTCTCCCACTCCTACACATACAATCCTCGCCCAAACGCTCTTTCCCTTCCTTGTTGAGCGGATATTCGTCCATCTTGAGCACAACAACGCCTGAAGGGGGTACCGTGTAGATGGCGCCAAGTACGCTCATGTCAACAAAAGCAATGAACCAACTGCTTCAAAACAACTTAGGGGGCCGCCCATCCATTGCGCTGCAGCAACAAGGCTCGCCAGAGCCATACGCATCGGAAGTTGAATCGGATCTCGATGAGGATGAGGACAGTTTGAAAATCTTGGCAGCTTTGGTCGCGGTTCCCCCGGAGTCCTCGGCATCTCGCACCTCCTCAGCCTCGGGGCTTTCGAACTCCCGCGAGAACCGTTCGAGCGACTCCGACGAGGATTCGGCAGACGAGGGTTACTACGGAATCAACGACGACGATTCAGACGAAAAATCAATTGACAACATCGTCTCGGCACTACTCCTGGCTCGTAACGACAAGAAGATCCTCGACCGGCACACGTATGAGCCCTCTCGGCAGGACAAAGGGTTATCGAACACGACGCGCGAGGCAATTCTCTCAAACATGACCCTCACGACTGCAGAGCACAACGAGCTCCGTCTCAGGCCGCTCATTCTCAATTGTCGCAAGCCGAAGTCCGAACAATGGGAAGTTGTACGCAAACTTTCTGTCCTGGAGCTCCCAAAATTCATGGCTACAGAGGTATGTCGAAGCTGCGTGCTGCGCTGCGTTTTGTTTCGTCCTGTGACAGTGGACCTAACCTTTATTGGTGCGATCTATCAACAGAAGCATGACTGGGCTCCACGCAAATATGAACGCTGTCTCGCTGTCGTCGAGCGACCTTACGGTGACGCGCTCTTGTCTACTCATCATCAACATCCGTCGGAGGTGGCCGTGGGGATCGAAGGGCGTCCAGAAGTGTCTATCACCCTTCGAGAAGCCTGGAGTCAACCTGGTGAAGGTCGACCTGCCGCGCAGGTTCTACGAATTCCCCATCGTTGCTCGGGGGCCTGCAAAAGAGTTCGGAGAAAGGATGGCGAACTTGGGTACAAGAAACGAGACAATGACAAGGACCCCGGGAAAACATGCTCTACTCAACTCAAGGTGATCATCCCGGATATGAAATCAAAGGATCTTGGTTTGGGTGGCTGACAAGTCTCTCTGTTTCCTTCCTCCTTCGTCCCTTGTGCAGATCCTCGTTCAGGCCAACGAGATTTCATCGGCGTTGGTGTACACCCTCGGCATTCACGAACGACGCCAACCCCGGCCGAACGTCCGACGTCGAGCCCCTTTCATTCGTGTGTTGGCGCCTCAGGAAGTCTTTCGGCAGGCCAACACGCCCACGCTCGATGAAACGTGCACGCCGGCAAAATCTGCTTATCCAACGATCTCAATCATCGACACTTTCATGGCTGCACTATTTAGCGGCATGCACTCGACCAAATCGCCAACCCAAGCCGTCGTGAATGGTCTTTTCCCGGCACCACCACCCCGGCCTGCAATCGCGCCAATCCATCCTAATTCTTCTCCCGATCGAGTTCCCCTTCCCCCGGTCGCTAATCCACGTGGGCGTACTCGAGCTATGGCTGAGTTGTCCTATAGAACCAGATCCCCCGCTCGAGGCGCTTGCTTTCATGTTCGAGGGCACCCACTCGTCGCTCCCGCCCTCCATGGCATCTTCATCATCCTCCGTTGACTCGTGGTACACTCCTGCCGACGGTCGATTACGCCCACGTGGATTAGCGACCGGGGGAAGGGGAACTCGATCGGGAGAAGAATTAGGATGGATTGGCGCGATTGCAGGCCGGGGTGGTGGTGCCGGGAAAAGACCATTCACGACGGCTTGGGTTGGCGATTTGGTCGAGTGCATGCCGCTAAATAGTGCAGCCATGAAAGTGTCGATGATTGAGATCGTTGGATAAGCAGATTTTGCCGGCGTGCACGTTTCATCATAGTCTTCGTCGGTAATGGGGTCGAGGCCTTCCATCGAGTCGCCGATGGGCGAATAGATGAGGCCGAAGTCTTGCGCTTGCGGATTCGGATTGTCGACTGCACATCGCCAAATTAGTGAGATCACTTTCGGTACCGTATGACATAGCAAGGAGGGACTGTGCGCGCACCCAGTTGACCAATCATCGAGAGTCGCGCGCCCGCAGCGAGAAAGTACACGACATTGACCGGGTTGGCCTCCTGCTGCTTGTTGGTCGGATCCGCTTTTTTTGAGTGTTGAGTTGAGGCGTGATCAGCATGTAAACAGCCCTACGTTGGAGCCGAGCCAAAGAAAACGTCAGTTGGGTCTCCCGGCACGAATCAACTTCTCCATCTTACCTTGGTTAGCAGCGCGATAGCCGCTGAGCTGGTACCGGTGGGATCGAGCTTGACCCGTCGAGCATCTTCGAGTCGGAATCGGGGCGCGGCGTGGATAGTTCGTAGGCGGGAAGGATACGCTATGCTGTGCATCACTGAGTCGGCCTTCAGCTCCATCGAAAACGCCGACCATATGTATTTGCCCGAGCGGAGAAGGATGTCAAGGTCGCCGCTTTGACCAGACGTCAACTCTGGGATCGCCGGCTCAACGTGAATCGGGTGTACAAGACAGTCCTGACGAGGGTCGTTGCGTTCTGCGAGGACCTGGGTAAGCACCACCTCGGCCAACGGTTGAAAGACGCTGCTGATCAAGTGTATCCAAAAATTCAGCACCGCCGCCTCCTTCTTCCAGCTGTACGACAAAAGCCTCAACGAGCTCCCAAGGATCTCGTGCACTTTCGCGTGATAGAGTTCGCGCGCGCGATTCGCGTCGAGGAAGTTGAAGTATTCTTCGACGAGATCTTTACGCGTCGAGTCGCATCGCATGGCTCCACTCGGCATGCGCAGCTTGGGATCGGTTGCGACATGATTCGCCGTGGTCTGTGGGTAGCCCGCCAGCGTCTTGTAGTTGGGTTCCGAGAAGATATCGGGACCCGGATATTGCAGCATCGTCTGGGGAAGATGAGGGTAGCTCGACATGACGCGCGGAAGGCTTATCGCGGGTGAGATGACGAGATTACGTGGTTGAGTGAGCTCGTTTGAGGTGAAGGAGAGGGGGAGGGGGAGGGGGAAGTAGTAAAGAGAGGGGGCGTGGGAAAGAGGTAAAGAGGTAGTTGCTCGCCCTTCGGGGTGGATCGTGATTTGAGTCAGAGCTTGACACAGCTTGTGTCTTCGATTTCGGGATCGGGAACTTGCCTTGCTCGCATTTCTTGGCACGCGCGATCGAACGCACGGCCCCGTCTTCCTGAGCCACTTGAGCCCGCATAAATGGGCAAACAACCAGACAGCACTGCCACCACGTCTGGAAGTATGCTTGCAGTTGCGGAACGAGCTAAAGGTGTAATCTGCAGTCTGCACAGACTTTGGAAAGGAGGTAGAGACGTAAGCCCTTGGGGAATAAAGACGGCCAAAGAGGCGTTCAAACATATCTCTGTTACACCGTCCTTTCTACAAAAGGTGAGATCAGGGGTGGTAGAGGCGCTGACTGGCTCCAATGCTCGTGCTCAATCTGCTGACAGTCAGAGCATCCCAGTCAGTACCTGGGCATTAGACGGCCCTGAAAGGAATGCGCGCAAACGAGACGTCCACAATCACCGAACACCCGCACAAGACTGACCACATCCAGATCTACTCTACGCCAGTATCCCCTCACCCCACTTGTGTCATAACAACCGTCCACGGCAAATTGAGGCAAGGGCAAGTACTTCTCCGACATATGCTTTGGTACTGGCGTAGAGAGCCATGCCTCCTTTAGGCGAGGCAGAAGACTTTTTCCACCGAGCGCAGAGATCGAAGCTAACATAGTCAACATGACCGAAGGCTGTCTTTTGATAGGGTTTGAAGAGGGTGAGGTATTCGAATGAATTCACCAGCTGGTTCAGTTCGCCAACGTTCCGAGCACGAGCAAGAACACGCCCAACCCCTACCGGAAATGAGCACCAGAGCGAGCATGGCTCGACGGCCTCAGAGGGGTCGAACGTGTCGGTTAGAGCGTACTACAATTTGTGGATGGTTTAGGTACGACTTGCTATAATCGCGTACGCTTTGAATGCAGTCGCCGGGCGCATGCTCCCAGGTGAAAGAGCAAGAGGAGGTAGAACCGAGGTTGTGGTGATTACTAGGATGGGGGAACAAGGGCCGGAGCATCAGGATCAGAATGACTTAAAACACGCACAGACACAAACACAACAGGTGTTTGCTTCATTTTCTCATACTACTCTACCCACTGTGACCGCTTCGCCTACCCTCTGCGTGAAGCCGTCGAACTCGAGGCCTTTCCATGGATCGCACCGCCAGGATAATTGGGGCGTCTGCTCGAGAAAGGGATTCGCCGTGGCGTGGGCCGCCGGAAGAGATGGGTAGCAATCACACTCACTCAAAGCTCACGGGAGCCGAGCGAACGCTGGATAAGGGTGACCGCACTGCTGTGCTCACCTCGCATCAGGCGGCCGATGCTATCCTTGACTCTTCACGGCATGTCGTGGTACCGATTGGGCGCAAGGTAGGCGAGGTCGTGGTCTAAAAAGCGGATTGATCGTCGAGGGTTGAGATCCTCGAGTGATGCCTTACAGCCCTATAAGTAGCCTCTGAGTGGCTAGAATTGTTTGCTTTTAGTCTAGCGGTCAAGAACGACAGATTGTAATCATGCATATGAGAGGCGCATGCCTTACGCCGACATCTGAAACGGCGCTTGCTGACGACTGCAACATAAGCACATTCAGCACTGCTCGGGGTGGGTGGTGGTGGGTGGGGGTGTGATGGGAACACAACTCATCGCCGCCTCGCGCTGAAAACCCCAATAATTAGACGCGACAATAAACTCTACGCTAATTGATATTTACTCTAAGGCAGTAATAATAAAGTGTCGATCTGCGACCCATGTATTTAAAATCGCTGTTCTCGACTGTGTACCAGCCGTGGATGTACCAACATATTGCTGAGTTTGCCGCACCTGCCTGTGGTAGCCGCGTCCCGACCAGAAGTGATGTACGACCATTCCTGCATTTTCTGTACCGTAAAAATCGAGCTACAGCCCGAGTACGAGTTTTTCGAGTTTTTAAGTGGTATGGAACTGTTGAATGGTTTATTTTGTATTTACAAACGCGTGGGTTTGCATGACACTTCTTCTACAGACTCGCCCGTCCCGCCCCATCTGTCGTCGAACCCGTCCCCAGCTCGCGACTTCATCCAAAGGTCTTCCTTTGTCCGATGCTGTACTGCAGTGGCTGTCGGAAGATCCGAGGGAAGAGCTCACGGACGCCCGGTTGCCGCTTTCATCTCCGGATCCGTTCGAGGCCCATGTGGACCTTCGTCTCGAGAAGCTGGTCGGGACAGGACATACAGCCGGCGGCTGGCTGGCAAAACCGATGCGAATCAACGGGCCGTCGCCAAGTTCATCGTCATCGTCGTCGTCGCCCGATCCCGCAATCATCCTCGTTGACGGTCCCGATCCCACGTCGACTTACTTTTTGAAGCTGGTGACGTATGAAAATGTTGGGTCGGTGATTCGTGAATCGCTCTTCTTCCAACGTGTTTTCCCCCACCTTCCCGAGCACCTTCGAAGCCATCTGCCGCGTTATCACGGCACCTATCGAGGGCGCGATGGCAACGGATACGCGTTAATGTTCGAGTACGTGGGAACGGTCATGAGTTTTGCCGACTTCTACGCGACGGGTGGACAATGGTCGTGAGTTTATTTTGTGGTGGGGAGGGGGGACTCGGAGAGGCGGACCTCGAGTTTCTGACGCCTTGACGCGGGTCCAATGGACTTGAATCTAGTGAGAACGCTGACCGGCCCACTCTTCCTTCTTTCACTCTCATTTGAGGTACAGCGAGATCGAGGAGGCCTTGCACCGAATCGGAATCGTTCATAACGACGTCAGCGACGGCAACGTTCTGCGTCGACCCGACGATGGGGGCTTTTGCTTCGTTGATTGGGGACGCTCGTATCTAAAGCCTCGCAAAGTCTGAACTGTTCACTCTCCGTGCTTTATCTCTCTCTGGTTGCTATATATTTTACATTTTCGCCGTTTTACTTATGCAATGCCAGTGTATGGTCCAGAATTCAGATTGGCTTGGAGGGGAGAGACGTTCTGACCGTGATACTATACTATTCGGAATTATGCGAACTACCTGGGTATTGAGCGTACCTAATATTATGTGGAGTGTTCCCTTGGGAAATATTACATAAATTACATCATAATGTTCACCCTATTCAACTCTACCGCTCTGGCCCGAGTTGGCCGAGTTGGGCGAATTTATTAACAGTTCTTGTCTGCCTGAGGTGAGGGCGTGTGGTGGCAGCGCGGACTCACGCTCCTCTTTGGGCATCTCCCTCCCCACACCAATCCACACTTTATCATTCACACACGTTTTGCGACTGATCCCACAACCCTTGAGCTTGTATCACCTCTAGTACCCCCCCCCCCCGTTCGAGACCGCACCGCCAAGCTCTGTCCAGTTGTCCACGTCAGGCGTGCGCTCCCCTTCCCAGCCCCGCCCGCACCCCACCACCGCACCGCCCGCACCCCACTTGAGGTCACGCACGCCACGAACGCCACGTACGCACGCCACCGCACACCACCGCACACCACACCACTGCCAACCGCACCGCACGATATGGCCTCCCTCAACTGGGTCATGTTATCCCCCAGCCGTTCTCCGATTCCGCTCCCCTCCGAAAAGGTGCTGCACACGATCGGCTCCGTCTCCATCTCGCTCTTCCCCTGCGCCCCCGGCTCCGCACCGAATGCGAAACCGACCCCAGCTTCAAGCGAATCCAAATCCGACAAAGGCACCTTGTACGCTACGAACAAGAGGGTCGTCTATGTTTCGACTGTAGCGCGGGAGGGGAAGGGGACCACCGTCGATTCGTTGTCGGTTCCTTGGCAGAGTTTTGTCGATGGACGGTCAGTCCGCCGGATGGGAATCGGCCCCCACTCATTTTTGACGTGATGAAGTACAACTGACTCGTCATCGATCCCCCCCCCCCCCATGTTTGTCTTCCGGATGAATCTATAGGTTCGTGCAACCCTGGTTCGGAGCCAATTACTACGAAGCACTATGTCTACCCGACCCACGCTCCACAGACTCGGGCATATCCGTCCGTACCTTTCCCCCAGCCATCTGAATTTTCAACATAACTCATCTGAAAATTTCCAAGCTAATCACAGCCCTTCCTCTCTCTCTTTCGCATAACAGACCCCGCACCTCTCTCGCTTCTACTTCAACGAAGCGGGGGGTTATCAATTCTACGAAATTTGTGAAGAGATGAAAGCACGTATCGGCAATTCGAGCGGGAGTGGTAGAGGCACACCCGTTGAGGCGCTGCGTGAGTGATGCATCAACACGTTAACGCTGAAGGTGTCCAATCAGAAACGGAGGATATACTGACACGAATCACAACAGCTCTCTACGAACCCCCCTCAACCACCACCACCGGACCCGGACCCGGACCTGGACCCTCACCCTTATCCCAACTCCAAATCGATCCGACCACCACATCCACACCTACACCCACCACGTCCCAAATCGACCTAGCCTCTCCTCAAGAACCTTCCGCCACCGACCTGGCAGTAGCTCACGTCGCTCAACAAGCTCAATTGGATGAGGCGCAGCAGGCGGAGAGGGATTTGGATCGAGCGACCGCCGCGGGGGGGTCGAATCTTTCGAGTGGGATAGGCGCGGTAGGCGTCCCGCAACGGGATGGTGGGGAGGACGATGGTCCGCCGGGGTATGAGGCTTGATGAGGACTATGATTGGATTTTGGGGTCCCACTGTGAGGTTGCGTGACGGTGGATAGATTCGGGACGGGAGGAAGGTCAGGATTCGGTTCGAGGTGGCAGGTTTTTTCAGCACGCGATGTTCCATTTTTTTTTTTCGTTTTCGCGCAGCGTCTGTGTACTCATCAATTTCAAGTAAAACTATATGTTTATCCGTATTTACAATTCGAATCCACCTTTACATTCGAGCGCACCTCGCTCGGGGAGAAATATATTATACCACGCTGCACCGAAGCTCGGTCTCTTAAGCTACACGCTCTACCTCACACGAACAAATACAACAACTGCACACCCGATACCAAAAAAACATTTGCCTCCATTCCCCCTTCCCTACACCTCTCAAACCATCTCCCCCGCATCGAAGCTCGACCTCCCCGAAGGCGTATCATCATGCTCCCTTAACCACCTCCTCTCCTCCTCGTCCCCCTCGGGGTGGCGTGGTTTATAGTTGAGCGAATCGAGACCGTACATGAGGTAGTGTTCACCTACCAAGGCTTTGGTGATGAACATGAGACGGTCGAGGCGCTGAGGATGCCGAGGAGGTGAATCAGTGCTCGGCTTTATTTGCTCCAAATCTTCAGAGTCCCACAACGAATACGTTCAAAACTCACATTGACGATCGCATACACCTGGGAGATCCCACACGAGAACCTCAAATACTCGATTGAGCAAATCGTTTCCAACGTCACATGCGAGGGGATCCCCTCGACTTCATCTTCCTCATTGAGCGCGATCTCGAACCCATACTGACGATGCGCTTCCCTCGTTTCGGGCGATTTGAGGAACCTCTCCAACAACGGATTGTAAATCATAGGTAATTGCGTCCCGTCCCTTAGGGCCGAAGAAATGAGTTGAAAGGTCGTCAACATGTCACCTAGGAATTGGGGGTTGGACAGTTGGGAACGGTGTAACATCGCTTTGGTCCATTTCTTATCGAGCGAGGCGAGGACGGAGAGTAATTGACCGAACGAATCGAGCATCTCCATTTGCAGCGATTGAAGAGAGGTGTAGTGTTGTTCGGGCCATTGACCGGCCCAGGACCATTCGAATCGAACCATCATTTTCGAAGCCGTCGTTTTGCTGATTTTGGTGCGCAGCGCAGCCAAGTTCTTGAGGATGATGGTCGGACGAGCTCCAGAACCGTCTTCTTTGCATGCTGCGAAGGAGACGATCTGACAAAACACCCCGCCCATCGAATTGATGACGTTGGCGTACGTCTTACGGATCGCTTTCTTCTGCGTCACTTTGGGAGGGATGAACGCGACCAAGAAAGCGATGACGACTCCTAATGCGACGCACACCATTCGACGCCAAGTGACGGGCCAGCCGCTCCCTACCGATGACCCGGAGGGGTGGTGCGCTCCTTGCCACGAGTAGCCGAACACGAGCATCGTCGTCACGGTCGGGATGATGGCCGTCGGTACGGGGGTGTAGTACAGGCGGAAGAAGAAGATCAAAGGCATCGCGACGGCCATGACCGCACCGGCAGCGAAAGGATTACCCCCACCGGTCTGCGCCGCGATGGACCAGAGCAGCAAGCCAAAGATGGCACCGGCAACGGTGCCGACGAGTCGAATGATGAAACCGAATGTCGTATCACCGATGTAGAGCGTCGAGGTGAGAGCGATCATGACCAAGGGCCAAATTCCTCGCTCGCGGTAGAAAAAGTAACACGACGTGCGAAAGAAAGCCGGCATGGCGCACACCCCAATCACAATCGCAAGCTTGACGGCGAAGAGGAACTCCTTGCGGACGAAAAAGTGGAGGAAGTGATTGAACTTGACGCCGAAGAGGGCCAGCGCCGTACGCGGAGGACGATGGTCGGGATCACGAGGAGCGCGGAACACGGAGCGATTGATGAGTTCGATCGAGTCTGGTGATTCCTCTTCGAAAGTTGCTTCGGGATGACTCGTCGCAAAGTGGAACTTGGCCCACTCGGGGGTCCACAAACGAACAGTCTGTCGCTTCTTGCCGATCGTATGACATTCCTTACTGAGGTCGAGCAATGCCTCGCCCCACGAGATGAGCGAGAACTGGTACGACAGGGCCCAGAACAAACCTCGATGACTCGGCGCTTGAAAGGTATCGTCCGCGATCGTCCCATCCGGACCGAGATGCGAGATGGGGTCGAACAAGCCCGCAAAGGGTCGAATGACGTCGAGCCTCCGCACATCCCGATAGTGGCTGTGCGCCATTTCGACGCGTTCAATGCACGCGCCTAATTCTTCCATCAATTGCTCCTGCGTCTTTTGATCGCTTTTTCTGATCCCGAGGTCCTTGAGAAGTCGCCAAGCGATATGGCTCGCCATCTTGAAGGCGTGAATCGTCTCGATCAAGACGCTGACCAAGTCCTTCAAAGCATCGAGCAAATCAGTCGAAGCCACCGCCAACAACTCCATGATCTCGCGCAGGTGTTCCTCATCGCGCGGATTGTGTAGGTAGTCCTCCAAATCCATGTATCTCTGCGATTCAAACATGCCGACAGGTCGTGGTATCTCGACGTTGGGGTGCAAGATTTCGTGCAACAGCGACGCCGAGCTCTTGTTCTTGTGGTGTTGCGCGTGGAGCCGGGTTCTCGACTTGGACCGTCGCTTACTACTCGACGGGCGAGAGTGGCTCTGATGATTGTCGACGAGGCCCTCGTGCAAGTCTCCGATGGAGGCGCAAGACGAGTTTCGACTCGAGGTCGTGAACGCGGGGTGCGAATGGGAGCGATACGCTGATACCCGCTGAGAATCTGTCTCGTTCGTGGCTTTGGCAAGTGCACGCGAGAGCTGATGTGGGTCCGCCGAGGTCTCGATTTCACGATGTTGGTTCTGCTCTTGCGCTTCCCCAGGCTTGGGTGAGGCCGGTCGAGAAGGCGAGGGAGTGGCGGGCCGAGAATGTCCCAGATGAATGACGAGTTCGTCTGCGATAGCCCCACCCTTCGCTTGCGACAAATCACGATGGAGATGCTTCTCCACAATCTCGTAGAACGAGATGAAACCGGCTGCAACATCGACGGAACTCTGTCAGCTCGTGCTTATTGAAGGAATTGAAATCGATCCTCGTCGACTTACTCGACCTCGCAACCAGTATCCGCACCCCCTTCAACAACTTGATCAGATCCTTCCCACTGACTCTCCCATACGAGACCTCCCTCGTCAAATTCGCCTCACTCGCACCGAGCAACGCCAAAGCTTCCATCGCCCCCTGCACGCCCGATTTGATCGTTTTGAACTTGAGCCAGTCGAGGGATCTCGGGTCCGTAGCGAGCATGTCCTTTTGCGTCTCGATCACGCCTTGTAGGGGTGTTAAAGTGGTGACGAGTCGATCGGCGAATTGGTGGCCTAATGTTTCGGGGAGGATGAGGAAGCTGGCCGCGAGTTGGATCGCTTCTTGGCAGGTGAAGGGCAGGAAGAATCTACCGTTGCACAAGATGTGAATCAGTAGCTGTGTGAACGCCGTCACAAGAGAGCCCCATAACTTACACGAGTCCCACAGAGGCATAGTAATAAGGAAACAGCACCGCGATAGTGAAGCAAATGATCATGAGGATGATGCCGAAAATGATCCCGAACAAGGCCGGCCCAGGCCCGAGGCGCTGTCGCAACCACAACAGGAAACCCACCCCAACGCCAAGGAAGATTCCACAAACCGCTGAGCTCGTCGGCTCAAGGTATCTCCCATGAAAGATCTCGAGCAGTGCACGATTCGAGATATCGTAGCCCGCAACGCCTTGGGCAGCAAATTGCTGTCCGACCGCGACTTGGAACTGCGCTTGCGAGTAACGGTACTTGCGTCGCGAAATATGGGCGATGTAGAGCCCGAAGGCCGAGTATGCCCAGGATGTGGATACGATGGCGAATTGGAAAAAGGTCAACTCGAGCATTGTCGCTATCGGATAGGCGGCGGGGGAGATGACCGAGACGATGAGGACGAGAAAACCCGCTGAGAAATGGGTGTTATGGTCGCAAAAATGCATCAGTTCCACGCTCCCACGTTCCCACGTTCGTACCTGCTACTCGGCTCGGAAACTGACCTTGCCCAAGCATGACCTGTGACCGAGTCGCAAGGATCAAAGTGAGTCCTGCCCAACTCGCAATCGAGGCGCGTAGGACCGGTCTCCACGACTTCCAATTCATCTTGGGTTTGGCCCAGCCGATGTAAGGATCGATCGCTTCCTGCACAACGTGGAGGAGCGTGTGTTGTGGTTTCTTCTCCTGCTTAAGAAAACGTGGAAAGAGACCGTCGGTCATCAGGAGTGCTCCTAACCAGCCGAACTAGTGCCCTCGGAGACGGGATTTAGACCCCACCTTCGTTGCTGCCTCTGCCCCAGTCCCTTGCGCCGCATCCGCCTCATCTTTGGCCGGTGGGTACTTTTCATCATTCCCCTCCCCATTCTGTGCGTCATGCATCGTCCCCCCACTGGTTTGCTCCGACCGATCTTCTCCATTCGTCCGATCCACACCGGGTCGTCCCCCCTCGTCTCCTACAGCCTCAACGATGATCTGAGGTGCGTTCATGCCCGGAGGAGGATGATCGCTCTCGCTGCCACTGTGGTGGTCTTCGTCTTCGCCGAGGTTGAAGCGCGCGTGACCACCTGAGCGCATATTGGTCTCTTGCGAGTGGTGTACAGGCCCTGCGGAGTGCGAATCGCTCGCTCGCTCGGCTGCGGAAAGTCCCTGCGAGTCCTCGTCCGAGTCCTCGCGATCGGCTGCGAATCGAATGGGCGTCCTCGAGTGTGGGCCGCTTTCAGATGGCGGGCTCAGTTGGCCAGAAAGCAAAGATTAATTCAGTGGAGAGGCTTTTCCCGGTAGGCGAGTGCAGGACAAGCGAGGTCGAAGGTAGACCACCAAACGCAAGACGACTGACTCGGAGGAGCGGAGTCCACGCGCGTCGATCGCGATGACGCGCCCGCGCGAGGCAAAGTAGACCCCGAGCGCACGTGACTTTTGCGCCGAACCTCTCCCACGCCGCGCCGTTGCAGAGTCAGAGCGCAGCATTTGTTTCCTGTCCATCCTATATCATTTTACATATTATAGTTCCTACACCTCGACGACTGATCTAATCCGACTCATCCCCGGCCCGACATTCACCTGTGAGAGCCCCATGGATCATCGAAATCAGCACAGCATGCGATTTGAGCATTTCGTGCACGGAGGAACTCACAATCGCAATCCGCGACGGGGCAGACGACGCTGCGTTCGAACCATTCGAGCATATGGTTCGTATGGCCTGTTATAAAGTGGCGAACATTGCCAAACACATCAGTGTCTTGATTAACCTTCTCCGTGTGTTTCGAGCCCTCCGCTTACCCCCATGCCGACATTTCTGACACCAGCACAAGCTCGACGCTGAGGAAATTGATTTGCACCAACTCAAGGTCAGTTTCCTCAATGGAAATTTCCCCCGGGCCTCACTTCAAACTCACAGATATCCGTCGGGATCGAATGCAAATTCGGCTTCTTGAGGCAAACCGCACAGGCCGGTAACCCTTTCGAACAACTCGGGCACAACGTCGACTTGACCCCCACGGGGGCCGTTCGAGACCTGCCTTCGTTTTCTCCCGTCGAAAGCCCAATAAAGGGTCCCAAGTTCGTCGCGCAGAATTGACACCTGATCACGATTTGAGGTGGAGCTAACTTGCGTAGGGCGGACTCGACTTCGTTGGCTTCGTTCGTACGACCGCCGACGCGGTCTTGTTCGATCGAGGCGCGGGCACGTCGGCCTCGCGCACCGTCGAAAACGGCCCGAGCGGCGTAGAGTTGCAGACGATCGAGATGGGAGCGGTAGCCTTCGATCCAGCGCCGGAGTTGGAGGTCGTTGCGCAGTATGCCGGGAGAGATGAAGGCCGCAGCGATAGCTACGGTCTGGAGGTCCGAGGTGCGGTCGATGTAAGAAGAGAGCAGAGAAATGCCTTCCGCATCCCGAAGGCCGAACAGGACGACGGCTTCGAGATCGGCGGTCGTGCGAGCTTCCTTGGCGAGGCCTTGCACGAAGGAGAGCAGCTGCGAGAGGAGAAAGTCAGGCCCAGTGGGAATCTTAGCGTAGTGCTGCGCGACGAACCTCGTTGTCCGGCAAGAATCTGTGCGGTCCCCACGACGTCGTCAGTGACAAGCGAAAGCCGTTGCTCGGTCGTTGTGCTCACCTCAAAGCAATCGCGACTCGATCCTTCAACGGCAACCCAGTCTCTTCAACCACTTCTCTCCACTCTTCGCCACTGGCCATGTAGGCAAAGAGCGCTACGAGCAGCGAAGCACGAGGAGCAGGCATCAGCCACCAGACGCAAATTGAAGTATTTTGGAGAAAAAAATTACCTCGAACCCATGGCTTATAAGCGTCCGACGATAGTGTCCGACACAAGTCCGCAAACGCGCCTTCTGATCCATTTGTCGACTTTTGTGCGATCTGTGGGTCGTCAAGGATCCCCTCAGTTATGCGAGCTCAATACGGAAAAGGTAGGCTACTCACAAACGCCGCCAAGAGCGGTGCCAAAAGCCGCAGTTTTTCATCTGTGAGCCGCGGCCGCCTGGTATAAGCTCATGCAGTGTCCAGCAACCCGTAGACATTCTCGTCTTGCTCACCTTTACACCCCTGCAGATACCCAATCGCACTCTCCAAATGCCCACTGAAGAACGCATGCCTCGCGGCCTTTTCATGATCGCCGTGCTTGTCGTACGCGGCACAGACTTCGCCCGCTTCCCTCTCCCAATCCGTTCCGCAAACCTGTGTCGCCAACTTCCTTTGACTCGAGAAAGAGCTCGAAGAGATGGGACTCATGGCGTCGAGCTTGCGACGGGATACGAGCAAACCTGATGCAGCGACGAAGGCGGCTGCCGTGACGGGCGCTTTCCCGCGAGACGACGATGACGGCGAATGTTCCTCTCGTCGTTCTCGCAGTGATCGATGAAACTCACTGTAGATCGATCGCGACGACGTGTTTGCCGCATGCGTCTGCAATTTTCTCTGTGCGGTATGCTGAGTCGGGCTCGAACCAGGTGACCCCGGATTGGCAGCCGCAGCCGAAGAGGACGGAAACCCAGACAAGATGGACATGACGCCGCGATAACGAAAGTCGTAGTCCTGAATCAGACCGTCATGAGAAAGTGCCTCGGCACGAGCGATCCACGTCCAGAATTCGCCGAGCGACGACGACTCCGCCAGTGAAGCGTTTTTCATCGGGTTCGAGCCGTAGCCTCTCGCCAATCGTTCGCGGTACAGCATCGAGACGTCCGATCTTAGGCCTTCAAGATTATCGATGTTGGTCGCCAGTTCCGAAGCGAGCTTTTGTGCTGCCTCTCTTGTTCTAGAGGCTCCTCGAGGGGTGACGGATCCTCCCGAGGTTTGCAAAGGCGCCTCCTTTGGACCTCCAGGTCGAGGCGTCTGATTCCGATCAATGACTTTGACGATGCTGCTCAGCGATAGACTCCTTCCGCGATCCAGCAACGCATTGACCTTCCTCGTCGGCGAATCCTCATCTTCATCATCGTCGGCAGCAAGGGAACCTCGTCGGGAACCAACGGGTGCCGGACCCATCCTCACACATTCCAAACCAGCGTCACTCGACAGCAGCATGCCGTCCTCCAAGAAGGCCGCATGTGGTATCCGTGGCATCTCAATGACCTCGAGTCGATGTCCCGAGTTCCCAGGTGTGGCCGTGTCCCTCGAGATACCCAAGAATTGTGTTCGCTTCGGATGCAGCGGCGAGATGGCGTAGGTGAATGAAGTCAATGGCGCGGCAAACGCTTTCGGTCTTCGATCGTCGAACAAGACGGGCATCTGAATTGACTCGGAGCCCGGTGTCGACCCTTGCTCGTTCGTGTTCATGTTCCCTTCCATACCCAAAACCCCCGCATTCTGTTTGTGCTGCATCTGCACCGCACTCGGCCCATCGAGCAGATCCCACACGCGCAAGGTATGGCTCTCCCGTTCCAGCGTCGTCAACTCCCCAGCCTTGCTGAGGTTCCATTCCATTTCGACAATTCCTCGCGGTTGAACACTACTCCTCTGTCGACTCGAGAGTGCTCCGGCATCGATCTCTGACCAACTTAGGAGCGCATCCATCGGCTTGCGCATGTCCCACAATCGAATGACCCCATCGTCGCCGGCCGAGACGAACTGGTTGCCTTGGGACGGGTTCGGCGAGATGGACAACGCTGCGCGAGATCCCCACGATGCTATCGGTGCGGTTGGAGATCGCAGATCATAAACCCGCAGCCACTTGCCCGACATGCCTGCGACGACGGGCGGAGATGTCGCAGAAACGGCCGAGTCGGCATAGAGGAACCCGGCAGCCGAGACGCTCTCCGAGGGACCGAGCGAGAGAAGTGGGGAGGGTTCAATCAGTCCAGCCGACGAGTTGCCGTTTGCTGAAGACGATCTCGAAGGTGAATTGCCACGACTGCGTTGGGTGCCGTGCTGGGATCTCCGATGGGACGACGTCGAGGGTTTGTCCTTGCCGGAGTCGAGTGCTTGAGCTGACTGCTCGATGTCGTAGATGAGGAGGGATTCACCTCGGCCTTTCTCTAATCCAACGGCGACGAGCCTAGGTCGATCCTGAGAGAAGGTGACGACATTACACGGCCGGGAATGGCGCACTGTACGACGTAGCCACACGATCTGGTCAGCAGCGTAAGTGGGGCCCGCGCAGCCCATTCGACCGAGCTCCGCCTCGCGTGGACACGACGTACGATTTATCTGCAGAGCCGAGTGACCGCCATGGTTCGATTTGGACGAAGCCGATGGTGACGAATCGAGTCGTAGCAACAACACCTTGCCGGCGTAGGTGCCAAGGGCGACCAGATCCGGATAGCTCGCATGTGGCGACCACGCGAACGATCGTACTTGCCCCAAGTCGGTACAGGCTGCGACGGTGTTGAATCTTGATGATGAAGGCGTATGCTATGTAGGCAAGGGGCACGCGCATCAGTACACCGGCTGATGGGCTCCGGGTCGTACGCGCCATCGACCCCATCATCCAGCATCAGCAGCAGCAGCAGCAGGTTGGACCAACCTCCCATTCCATCAACCGCAGATCACTTCCTCCACCAATGATGAACCTGTTCGATCCAGCAGGATCCCATATGACCTGCTTGGTGCGCGTCGTCTGCATCGTTGCTGCTGCTGTCACCCGAGACCAGGCGCAGTCCGCAACCGAGTCGATCAATGTGGGGCGCGCGCGAGAGAGAGAGAGAGAGCGGCGGCCTCGCGCCACGGGTTGTGCCGAGAGGGTGCTTCGAATTTTGGAAATAGGATCACAGGGCAGTATCAGACATTCAGGACGACAGGTGTAACATTAACTCGTTCCGACCTGGACTCGCCGTCACCGCTGTTGTGAAAAAGGCTCTGGGGGAATATTAACGCACCGCGGGGCAGCGACGAGTCCCTGAACCTCCAGTCTATGAAGTCACACTCACACAACTATGGCCCGAGGACAGGCACTACCTCCTACTTAGCCGCAAGCGAATAACCACCCCAAGACAAGGCTAGAGCCTTTAACGACGAATCCACGTTTCATTCAATTTCGACTTCATTTCAGTTTGAACTTTCTTCTATGTTTATCCTCATTCAAACATATCTATTTTCGTTTCCGTTCTCTAAACAAGTTCCATGAACCCTTTCTTTCCTCACCATTCGCTTGAGACCAATCAAGTATGAGCCTTCCCGGTCCAGCGGTAGGAGCCAGCCGCGCGTCCCGAAGAGACTTCGTGATCCTTGTCGACGGCCTCTTCTCCGAAGTCATCGACGCCGTCAGTCGCCTGCGCGTGAGCCGTACTTCTTGTTGTTGTCAGTCACTGTAAAACGCCAAGAAACGTGAACCGTCAGTAGTGAGCCGGTATAAAAGGTGTTGTGGAAAAAATTGCGGGCTTGAACTCACCACCTTGTCCATCGGTGCTCGACAAGTCAATGTCCAGCTTGGCGTCCATTGCCGAGCGCCTAGGACTGAGTCGGACGGCCGGCCCGGGGGTTGCGGTCTGGCGTGTCATCTGCCGCACATCAGCCAGAGAAAGTACATCAGGCGGATGCAATATGCACATACGATACATTCAAGAAGTAGTCACGTCGTTCTGGCCGTGCACGCGAATCCTGAGGGGCATGAAGTTTAGGCTCCCGTGCCATTTGCCGGAGGACCTGTCCCTCCAAGCGCGAGCCTCGACGGTACAGACAGCCGCCCACAGATCACCACGGAGGATGGTGTGTGCAAATCGCCCAGGGTGCTCATCGACAGTCACGGGGAGTTGCGTGGGATATCCTTTGGCGTACTTGCGACCGGTAGAGAGCCCCTTCCGGATCTCCGCATAAACTTGACTGTAATCGGGCAGCTCAAGAATGTTCTCCGGGTCCAAGTGGGAACAGGCGGAATCACGCCGGCCTCCAGCACCGGCTCGCCCCCTGTGACTCCCTCCATCTTTCCAATGACTGCACACACCCGGGTCAGCCCAATCATCAGACGCTGGAGCACACAAAAGCAAACATATACATTACTACTTACATCTTGGGTGTGATTAAATGGTGGTGGATGAAGACCACCTGCGGCTTCACCGTTAGGTGTGGCGCGTTGATTGCGATCGCTGGCCGGGCCGGTGAGGGTGAGAAAAGGGAAGGAGTCAGGTTTCTAACTTTGCAACGGATTCAAACACAAACAAATGCGACGCACCACAACTTACATTAACTCTTTCCCAAGCTCCACGCCGTTGATCTGTGAAGTACTGATTCCATTCGGCGCGGATCTCAGCTTGGAGCTGGGCGGACGCACGTCGCAGGAGTACAGGGCGAGGACTCGGACCCGCTCAGGGCGTGCGCGGTTCGGCGAAGCCGTGTCTAGCCGTGTGACCTCGTGTGACTGCCGTGTGTCATCGTCGGGGCGGCTGTCATTGTTCAAGTTTGTTGGTCGCCGCTAAGACACGTGAAATGGGAGAGATCGACATCGCCGCAGGGTGGGGAACACAAATGCCACTTGTTAGTGACTGATTTGTCGGACCGACTGAGCACCGTTCGTGAATGATTAACTAGTCCCCGAGGAAGGTTGTACCATGAGCTACTGAGATGTTGATGTTCGTACACAGCTATTAGATAGAGCTCAAGGCATGCTTCCGCGCCGATCCCCGTGCACGCCGGTCTCTGTGCCGGCCTTCTGCCGGCTGAATGCCGGCTGGCTGTCGGCTGCTGGCCTCGCGCAAGGGCCCGTGCCGGAGCCGCCCCCCGCCATCGAGAATTACTAACCCCTGAAGCTCTTTGCTCTTTATTAGTGTTGAGACCGTCATCAATTTCCCCAGCTCGCGGACCCCCAAGTTTTCGTTGAACAAACCTTCAGCTCTAAAAGAGGTTCAGGGATTATTATTGTCACACCGACGGCAAGAGCATACACGACTCTAGCAAAACAAGAAGTGGGGTGGGGAGGATCTAGATAATTCAAGCAGCAGATAGAAAAGCGAAGTAGTAAATCAATAAAACAAAGTCTACACATTACCGGGTATCACACGCCTATGCCTTTGTTCAAACCCTCGCTCCCATCCCATGCAACCTCGCCTTGAGCGAGTCCACGTTGGAAGCCTGCGTCATCCCAAAAGACTTGGTCGATAACGGCACCACGACCGGTACGAATGAAGGGGCATCATTCCTCTCAACCATCTTCAAAGCATCCCTTCTCATGGCAGGTGACAAAGCAGCGGGCTTGATGGGCACAAAACCGTCTTGTTTCGTCGAGATAGTAATAGGGGCGAATGTGCGAGCGGAGAGTTCGTTCTCCTTGTCGAGAGACCGTGTTCGCGCCATCGGCGGCATGACTGCTCGAGGAGCTGCAGTCGCCGAAGGAAGGGGATCGAACTCGTTCGGTGCCCGTCGCTTCTTGGCTGCTGAGGTCGGCGCGACATCGACGTAGACGGGAACAGGCGGAAGGTTCGCCTGCTGGACGGGGGTGGGCTGTGTCGGGACCGGAGCGGGGGCAGGAGCCGGTGCAGCAGCGACTGAGGCTGCTCGAGCGACTTTGAGATCTCGAGTGAGGGATTCAATCTTGCCCTTGAGTCGTTCGATCTGCGACACGTATCGCTTTTGCTCACGCAGCACCTGCATGGGAAGCTAGGCATCAGCACAAACGCTTAAAGCACAGAGGCCACCGATCCACTGCGCGAACTCACGTCCATGACCTTCTCGTCGAGCTCCTCCGCCTCAATCGTCTTACACTCAACCTGCTTTTCCAACTCCTCAATCTGCGCCCTCGACTCATCCTGCATACCCTGATTCTGCGTAGCTTCTTGAACCGCCCTCTCAAGATCCCTATTCCGATCCTTAAGCGCCTCGATTTGTACAGCCGAACTACGTTCGTGCAGTTGCAGGTTGTCGATAACTTCGCGGAGTTGGTCTTGGGACTTCTTTTCGAGTTGTTCGAGTTGTGATCGCGCGCCATCGAGGTCGGCTTGGCGTGCTTGCGAGTCTTGCTCCAGCGTGGTGATATCTGCAAACGCAAAAAGCCGATCAGCCCACCGGCCCAGAATCTAAAGATGATCCAGTACTCACAGCTCTGGAGGCCATTGATCTTGTCATCGGCTGTTCGACCTAACTGGCGAAGGGTCTGGATCTCCCTCTTGGCGGCCTCCATCTCTGCATCGCCGCGCAGCTTGTCCTCCTCGAACCGAACCTGCGCGTCCGCCAACCTTTCAGTGGCCACGGCTTGTTCCCTGGCAACGTCGGCCTGGACCTCCTCGACTGCTTTTCGAGCAGCGGTCAGCTCCACCTCGAGGACTCGAACTTGTTCGTTCACCTTGACCGCGCCATCGAGTTGCTGATTCAACACGAAGAGTTCCTTCTGAACCTCCGCAAGCTGAGCACGCATGTCATTCCGTTCAACCTCGAGCTCCCTCACGCGCTGTTCATCAACATGCATCTGTTCCGCCGCTTCCGCCTCAACAGTCGAAAGCTCCGCATGCGTCTGTTCGATCTCGTGCTCCAACTCCGCAATCGTCTGTTCGAGCTGTCGACCGCGTCCAAGTTCGCTACTAAGCTGTGCCTGGACTTGAGCGAGCGTGCCCGTCGTCGAGGAAAGAGCGTCCAATGCCTCGGCGAGACGTTGATCGGTCGTACCGATTCGAGAAGCAAGCTCGGACATGTCACTGTGCGCGGATTCGACCGCTTCCCGCAGGCCGGCGATGGTGGACGCTGAGCTTTGTTGCATCTCCACCGAAGATCGAGTCAGTTCGGTCAATTGGCGCTCTAGCGAAGCCGTCAACGCAGAGGCATCGACCGTGGCCTGCTTAGCAATCCCGAGTTCGTTCTGCGCCTCCGCAAGTTGATCCTTGAGTTCCGTGAGCTCGTGTTGAAGTGAATCGCGCGCAGAGCAAAGCTCTTCGACTCGGCTCGCAAGTTCGATATGAGCTGGTGCGAGCTCGGGAGAGGCATCGAGTTCTTTGGTATCGCTCTCGTCGTCCGGTTCGACTTGCAGTCGCAGGGATTCGATCGTCTGTTCGTGCATGGCGATGGCGGCATTGCGACGCAAAACTCTGTGAACGCCACGTAACTTCATCAGCTCAGGTTAAGCGAAAGCCTCCCGCTCAAATGTTTCACCACTTACCGTCCCTCGAGCTCGTTGACTTTCGACTGCAGGAGCAGGCAGGCGTCCTTCAATTTCGACGATCCAGCAACGGCCGTCTGGAGCTCCTGCTCGGCTTGAACAAGCTTCTCATGAACCTGCCCCTCCTTGCTCGCTTCCTCCAAAGCATGATCCAATCGTTCGATCTCCGCCTTGGCATGAAGGAGCTCGATTTTAGTCTCTGCGCATTCCTTTTCGAGTTCGCTGATGCGGTGCTGAGCAACTTGGACTTCCTCGGACTTGATTCGACCGGACGTCGTCTCCGTTTCGAGCTCGACGGTGCGGTCGAGCAAGGCGACCTCCAACCGGGCCAACTCGGTTGCCTTCGAATGTTCCGCCTCGAGTAGACGATCCTGCAGCGCCTCAACGCGGAACTTTTGCTCATTCCGGGAAAAGTCGAGCCGGGAGCGCAAGTCGTCTCGTTCCTCTCGTAGGCGCTGAACCAAAATGGAAGCCGCTTCAGAGTCGGAGAAGCTCGAGAACGTAGGAGAGGTCCCCGAAGCGGGCAAGTTCGTCCTGTTGTCCGTATCCTCTGACTCCGGAGTAGTAGACGGGGACGACAGGAGTTGATCCTGGGCATCGATGAGCTGTCGCGCAGCACGATCGAGATCAGTTTGAAGTCGGTGAACATCACTTTCGGCGCGCTCGGCCCGGATCGTGGCATTGCTGACGCGATCCGACGCGAGTCGTTCGGCTTCGCCCACACGCTCATCGACGCCTTCCAGCTCCGCAGTCAATTCGGCGATGCGCGCCTCGGAACGCATCAGCCTAGCTTCACCCACGTCTTGCGACTCGGAGGACTCGTGCAACGATTCAACTTCCCTCTCGAGCTCCTGAATCCTTCTTTGCAGCTCATTGACGTCGTGCAAGTGGGCGAGCGTAGCATCCTCGTTCGAGTTGCGACTCGCCTCGAGCTCCTGTGTCAACGTCGCGATGGTGGAATGCAATTCGACGAGCTGGGCCTCGACGGCTGCATGGTCTCGCAACTTGCGTTCCAAATGCTCCTGCGCCTCGATGGCCGCATCGCGTTCCACCATCATCTCATCCAGAGATCTCGTCGCCTGCTCCAGCTCCAGCCCAGCACGCCCAATCTCCACTTCTCGAGCCTTCAAGTCGACGCGCAGCTCCTCTTCGTTCCGAGCCATTGCGTCCATCCTTTCACGATGCACAGTCTCTGTCTCCTCGATCTGAGCTTCGAGGCGGTCGATTTCGCCCTGTAGAGTATCCCGGTTCTTGGCCGACTCGACTTCGATCTGGCTCGCCTTGGCCACACCCTCCTCAAGAGTTCGCTTCGCCTCCTCAAGCTCGGCCTCGAGAGCCTCGACATGCGCATCCTCGTAGCTGCGACCATGCGACGAAGAAACCAGCTGTTCGATCGTCGCATTGAGCTCAGCAATACGAGTCTCGGCAGCTTGCAGTGCCTCGTCGCAGACGTCCAGTTCGGCTTGGTGGGTTGATGTGAGCTCGTCGCGTTCGGTTCGTGCAGTCCTCAGAGCAGAGTCGGCGGCTTCGAGCTCAAGCTTGACAGCTCCCAGCTCGCTCGTGAGCGGCTCGAGCGACTTGGCGATCGTATCACGCTCCTCCGAGATCGATGTGAGTTGCGCACGAAGCTCGTTGCGCTCCGCCTCGAGTGACTCTTGCGCCTCGTTCGCCGAAAGGAGTGCCTCGATGTGAGACGTATCCAGTGCCGCTATTTGCTGCGTCAGGGTGACGATCTCGACCTCTTTGTCCACACGCGCCTGCTGTGATGCCGCGAGCTTTTCCTCCAAATCCGATCGTTGTTCGGCGAGGCTGGCGACCTGGGCTTTGAGGTCTTCGATCTGAGCTTCGGCTTGTACGAGCTTCGATCGAACCTCTTCGGTATCCTTAGCTTGAGTCTCGAGCGTCTTGACCTTATCCGCAGCGACGCCGAGCTTGACTGTGGTCGCCTCGAGTTCGGCCTCGAGTTGGGTGTGGATGACCTCAAACTCGGACTCGAGCTTGCTCCGTTCCTCATTCGCGAGACCCTGTGAAGCATTGGCGAGCGCATTCCGAGACGAGTCGAGTTCCCGCTCCAAGTCGGTGCACTTGGTCTGCAGTTCCTGCACGAGCGTGTTGGATCCCTCAAGCTGCTCTTGCGCCAGTTCGAGTTGTCGCTCCATCTCGTCCGAACCCCGACTCGCCTCAAGCATCAGCTTGAGCCTCTGCACCTCGCGCTCGAGATCGTCTCTACTCCTCTTGAGGTCCTCGAGCTGTTTCTGGGCCTTAAGCTCTTCATCCTTCTTCGCTTCGAAACGTCGTTCGGCATCGTCCTTTGCATACTCGGCCTTCTCGACCTCTTGCTCCTTCCTCTCGACTTCAGCCCTAAGCCTCTCAATCAGATTCTTGGAATTGATCGCCTCGTCTTTAGCCTTGAGTTGCGCCCGATCCAACTCGGCCCTAAGCGTCTCCCTCACCCTCCCCATCTCCCTCTTACTCTCTTCAACCTGATCCTCCAACCCACCCAACCGCGTCTGATTCTTCTCATTCGAATCAGCCAAAGTCTTTTGCGCGGCCATGAGTTTATTCTCCAAAGTCAGAGCTTCACGTTCCTTGAGGGTGAGTTTTTGCTTGATCGCGTTGAGGTCGCTTTCGAGGCCTTCGATCTTGCTGCGCGCCTGTTCGACTTCTTGAGTCAGCTGGTTCAATTTGACCGAGGTAGGACCGTTGGGCCCGGGTAACGCGACGGAGGATGATCGGCGATGCGAAGTGGTGGAAGAGCTGGAGTTCGGGATCGAAGATGGCTTGGGGATCGCAGACGAGGTACCGGACGCGGTGAAGCCTAGCGATGAAGCGGGTCGAGATGGTGTGGGCGGAACGATCGAAGCTCGGGGAGCACTCGAGTTGAAACCGAACTTGCTGCCGCTGTTTCGTTTGGGTGAGGGCGCCGCTGTTGTACGGCCAGATGAAGTTGCCTGAGGCGCGCCGCGCAGAGAGCCAACGTTATCAGCACAGCCAGCGGTTTGCCCAGGTGGGTGAAAGTATAGTACCTTTGTTTTGAGTAGAGCAATTTCGGCCTTCAATGAGGTGTTCTCGTTCTCCAACGCGATCGATTTGTCCGTCGCCGCCGAGTTGATGACGCGAGATCGCTGGAGGGGTAGAACGCGTGTAAAGTCACGTGAGCACGATGTTTTGTCTCGCGCGCGCCAAGAAGCTCGCCCGATGTGGGTTTTGCAGACGGTGGCAGCAAGCACTCACATCGAACCCGAAACTCGTAGCAGCTGCAGAGGAGGCAGGCTTGTTCTCCTTTTCCTGTTCCAATTGGGTTTGCACCTTGTGTAGGTCGGATGTGAGTTGCTGCACCTTTTGCTCGAGCGCCGAGTTGGTCTCGGCCAGTCGGGTTTGACTCGATGACGCGCCGCCGTTCCCATTCGGCGCGGTCGAAGCGGACATGTTTTCCAGTTCTGCAGAGTAGAATGAAATATTGAGTTCTCGATAAAGGCAGGTTGAATATAGCAGAGTTCTGCACTGACGATAGTTCAATCTCCGAACCTCGGCTTGCTCGTCCTTCAACTTTGCTTCAAAGTTGGAGCACGCCTGTAGCGAGTTGGCCTTCTGTGTCTGGCATAGCTTGAGTTCCTGCATAGTGTTGGATCAAAGATGTGAACAATGTGCTCAAAAGTGAGGTGCGTAATGGACATCTTTGACTTACCTCTGTTCGTTTCCTCAACTGCTCCTCCGCGACGACGGCCCTCTGGGATTCCTCCTGCAGCTGTTTGAACCAAGATCGCAATTCGTCAGCTCCGTGACACGGATTCCAGGCAGAGACCCCCATACTGAACTCTGATAGCTCGTACCTTGCGCAGGTCATCCTTCTTGCCCTGCTTGAGCTCGTTCAGTTCCAAGTTGAGCGACAGCTGCAAGTCCGCCTGGTTCGCCAACTGCGCTTCCAACGACCCGACCTGCCGCTTCAACGACGCGAGTTGCGGATCATCCGAGGTCGACCAGAGCGACATGTTGGCGGTCACTGTGTTCCTGCCGTCGCACGTGCGAAGCAAAGTGGCACACGATGGCTCGCACGAGACCTGGCTTCGGAGAGATGTTGAGCCAGTCAGCCCGCGCGACCAGGCGCGACCTCTCGCGACTCTGCCTGACGCTGCAGGACGCTGCTCGATTTCTCGACGCGCAACTCGTCAGTCTCAAATCTCGGCTAGCTTCAGCTGATACTATACACTAGTGTCACAAAGAGAAGCCGACAAGTGATGCAAACTCATATATTCAACCTTTTCTCTTTCGAGCACTCCCAACACTGAGCCAGAGACGGCAGGGAATACCTGGCAGAGGCACCAGTAGTTTGACTAAGTAGGCAGGCTCATCTCTATTCATCCCGGCTCAGAACCATACGCCGCGACGTGCCCTGCAAGTCTTCACGTAATTTGTTGATGCCAAACATGCCCCCCCCCCCCCCCCCCCAACATGACTGAAAATGTGTGCTGATCCTCTGCAAACATCTCACCGCGTTTGGAGTTCCAATACTTCGAGTAAGGCACCGGTCGATTGAGATCGCGGGTTCGGCGAGGCTAATGCGAGCTACCAACGAGTCTCGAGTCACCCTTCTTGAGGACCGTTGTGTTGCGCTCGTATCCGTCGGAGTACATCCTGAATGGAGGATTGAGTCGTAAATTGGAAACATCAAGATACCGAGGATGCCCATGTGAGAATTGCAGGGAAGGATGCCGATCGATACCGATGCCGATAATGATCAAGCCCAAGTCATAAGATCTTGTCATATGGTCCGCCGAGCATGAACTCACGCCAGTCCTTCTTCTTACGAGCTTCGATACAAAGGCCGTTGGTAGCGCGAAGTGATGGCACGCTGGATGGCAGGTCGCGGAGCCGATCTGCGTCCTCCGAGTCCTTGTGTTCCGAGTGGTTGCATCGGTCACGATTTCGTTCCGCCGCAGTTCCAAAGCACATTTCGTCCTCCATCGCCGATGGAGCACAAGACCCGACACTTTTACCGTCTGCTGCTTGTAAAGTGTGTTCGGTTCTTCTTGGTAAGAATTGACTTTGTTCGTTGCTCTGCTTAGTTGAGAAACGGCGTCCATTCGGATCTTCGACGATACGGACCAGGTGGGCTCGGTAGAACTAAACTCGAAGCGACTGAAGGGTAGCTCAAAGTGACCGATAGATGTGTTGAACTAGTCGGACTTCGTATCGGAACATGAATGAAATTCGTTCTGATCACTTCTGGGGAAGGGGAACAAAGAAACGTCGACTTCAGTACACGAGATGGATCGGCACGGCGAACGCGCTAACGGTCGGGCGACATTTCACGGTACCTTTTCTCGAATGGCTCTATTTCATGCCAGATGTTGTAACGATGGATGTCGGAATAGCAACGGTGATCACAGAGACGATCCTTAGTATTCGAGCTGCTACCATTGAGCTGCACTGGTTGTGTAGTCCAATGATCGTGGTCAACCAACGTCGGCTCTGACCTGATCCTTATCCCTGAACTTGCCTTATCTGGAGGTATCGCTCAGCCTGTCTTCCAAGTTTCGCTACCTGCTTCTTCATCGGTCTGACCGTCTTCAAGAATGCTATGGAGCGTTGTAGGCGGTTGACGGCGGACCTCGGGAGCCTGACGTCGGTGCGCTCGTGATGCTAGATTGATGGCGGTCTTGCCCGATCGATGGCTCAGATGAGCATTGAATAGCAGCCCGACTCCGTGTCTTCGTCGACCGAAAGTGTAAGATGTGCTAGTTCAATGTCTCGCCCAGGCGTGCTGTTCGCGCCAAATTGTTTCGATCGGCTTTGCTGAACGGCATCGGATGGGATCAACAATTGAGAGCGAGTCTTGCGGTGACGTGGCAGAATACGTTGTGTTGGCTCGAAGGCCGAAGAAGTGCGGACATTGGGCATAGATCAGGACAGGTAGGGGGCTAAGCAGAAGCTCGAAGCGATTGTCGCGCCGCGGGCAACACGTGACTTCTGCTAACTTCCCGTGGGCCAATGCCAACTTCCCCCACGCCTCTGCCAACTTCGCCAACTTCGCCAACTTCATTGCCTTTAAGCGGGCGCTAAGCGCGTGCGCGCGCCTGAAGGCCTGAAGTTGGCGAAGTTGGCACTCCCTCGACACCGCCAGCGCCCCAAACTTGCTACTACATACCAACATTGCTACCGGCTCAGGCTGCCGATCTGATACGCTTTCTCACGGCCCCTCGCTGGGCAGGTGCTAGGCGAGGCAGTGGGCAGTGGCTAGGCAGGGCTAGACGGGGGTCAGCGCCGGTCAGCGCCGGTCAGCGCTCAGTACGCTCAGTACTCAGTACTCAGTACTCAGTCTCGGTCGGCACTTGCGCCGCTGACGACAACCCTCCTCTACCTGCAAGACAGCGGCCCGGTGTTGGCCATCCCCACCGGACTCGCCCGTAGCTCACTTCAACACTATGACCTCCAAGTCACGACTTTGCCCCGCCGTCACAAGCTCCAATCCAGAGCGTCCGGGCCAGCGTACCCGCAAGCGAACGCGCGAGGTCAGCATGAGCGCAGACGGTTATGCTGAGTGTGCTGCAACAAGTGTCGATCCGCCCGTCCTTGCGCTCGAAGGCGATATCACGGCAAGTCACCAGTACCTAGTGCAAATAACAAGGTGACTCAAGGCATGAGCTCAGGTTCGAGCGCTGACCTGTGCATCCGTGATGTCATCGACCGCCCATGACATGGCTCGACATGGCTTTTATCAGAGTCCGTCCCCGTCTTCGTCGCCGTCCCAGTTGTCGTCATGTTGGCCATCGTCATCATCTCTATCGGGCTCGAACTCAAGCCCTCCCACGATCTGCGACCTGGACCCAGTAGTCACAGCTCTCCAGGACGGAACCGGCCACATTAAGGATTACGCTCTGCTCAAAGGCGTCATCGTACCCCGCCTTTCGGTGCGCTCGGCGCCGGACTTGGTTGAGCAGGTATTTGGAATCGATCATCCGGCGTTCGAAGAGATCTCACAACGTGCTCGCCAGTTAGGCAAACAGGTTCAGTCCGGCCAGGATCAAGATACCCAGGCCGAGCTCCGCAAACGCTTCCTGGAAGCCCACGACAGCAGTCGGGACCCGCGGCTTGAACCCTCGACCAGCCAGTTGGCCTGGATGCAGGGGGTAGCACGACTTGTAAGTCAGGACGACGGAGACGCAGATCGCCATCGCTCCGTGAGCACGGGTGCTTGGAGGGCTAAGCCAACACCAGTCCCATTTATCTGACCGAGCTGGTATTCATCTGCGGTAGGCTCAGACCGATTCCAAGCACGGGAAACAATTCAAAGTCGCCGTTGCAACTGCCGAGCGACCGGCTCGGCTTTATCTCAACGACATTATGGAGCGGCCATTCGACTCTACGCAAGAGTCGGACAAGGAAGCGAAAGAGTGGACGCCTTTCTTGACATGCTGCAAAGTCGATTCGAGCTCAAAACGACTTTTGTGGAACCGCGTCCTGGTGCCGTGCGCGTTCGATGCTTCCCCTCAGCGCTCTCAGTTACCTGGCGGTCCGGGGCCATTTGCGCCCGAACTGGTCAAGGTAGTACTTGATCTCACTCAGCATGTGCTCTCGCATCCGACCCGACTGTTCGCCCCTGGTCTGGCCGTCAACGAGAGGCAGGCATACTTGGTCGTATCGGATCTAGAGACGTGCCGAGTCGCGACTATTATGGACTGCTGGGGTCAAGGCTTTGGCGAGCTAGCGGCGGTGCTCTCGATTCTGCTTGACCTGGATGTCTACTCGGCCGGGGTTTGTCCCTTTTTCGACTACACACACCACCCCACGAGCGATATCGCACCCGCGTCGTTACTCACGTCGGTCTTTGAGTCGTCCGTCGGTCGCACAGTCAAGTTTGAGGACAAGGAGCCGATCGAGCTCTTGTCCTGCGCGAAGGGGGACGGCGGGCACCATCTGTCCGGACGTTGCACGACGGTTTTTCAACTGACCCGCCCGAGCCTGTGCGCGCCCGCGACCGCTCCGGAGGCCTCGACTTTGTCGCCCTCGTTCGTCCTGAAAATGCAGCTCGTCGGTCCGAGCTTTGTACGCGTCGAGTCAAACGTGCTTTGCAAGATCAACGCCGCGCGCGACAAGGGTACTCTACTGCCGGCCGTGTTTGACCACCTGGCTGCGCTTGAAACTTCGGCGTCCGTCGCCCTTGACTCGGGCTTGCCAGTTGACGATGGGGACCAGTCGTCAGCAGCATCAATGCCCGCAGCGAACAAGAGGAGCCGTGACGAAACCTGGCGCACCCCGCATGCCCCAACACGACGTACACTCGAGCTCCTCGTCCTGCGCAACCCGTCGCCACTGCCACAGCCGCTCGTCCGGCGTCATCGTGGCCAGCAAGAACTACCTCTTGCTCAAGTCTTCCAAGTCTTTGATCAACTCCTGACGGTGCTGACCACGCTTCACAAGCTCGGCTTCCACCACCGCGATCTTTCGCTCGGCAACATTCTTCACTTTGAAGGCCACCTTGTACTCATCGATTGGGATGGCGGTGTGGCGGCCGATCCCGGAGCCTGGTTTGGCATCGCAGCCCGAGAGGAAGGCCGCCTCCGGGTGACGGTGAAAAGCGCTCCTCGACAAGCGCTTCAGTGTAACTCGATTGGGCTGGATTACGTGCCTGATTACAGGCTAGCACACGCGTTCGAATCGGCTGTGTATTGCCTGTTCCAAGTCCTGGCCTACCGCATCAGGCCAGAGGACCCTGCCTGGGACTACTTCAACTTCCGATATCACTCCGCCCGCTCTGGTGCGCGTCCTGATCATCCTGAAGAACGGGAGGCGCAACTGGTGGACCGTCGGGCGAGTCTTTGGGGCGAGGGCGCGGGCAACGACGTGGATCCGCAGCACAGGGAGCGTTTGATCAACATGATCCGCCGTGAAGATCCCGAGCTGGGCGAGTCGTTGGACTCGGTGACGCGGCTCTACCCAGTGAAGATGACCTCGTTGAGGAAGCTGCCCCGAAGAAGGCTTTGCTGATGCGTCCCCAATGACGAGGAAGTAGTTCGACAACAAAAGTTCTATGCTGATTTAGGCTTACAGTCGGTAATTTCAGCTTTTGATGTCTCTGCACCCCAGGCATTCATCATGGACCAGCCGTACGAAGGGGAGACAACAGTAATGTGCAAAGCCACGCCCTCAAGGGACACGCAAGGGCTATCATGAAGCATGGTCAGACAAAATTTGGACAGGTTCACAGGAGCGAAGAAGCTGGAATAAGAAATAGCCTCACAAGTAGCAAATGATGAATGATAAGAGCTGTAATAGACGTCTCACACACATCCGTCAAAGTGTTTCTCGGGATTAGCAGGAGTGTCGGCACCCCAGGCTTAGCGCTCACTTCTCGAGCCTCATGTGTCTTGTAGACGAAACGACTTGTGTAAACCGTGTACGACGGTGGAATCCGGAATCCGAGTGGTGCGTGGTGGTAAACATCGGAGCACGATGCCAATACGATCGAGCACACGCTCACTTCGCTTAAACGCAGCCGGAAAGCCCCTAATTCGAAGAACACGGGCGCGAACTAAGTTAGTCGCTGGCGAGAAGCCTATCGGTCGATGAGGTAACTAGGCCACTTGCCTTTACTCTCTAGCGTCTCAATGCTCCTTGACCCGCACAACTGTTCATACGCTGGCTCGAGAGCTGTCAAAAAGGAACAACTCTGCATGTATAGACACGTCTCAAGATCGCAAACTTGACATGATTGCCGAGAAAGCGAGTTTCGAAGCCGCTGCTTTGGCAGCAGCTGCACGTACAGTTATCCAATGACTTCATGGTTTTTAATGAATCATGCTTAGATTGAATGACCTTTATTGAGCCAAGGAGACACGAAGTGAGGCCGAGTAGTCCGATGATGGAGAACTTGGACCGCGGGTCCCGGCGCCCTCCCTTCCGTTAAGTTGATGGGACACGATCATACGCAACAAGAGCGTCAAAAACTGAGAAGCAGGGAAGATTAAGGAGTGAAATGAACGAATGCTGCGACAGAACTGGTTCGGATTCATCTATGGGTCACCAGTGGGAATGCCACGGTGCCGACTCAGACCGGCGGCGACCGGCAGTCAAGCCGATACCGGGACCCCAGCCACCCGCTGCTGTAAGAAAGCGTAGAGTGAATCCACGCGCCTTCCATAGGTTAAACGCGTTATCGTTTACCCAATCAGCCTGTATCACAGAAATAGTCGAGAAACAAACTTGGTCGCCCGGTAGGCCGCTTTCCGAATTTGCAGGAATGGTCGTACATGGCCTCTGATCGGGACGTAAACACCACGGGCAAGGCAGGCAGGTCCAAATAACTTGATACACCCTCCTCATGCGGCTCCCGGTTCTGCAACATGGTCAACAACAGAATTTTAGGGTACATGAGGTACATGGGTCCCCGGACACTCTTCAGTTTCTTCCCCCCCCCCCCCCCCCCCCCCTTTTTTTTTTTTTTTTTTTTTTTTTTTTTTTTTCTCTTCTTCTTCCCTCATGTTCATGCTCGAAAGTAAAATGCCGGTTCTTACAGCGTGTAAAGAGCGATGCTTTGGGATTTCAAGTGATGTGGATACAGAGCCTTGAGCCACAGGTCCATGGAGTCGTCGCTGCCCCGCGGTGCGTGACAGTGTAGCACTCGCATTGAGTCGGAGGAATCGACTGAAGCACGTGCACGGCTACCCAAAACGATATCTTATGCGGGGCCCCACACCACGGTCACAGGGGTCGATCAACTCGAGTCGATGCCCGTTGCAGTAGTCGAGTGTGCTCAGACAGGCCAGCGCGTATTGTTGAAGATTCATTTTAGCGCGAGTCACTCTTCAGATGGGCTGTCAGGTGGATGCCACCGCCGTCCCCAGCTCTCACCGAGATCTGCGAGCTAGTCTCAGTCGGAACTTAAAATTTAGGCGCTCCGCGGTGAAGCTCCAGAGTTTAGGCGCAGGTATGCGGAGACGAAGGTGGCTCCACTGTCATCAGTTGCAGCCAGCCGACATCAGCCTGAACTCGTTCTTGCAAAGCTCCTTTCGACTGATTGTCCCTCATGATCCTGCAGTGCTGCAATTAGACTCATTTTACCGCTACACGTCGCGCGAATTGAAAGCGGTTCAGGGAGGCGAGGTCCTGGCGAGTTGTGACAGGAAGTAGTTACTGTGACGATGAGTCTCGGCTCCGGCCAGCCATTTGCAATCCTCTACGTCAAGGCCGGGGTCCCAGAGCTTTCACTTGGTTTGAGAAGCCATTCCCTCCAGTGACCCTTGCATCGCACAATCTGGCCCACCGCTTCCGCCCATCCGTTCCGGCATTCGGGCGGGAACAGGCAGGTCCAAAAATATACCTGCTGGCTGGGAGCGACCGCGGTGCTATTTCGCGCCAATCTGCGCCAATCGAGGCGCGCGCAGCATGCAGCACCTTCTGCAGCAGCCACCTTGACTGCATGCAGCCGAGTGCCGGCAGCGGGATTCATCAACATGCAGTCGACTTTGGGAAGCTGATCGCCTCTTGATGTTTCACCCTGACTCATCTGGCTCGACAGGTTCCGCCTTCGCTTCTCTGTAACGTTACGGCCGCCCATTAGGTGTTCTCAACCCCGCTTACTGCAGCTGGACAGCGTGTCACTGCCGAACTCCAAAGCGCGACCTCGCTTGCGCGTGCTCCCACCGGCTGCCGTCGAAGCGAAACGTCGTCCGCCGTGACACACGGCACGCGACCACACTGCCGGCTTTCTCAGTACCTTCTACACACTCCTTCATGTACTCTTCGACCCAGGCTCCAGAATCACCGCCTTTGGCCGTGACTTCGATGGCTGCATGGGCTGCCGGTCCCCGCTTGCCGATGCCATCAACTGTGTCGCACGACCAGCGGACGCCAACTTCTGACTGCAGAACACCACGCAGCGCTTGCGTTTCGGGCTCGGGCCTCTTGTCGACCCCCGCGACGTCGCCGCACTCCTTCCATGACTTCAGTACAACACCCGACCTCGAGAAGGGCCTTTATTCGCCATCCTACTTTCATGCTCAAGGTCGAGGCGGCTCCCCGCTGTACCACCATTCCACGCCCTCCTCGTCGGAAGAAGATCTCTCAAGTGGCTCGGCCAAAATTCCGCTGCTCGTCCACCTCAGCGGGCTACGCGGGTTGGCATCGGGCTCACCAAAAATGTCTTCGACTCGGTCACTACGATTGACCCAATACGTGCGATCAAGGATAGGTCGATGCGCTCGATTGATGGTCGTCGCCTTTGCAATTTCCCTCATGATCTTCACCTTTCAGTCGCGGGTCCGTCATTTGGTCGCGCCGGAGACGTGGCAGTTCGGCGACAGCCTCCTCAGCGACCTTCACTTTGATTACAATCAATCGCCGGCGGCACTCAACGAATCTCGAGAATCGGCCGCAGAGTTCCTGTCAATCCCACGCATCAACGACGGCGTGGTCCCCTTCTCGCCCAATCTTTACGACCCGCTCCTCCCGCCGCGTCCATATCAGAAGGCGGTCGCCCAGAAGGCCTTCTCTTCCGTCTGCGCCGACATCTGGGTCTCGACGGGTGAGCTGTGCCAATCGGCCGAAGACCAATGGGCAGACCAACCCCTGCAGATGGACGCTCTGTGGACTTGGGTCAATGGCTCGAACGAGGACCCCTCGGCAGCTTGGCGGGCAAAGGTTTCGGACGAGATAGGCTTCGGGACCGGGACAAAAGTCGTGCCGGCGAAGCCGATCCTCGATGCTCCCGCACCACCCGATCCCATGAGTCAATCTATGGCGGGAGCCCCAGATCGAGCGAGGGGATCGAGGCTCCCCGCGGAGCAGCAGGGAGCCCCTGAACGCGAACGCGTTTCGCGCGCCAAACGCGCATTCGGCGCTACTGTGGTCCGACACTTTCGGTGAGCTCTATGGCGCGTGACCTCGAGCTAAGCTTGCTAATCACTGATCGCATGATCCTGGGTGTCGTGTTCAACAGAGAGCATGATGAGCTTCGGCACTCGATTCGCTCCGTGGTCGCGTCTTTCGGAGCCTCGACGCTCAAGCACCTGCACCTCGTGGTCAACGACGAACCGTCTCTGACTCCAGATGGTGAGAAGATCCTCATCGGGGACTATCCCAACTCGACCATCCTCTCGCAAGTGCCTCAGTGGGTCAATCTCGAACGCGTTCAACTCTCCGGTGTCGAGCCGTCCCCCAACGCGACCTTTTTCGACGGCCGCAACGACCGGCCGGTCCTCAAGCTACACCCACATACCTCGTTGTTCAAAAAAATGATTGCCCCATCATCGCTCGAGAACCCTGCGAAAGATTTTCGCGCTCGACAAGCCGCAGCTTTGAAGTGGAGGGAGTCCGTCACCCCTAATTTCAACTCGTTGGCGGTTGAATCTCAGCTCGCGAACGTGCCGGAAGACACGAGCGATACGCTCCTTGCCCTCTGCGACGATTTCTTCACCATGCGCGTGAGTGTCGCATCCCTCGTATGGTATAGTTCTTCCAGCTTGACACCAGCTGATTTCATCTTTTCGTCGCTCCGCCTGATAGCCCATGACCCTTTCCGATATCGAGTCGCCGTTGACCGGCCCCGTCATTCGACTGCAACGTGACCTCATCGTCGAGTCGAGCCCGCCTGACCATCTAAAAGGAGACGCGGAGGGGGAGTGGCGAGGATTGGGCTTCACGAACTGGCTCTTGGGTAAGCGGTGGAATCGCGAGTGTATGTTCCAGCCTGTAGGCTAACCTAGGCTAACCTTTCTCCTCCACAGACCAGCGCTTTGGAGCCCGGCCTCGACCGTATCTGCTGCACGTCGCCAAAGCAATTTCGGTCCCGATGCTGCGTGAGGTCCAGTCGGTGTTCATGGAGGAGATGACTGCCACGGCGGGTGCTCGCTTCCGCGGAAAAGCTCCCTACGAAATGCAATTGTGGTTCTTGCTGCACCACTACACCATCGAGAAGCATCGCGAAGCTCTGTAAGCCTCATTTTGACCTCTGATGGCCGGAGATTATCTGACCAGAGCGAGCTTGGATCTAACGCTGCGCTCAATGCCTTTCGGTAGGCTGTGGTCTTTCTTTGTCGCTCGATCCGACTCGGACCAAGATGATCGATACTCGCTTGCTGAACGCCTCGCCCTCATGTCGGAGCTCGACATTGAGCCCGCCGCGGCCGTTGCCGCCGTCGCATCATCGAATGCACTCCTGCCCTATACGGTCGCGACGCCGTTTCGCCATACACTCGCGGTCCAGATGCAGCCCGAGCACGATTACACAGGCCTACCGCGCGCCCTCGAATCGCGCTACAGCTTTTCTTCCAAGGATGGCTACGCCTTCTTCAAGCCGGCGCCAAAGTCAATTCTCCCCACCATGGCCCAGGATTGGCCCCGCTTCGATCAACGACATTCCGCCCAACTCGACGAGGACTTGGGTGTGCCCCCTCGGTCGAGCCCCTGCACAATTGACGACTTGTCGGTCTGCTTCCCCAAGAACTTCCTCGACGCGGAGAGCAACTCGACGATGAGTGTCGACGAGACGTTCCGCCGACTGGCGTTTGAGCAGCCCAAGTGCGGCGATTGCTTCATCGTCCAATTACTCGCCAAGAGTGGAGAACTGGGTTTGACCAAGTTCTTGCCTGACGCTGTGAAGCAAGACGAGGAGGACGCCGAAATACCTGTAGAGGTCATTGGTGGCACCGACAAAAAGTGGCATGACGTCACCTCCTTCCGGGGTGACCTCAAGGGCTTTACGCAGCGACAAAGGGTGAGTTCGCAGATTTGACCTCGTCACCGACGGTTGGAATTGTTAAACCAGTACTGACAAGCCATTTCTGCGATTAACAGGCCGTATCTTTGATCCAACGATACTCTTACACCATGGCGGATACCTCGACGCGCTTCCATTCGATGCGTTCGCCCTTGCCGCTGATGCGCGACCTCGCCGCTCTCTCTCGAATCCGCCCCGCGCTCATCGCCTTGAATGACGACGTGACTGGCGATCCCTCCATGATCGACGTCATTCTCGGAACTTGGTTCAAGAAGGAGTTCCCCGTCCCCACGATCTGGGAGATGGAGGAAGAGCAGGAACCCTCCGACCAAGTCACGAATCTCGACTCGTGATCTTTGGTGGTGGCCGACCCCTATCCGATCATCATTTCAAGCGATCAACTCTCGACTCTCTTCACCGCATATCCCCATACTATTCACAATTTGATTGTGCTCGATATCGTTTGCTTACATTTACGAACATGTGCATATGTTGCTCCCACTACACGTTGCTCAACACCCTTTTTTTTGTCAAAGCTTATCAGCATTCTCTACTGCTGCAGGCTCAGACATCCTAGCATTTTCTTCTTAGTTTATCTGCATTGTAATCTGCAAGTCTCGTTGAGCCAAGTGAACATCGCAGTAGGTCTCTCTTCATATGCGAGACCAGTCTCGGCCGGCCGCCGGTAGCGTGGTGCGAAAAACTTGCTTGCGAGGATTCTGCTCTCCAGTTTGCGCCGGAATACGAAGCGTTCGGCCGAAGGGCGTGATCGGGTAACGTCCCTAGAAATTTGGTGTTTGTCCCCCGCCAACTCTAGTGTTCGATCAGTGCAACCTAGATCACGTCGCACACGGCCGCTTCGCTCTGTCGGGCCACTAAAAGCAGGCGGCGCGTCGCGAGGACGTCACCTCACCGCGTCGCCGCTGATCGAGACAGCGCTAAGGCCGACCGGTGCCACTTTCTCGATTATCGGCCTTAAAGGTGTGCCGGTCTGAATGGCCCATGGCATCGTGTTTTTCCTTCTCTCTCTCTGCTTTGCTCCAATCCATCTTGGAAGCACACAAAAACAGCAAAAACGACTTCCGATTGACCGCAACAAATAAGGTGCTCCCGGTTACATCTTTCGGAACTGGCGGCTTCGAGATTGAAGCAGCTGCTCCCTGCCTGCCGCGCACGCGTGTGTGGCACGCGAGAAAGCGACGCGTCGGTACGCACGCGACGATCGATTGCGCTTAACCTCCCCCCGAGCCTTCACAGACCGACTTCCGCCCGCTTGGCGCGATCGGGGACCCACCGCCCAGCTCATTGGAGGTACCTGCGCAAAGTAGAGCATACGCAGGGGACAGCGTCGACTTTCTTCTTGTGAGTCGGCAAGCTCTGTTCTGTTCTTTTGGATCTCGCGGTCGCTCCGGACGGCCCGTGCGCGCGTGGCGCCGGAGATGCGCGCACGAAGAAAGGGGAGGGGGTGGTGTCTCGCGTCGGGGACAGGAACCTCCTCTCGAACCGTGTTTGAATGCATTCATCCTGCTTCTCATCGCTGATTTGTTCTCCCGGTGCTATAGGCTCCATCTCACGCCATACATTGACTCTACCGGAAGGATCTGTTGCTGGACTGCTCGTCGCGGTTCGACCGACGTCGTCCTTCGTTCAGCAAGTCGCGACGTGACCGTGTGACCGCCGCCGCCTTCACCCCCTCTGCCAACTGCGCCGCTCGGTCCTCGTCCGGCTCTCTCGACGATCGCCCTCCTCTCAGTCAATCCCACGCCTGTGCTTGCGCGAAACACACGCGCGGAACACACGCCCCGTATGGTGTTCCCACCGCCCAATCCGTCCGCCGTCCCACCGTTTTCGTCGTCGGCTTCGTCGCTTCCAGCCTCTGGGACCGCGCCTTTTTCCGCGAGACCTGCGCTCGGTCAACTCGACGTCAATCGCGCCCCCAACTCGTCGTCGTCGTCCTCGTCGCAACCGCCGCACAGGTCGCTCAGCCCGATGACGTCCAAGGACAAGCTCAAGCAATGGACCTTCCCGCGCAACGGCTCCCCTGTGCTTCCTTCGCCTCCCGTCTGCTTCCCATCGACGGGGACCAATAATTCGCATTCCACACCGCTTATGGGGTACTCGCTCTCGGACGATGAAGCCAACGCCCAGTCCTCCGAACCAGAATCGCCCGTCATCATCGAGAGCCGAACGAATCAATACGATCGACACGTCCGGCGTCATTCCCAGGACGACGAGCGGTCCTCCGGTTCGGATCGAGGGATCGAATCGCCGTGTGGTGCATCGTCGTCGATCCCGTTCATGCAAAAGCGATCCGACAATGGCGCGACCAACAAGCCCTCCCCCAGTAACAACGGGACCAAGCAGCAACACAAAACCACGGCCTCGACGTTCCGCCATCGTGGCAACGCGTCTGTAGCGGTCGTGCCCATCTCATCGCCCGACAACTCACCTTCTGCACCAGGTCGACCTGGCCTCACGCGTGTCACCTCGTCGCCTCGTCAACTGACAAATCCGTCGGCCAACAACCCCTCGAGTTCTTCGCCCGAACCCATGGCGATTCCAACTTCCCCCTCTGAATTGATTCGGATGATCTACGCCAATCTGCGGCGCAAATCATTGCAGGATTTCGCATGGGCCCTCATCTTTGGCGTCTGCTTGCTCCTCTTTGCATCCGCGCTCACAGGACACGGTTACGCACCTCCCGAACTCGATCTCGACTTCTCGAACCAGGTCAGGGTCGAAGCGGCGTTCTTGCCCAAGGGGGGTCAATTCCGTGACTTGCCTGTGCCGGCGGATGTACATCAGCCTACAGGGGATGATTCGCATGATGTAGGGCACGATTGGATGAAGGATTCGCCTGATGATAGACGATTGGATGACGAGCATGTGCAGTAAGTTTACTCGCTGGCCCAGCTGGTTGTAGCTCAACATGATCCTGACCTTCAATACACTCTACTTTCTGCCCACAGCCACCACCACGAGGGCCCCGACGCGCTTTTCGAAGGTGACCACTCCGTCGCAGCGGATGATCACGACCATTCAAACCTCAACGCCGTTTTGGACAACCAGAAGCCGGGCAGAAAAGAGTTAGAAGAGCTCGATACCCGTACCGTCGAAATGAACGCGGGGGTTGACGTCACCGAGCTGACGCAGGAAGATGATGTCGCTGAGGTTGACGGGAACAGCGAGGAGGAACATGTACAAGTACAGGGCGAGGAGGAACATGGGGATGGAGCTGCAGCGGATGAAGAGGGCGAGGAACAAGATGTAGACGACTCTGTACAGGACGAGGTCGAACACGACCACGACCATGGCTCAGGCGGCCTTCATCTCGAACCCGAACCCAAAGCCGAGGACGCGCCTGTATCCTTCAGCGAGAACGCGAAGAATCGCGCCGTGGCGACCGACCTCCCCGACCAGGGCCCTGATGGGGAGGTGGAGCACTCTATACAGTACGGCGAGGACGTGCAAGCGCTCAGGGTCAAGAGGATGTTGAAGCAGCGCAGGCGGCGTTAAGCGTCGACGCTCTTTTTCAGTACCCGGAGTCTGAGGCTTATGGCTTTTTCATGAGCCATAATACTCGTCCCTATCATTTTCGCTCATGCAACAAAGCGGACATTCAATTGCTTTCACCCTTCGTCCTTCAGCTATGTGCAGGTCGAAGGACCTTTGGTGTGGCTCGAGCCTACCGAGGAATTATTCTTATTCGGCATTTCTTCTCATCTCTCTATTGGAAACATCGTGTTCTAGTCCTTGCAACGTTGTATTTCATCGCATTCGCTTCCAACCAAATGGTGCATCATCAATTCACGTCCCCTGCACCAGACCGCGACATACTGCCGGATCGAACGTGTTTCACCGGGATGGTCAGTGCCCCCTATCTTCCGCCTGCTTTGCCAACGTCAATTTTCCGGCCACCAGGCTAAGGTGGCTCGTTTGCATGGAAAAATGTTTGAAAAGGTATCACTTGACAACGAGCATATCTTCCCACACTAGGAAGTCCATACCCAATTTACCGAGCCGAGAAGAGGACTGAGAAACCGAACAGATAAAGGTGGATACCCGAAGCGCGAGGATGATCCCCGCGGCGATGTTGAGTCTTGCGCGGGGAGGAGCGTATTTGAGTACTTAGGTTCACGACACCACTAGACTACGCCACGTTCCGATCCCAGGAATAAGGGCCGACGTGATCGCGCGAAACGTCTCGGGTGAAGCATTGACGACGCTTCAAGTGAGGAAGATAAGATGGGACCGGCCGTCAAGCGGACCGGGAGAAGGTGAGGAACGTAACCACGCGCAGTAGAGGGCCTGGGAGTTGTGCACGGTCAGGAGAGAGATGGATCCTGCTGCGCTGAATCAGCAGGTGAAGGCGATGCAGAAGCCGTGCTCGAGCGTGCGGAGGCCAGCCCAGAACATGAAAATTTTGACGGCCGAGAGCAACAATCCGCTTGAGGAGCTATTCCCCAGACCATGACACCGAACATCTGGAATAACTCACGACCAGAAGACAACTTGGGCTACGGTGTGACACGGAAAGGTGTGGGTGGGAACAAACAAGGAGAAGAACTTTTCGTTCCAGTACAAAGTACGGTTCTACAACAATTTATCAGCAAAATGGGCACGCGCGAGATCCTCGATTTAAGATTCGCAGGTTAACGGGGGGGTAAAAGCGCCGTCGTCCCGCTTAATGCGGCCCCGCGCCGCTTAATGCCGCCCAAACACTTAAGAGTGTTCCTGTCAGGGTCAAGTCCGAAGGGAAGAGACGATGATAGGAGTGGAGGTAACGAAGATCTATCCAACGTCACACCGTGAAAGGTATAACGTCAATAGCACTTGTATGCCTGGTGCGTGAGATGATAGGAGGTGATCACGAGGAGGTCGGTTCGGAAGCGGAAGCGAGGGCGCGAGAGGAGCGTCGGAAGGATAGCATTCGGACAACTGAAGAAGAAGAAGAACAAGAGAGAGAGAGAGAGAGAATCTACCAGAGAGCTAGTCTACCACAACCAGAGGAAAATCTATTGCCCGAAGGCGATACCGTGCGCAACAAAGGCTGTGCCTATCGGAGAGCCATTCCTTTGTTGAGAAGTGGCTGAGGCAGTGTAGTGTATGCTGGATGAGGGGAGCCCAGTGTAGGGACTACAACGGGGTTCGAAGAGGAGGCGGTGCCCATGCCGATGGGAAGACCCGAGGTCGCGTTGAAGGGGAATCGCCCCTTTGATCCGAGGCGCCTTGGACGAGCGCAAAGTCTTGGCGGCGCGAGCGGGAAGAAAGGGGCGCGCGCGAGAGAAAGGGCGCGCGAGAGAAAGGGCGCGCGGGAGCGATGGGTGAAAATCGAAGAAGAATGACCGGCGGGTGGAGGACTTAAAGGATGTTGAACAATTTGGTGACCAAGACACTCCCTCCTCTTTTACTTTTGAACGTCTCGGTTGAACACAACATCATGTCGATGAACAACTTGCCGAAATTCGTGAAGGTCGAGGACGCCGAGGGTCAAGGCGGGGAGGCCGGAAATGTTCGAGGTCTTGGGTCGGCGAGTGACGGCGACGATGGGTCCGACGCGTGTTCGGAGGCTGAACCTGATGGCGTCGAGGGTACCCATCGGTCCACCGGTGTACCATCTTGTCGACTACGTAGAATTAGTCGTGAAACCCAATCCTGAGGACGACGAAGAAGATCGCAGAGCTGCTGCTGCCCAGGTCGCTGTTGAAATGTGTGCGGAATCCTTTCTCTTGCTTGCATCAATCAAAGCGCTCGACTACGGTCTGCCTTCGTCTCGACTACGGGAGCACGAAGGCATACCGTAGTCGAGCGCTTTGATTGATGCAAGCAAGAGAAAGGATTCCGCACAGTGTCGCACAAGCTTGACGTGACGGGCCGCCATTTCAACAGCGACCTGGGCAGCAGCAGCTCTGCGATCTTCTTCGTCGTCCTCAGGATTGGGTTTCACGACTAATTCTACGTAGTCGACCAGATGGTACACCGGTGGACCGATTCTTGATACTTCATAACAAAAATATCGAGAACTCGAAGCCGAGGAAGCCGCCTTCACGCAGACGCGCAGACCTCTGCCGCTCTAGAGACCCCAGAGACCCACTTCCACCTGGAGAAAGCTTAATTTGTTGTTTTGTCGTGCATTCTCTAATGCAGATGTAGATTTCAAAAACTATGCATTCATTACCGGTGGCTGCTGCACTGCGGGCCGCAACGTGACGTTGCCCTGCAAGTTCTCACGCAATACGTTGATGCCAAAATGCCGCCCAACATGACAATCTCTCTCTTCTGACGGTACTCCCTTTCCGGTCGATCGTCGTGGGCACGTTCGTCGTCGGAGTCGGCTGAACCGTCGCTTGAGGAGTCGTCTTCGCTGTCGTTGTCGCTGGAATGATCGGGGCTGTCCGTATCGATGCCACGGCTTCTGAGTCTCGACTGTCGCCAGAGGAGTAGATGAACATACGCTTGACGAGCCCTTTGTTGTGCAAGAAAGTGCAGGTGATGCCATTCAGCAGCCGATGACGCTAACAGGCTGCCAGTAGCTATAGGTGTTTGGCCCCGATAGACGCGCGTGATGCTCGAGCTTTTTGGACACGCGGCAGCTAGGGGCCACAATTGGGACAAAATAAGCCACTGTGCAACGTGTCGCCGGCACACGTCTCTTGTTTTTCTTCTCTCTCCTTCCTTCCGCTTACATCGCACTGGCCCGCCTCCTCCCAGCCCTCGCTTCTTCGCTTCGACAACGCAGCACTAGTCACCAATCCCACCTCGCCATGTCACCACGACCTTAGGAGGCCACACTCTATCTTCAGAACACTCGATGGGCAGCAAAAGAGTTGCGGTGCGGTGCGGGAACGGTAAGTCGGTCATCATCAGCTATCTGTTTGCATCGACGCAAAGCTTCGGCCGGGCTCGAGTATTCAGGATGCGAAGACCACATCTTCCACCGCAGGGAAGCTCCGACCTGGATCATTGCGCCTTCGAGCCCAAGGAGGATCTGCAGAACAATCTGCTTTACGATATTTTGGTCCAGATCGTTGCGGGGATTATGCGAGACAGATCCGCCGCGTTGCAATGGCCAGAACGAAATCTCGATCCCAACGACGATGATCATCGCGTGGTGGTGGGGTGAGCAGTTGCATGGCTGATCGAATCTAACGTTTCGACGATTGTATGAGGAGGAGGACGCAAATGTCAGGTCAATTCAAACATGGATGCAGCGCAAATACAGGAGGGACTTACTCCTGCATACGCATTAGTCACTAGAGCGAATGCAAGCTCGCGATCATCATCGTTGTTGTGATCGAGACCTTGCTCTGGCCATTGTAACGCGGCGGATCTGATCTGTACCAAAACGTCGTAGAGCAGATCGTTCTGCAGATCCTCCTTGGGCTCGAAGGCGCAATGATCCAGGTCGGAGCGTCCCTGCGGTGGAAGATGTGGTCTTCGCATCCTGAATACTCGAGCCCGGCCGAAGCTTTGCGTCGATGCAAACAGATAGCTGATGATGACCGACTTACCGTTCCCGCACCGCACCGCAACTCTTTTGCTGCCCATCGAGTGTTCTGAAGATAGAGTGTGGCCTTCTAAGGTCGTGGTGACATGGCGAGGTGGGATTGGTGACTAGTGCTGCGTTGTCGAAGCGAAGAAGCGAGGGCTGGGAGGAGGCGGGGGGTTGGAAGGAGGCGGGCCAGTGCGATGTAAGCGGAAGGAAGGAGAGAGAAGAAAAACAAGAGACGTGTGCCGGCGACACGTTGCACAGTGGCTTATTTTGTCCCAATTGTGGCCCCTAGCTGCCGCGTGTCCAAAAAGCTCGAGCATCACGCGCGTCTATCGGGGCCAAACACCTATAGCTACTGGCAGCCTGTTAGCGTCATCGGCTGCTGAATGGCATCACCTGCACTTTCTTGCACAACAAAGGGCTCGTCAAGCGTATGTTCATCTACTCCTCTGGCGACACTCCTCAAGCGACGGTTCAGCCGACTCCGACGACGATCGTGCCCACGACGATCGACCGGGTCGGAATGGGAGTACCGTCAGAAGAGAAAGATTGTCGTGTTGGGCGGCATTTTGGCATCAACGTATTGCGTGAGAACTTGCAGGGCAACGTCACGTTGCGGCCCGCAGTGCAGGAATACATAGTTTTTGAAATTCAAGGACGTTTCTTTCACAAAATTCAAGTCGGATCATTGAAGCCCTTAGGAAGGCTGATCTGACTTGCCTGGTGTCACTAAGCACAAGAGGAGCACTCTCAAGTGTGGCTGGGCTGCATTAAGTAGGGCGGCGTCGCATTAAGCGGGAGGAAGTCGCCAATAAGCCCGCTGCGAATGCTTAATTGAGGCCGCACTAATAGGGCGGCGTTGCGTTGAGCGATTAGGAACGGGCAATTCGGCGTTAGCGAATGAGATCGAGGCGGATCAGCGCCGTAATGAACGCAAACCGTACAATAAAGCCGTTCGCGGTTCCGCTCCTCTCTGCCCCCCCACTCACACGGCACCCCAACTCTCGACCCAACTCTCCACCGCCTGCCCGTAGCGATGCAGCAGCTGCACAACATGGGTCGCAACGGCCCACCGCCGCCACCATCCCACGGTCCACCTCCACTATCGAACCAGCACCAACAGCACCAACAACAACCGCAGCTGCAACAGCCGCCACAGCAACAGGCCGGTCCAGCAGCGGGCGTCGTCGTCCGACCGGGCGAAGAACCGCGTATCCGGGAGGTCTGGGCCAACAACCTCGAGGAGGAAATGGCGCACATTCGAGCTAGTATCGAAAAGTACCCGTATGTCGCGATGGTGAGCCCTCCCTCTCCCTCGTCCGCGCTGAGTCGGCTCGACTGCAACTGCAACTGCAACTGACCGCGTGACCCCCCCCCCACTGCACTGCGATGCTGTGACGCTCCGACCAGGATACCGAGTTCCCAGGTGTGGTCGCTCGACCCATCGGTTCCTTCCGTGGCTCGTCCGACTACCACTACCAAACGCTGCGGTGCAACGTCGACCTGTTGCGCATCATCCAGCTCGGATTGACCCTCGCCGAGCAGAATGGCGAGCTCGCTCCCGGGGTGTGCACGTGGCAGTTCAACTTCAAGTTCAACATAAAGTAGCTCATCGCATCATCGACAGAGAAGGCGCATGTAGCATGGGCATGGAGCGTCGACTTTGCTAACTGACGTTCCTCCGCTCGCGCTCCCCCCGTCCCCGTCCGTGTGTTCCTCCTTTCACAGTGACGACATGTTCGCCCCCGAATCGATCGAACTACTCGTCAAATCAGGCATCAACTTTAAACGCAACGAAGAGTACGGCATCGACGTCGAGCACTTTGGCGAACTGCTCATCTCCTCCGGACTCGTCTTGCTCGAGGACGTGCAATGGGTGTCGTTCCATAGGTCAGCACACTTTTTCACGGTGCACAGAGAACTGAGTGACACTGGGCTGATGACTGTTGTATGCATTATCTCAGCGGCTACGACTTTGGCTACCTCCTCAAGATCGTATCCTGCGCTCCCTTACCGCCTACAGAAGCCGAGTTCTTTGACTTGTTACGCATCTGGTTCCCGTGTATTTGGGACATCAAGGTGCGCTCATCCGGAGATGAGAAAAGCGGAACCTCTCGGTGGTGGGACTGACTCGCGGTGTTTCCGGCGGGCGAAAACAGTATTTGATGAAGAGTTGCAAGTCGCTCAAGGGGGGTTTGCAGGAAGTGGCCGATGACCTCCAGGTTCGTAAACACCCATCTTGATGCTGGCAAAGCCCAGAATCTGATCCCGTCAAACCATACCCGGTACCTCAGGTCCCGCGGGTAGGACCCCAACACCAAGCGGGGTCGGACTCGCTCCTGACCGCCGCGACGTTTTTCAAAATGCGCGGCAAGTTCTTTGACGACGCGCTCGACAACAAGTTCATGGTCAGTCCAAAAAGGCCCCCATTCACCCAAAACCAAAACCCGCCCCATCTAAGCATACCCTCCCTCCCCAACAGGGCGTGCTCTACGGCCTCAACTCGTCCTCAACCGAACGCAACCCCGCCCATCCGAGAGAACACAACGGTGCCGTCCATTACCCGCATCCAGCTCAAACGCAACCCCCCGCCTCTGTACCACCACAGAATGTGACCCCGTTGGCGGCGGCAACGTCCGCGGCGATTGCGATCATGAGCCCGAGTCGGAATAATACGGGGCGGTAAAACGCGTTCGATGAGCGGGCTGTTTCACGGATAAAATTGGGCGGCTTTCGCTTTGGGCGGGCGAGGGGAGGGTACCAACTCTCTTGACGATGTGCGTTGGGTTTGGGTTGGATCAAGGCGGGCTGGTGAGGGAACGAACAAGGGTGTGGAGCGACGACGGGGAAAGCACGCATACGGAAGAATGCGAAACACTACACATGAAGATATCTTGTCAGGCCTCGCATCGCATCTTATCGCATTCAGATACGCCCCACATTCCCCCTCGTCTTTTGGAAGCCGTTCCTACACTATTTGACGATCTCTCCTTGTTTATTGTTTTTGTTTTGTGTTTGTACACTTGTGCTATTCCAAATCTCTTTCTCTCTCAGTTATACCGGGGGAACGTCTTCGGTGAAGTGAGTTGAGATTCCAAACAAAAGAGAGTACTATCTACTACCCGCTTGCCCCCTCTTCCCCTCCCGTCGTCTCAATCCTCGACGCCGACGCCGACAACGAAGACGAAGCCAATTCCCACCTCCTCAGCACCCTCGGTTCCCCGAAGGCCCTTGTCCCCTCCGCCTCCGCCTCCCCATCCCCACCCTCGTTGAGCTGCATCCCCTCAAACTTCCAATCCACTTTCTTCCCCTTCCCCTTCCCAGCTTGCATCCTCCATCCTTCCGCCCTCCCACCACCACCATCGTCGTCGTCGTCGTCGTCCTGCTTGACCCGTTCATAGAACAACAAAAACGGATTGCCCGCCAGAACGTGCTGTATCGAAGCGAACTGAACGGTCTCGTCCGAGATATGATACCATTCCGCTCTCGCTTCCCCCCCAACGAAACGTTTAGGCTGAGGGTCGAGGTCTTCATTCGGTTCTGCTTCGACCGCGTCGGGGTCGGGGTTGGGGTCGGGATCGGATGCACGACTTCTTCTTCCACCCGGTTCCTGAGTTGGTGTTCGATCGCGCTGGCGTAAATGGGGAGGTAAAACGGGCCTTCTTCGAAAAGCGACGTAATGCCCATACGAATGCGTTCCATGATGAACGACGACCGAAGCCAGTCGATAAAGATCCCTCTTCGGTCTTTCGTTCAGTACGTCCGCACTGGCCGGCGGAACGTTCGTCGTGAACGCCGGATCGTTGGAAAAGGGTGCGACGTCGAGGTATTCCGGAAAGTCGACCCGACAATGGTTCTTGACGGCCAGACCGCCACCCGTAGCGTAATGCGATGATCTCGAAAGGTGAAAGGTTAAAATCTCGGGAGTCTGTACGGATGCTACCGACCGCCTTTCAGCTATCGACTTGGGGGGCAAAAGGCCGAATCTTCAACTCGGGGTTCTCGCTCGCACACGTACCCTAGCGAAACGAACCAATTTGCCCGCCGGCCCCAACACTTTTTCAACTTTGAGCTCGTTCCCGAATTCTTTCTCGTAATCACCCGCGTCCCAGGCTTCTTTGACTTGGTTGATGAGCTTTTGCACTTTGCGTCGTCGGTTCGCGCGGGAGGACGTCATTTTCGGCGCGGGTGCTGCTCGTCCTGCGTCGATCGTAGTCGAAGAAGAAGTCGAGTCAAGTAATGGTTCAAAAGCATTCGCGTCGCTCGATTTCACGACCCGATTTGACGTCGATCCACTCGGATTCGTGGTGCAGCCCTCGGTTGACGCCGTCAGCGTCGTCACCGAATCGACGAGCGCTAACCGATCGCGTTGCTCCTCTAATTTGGTCAACGTCGCGGCCAGACAGCATTTTCGACAGGCGTAATCGGACAAGAGGTCGAGTTTGGTCCATTCGTCCAATAATTGGTACAACGAGCATCGATCCTATGGAGAAGGACGGCACTCGTCAAGTCAGTTCGCAATGTGACCAGCAGCTTCGCGCTGTACGATGAACAAGACTTACCATATCCGGCACCTGCAATTCGACCTGTCGATCACTTGTATGCCTCACGTCCCTCGTATACGCACACGTCAAACACTGTACCCTCTGACTCGTCAACAACAACCACGGATCGTTCTTTCCCGGTGCATGTACCCCTTTTCTCCCCTTGCGCTGATCCGCGGACTCGCCGAAACGTAAAAGAGCACCCAAACCCGGCGAGTCGTTCTTGCGAGCGTCTCTAGCGATCTTGTCAACTTCTTCCTCGACGGCTTCCCTGATCATTCCCAACAATTCATGCGCGTCCTGTTGTTCGCAAGAAGCGAGTAACCTCCTTCGGGTTGGGGAACTCGCGGCGAGCGCATGCGCGAGTGCGCTCGGTCGAAGTGGGGGTGGACGCATGAGGCAAGGCGAGTTGAGCGCATGGAGCGTACGTCTCAGGGTCGGGATGACCGAGTTGGGGGAGTTGGAGGTGGAAGGGAGGGATTCGAGGTAGTCTAGAAGAGGGGTGATGGACGCGATGGACTGGGTCGAGGAAAGCAGGGGAGGGGGGCAAGGTCCTCGTGGGTCAGCTCGGCAGCGTGGCAGCGTACGCGGGAGGGGTGGGGTGTAGGGACGCACTTGGAGTGTGGCGTTGAGGAAGCAGAGATTTCCAGCGGCATTGAGTAGTCCTGGGTAGTGTGTCCCATTGGGATCACCGGAGGCAATAGGGAGATGAGCGCTGGGAAATCCTGACGACGACGGAAGCGCAACTTGAACCATGCGGGAATGAGCTCTCGAGTCAGCACTTGTCAGTTGGGAATGAAGGAGAAAGAAGAAAAATGAGCAGTGCTGACCTGAAGGTTCATCGTCATCAGCGTCTGGGTCGATCGCCAACCCTGCGCCGATCCGTGTCCAGTCGACAGCTCCAGCGCACTTGATCACCATCGCCAGGAACCAATTATCGCCTACGAAGCCTTCGATATAGTACAGCACCGCCGACGATCTCGGTCGACCGAGCAGCGCGATCGAGGTGACGACGATCACGAGCGAGCTGAGCACCAAACCGACCAAACCGACGACGAGCTCGTGGGAAAGACGACCCGCACTGGGGGACGTGCAAGACGGGTGGGGCGACGAGTAGGATGATGGCCGGTACGAGTAGTAGGTGGTGTCGTCGTAGCTCATCCTTCTTCAAAGGCGAGGTCGCGCTTGTCCGGCCGGCTTTCCTCCTTTCACGCGCTCGTCGCCATTCCCTTTGTGCGCCGATCGGTCTCGTGTGTGGGTGGGTGTGTTTCGTGTGCTTCTTGGTCGGACGAACGTCGTCAATGGGGGAGCGTGCGAGCAGCCAGCGTAGAAGAGAGATCGCGCTCATTCATCGTCGAGCACTCGCGGAAGCCATAATTATGCAAGTCCGACCATCTGTCTTGAACATGCAATCGTAAAGCATGATGCACATTGTTGCATATATATATATATATTGAAACAATTTCAACCCATCGGCATGCGTTGAGTATCGAGCTAGCGTCAAAAGACTTTTCCCAAAGGCGAGTCCCCTCGTCCGGCATGACATCATGTAGACGACATCGTCGTCAGGTTGCAGGCTATGGTCGCAGCATGTGTTGCATTAAACAAACCCGTATTCGATGAGTGCTTGTGTGTGGACGAGCAAGGCCCCTCCATGTTCAGAGTATGAAATTGTGCCTCAGGCATCCGTGTACTACGAATCACCCGGCCGAGCCCATATTTAAAAACTTGTTGCGAGAGTTGGCAACGATCAGGCAGAAACTCGACTCGGAGTTGGCCGATTCGGGAATCCCAAGTGAGTATGGGCGGCGCTAGTTTGGTGATGGAATTGACGATCAAGATTTCCAGTTGAGATGCCAGGGTTCGTTGGCCCGTCCGTGCATCACTAGGCCTGAGAAGAGTGTTGGCGAACTTGTTGCATGCGGAGTTAACCCGAATTCTTACTAGCCGTGACTTCGCCGAACACCTTGCGCTAAAGAGAGATAATCCAGATGTTTGTAGCGGTGTTCTTATTTACAACAAGCCACAAACAAAGAAACAGACAATAAAGAGATGCACATATCGGGACAACAAGACATGTCTACACAAACATACCCAGGCGACGTGGCCTACGTTCGCCAAGGGGGAGCACTTCCGGAGCATATCAAAAGACATCGAACCTTCCCTTCTAAGACGCTCCTCGACTGTGACTCGATATATACCATGAAGCACATTTTCCGCCTACTCAATACGCCGTCGTCCCCGTCCCCGTCGCACCAGGCGTCGCTCCAACAGTCGAGCCTTGCGAATGAGGGCTCTGACTGGCCCTCTCAAAGACCCTTACGGCCAATCTGGCCCGATCTCCTCGGACCATGCTGGAGAATTTGGAGCTGATGGCCCATACGAGACCCATACGGTCGAGCGCGTCGCAGAAGCAGTCGACAAAGGCGAGGCGTTCTGGTTAAAGGGAAGTGAGGAAGTGAGCTTATGGAACGAGCAGGGGAGAAAGGCGATTGATGCGAATTGCACTTACTGTCGTCAAAGCCCACGCCGAACAGAACGTCGGATTGAGGCAAGACGGGGCCGGTAGGGCCGGTGCTGACCCGACCGGGAACATTTTCAGTTCGGTTTCGAGCGGCGACTGCAGAGAGGCAACCACGCATCAGTAAGGTTCCGAAACCGATGCAGATTACGACTGCTGACTCACCCAAAGTTGACCAGTCACCGATAGCAAATTTGGCCGGGAACGCTATAGCGTACGACGTGTCTAATACCGAGCACGAACAGTTGGTTAATAGTCAGCGGAGGTGGTGGTAGAATGAACGAGATCAGAAAAGACTGACAAGGCAGAAACGACGAAAACGTCGTGATCCTCGACCGCTCGAGCGTCGTCCTCAAGTTCTCGTACATCGCAGCTTGGGAGAGGATCTGAAATGGAGTACAAAATCAGCAATCAAGTTCCACGTTCCTTCGCACGATCGCACGAGACGCGCGAAATACTCACCTCGTACAAAGCACCCATTCCTTCGATGCAGCGCTGCATCGAGTACTCGGCCGTGCCAAGTGTCCCCGCAAGTTGACTTGGGTACGACGGATTTGCGTGCCCTTGAGCCACAAGAAGGTGATGCGCATTAATAAAGTTGCTGTGGGGTACGAGACAATCAGCAGTAATTCCAGTACAGTCCAAAGATCATTCACAAGTTGTGCCTACCAATTGAGCACAATCAGGATCTGAATCAACGCCGCGTTGAACCCCTTGCTCTTCTGCGAAGGTTCGTTCGCAAGCCAGTGTAGCTTGTGGCGGAACGACTCGAGAACGTGGTCCATCTCTTGGAGCGCCCGGAGATCGTCGAGCCCCGCAGCCCGGGTGTGATAAGGTCCTCCGGCAGGTTGACCCACAGAGCCGTACGCGTTCGACTGGATTCGAGCACCGATCCAGACTGCGACAAGAAGCGTACACGTAAATATCAAACGAAGGGAACACACAGCCCCACTGAAGTGTACTCACCAACTCGAGAGAACCAAGCAAAAGTGCCCAACCTCGGGCCCACATCCGAATTCTGACCGTTCTCAGGCCACCAGATCGGGTTATCGCCTTCCTGACACCGCCCGCTTTCGAACAGCAGCTCATCACAGGGCAGTAGTAACCGCACATCGTGTTCGGCCAGGGCGGTTGGCCAACCGACGCATGCCGACTCGAGTCGATCGACGCAGAGCACGGTCGCCATCGTGCGCCGGCATTCTTCCAACATCAGCGGGTCGTCCGGTAGTTGGTGCAGTGCCGGTGGGCGCAAGCGCCGACTCGATGTTTGCCCCGTCAGCCCCGCCAGCCGATCCTCATCCATCCTGTGCAACCCCAACATGGCACTAATCCGGACGGCCTGGCCGATCGACAAGAAGGCCCTTTGGTGGTCTGAGCACCCCATCTCGATCATCGTACAGATGCACAACGCTTGCACGGTCTCCACCGTCAACGAGGCGATCGTCTTGCCGGTCGGTTGGACACCAATCGCAATCGATGTCTCGATCTTTTCGCGTGCTAAGAGGTAGAACGACCGCGATTGAGTTCGAACGGCCTCGTGGTCGTGATAGGGAGCTGCGATCGCGAGGACGGCAAAGATGAGGGAGAGCGAAGGGGGAGAGGCGAGCGAATGGGGGTTCTGGAGCGAATACAGAAACCGTGGTCGGTACAAGAAGGGCAGGTGGATGTGGGTCGTAGAAAAATAAATGTCGGTCCTTTGAAGGTGGTGGGTAATCGCTGACAGAGTCAGCTGCAGGTACATCACAAAAAACTTGGGAGGAGACCCTGCCAAGCGAAGAGAGCTCACAAATCGAGCATCAACTCAACGTCGGGCAGCCGAGCACCCCACACTCGCTGCAGACCCATGCCCTGCGTCTGGCTCTGACCCGGGGTTTGCGTCTGGTGGCCATGCGCGGTCCAATCCGACTCGTTGTAATATTCCCCCTCCAAGTTGGCAGTTTCGAGACCAAGCAAAGGGGTTGTGGAGGGAGGAGCCGGCTCGGGTGGGTACAGTCCAAGAGTCGCTTCGCCGAGAGCGGAATTTGGATGAGCGCTCGACGCAGATGCGGCCAGAGGATGGGCCGGTAGGAGCGTCGCATTTTGGGCCGCGTCCAGCGGCGAGTTCCTAAGGTTCGCGAGCTGAGGACTCTGAGGATGGGTGACACTGTAAGGAAACGACTGCAGGTGCGAGCCGTTGAGTCCTACAGCAGCATTTGGACCCGCAACCCCTGCCCCGGGTCGAAAGACGAATGGTTTATTCTCGGGCTCATCGAACGACGCCGGCGAGGAGCCGTGAGAAAAGATCTGCGCCGAGGCCGGCTTGGAGTAGAGCGAATTCCCCGAGGATGAGATCGGGTCAGGTGTGGGGCCGTGTGACAGTCGGTATCGAGACAGTTCCTCCTCAAGTGATTCTGGATGGGATTGTCGAGATGTGTTGGGGTCAGAATCAGTCGTTCACCGCGGTCCTCGTTGGATCGGAGTGAGGGCCAGCCAGATCCCGGCAAAATCACTCGCCGACTTACGAACTTTGGCCTCGAGTTCTCGTGTTCGTTCTTGCAGTTTCTCGTGCACCGGGTCTATCCAATACAAGTGTCAGGGTTCGCTATGTCCATTTCGACTTCAGGATTGCCTCTCTCAAAGCGGGCACTCACCTCCATATACGCAGTCATGCCCGAGTCGCACACAGGTCTGGCACTTGGGCCTCGAGCCATCGCACCTCTGTTGAAGGACGAAGTGCATGGGTGAGCTGACGTTCAAACCCATACCGAGTAGAGTACAAACACATACCAGCTTCTTTTTGCGACAGGCGGTGCAAGCAGCGCCCTGAGGCAACGGCTTGATCTCGTCCCGGCGGCCCCCACCGGAGCCCGTAGCTTGTGTTCCTACCGCCACTCCGGCTCCGGGTGGTGCTGACGATGATGATGTGGATGCTGACGATGCTGAGGTTGTGGTCGGCTTCATCTTGCTCGATGTCGAGGTCGGGTCCGAGTTGTTCGGCGATGAGCGTGGCGGGGTCGCATGAGGCGTCGTAGTGCTCCCCGATGTGGTCATCATCGGTGTCGCCGACAACACGGGGCGTACGGCCGGATGCGAACTGGGACCGAAACCCGTCGGGGCGAAAGCGGCGGCGGCGGCGGCGGCGGCGGCGGTCGGAGTGGGCGCACTGGAGCTAGAGCCAACGAGGACCCCCGAAAGCCCAGCCTGCGTGTATGGGCCGCCGTTTGGGCAACAAATGGATCTGCGCGCCCGGGGCCTCCGCGCGCCCAGAAATATGGATATGCGCGCGCCGCCGAACGCTTCTGCGCGCCCGCGACTCGTCTAGTAATAGCCTCGTCTCCGGTCGTTCATGCGCGAGTCACACGCAAGCTCACGCGCGACACTCGCGCGGACTCGCGCGGCCGCCTTCTTCCACACACACCGTGGCACCGCCCCCACGTCAACCTTGTCCAAATATTCCCCGCTTTCATAACGACTCTGTTTCACTCAACAGCCTCCAAATGCCATCATGAGAAAATTAGAAGGCATCATTCCGACTTGGGAGAGGGACTCGGAGTTGGCCGCCAAGGTGCAGGTACGTTGCAAGCTGGGAGCTCTTTGTCGAGTCTTTGAGCCCTCCTGCTTCAGGCTGGATCAGACTTCCAATGCTGATGTTTGATATACGATTCTGCTGCTGCATACCAAGACTCTTGGCCAGGAGCACCGGCGCAGGATTTGTCAGGCCTCCCCGACAAATAATTCTCTGGAACGAGCCCTAGCTCTAGGCTGGAGCTCTGGAACGTTAACGTTGGAGCCGGAATGCCCAGCCCTGAGCCTCGAACGCTTTCAACAGCCACACCACCAATCCAGTACACCATAGCAATGTCACTATTTGCAAGTACATCAAGACTTAGCAATCGGAGCAAACGCCCTCCTGCCATGAAAATGAGATCGACACCGCGGAGTAAAAAGGCAATCCTCCTCGTGTCGGTTGTCGCGCAAGTAGAAAAAGCCGCGAGCGAATCAGAGCGCCGCGAGCGTGTGAGAGCGTTTCCGGTCGCGCGCATCTGCGATTCTGCGAGCGTGAGAACTGTTTGCGAGCGCGCGTAAGCACACCTCGGGCAGACATAAAAAGTACGCCTCAGCAGGCGCGCGCGCAGCGCCCTCCCACGCGCCTTCCAAGCCACAATCCCGGCGGGTTGCAACCTTGCTACCCCAGGTAGCAGATTAGGCCCAGGTTGCGCCCAACTCCCTGCTTCGAGTCGATTCTGTGTACACACAACACTCTCACAGCTGCTAGATTGATAAAGAAAGTGCGTAGTAGATGCATTCCTTCCTTCATCTTTTTCTCGCATCTTTCGGATGTCGTCAATGTCACGTGTCCGAAGCGGTCGCGCGCCGGGATTTCGGTCCCGAGATCGAAGGGTCCGAGCACACGCGTTGGCTGCAGCTGGCCACGCGCGAGGGACCTTTCACTTGACTTGCCGCCTCACCTCGTTGCTTCCGCTACAGCTCATTGTAGCGTCGCCATTGACCGTACAGGCCCCATGGCTCGCGTTCGTCCTCTTGCTCATGCACTTGAGTTGGCGTCGCCATGCCGCCGAAGAGAAGATACAAGTCCAAACCGTTGGTCTACAATCTGCAGTTCACCCTCTGTGCCTCCGAGTCGCGGTGTGCTAACTTGGACGTCGAACGCTTGGCCCAACTAGGGTTCATCTCTTCGACCGCTTCAATGCCGATGACCGCCTTCTCATTTCGACTGGTCGAGCAGACCCACGCGAGCTGGAGGGTCACCCCCCGCGCTCTCACCGGCTATGCGGACGGCCTCAAAGAGTATTACTCCCGTTGTGGGTGGGTTCGGGGTCACTATACAGGACATCCTTGGGTCAGTTTGGACGCCGCCATCGTTTCAGGGGCAGATGCTTAAAGCCTGCCTTCCGCGCATGCAGGACAAAGACCTTCGGAAGCAACGCGATCGACGAGTACCGCGCTCTCGAAACATGCGAGCAGGACAGCGGGGACCTTCTCGTAGGCACCGTCGATTCGTTCCAACAAGGGTCCCGCGTGCTTCGGGCCAACGTGACTTAATCAACCTTGTCACGACGTCCCATTGGATTGCGTGCTTGCATACGACGGCAACTTTCGGCAAACGCGTAACAAAACTTCGAAGCACGACCAGATCGTTCCGGACATTTTCTTGGGTGAGGAAGAGGTTCAGGCGATGAAGGCCGAGGTTGAAGCTTCGGTGCGGCCGACCAAAAAGGTGAGTAATGCCGCTCTTTGCATTTGCCTTAATGGGATCGCTTACCTCTACACCCACCCAACCCTCGTAGGCGTGCACAGAGTCGTGGAAGGCTGCCGACGACGGAGCTGGCTCAACCTCGTCACGAGTAGTCGACACTGGACTCGTTGCCTGCGTATGCCGTCATGATGTAAACCTGAAAATGGTCAATCTTGAGAGGTCTGGTGAAAAGTGAGCGCAGAGCTGTCTGGTTGGGACGTAGTCGCTTCCGCTTTCCTCTCCCAGTACTAATGCGCATATTCCCCTCCGACCGCTCAGATTATACTATGCGCTTGCCATCCTCAAGTGCATCTCAGAGCGCCTTCCTGAAAACGCCAAGATTGGAGTCTTATACGACATTGCTTGTAACTTCAAGCACCACATTGAAAAGGTATGCTTCGATCACGACGCGTCCCTTCCTCCTCAGTCTCGTTGGCACAGACCAAATGCGCCTACTTTCCTATCATTTGTCACCCGAGGCAGCTCCTGCCAAAGCTTTTCAAGCGACTGGAGTTCGCCACGAGCGTCTTCCATGCATACGCCCATATCTGGTCCTGCCAAGTCGATTTCAACCCCCGCCTCATTCCGAACTTCGGGTTGACTGATGGAGAGGGCTGTGAGCGATTGTGGAGCGGGCTACGGTCGCTCATTCCGAGGAGTAGCAGCTGTGCGCGCCAAGGCTCGAGTCGGTGAGGAGGAAGCGCGGATCGGCGCCGAGGTGCGGCAAGCTTTGGCTTGGATCGAAGATGAAAAGACTCGTATCACTAGTTGCCAAACACTTTGGACTAAAGTGTCGGGTAAGTTCTCGATACAGCGTGCTCCATATCACCTCTTATGTCGCCCTGACATCTTTCAAACCATCCCAACAGATACCCTTTCTGAATCGATCGACCCAGCTGATGCCAAGTCCATATTCGGCACTGAAGATGTTGAAGAGATCCGAGACCGCGCGCTCATTTATTTTACTGGATCGCCGGATGGAGCTTCTTCAGTTGCGCGAATGTTCTTGGTCCCAGAACGACCATTTCTTCGATGTTTGGCTCGACACTCGCGGGCAGTCAGACGGCGATTCCGAGCCCATGCCTCCTGCACTGTCAGAATTTCGTGGTTTACATCAACGATTGAACGCGACGGGAAGAAGTGTCAAGAAGGCGAAACATCACCAGCTACCTGCACATAATCGATCGGGAACACGCGGTCCTATGGAGACATCTGGCTCGACGACTCGGCGCGGCCTCCATCGCTGGCCCGTGACGTTCAGCAAGTGCGGGGCATTCAGGCGCAGATGGATATGAGCGACGAGGCTCAACTCGCAAAGGAGGTGGGGCCTTTCTCCGCATAACTCCTCGAGCAGGACGGTGAGATGGGCAGCTCTTCGGATGAAAGCTACGGCGATGACTTTGCTGGTCAGGAAGACGAATACTTCTCGGGCGTTTAGACCAGCTTCTGATTTAGATTGAATTGGTGGAGCAAGTTAATGTTGGAACAATGGACATGGTCTTTGAAAACTAAAGTCGTCTCAATTGCGGTGGGTGAGAGTAATATCACCGTCTCAGAGAGAAATATTGTCAGACCTAATCTCTGGGCTGCGCCTGCCTTACTACTGCCGGGTGACGTTTCAGTTAAAGCGCATGCAAATGCTCGAGTACCTAGAATGTCTACCACATGAAAATGGGTGAGTGGGTTTGGTCAACATAGAGAATGTATCTCCCACCCTCGGACAGGGTTGAATAGCAAAGTTGGCATGTGCGTGCAAGCCCTTCTTCCGAACAAGATGGCTCGGCGGTGTCCCTTACCAGTGCCGGGTGACTTTTCAATCAAAGCGCATGCAAATGCTCCAGTACCTAGAATGTCTACCACATGAAAATGGGTGAGTGGGTTTGGGCAGTATAGAGAATGTATCTCCCACCCTCGGACAGGGTTGAATAGCAAAGTTGGCATGTGCGTGCAAGCCCTTCTTCCGAACAAGATGGCTCGGCGGCTCTCTCCCTCTGAGGATTCCCGCTCGAAGGATTCGACTTCCTGCCATGGCGCGGCCAAAGACCCTTTGGACCGATCCCGATCCCTGCTACTGAGCCTTGCGCCTGTTATAAGAAAAGCTTGGTGTCAAGATCTCAAGATCAAGTCTAGTCTATGCTTGACGGGGGCAGAAGTGCTGACAATTCATTTTAGTGCGGCGAATGCAAGAATTCTCTCTGCTTTGAGCACTCATCATGTGGCCTGAGGATTGGCGGCTTACCTCATTGACGAGAGGGAATGTTTATCAAGTAAAAGGTAGGTATGAGCGGCCATCGATCATGTCTCGGAGTCAAGTGAGGGTTTCGCTCCAAGAGCCTATTACAAGCCTAAGCCTTCCATGTTTTCACCGAACCTATGATCGAGTTCGACCCACCTCTCATCAAGCACGTACTTTGTCGCTACTTCGCTACTTACGACTGATTACCTACGTGTTCCGCTCCGCTTGCGCGTTCAGGGGCTCAGATCAGTTCGCATTCTTCTGGGAGCGCGCGCCGCTTGAAGTCAGCCGGCCGGGGGTCGTCACCGTGGCCCAGCAGCTCTGATTGGCACTTTGGCGAAGACCGAGCCCGGCCAGATGTAACCCTTGCCCGTTCACTTTAGTGCTAATAGATCATAAAAAGATGCTAACATACACTGCAATTAGTGGAAGCGCGTTGCGAATTCTGTTCATTCATTCTTTGCTCAAAGAGTCACTTCCGGAAAGCAGACGCTCCGTCTGGACCACGGGTCAGGGAGCACTCCATTCTCACTAGGCAATTCAACTCTACATAATACTTCGAAAACAACCCAGAACAAGAGTAATAATGTTTGTGAGCAGGATTACGTCACTGGCACATCTCACGTCAACAAGGAGAGGTCGATCTCGAGCGGCCCAGGGGAAGATTAGGCACGAAGGGCAACGAACAATCACCCTCTCCGCCTTTAGTCACCAAGAGCCGGATGCATATGAAGCAAAACTTTGAAATAAATATTGTGGTGGCCTGTGTTGTCCAACGAATGTTGGCCCTTCAACAGCCAAGATCTCCGCACCGCATGCGCGTCGACGAGTCTGGCTGGCGCTGAGAGCTCGGCCATCGTCACCTCACTCGCTGTCCTCGTCGGAGCTCGTGTTCCGAGTCCGCCGGTCAGCATCGCTGTCGCCGCCTTCATCGCCGTCGGCCGTTTTCTGTTCTGCACTTGACCCGATTACCTCTTCCTCCAGCCTGAAGCTCAGCTCGCCTGCACGCAGCAATGGGATGATCCGATCCAGGTCTGGTCCCAACAACTTAAGCTTGCCACTCGGGCTTCGGAAATCCGCTTTGCGAAGGAGCGCGCCGCGCTGAACAATGATTCTGGCGTTGTCCCTGAGGGCCTTTACGTCATAGACGAACTTGGGCGATTGGATCTTCTCGCCGTCCAGCACGGAGCGTCGGCGCAGCGCGGACTCTGAAGACAGCGAGCCGGGTCAAAATTAGTCACCGTGTATGGAAGAGTAGGCAGGCTGCACATCTTGTACTCACGGAACAGTTCTTTGAGGATGATGCTGTACCATTGGAATTTGGTCTCAACGTTCTTGTCAGCCACGGGTGCGTTCCAAGCTGTGCGCAGGTATTCGCTGATACACCCCTCCCTCCTGATGCGCGGCCTCCCTCCTCGTCTTGGGAAACTTGTGCGGCCCGCGACTTTTGGCGATCGCGAGCGGAAGGTGCAGTATTTGGCAAACCTGCCGCGTCAAAGACAATACCCGTGCCGTCAGGATTGTTCCCTCCTTGTTCGACCATGTTTGCGAGATTGTTGCTTGCTGGCGGAGCTAGATACGGGCCATCGATGCGTCCAGGATGGGAACGTGGGACGGTAAACTGGTTGGTTGGACGAAGCAGATCCCGGAGAAGATTGATAGTTGTACGACGCAGGATTCGAGATGGCCGTTACGCCAGCGGAAGTGGACGCTGGATCGGGTGCACGACGGTGTAACGTCAGAACAGACCGATACTGTACGCGATCGACGCGACGGCCACCCACGGACCCGAATAGTCGTTATATGCGGACTGGTAGGGAGTCCAAGGCGAGGTGCATGACGTGCATGACTCGTACCCAGAGGCAGCATATGAACCTATGTGTCAGATGTGATCGTGAGCCGGTAGTCCAATCAGAGCACCCGTGTCGATCGGCGGCAAACATACTGCTGTTCGTCGCCGGAGCGCCTGCGATTCGGGAGGTGGTTAAGTTGATTGGATTGACTCGTCATGATAGGAGCAGCAGAAGTATGACTAATCCGGTGTTTCGAAGTGGGCGTTCGTTTCAGACTGTCGCAAGACGGATGCTCATTGTATAGTTCGTTACTTCGTATACGTAGTAGGGGGCGATTGGGCAAAGCAGAAGAATGGGCGGTATGCGCGAGCGCGACGCGTCGCCGCCATCTCCAGCGTCTCCGGAGTCGTGACGCGTCGACGTCCCGGCCATCCCGGCCCCAATTGTTCCGCGCGACCCGTGCCGAATCACGTGTTCGAGGTAGAGCGCCTGTTCAGCTTGCAGAGGACAACAATAACTCTCGAAAAATCTCCAAAAATCCGAATACACTATTGTTCGCTGACTGCGCCTTTGTTCCCAGGTCTTCGATGGAGTTGTAGTGGGAGTGAACGTCTCGGCAACTCGACATCGAGGAGGGCATACCTGACCTGGGCCTAATTTGCTACCTGTGGTAGCAAGGTTGCAACCCGCCAGGCTTGTGGCTTGGAAGGCGCGTGGGAGGGCGCTGCGCGCGCGCCTGTTGAGGCGTACTTTTTATGTCTGCCCGAGGTGCGTAAGCAGCTTCCGAGGCGCGCAAATCGTAAAGAGCGGGGAGTGCGGGGTTCGGAATTTAGCTATGAAAATTGAAAAAATCAAAATTATTTTTCTGATTTTCTTTTTATTTTTGGAAAAATGCCAAAAAGCGCGCAGATTGAGTAGATTGCGCGCGCATGAGTGCGCTGGAGCGCGTGTAATACCCCCTCCGTGCGCGGATACGGTGGGGCGAGCGAGTCTAACAGCGAGCGAAACGCGCGTGGACCGCCAATAGGGGCCAGAAACAGATGTTTTTCCTGAAAAGCGCGCAACTCCGACGGATTCAGAGCGCGTTAGAGACCAAAAGTGCGTCCAAGGGATGCAAAGCTGTGAATGACGCGCGTATGAAGGCCCAATGGCGCGCAATTGCACGATTTTCGGCGCGCGCACAAACGAGTCGTAACGCGCAAATGGCCCCGGGCGCGCAGATCCATTTGTTGCCCAAACGGCGGCCCATATGCGCGCCAGTCGCAGAAGCATCACTGGCCGTGGTCGCGCCGGCGCCGTGCATGACGATCTGTCGCTGCTGCTGGTGAAGCAGGTCCGCGTCAAGTTGAAGGAGGAAAGGGAAGAAGAAGACACGCGATTGTCAGGTGGTTGGCGGTGTGACATGTGCTGGGTAGGTTGGTGGTCGTCGTACCCGTATCGAACCGAAGGCGCCGTCGTGCCCGAGCCCAGAGCGCCTCCGTGGTGATGTCCAAAGTCGGCCGAGGATGCCGTCGTCGGAGTCGGAGTCGAGTCGGTTCGGGCTCGTTTTGAGCTCGGCGGTCCGCCAAGCACGGGGGTCGACGACACTACTCCTGCTCCTGCTCGACCAGAAGTGCTCGACTCGTGAAGCATCGCCATCGCCCCTGACCAATTGACCAATGACCGTCGTCGAGCTGAGAGCGAGCGGCTTCAGCTGGACGCTAAAGACCGGGCGGGCGGGCGGACTTTGGAACTCGGTGAATTGCGCGCAAGTCCCAATCGTCGTCTTCGCAAGTGCACCGAAAGGCAAGAGATACGAATCGGACGTGCAATGGAGTGGAACGAGATGAGGGGGGAAAAGGGGGGGAAGGGGGGGGGCACACTTGGAAAGAAGACAGACAGACTAACAGCACGTAGGTGACTCTCTTGGGAGGACGTGAGGCGAAAAGTGCGGAGCGAAAACCAAATCACCGAAGCCTGTCCAGGAGAATCTGGCTGAACTGGGGCTGAGCGGCTCGATAACCCCGCGGCGGTTTCCGGGACGGACGGGACCTGAATCCGACGTCTGATCTTCTTCCTACCCCTCAATTTGGCTGACGATTGGGCTCGTTACGAAAGACGACGCACGAGTCTACCGAGTCGTCCAATTGGTCGGATCGTTGCCCACCGCGCCGTTGCGGGCCTCTAGTTGATCGGATTAGTCAACTCTTTGCAGATTGGCCTCATCTTCGGCGAGCACATTGCCGAGCTCAAACGCCAACCAGGACCCACAAGGCGATCAAAAAACACAACGATTAGACAGGTGTCTGGGAAACCTCCTGGTTGTTTTCATTATTTTCAACTTGGGAAGGATTCGGGTCTATCAGAGAGAAACGGCCAGAAGAAGTAAAGACATAAGGTGCCACCCTGATTATCGGCGGACGAGAGAAGCGCCAGCGAGCATATCGGTGTCCTGCTGGCGCGGGGCGCGTAACCTTAAAAGCTTGTTCCGAGCTGATTCATTTTCACACGAACGCTTGGACCTCTACACCCGTTTCCAGCATGCACGAGAGGTGCATGTTTTGGAACATTTGTTCACTTTCGGGTTCACTAGAAATACTCGAGAACCGGGGGACCGTCAAGGCAGGGAACCCAAGAAACTACAGCACGAACTTTCCTCCGGCGCGTTGACATGCCGAAAACACTCTCGATACACATACCAAAAAAAAAAGGAAAATAGTGGTCAACAACGTTTGAAGACTCCAGAGTCACTCTTTTTCAGATATGTTAGGTACCGAGAACGTGACTATCGTCGAACGATGGAATAGGACCCAATCGCAGCATGGCACCGGAAGACGAGCCGGTGTGATGCATAGAAGGATTGGAGCCAGAAGCGCTTCATCTTTACCCATCGTATCATTTTCCTCGAGTGATCGCTCATCAGCGACAACAAGCGCTTGTTGAACCAGCCCACTTCAAAAATTCAAGCCAGAAGCAACGGTCCGGGGCGTGGGCGCCACGAGCGTTCGAGTGACCTTCGCCTGCATTAGAGTGATCGACCACTCGCGCGACGGTTTACTCGAGGCAAGTGCAACGACTCGAATGGGACCTCGTTGCTCGATGCACGACACGTTGTTGCTCGCAACGCAACGCAGCTCGTGCCCAGCAGAGGCCTAATAATAAATCGAGATCTGATCCACGTAATCTGATCAAGAAGCGTCGTCTGATCACGACTTGGAGGCGGTCGAGCAGACCTGCCTGAACGAGATGGGGCGTTTTCGATCACCGGTGAGGCTGCTCGGTCAAGTCGCCGACACCCGTCGTCGTCCTGAGGCCGTGTTTGTAAATGGCCGTATCGGTCCAAATCGACGTTTTTCTGTCTTACGAGCCCATAATGTTGGATTTCTACATCTTCTTTGATTCCAAGCACTGCGCACCGCCTATACACCTGTGCTTCAGAAACCACTCTTCAGTGAGGCGGGAACATCATTTACCCGCGCAAATTTATTTAGCCGCGCGCCTGCGTCTTTCTCTGTTTCTATTTTTATTTTTGTTCGTTAGATTTCGAAAACAGCATAACTACTGTATTGCCTAGAAGTCGTCGGAAAAGGCCGAACAGGTGCATTTAGGCACACTGACTAAGCCCGTCTCCGGAACATCGGCCTTTTAGCATCATTTTCATGCAGACGCAGCGTTTCACCACGTTCACGGTGCATTCGCAGCACACAGTCAAAGACTATCCCACTTACTTAATCAGGCCCGCAGAGATATCTTGGGAAGAGGCACTCGATAGCCCTACTAACATGTCCTGCTGCATACGATCTAAAGAGAATTGTCTCGGGGCTCCTCCAGCAACGCTTCACCGCTCATTGGTTGAGCGCGGATCAACAAGCGCCCACTCGGCCTCCGCCACGCAGTCTCAGAAGGATACTTTGCGTAAATTAAACCTACAACCTCGGTACCTTCCAGATTCCTCCCTCTATACCAAGAGTGATGACACCTTTCTTTGTTCTGCAATATTACCTTGCTTACCGACTTTGAAAGACCCAAGGACATGGGAGAGAACAAGGTGGACCTCTGTGAGGGCGAAATTGCGAAGCGGCGATCACAGGGCGAAGTCGACGAACGACGAAGAAAAGACGGTGAAGCGCTTGAGTTGAGTTGCAGGGGATAATGCAACTACAGTTGGTAGATAAGATGTGTACGAGATGGATCGGTAACTAGGCGAGGGGTTGATTCCAGTTAACGATGGCGAGAAAAAGCTAAAGAGAAAACGAGAGCTATCCGGGCGTAAGGCCATCTTGCGCGCGGATCCAAGGGTGACGTTGAGGTCGGAGCGAGACGGCCGCCTTACAACCTCCGCGGAGTTGCCTTGCGACGGGCTCATGGCAGCTGATGGTGAACTCCTTTGAAGCTGCGGAGCAACCACTTCACCCAGCTCTGACGACTTTCGAGTACAAACTCCTACTTGTATTCGCTAAAGGAGTCTGGATCGCGCTGAGCCACTTGATTGCGCTTCGGGAACCTTTAGCTGTCGAGTGGCGAGCGCGAGCGGTTGACGAGTACGGCAGGGGGTCTCAATCAAGCACCCTCCGAGTCAAATGTCTCAGGCTCAAGTCGAGAAAGTTTCCTGGTGCTCGTGAACGGGACTTAGGCTGAGGAATGATGCTGGAGGTTGCTGACCATGTTTGAGCCCAAAGATGCAACTTTTGCAATGTACGCAGCATCAACAACTCCGAAGTACGGCGGGCGCTGTTTCGGCGACAAATTGGCGAACCGTTGGCCAAACTGAATCTGAGACACACGCGGCGACCGCTGTTCGGATACCGCGAGACTGCTGCGGTGGAACAGCGCTGGCGCCGATGCGCAAGGAACCGTCGACACTGTGATAATTAATCCGCCCGGCCATCTAACACATTGAAATGCCGATCATGATTGTTTCAAGCTCAAAGGCCTCGCTTCGCCGCTGCCTTTCGTCGTAAAGGCGAGAGCTGCAGTGGGCCGAGACACTGCGAGCTACAGAGTCGATCTCGTGAGGCCAGCGGCCGACCAGGGAGTCGCGTGCTTGCTTCGACACTACACCAACTCTCTTAACCCGCCCAAGGTTCGACGAAGAGAGGTTACCCTCGTTTTGTGACAGCTGGGAAGTGGTCCCTCTGTTGCACTACTCACCCACCCCAGCTTCGACCGCCGACTCGGTCTCGAAGCTCACACGGCCGCGCCGCGCGCTCTTCGCTTACTTCCAGTCGTGGATCGCATTTGAGACGCACGAAGGCAGTTCGATATCTCGAAGGAGCGTTCAGACTGTAACGAAAAGGCTCACGACCTGTTCTTCACTTGATTCTCGCGTCTAAATCCTCGAAAAGACCGCTTTCTCTACGATGTAAGTGCAGTCTGTCCGTCTCGAACCTTGGCGCACGAGGTCCCTAATGAGATGAGCGCCGCCCGCGAGCGTCGAGGTTTGAGCCACCGAGTCTGCGATGCAAAGCACCACCGGACTTGAGTCTCGAGAGCTCGACCGCGCCCTCGGCTGCATACGAGATTTGTATTGTGCTCGAGTTGACGGAACATTTACTTTTTCTCGTTTTCAAAACTCGTCCATGTCCAGCAATGGTACTCTCGAGCGCTGTGCCGATGCCACCCTCGCGAGCTGGATCGCCGGAACAAGAGCTCCGCCGCTCGGCGGTACCTCGGACTTCGTTCTCCGCTCCTCGGGGCATCGCAATCGGAACGGTGGCGCACCAGCACGGTACGAATGATGACCCTGCATTGGTACCACTGCCTCCGTCACCCGAAGAGGCGGGATCATCTCCGTTCCTTCCTTCGAATCGACCTTTTCGGTCACGGAGACCGAGCCCTACGGGACCGATCGTGATTCCTCCGCGTGCGGTTTTGCAGGAGCCGTACTACGTCACGCCCTCTCCCATCCCCAGCGTATCGACATCCAGCTCGATCTGGCCACCTCCACCCCCAGCGTCGCAACCGCGTGGACCCCGTCTGGACGTGCCTGTCTCGAGTGTGCCTTTCAATCCAGGATGGACGACACCTTTTCCTTCCGTCCAACTGGAAGCCTCGCCTCCGCGACCGAAACGACCTGCAAGACCTGACGAAGCCTTGATGTTTGCTTCGCCACTCCCTTTTCCTGGCTACGAGCAGCTGATGCAATCACCGACTTCGGACACCACCGCCGTCCACGGCGGGATCCGCGAGCGCGTTGACCTCTCCACATTTCTGCACGAAACGACGCACGCTGCCTCCCCATCGGTGGCTGCTCGATCTCCCATCTCCCCCATTAGCTCGACGCACTCGTTCGGTCGGGTATCGCCATCGAAGCGTCGAAAACCTGTGCCCAAATACGAATCTTCGCCCGTGCGCCGAGGTCCAGCTTCACCCAGGGGCGCTCCGCCACCGACGTCGCCGGCTCGTAGTGCGAGGGGTCAGGGAATTCCAGCGACACCGAATAGACTCAGCATTGGAGGATTCGAAGCTCTTCTCGCGCGTGGAGTACCTCCTGTCTCCTCATTCGTGGGCGCCGGGCGTAAACGAGGACTGGGGGATGTCGACGAGGAAGATCTCGCGGCGCCGCGACACCGTAGCGCATTCGCGACCGATGAGTCGCCCAAGGACGGCAAGCGAAGGGCTACTTTTCACGGGGATGGCATCGGGTTCGAAATGGACCCTGACGATAATACAAATACGCATACTTCGGGGCTGATAGGGTCGCGCAAGACTGACAACAAGACCTTTTCGTGGTCCGAAAAGCTGCGACAAAGTCCCTGGATTCCCGCATGGACGGCTCGGAAAGACACAACCGGTCGACGGGCTTCTCGCGAGAATGTTTCCCGTGACGTCGGCATCGCCCCCGTTTTGGCCACGAGCGACAACCCCGGCTCAATACAAGTCATCTCTCACAACACATGGAAAAAACAAGCACCTTCGACAGCAGCCAAGGTGAACCGCAACTTTGTCTCGCTACCACTGCACAACACGCCGCAACAAAGTGGTGGCATGAGACGTCGAAGCAGTGCTGTACATCGAGAAGAAGAAAAAGCCAACAAGGGCCTGGGAGAGGTGATCGTGATGCCGGGCTCGTGGGAAAACGAGAGTATCTACGCTCCCGAGCCGCAACGCGAGCTAATTCTGCATCCTATGCGGATCAAGATGAGCGCACTCGACTATCGAAACCGACTTATGCGACTAGTCTATCTCTTTTACTCGCTGCTCATCGTATTCCCCATTCCAGCGACCCTCTTCCTCGACTACAACGTCATCTACGCGCTCGTGCAGATTGCCCTGTCGCCTTCCTTACCGACTGCGTCCGTTTTGACTCGACGGGATCTCGTCGGTGTGCCTACGCTAAGGTCGAGCACTCCCTGGTGGATTGCGACGGGACTATACGCGGGGTGCACTATGCTCTGGATTTTTGTCGTATGCATCTGGTTGGGCTTTGTTCGGGGATACGTGCGGCACTGGCACAGGGGTGATGTGGCGATCACCAAAGTGTATCAAAACTTGACGTGAGTGATGCGTTTTTCAGGCGATGTAGGACGGCGCTAATGAACTGACTACCCCCATTCAACAGCTCCTTCCACTCTGCATCTTTATCATCCTTCTCGACCTTCTCGATGTTGTGGCGTGTTCGTCTCGCCCCATTGCTGCGCTCGAGTATCTTGTCCAAGTCGGTCGTGGGGAATCGGCGATCGGATTGGTTCATTGAGACGTGCCACTACTACCGTCAAGGTGAGCATCGCTGTTCCATCGAACACCTGGAAGGTATGGAGCTGACCTGAGTATCGCTCGTCGACCTAGGCTGGCCGACACTCTTGCTTCTGGCACCGAGAGCCGGACTCTCGCTGGCGCTCCTCCTCCTTTTCGGCACGACGGCATACGGCTCTGCGAGCGCAGTAGCTTCGAGTCGAGACACGGCCTACTTCAACCGTGATGGAACATTGACTTCATTCTCGGTCGGATTCCTGATGGCGTAAGTTCACAGTTCTTCTCACATTCGATAGCTCGAGAACGAAATTTGACCTCTCGCCAATCTGTCTACAGTAACCTCGTTTGGGCCGCCTGGCACCTACTCTTGTGGTCCCTAGCCGTCGTCGGCATTGGCCTCTACAAGCTCTTCCCGTCGTCGTCGCATCCTTTCACGGCGGCCTCCGACTCATCTCTCCTGGACCTCACTCGTACGGTATCGTCCGACTCGGGCCAGCCCTCCGATTGGCGCTCTCGACGGGACCGGCGATTGCGCGCAGCGATCTTGTTGTGCCTCCCCCGCTCGAGTCGATCGTTCTCATCACTTTCTGCAAGGCATACCTCCGAATCCAAGGGCGGGCCCTTTCATGCCAAGTCCATTTCGTCACCCGAGTTGCTCCAAGCGCCTCCCCGACCCGCACCGCTTGGACTCGCTCCCCAAAGTGTCCGTGTGGCGAAGCGCGACGAACGAGCTGGATCCACAGCTGGGAAGGAGAAGGAGAACCGTACGATGCATATGGACGCCACGCAGAGGCAAAAGATGGCTGACCTGGATTACGAGCGTCGTAAGCTCGCGCGTGACGATGCTGCGGCGACACTGTCGGGTCAGCAGCCCATGGCTTCCTCGCCTCCTGGCGTGCGTTTCCCTTACGTCCTTCCCACACCTCGCATCAGCGAGACGCCTTTCATGAGCCGCGAGATGAATACATTCAGCGACGAAGCTGTTCGCGTCCCGTTGCCCGAAACGAGTCCAGAGCCAACGACGAGGGGCATCTCGAGCCCTCTTGGCCTGGTCAGCCCTTCGACGCGACAAAGACGGTTCGCTGCGCGATCGCCGGCCGCTCCCCAGCTGCGACTCGACCTCAGTGCTGTGGCGGATGAGTCGAACCTTCTCCGCCCTCCACTCAAATCGCACTTTTCTCTCGCCTCGGACCTGACGGGCGTCGCCAAAACCTCTTCACCTACGACCCCGGGTGGTGTGGACTTTTTCACAGGGCCTCCGGCGACGATGCGACTCGCCGAGTCGGAAGCGACCCGACCCTCGGCAGGTTAGTCCCACCCTCACCGTTCGCATTGCACTCCCCTCCCTCTTTTCCTTCCTCGGCCACTGACCCAGCGACGTCCCCGATCGACGTCTCCCGCACCCCCAACCTCAGCGGTGTTGGCGAGGGAGAAGACTGGAATGCCGCAGCAGCGACGACGATGCACGTTCGGGAACTACAAGCGACGCGCAACCTGACGGACACGGTTATTGAGCGTCGACGCATCTCCGAGCGCCTGCTCCTAGAAGTGCAAAGGCTCGGCGAGGCGGAGGAAGCTGTCCGACGCGAGGAGCGTCGACTTGCGTCGTTGAGGCGTATCGGCGAGGTTTCGTCGGCGGGGATCATGCAGACTGGCCTCGGGGTTACGATTCAATCCCCTTCCATCGCTAGTACCCGAGATGCGTCATCACCCGTGCAGCAAGAACGATCGCCGGCCCTACCATTCACTCCGCAACTTGGTTCTCTCGAGGTTACGCCTCGCATGTCGGAGATGGCGTCAAACAATGATCCTTCTCAAGCGCTGCTCCCGCCGTTTCGTTTTTCCTATAGCTCCCCCGATACGACTCAAGCCGGTCTAGCGATCGACACGGACCCGGACCCTGGACCTGCAACAGGTGACGACTCGTCCAGGTCTCTGAACCCCGCCGCGGCACTCTTGACGACGGCGACGATCAGCGAAGCCAAGCCGGTGTAGACCGCTACAACGTCGGTACCAGCGTCGCTCCACGGCCATCCCCGCCCTCTCTCGGCGGAAGGTCCCCTTACGCCTTACCTCAAGCTTCGACAAGCACGGGCACGTTCGGCATCGCCAAGTCTCGCGAGTCGAGGATCAACACTGACGGAGGAGTAGGCGAACCGATCCCCGAAGTGCCAGAGACGGGCCCTTCTTCTTCGTCATAGACACTATTACTTTCTCTTCTTCACCTATACCCCATTTTTACTCGCTTTGCCCTGCCTCTTCTTCGCTCCACATTATACGGCCGGAACGAATAATATATGCCTTTATTCTTTGGACTCTCTGGTTCTCTTTTCATATCTCCTCTCTCCTCCAAGTAGTCGAGGTTTGACGTAGTGCTTCATCATCATGTAACCTGAATGACATCTCGCGCACGTATTGGCCCCAGCGCGAGCTCGTTTTTTTTGAAGAGTGCTGAGAATCTGAATTGCAAATGATCTGACAAACAACTACGACTGACCCAACAACTAGGACCCGAAAGTACTCAGACCAAAAAGTCGGCGACGCGTTTCGTCGTCCTGACGGCATTGGAGAACCCTTCATGGAAACGGTAGACGGCCTTGATCGCTCGTGGTTGGACGACAAAGTTGACTGGTTAATATGAAGGCACGTGAAGTGTGTTAGTGATCGAATATGGGGGGGCAGAGTGTGGGAAAGGAAGGAATTTTACCCTGCGGACCTTCCGAAGCGGCGACGGGTTTGGCCACGATGGCCCGACCGAAGAAATCGACGGCTTCCTTCACGCCCGAAGCGGCACCGTTCGCAGCATTTGGTTTTCTGAAGTCGCGCCCCAGAGAGATGAACGTTTCAGCCCCCGAAACAATCCTATGCGACTTGTGCAAAGCACTCACACGTTGTAAGCCGCCAGGATATCTCCAGCCGTCGTCTTGGTCGCCGCGGCGGCACCGTGCCTCTCGCTCCTCCGAATGACCTCGGCTTCCATCTCTCTCGTGACGAGATGTCGAACGGCATACCTCGACGCCGCGATATCGGTCGCTCGCTTCCCTTCAAAATGAACAAAGACGTCGATGGGTCTGCTCGTGGCGCCGAGAGCGGTCAGCCTATCGCAATGACCAAAGCCGGACCAAAGCGAGCTCATCCGAACTCACGGTTCCAACTTGTACATCAACTGCCCCTCCTCATTCTTATCCTGCACGAACGCCAAACCTAAAGCCAACATCGTATTGACCAAGTTGATCAACACGATCCTATCCTCGGCCTTGATCAATTGGCTATTGATGGGTTTCAATTGGGGGGAGAGGATGCGATTGAGGAGAGGGAGTAGTTCGGCGGATACGTTGGGGCCTGTGAAGAGCGATTTGAGGCCTTGGGGCAGTTGCGAGGAGAAGGTTTGCACAATCTCTTGGTGCGCGATGCGTTTGAGGTAGGCCTGCGAAAGAAAGAGTCGGTTCCCAGAATTATCAGCGATGATGCGCAGCGAACGGTAAAACGGAAAAACGTACCTCGTAATCGGCTTTGGGGAACTCGAGCGGGATCGTCGAATGACTACTAAACAACTTGTACCACGGCGCAAATGCATACGGCACGTAACCCAACAACTCGTAATCCCGATCAGACCTCAGCCTCCCATCCAAACGATCATACAAGAAGAGCCAATCCAGCGCCTCGTTGATCCTCGGCCAGGTGTCGGTCAATTGTTTCGCGCTGAGATAATTCTCGAAACATCCTTGCGAGATCTTTTCGTATTCACCACAGGTTTGGACGTCGCGTGTGATACGGTTGACGAACCGATCATCGGAATTGCCCCCACCCTTTTTGCGAGGAGGTTTCTTAAACAGCCGGTTGATGACTTGGGTCGCCGAAGTACCCGTGTCTTTGAGGCCTACGATCGTCGATCGGATCGCTTCCTCATCGACGTGCGTACTTCGCCGTTTGATGAACTGTGGATACAAAAGACCTCTCGACTTCAGCCATCCTATCTCGCGAAGAGCACACCGACGTGTCGAGTTCCCATGCCACCTACCTGTAAAGTATTGAGACAACTCCTCAGATCCCCCTCTGCGACCTCGGCCAACATGGTCAAGTTCTTCGAATCGGCGCCGAGACCTTCCTCGTCGCAGATCGTCCTCAAGCGCTTGACTAGCATCGTGTTCGTCGGTGCCGAGAAACGCACGATCTTGGCCATTGGTCGAAGAGGACGTAGAGTTGGTGCGTAGCTGAGCGAGTACAACTGCATAATCAGTGCCTACGAGTTTCAGAAGGTTTGGTTGAGATACGCACAGGTCATTGCAGATGCAAATGATGGGTCGCAGCAGCGGCCGATCCTTTTTACCCTTTCCTCGGTATTTCCTGTTCGAGCTCCCCTCATTGACCAACTTGACCAAAGTCCTGACGAAGCTCTATGCCGACGCAAAACACCAAGATTCAGCACTCATTCGTAACGGCGTTGGACTGCCCCCACTTCACCGAACACTCACCGACTCGCCCCCACCTCCCGCCCCATCCACCTCATCGATAATTACACAAGTCGGTTTATTCCCCTTCAACCTTCCATCCATCGTCAATGCCGTACTCTCCAATGCGTTCCGAATGCGATCCTCGACCACTTTACCCGTTCGATCGTCCGAGGCGTTGACTTCGAGGACTTGGTAACCCGCTTGTTGGGCCAGGACGTAGGCCAGGGTCGTTTTTCCCAATCCGGGTGGTCCGCATAGGAGCATGACCTAGTGACAAAAAAAAGGGGGGGGGGGGGGGGGCGCGGATCAGAAAACCCTCTCAACCTCTCCCTAACGTCAGGCAAACACCACTCACCTTCTCCTGCGGTCTCCCATAAGGGTCCGAATACACCATCCCACCCTCCCCCACACCCCCATCCTTTCCTGCCCCTGCCCCTCCAAAACCTCCTTCCCTAGCCCTCTTCTTCCTCCTCTCCCTCCTCAGCTCGGCAGCAGCGTTGTTTTTGCCCTGGTGGTTCTTGAATACGCATTGGTCCCATTCTTTGAGCCATAGGAGGGCCGAACGGTGGATGCGCTGTTGGGAAAAGGTCGAGCTCATGCTAAAGTGAGTGCATGTCCAAAAGCACGCGTGGTCTTGAGGGACTCGCCTCATCGCCCAACAGATCGGTGAACCTCTTGGGTTTATACCGATCGGTCCAAAGTGTCGTCTCGGGTGAATTCATCCCAACGTCGTCCTTGACCAGATGCGCATTCGTACTATACCAACCACGAGCAACGGACCAACACACATCAGCATCTTCAACTCCATCCCGCCTCGACCGAGAAGCAACGCACGCATCAGCCTCGAATTGCTTGCGCGCCAAGATATGCTCCTGCTGAATTTGTTCGACCATACGATGGTACGGCGTTTCGAGCATCGAATGTGCCAATCTCTCCAGCGCTTCGGCATCTTCCTTCTGTTGAACGAACACCAACATTTCCCGCTCGGTCTGTCAGCACGCTCTCCCCGACCGCCTCGAAAATGATCCGAAAATTTGCTGCTCATCTGCGGTGGAAACGAACCTTGGCCTGCGTCGTATACTGATACATCTCCAACTTTTTCCTCCTCCCGAACCTGACCGTCTTGCCGTCCAACGTCGTTGCTGAAACAGGCACGGTCTCGAGGTAGCCGGGTTTTGAGAGGGAGAGGTTGAGGTTGGTCAGATCGGAGAAGGGGGTCGTGTAGTCGTGGGTTGATGAGGTGGTGCGTGAGGCGATAGGAAGGGCTGAGACGGCGGGCGGAGATGAGGTGCTGGATGGGTAAGCTGCTGTCGAATGAAAAGATAGCGGGATCAGCTTGGCTTCCCCTCAAGCGTACAACGTACAACCAAGTCGCTGCAGTCGCTGCACGGCACTGACCGGCTGCTCGACCCAATCCGAACTCCCCGACCGCCTCGACCTCATCCTCATCCATCGCACCAAAGCCGTCCTCCTCTTCAAACACAGTCGCCTTCCCCTTTCCCCAACTCGAACGTGCGCCCACTCCCATCTGTAAACACTGCTGCCCAATCCCAATCCCAATCCCATTTCCCTTCGTAGCGTCCTCCGAGCGTACTCGATCGAGCTCGTTCCCGTCGGACGCGTCGACGCGCGTCTCGTTCCATGACCAAGTCGATGATCCACTGGCCACCACCGTTCGACTCGCCCTGGGTCTTTGTTGTTCCTCTTCTTCGACTTCAGCCATAGCGATCGCGTCTTCGAAATCGGGATCGGGTTCAAAGATCATGTCGACGCCTGTTTTTGTTGAGGGGTCGTAGAAATCGGGCGAGGAGATAAGGATGGAGGCGAAACTCGATCGCGAGTCACGACGCGTCGAGTTTAAGACTTGGCGCGCGCGCACGGACCCTCATCCAGCTCGACCACCCACCTCCAGAATGGACAGGTTGATCACAAACCAGGAGAATCGAGAACATCTCCAATTACACCAAGAAGAAAATACACTACCCAGGAACAGACCTCCCCAACGACGCCCAACCTAAATCGTCAACCCCGCCATCGCCGCGGCCTGCCTCGTCTGCTCCTGCTGCCGCTGCTGCTGCTGTTGCTGATCACCTCCCTCGAAAGACACTCGGATACTAGGTTCTTCACCACCACCACCACCTTGTGCATGTTCTTGATCCAATTGAGCCTGGGCTAGATCGCGGGCTTTTTGGATGGCTAGAGATCGCGCGCTCATCCGATGGGAAATGTATTCCTGACCGATGATTCTGCACCAATTCTCAACGAACTTGTCAATGACGAACCGGTCCGGAACACACACAAAAAAAAAACAAGTGGATGCACTCACTCGACCGATCTCCTTATCACCTCAACCATCACATCCTCGACCCACTCGTTCTCCTCGAAAGGGATGTCCAACCAATTCGCCGGTAAGCTCTGACTCAAACTGACGTGCTTCAACCCGTGCGTGGGGTCGTTCAAGACCAAGAGGAAGAAGAGCGCCTTTGCTGATGAGGTTGTGACAGAGCCTTCGGTTGGTGAGATGGTCGTAAGAGAAGGAGGGAGGAAAGGGATCGGTGCGAGACAGGGTTGAATGCGCATGTAGATGGGACAGGTCGTAACGGGGATGGTGATGCCCCCCTCTGCGGCATTCGAGTTGTTCGCATTCGGAGCAGATGAAGGCTTGAACGTCGTCTTGATCAATTGGTCCAAATTGGCCTGTGAGACTTCCACACCGTCAGGAACTGCAGACACTGTGCAGGTTCAAAGCGTCGGCTCCTGAGGATGCTACGGAATGAGAACTCACCTCGGCCAGTTTCCAGGCCGCTTCAAGCCCTTCGACGAGGTTGAGATCGCGTTCCTCGTCGTTGGACTCGGAGTGGCGTTGCGTTCCTTGATCGCCCTTGTTGACAATCAAGGTCCCTCCTTCGACTTGCTCCATGACCTGACGACACAAGGCATCAGGTCCGAAGTTCAATCGCCTGGACCGATCCTCGCGCACTCACTTTGGACAAACTACTGTACACCAACTGCTCGACGCCATCGTACCCAATCATATCATGGCTCAAGCTAACCTTCAACAGCTCATGTTCGGCAATTGGCGGCGCGACCGCATTGATCAAATCCGTCAGGCTCTTCAACGTCGAACTTTTGAGGTCTTTACCTAATTGATCGAAATGAACGTTCGAGGCGAGGCCCATGACTTTTTTCGCTTGTTCGTTCTCGCCGAGGGCTTTGATCAGTCCTCCGGGTAGGGAGGAGAGTCCACCTTCTTTGGCTTGTTGGGTCGCGGATAGGACTTGTTCCTCTGCGACGGTGCGAGCGTGGGCGACGACGTGTGAAGCTTGTTGCACCACGTTCGACGCCTGGGACCACATCGAGGACCAGCCCCACCCTCCAGCATTGTTGTTCGCTGCCGCTCCGTCGTTCGAGCTGGGCGCTGTCGCATGGGTCGTGGTAAATGAAGACAGATTCTGTTGATGGGTCGGAGGCGAAGTGCTCAACGCATTCGAGCTATTGGACGCCGGAATACGGGTCGACCTAACGCTATCGGTGCTCCTCCTAGGTGGTGGCGCGGACGAAGCGGTGGACTGAATGCTCGTCCTACTCGTACTACGACTCAAAGATGATGGCGCGGGTCCACCTCCCGTCGTTCGAGGTGCGGGCAAAGGCCTCGCCTGTACGGGATGGGTCGGGGTCGAGGAACGTTGGGTGATCTCGTCGAGAAAGTCGAGGACGGATTGGGCTTCGGTCGCGTTGCTGTTGGCCGTCGCGGGGGTGGCTGTCGACGAGGAGGCTGGGTTCGCAGAGGAAGGAGCGGTGGCTGCGTTGCCCGGAGTTCCGGTCGAGATGCTCAAAGAAGAATTGTTCTGGGATGCGCGGAGTGAGCCCTGTGGTGGGGGTGCTCCTGCTGCTGCTCCGGTCGCGCCTCGGGTGTTGGTCGAGTTGGAGAGCGTGCGCGCGGTGGCCGTACGCGAATTGGCCGACGAAGCCAGCACCGACGGAGCGGAAGCACGAACCGACCCCGAGCTAGTCGTACTAGTCGTACTAGTCGTCGGCTTGGGGTTGGAATAGTCGTCGAGCGATTCGAGGAACTGCAACACGTCGTCCCTGCGCGGTGGGAAGAGCCACGCACGAGCCAAGTGGGGGGGGCGGTCGTGGAGGTGGCGCTCGTCCAAGCGTCAGCGAACGTGGTCAGCGTGTACACGTCGCCGCGTGTTCTCCTACCTCGCATGTCCTCCACCACTCGAGGGGGCCCCTGTTCGGGAAGACGACGTGGGTCTGTTGGTGCTGCTGTTGAGGTTCGACATGGCTGTCTGTCTTGCTGCGCGTTTCAAAGTGTGTGCACGCGGGCCAAGACAGAGTCGCCGCGCGCGGGGGCACGTCGTGCACCGGGCCCTCACTGGTTACAGCTGGTTACTAGGTCAAATCAGCTTTACATAGATAGAAACGGGAGCTTGCAAAAAAGTCCGTTTTCAGTCGCACGCCGGCCCATCGCTCGCAAAAACGACGGCCACACCTTGAACGATGTGATGGCTATTATCATACACTGCACTATGCTCATGCTCTACTTGTCCCGCTTGGCCACCGCGAAATGAGCCGCCGGTTTATTCCTCCCCGAAGCCAAAGGTCGAGCGAGCGTAGCTGTGTGCAAGACACACAATGCTGACTCATCAGTTTCTCGATCCCACTCCACAAGTAGAGCTCGATCTCACTCACGAGCCTTCCTCGTCCCCTCGGCCTGCAGCAACAACTGCCTCTTCTTATTCCTCCGCATCTCGTGCTCGCTCACCTCCTTGGCCCCATCATCCATCCCCAAACCCAGTAGCATCTTGCTCTCCTTGCTCATCCCTTTCTTGCCGTCCTTTCTTCGTTTTCGAGAATCCTCGGGTATGGGACGGGGTTTACCTTGGTCCAAGACGGCAACTTTACGTTTGGTCGAGTAGAGACGCGAGGTGAGGAATTTGGCCGCCGAGGTGTGCGAGGGAAGGGCGGTGGTGGCGAGGGAGGCGGGTGTCCGACTTGTTGTGACCAAATGTTGGATCGTCACCTCACTGAATTAAAGGATCAAGCACGAATCAGCGTTTCTGATAGTACGAGCTCATTTCCAGGTCACCGTGTCCCAACGCACCCGACCTGTCGACTCCCCCCCTCTTTCACTTCCCTCTCCCTCTCCTCCTTTCTCTCCCTCGCCAACCTCTTCTCCTCCTTTGCCCTCAACTTTGCCCCTCTCTTCCCTTCCCCCGGTCCAACTTGAGGTGCAGGTTTGTACAATTCACCCGCTTGAGCGAACAGGCTCGGGTCAAGGTAAGAATGTTTTGCCTGGGGGACGGAGGAGGAGGAAGTCGAGGCTTGTGGTGACAAAGGTTCTTCTTGCTCGTGTTCGGGAACATCTTTTTCCTCTGAAGCGAATTCATCCTCTTTCTCGACTTGTTCCTGCTTCAGTCGTGACAACTTGGCCGCCTTCAATTTGCGATCGCGTTCCTGATTCTTCTTCCTCTGTTGTTCCTTCGCACTGTCAAAAGTTGCGCGAGGTCGTAATCCGGTACAGCCCTCAGTTCAGTGGAAAAAAGGGGTTCCGTGTAAGATCATCAAATCCAGACTGACCTCCTCCCCCTCTCTCCCTCCTGGCGTTGCTGCTCCAATCGGATCGACTTGGCCGTCGACAACGATACCTCCTCGGGCGCTTCATCGTCCGAACTGGCATCGGAGTCGTCCGAGTCGGATTGAGATAGTGTCGGTGGTTGAGGGTGCCGGCTGATTGGTGCCATGAGTCGAGGTTGTAGTGGGTTGTGGTATGCGGAGGATGAGAGCGCGCGAGGACGGGATTGGCGAGGTGGCTGCGAAGCTCAATAACGGCGCTTACGATCGGAGGCTATGTCTAATCCCGTGGAATACTCGCGCAAGTCGGCTACATACTAAAAGCCAAGGAACGGTCCCGAGCGGGCTTCAAGGGCTGCATGTGAATTTGACTAACTAAGTAACTGACTCCTCTGTGATGACAATCGAGCATTGTTTTTTTTTTCCGACGAAATGACTTGGGATTTTTTTTCTCTTTCCGGCGGTCGACAAGATTGTACGGGATCCACACGCTAGTACCAGAGTCTCCAAGTGTACTTCAAGTCATTCCGAGCCCTCGACCAAACTTTGTGGGGGTGGTCCTTCCACGCTCAAACCGGCGATCGAGCAACAACAACGGACTTTACTCTCAATCTCCGATCCCCTTGGATTCTCCACTCGAGAGAGAGAGAGAGAGCCATACTCGAGACGTAACATCTCCATCCGGAGCGCAGATCACGTGAGCGCGCTTCCCTTCCGATCGCCGAGGACTCGCGCGCGCGCGATGATTGAAGCGAGCGCTCGTTGTTTCCTCCCTCACACCCACCTTCCAACAACATCGCACTTTCCACCGGAACCCCCGTGACGCAATCATGATTGTACGAAGTACAACCCACAAGGCCTTGTACCTGAGATCAGGTGAATAGATTCCTTCCCTGGCAAAGATCCTCCCCCGCTCGCCTCATGGGGAGTGTCTTGCACTTCGCTTGCGTCGCCGTCAGCTACTACCTCGAGTCCGCTAAAAGCATAACAAAAATTTTCTGCCATCCAGCTACACCAATTCGCGCATCTTTTCCATCGAGCACACTAGATCGCTCGTCCTCCTCAAATCGGCTTGGATCGCACCGAACCTTGGGGTTCACATCTTCGAGCACGCCGGTAGTAGTAGTAGAGCGATCGAGCTGGCGTGAATACAGTTCGAGTTCCTCGTCAGCTAGCAGCGTGGTTGGTGATGGGAGGAAGAACTTGAACGAGCAGCAACATCGAGCGGATGCACTGTCGTCTGCCTTCATCAACGCCTCGATGCCTTCCACGGACACCAACGGGCCCTCAGCCTCACCCCCATCCGAAGAATCAGCCGAAGCCGAAGCCGAGCCGGCTCTTCACTCGAGCTCGTCCTTCCTCGCCGCCCAAGCCGAACTCGAAGAAGAGCGCGAAGTCGAAGAAATTGGCGAACGTCTCAAGGCTCAGAAGAAACTCGAGGCGAAAATTCAAGGTCAACTCGAAGCTTGGGATGGGGAGGAGACGAGGGAGAGGATGATCAGGAGGATATTGCAGGATCAGTATAAGCCTTTGAGGGTCAAGGTGAGTCATAACGGTCTAAAATTGGCGCTGTGCAATTGAATAGAGTGCTTTTTCGGTCACGAGCAGGGACACAAGAAATCGATTACCGGTGCGCCGGCAGTCGTTCATCCTTCCGTGTTCGCTTCCGAGAACCCGTCCTCCAACTTGATCCCGACTGGCACGACCCCGAACCAAGAGGATGCCCCCACATCTCGGCCGAAGAAACCCTGGGAATACGAATACAAAGCCCCCGCCTCGCACGGGACGTCGTACACGCACCCTCAATCTACACGTTCCTCGCTGCTGATCCGGACCGGTCCTTCCAAGACGACGCCATCGCAACGCCTTGCTTCAGCACGCGAGAAAACGATGGATTATACGTTTGGAGTGGGCTTCAGTTCCCCCGAGGGTGGTAGAACGCGAGTGATGGTCCCTTCGTTCGACGCCGAATTCGGAGCGGCTTCAACTAAAAAAGGTGGAGATAGCCTTCGGGCTTGGGAAGGCTTCGTGGAGGATAAGGTCAATCAAGCGATTCGGAATGGGTTGTTCAAGGATTTGAAAGGTCGTGGCAAACCATTGAAGGTCGACGAGGCGGAGAGTAATCCTTTTTTACCTATTGAGGATCGATTGATTAATCGTGTGGTGAAAGGGCAAGGGGCGATGCCACCTTGGATTGAGATGCAGCAAGGTCGGTCAGAACGGCAAGGGATCCGAGGGGGAATTCGTTTGGACTGAATTGATTCTGTGATTTGTGACAGAATTGCAACTCAACCTTTCGGCCTTCCGGAATGAACTTCGATCTGCGTACACGCGGCGAGTGACTCGCATGCTCTCCCTTCCTGGAAACTTGTCCCGCTCGAGCGTGGCGAGTGTGCTCAATGATAGTCATCGTGACGTTGAATGGGAAGAAAGGGAACGATCTTACCACCTCGCTTCGATCGGTTCTCTGAACGCGCTCACGAGGCGCTTCAACATCGTGGCGCCTTACACCGCTCGACGAGGTTTACTCGACCTCGAAAGGGAATTGGAAGCTTGTCGGAGGTATTGCAAGCCTTGGATCGCGGACGAGTTGGTCAAACGGATCGAAGGCAGGTCAGAGATGGTTCTGAAGGGGGAAGAAGGTGGGGGTAAGGGGTTGGGCAGGCAAGAGGGTGGGCAGGTGAAGGATCGGGGAAAGGTCGAGGAAAGGTTTTGGCCAGCGCTGAGGAGAGGGGTCTGGGAGTTGCTGGGGATTGGGGGCGCTGCGAAGCAGGGGGAACCCCAAAAGTAGGAGTTGATGCGTGAATTCTGATGTTGTAGCATACATTTTGAGAGATGACCATCGCCGACGTTGGGTCGCTTTTTCTTGAGTGGCGTCGATTGCGCATTAGAGAAAAGCTTTACCCCATTACGCGCTCACTCTTCCCCCGCGGCGCGCGCGGTCTCGAGCGGTGCGGACTTGTTCTGGGGGCGCCGATTCGTGGCCTCTAGTCGTCCTCGCTTTCCCCCCTATAGACGCCATCTGCCACCCCCGCTCGCTTCTCGTCATCAAAAAATGTAGGTCGTGTCTGCCACTCCACTCCCGATCGAATGCATGAATGAATGAATGCTGACGGGCGTGATCTCTCTCTGCTCTGGCGACGACGCTGCTGCTGCTGCTGCTGCTGCTGCTGCTGTGCGTTCGACGATGGATGACGCTCCCTCACTCACCGGGTGCGACGATCGGCGCTGTGGCCACTGTGCACGTTGGATGTATGCTCCACCTCGATCACACCACACGCCTATCAGGGCTGCCGAAATGCCCACGTTCAAGCTCGTTCTCGGTGAGTTGTGGGAGCTCGTACGCTCGTGGCTGTGCTCATCCAACGCTTTGAACGCTGGCTGCGGTCTGCGCTGTTGGGCCTTCGTCGCACCCCCCCACGCCTAGCCGTCGCCCGGCCTCGCCTCGCCTCGCCTCGCCTCGCCTCGCCCCGGTGTGCAGTATCACTTTACCACGCTACCTACTCCTCGCACCCTCCATTTCGATCGATTCCCCCGTTTCATCCTTGGCCACCCTCACTGACCACCTGTACCCCATCTCCCTCCGGCAGTCGGTGACGGTGGAACGGGAAAGACCACCTTTGTCAAGCGCGTACGTGACCGTGACTTGCCTCTCCCGCGTAGACTCTCTCATCACCTCGGCTGACCGTGTGTTGGATTATCACTCGCAGCACCTGACTGTAAGCTACCACTTGATGGCCTAGTCCCTGTCGGCGACCGTGGCCTGCGCGCCGAGCGAGCGGCGACCTGACGCATCTCTTATGACCCACCCGACTCACGCACGCCCATCTCTGTCCACCTCGCTCACAGGGTGAATTTGAAAAAAAGTACATTGGCAAGTCACACACCCTTTCAGAGCTCCCCCCATGCACCTAGCGCAGGCGTCCCGTTCCTTGGCTTATTCGTACCCCCCCCTACAGCTACACTCGGTGTCGAGGTCCACCCCCTCACCTTCCACACCAACTTTGGCACCATCTGCTTCAACGTGTGGGACACCGCAGGACAAGAAAAGTTTGGTGGTCTTCGTGACGGTTAGTGGAGCGTACTCACCCGCTGTCGAAGCGGAGCGGAGCATCCGTTCTGACGTAGCGAGCGCACTTTTTAATAGGCTACTACATCCAGGGTCAATGCGGCATCATCATGTTCGACGTCACGTCCAAGATCACGTACAAGAACGTGCCCAACTGGCACCGCGACCTCGAGCGCGTGTGCGAGTCGATCCCGATCGTGTTGTGCGGCAACAAGGTCGACGTCAAGGAACGAAAAGTCAAGACGGGCGCGGTGACGTTCCACCGCAAGAAGAACCTGCAGTACTTTGAGATCTCGGCCAAGTCCAACTACAACTTTGAGAAGCCCTTCTTGTGGCTCGCGCGCAAATTGGTCGGCAACCCCAACCTCGAATTCGTCGCCTCGCCGGCGTTGGCTCCGCCCGAGGTGCAGGTCGATGCGGCTCTGATGCAACAGTACCAGGCCGAGTTGGAGAAGGCCTCGGCCGCACCGTTGCCCGATGAGGAGGATGCGGATTTGTAGATGTGTGGGTGTGGGTGGGTGGGTGGGTGGGTGTGCGTTTGAATCTTTTTGTTCTGTCTTTAGCTTTCCTTTTTTTCACTTTGCTCCCTTTTACAAATCACCTCGTATGATGAGCCTTTAAAATCCCATCCCTTCCACACGCTCCAATTTTTACTGCAAAACCCCCTGCTCTTTTCTCTTTCTTCGCTATTGTGGAATTCACAAAAAGAGATCACCTGAAAATATCGCCAACGGATTGCATCTAAAACAATTCGAAAGTCATCTTTGAATTCAAAAGTTCCTTACAGCTTGAATGTGCTAATTAAGCGGGCTTTTTCGAGCGGCACACATCCCAATCCGAGGACTGAGCTCGACTAAAGGGGAGGGGGGGGGGGGGGGATTAGGAGCGGTATTAATCAAGTACTAGCCCTTAGTTAATAGATTAAAAAAAGTAGTCGCATTTTGCCCGATTGAAACCTCGGCCCCCCCCCCCCCCCCCCCCCCCCCCGCGCGCGCAGAGAGACATGTCCCTCTCATTCATTCACACCCACCCACCCACACACACATAACCCTACTCTCGACCCTCGGACCCCCCCCCCCCCCATCTCTCCCTTTGTAAGAGGTTTCTCGTTGATTCGTTTCCCCCCCCTTTTTTTTTTCTCAAGAATAAATCGCAAAGGGGTGTGTGGGGGCCATGCAGGATGATGAGACGTTGGGAAGACCCGAACCTATCCTCCTCGAGGAGGTGTCGACTCGGCACCGTTTGATCACTACTACGAAAGAGGGGGAGGAGGGAGGACTTTCACGCGGGGGTGAAGGAGAAGATGGAGTGATTGGGTTGGAGGAGGCAAAGAAGGAAGAGGTGGGTGGATCGGGGGTGGTGGGGAAGGTGTTGCACGAGTCATCACGAGACGACGACGACGACGACGACACGATGGTCGCACGGGCTCAGCGGGGGACGACGACGGAGACTACGACATTGGTTCCTACGGCTACCACGTCGACGGGGACGGAAGCAAGTGCGGGAACGACTGCGACGCCACCACCAGCAGCAACAGCAGTCACCGCGGAGTCGTCGTCACCCGCTTCGAGCACCGACCCAGCCCCTACAACAACGACCACTGCCGTCCCTTCCCAACCACCACCACCCCCACCCCCCCTTTCAAAATCACCTGCCCCAGGATCGACGACGACGACGACCAAAAAGTTCCAGTCGTCGTTGATGGTCAACAAAAAGTTCCTCGAAAAGGCGGGGGACAAGACCAAGCCGACCTCGTCGACAGGTAACGCTTCGCCCGAGCTCAAGCCGAATCAGAGTCAGTACACTATCCACGCGAGAAGATTGTTCTTTCGGAATCAAACTGGGGCTGACCACGTCTAGGTACGTTCCTCTCCTCAGTCCGACCGTCGCCTTCAACTTTGAACGCGACGACGAGTTCGGCCACGGCCACTTCGGCTGGACTGCCCCGCTTGTTATCGGGCAAGATCTCCCTCACCATGGGCAGCGCATCCCATAGCTCGTCCAACTCGTCCGCACTGGGGAACAAGAACTCGAGTTCGTCGTCCTCGGCTGCAGGAGGGACCGGATCAGGTGGAGCGGCCGCTCAACCGACGACGACGTGGACCAAGACTGCCATTCCTACCCAACCTTTACCTACACCCACCTCAGCACCAGGAGGCTTGACCTCTGAAGACCGAGCCTTTGGTCGACGAGCACCCAGCGCCTTCTCCAGTACCAGCGGAGGTCGTACCGACCAACCCTGGGTCCGCGGGGGGGCTCCGCGTTCGCTCGATTTCGGCGCGACCGAATTCCCGACCGCGGCCGAAGCAGCGAATGCGAAAGCGTTGAGGGCGCAACAGATTTTGGAACAGATGCAATCGAGGGATAGGGCGATTCAAGCCAGGGCGGCGGCGGCGGCCAAGGCGAACGCGCATCTTTTGGAAGGGTTGGATGCTTTCAGAGGAGTGCATTTGGATCCGAATGCTAGTCATTGGGACGAGGTGAGTGGATGGTGATGGTGGTAATTGGATCCTGAATGCAAACTGATCACTTTTCCTTTGGTGGTTGATGCGCTTCATAGATGGGTGACGAGGATGACAACTTTCTCGACGACACGATCGAGTTCGCCGATGGGACGCAGTACAAGATCTCCGAAGTCGCCGCGGCCAACAACAGCACGAACGAGCTCAAGGAACCTTCACCTGAAGAGATGGGCAAGCTCGAGGCGCCTTTGGCACCGGGGGAAAAGATGGAGGAGCCCAGTCGACAGGAAAGGTTCAAGGACGATTTCGATCGATCTTATGGTGGGTCGAGGGCGAATGATTCTTCTTCGAGGAGGGAACCGATTTCTTCGTCGACAGCGCCAAACGCGAATGGTCCTTCGGGTGCACCGCCTACCAGGACGTTGTTCAATGCCAAAGAAGGGAGGATGGAACCCACGGCGCCTTCGTCTTCAACGAGGTCATCGGGTCCTTCAACGAGGAGGTTGTCGAACGACGTCGTCTCCATCGCGAGAAGAGGCGATACCACCTCTCCTCGATTGGAGAAGGCCAGTTTACCCCCCGCACCCGCAACGAACCCATGGGGTCGGGTACCCCCTACGAATGCGATACCTATTTCGACGACGGCGCGAAGGTTGAGCATGAACGCGGGTGGGGAACGACAATTGCCGCCTCATATGATGCAGGCGAATCAGCATCAGTCTGTCGCACCGACGAGGAACTCGGTTCTTTCCCCTCCCCGAGCGAGAGAACCTTCCTTACCTTCGACGTCACCCTCGGCACCAGCACCAGCACCACCACCACCACCAGCCCCAGCACTGAAGGAAGTCATCGCCCCTCCCCCCGTTGTCGAACCCGTCGAAGACCTCGAAGCGCGTCAAGCGCGCGAGATGCATGCCGCTGCTGAACGAGCGCGAGCAAGGCGACAAGAAGAGGAGAGGGAACGCGTCGCGCAGGCCGAACGGGCGAAGAAGAAGGCACAGGAATTGGAGGAGAGGATGAAGGCGGCTGAGGAGGCGAAGAAAACGCCTGTCGTGGCTCAAAAAGAGGTGCCTTCGCTGGCGCCGAAGGTTGATTCGTGGAGGAGGACTTCGGGCCCGACTGGGCCGGCGGGTACTTTGACTGCACCATCCAAGACGACGGTTCCGCCTCCTGCGGTCACTTCAACACCTAGCGTTCGACCCGAGCCGATTCGGATTCTGTCGAGGGAGCCTAAAGAGTCCGCACCTCCGCCACACGTCGCAATCACCAAAGCGTCGTCTGTGCCACCTGTGAACGAATCCAAGCCGACATCCTCAGTTACGACTTCGGCCGCACGAGCACCTTTGGAACCTCAGGATCGAGCATGGCGACGCGCCGATGTCCCGAATGGGCGTGGCAATGGTCCTCCACCACCTACGACGGGCTATCGACAACCCCCTCCTCATCTCCTGGCTCAGGCCGCGAATGCGAACAAAAACGAGGCGCGTGTTAGCGAGCGAGAGCGAAGGGTTTCGGGGAACGCCGCGTCTTCTTCGGCGACGATGGAGGCCAACCTCGAGATCAAGCCTGCTTCGTCGAACAAGACGACACCGCCTCAAGCCTCGCCATCGTTCGCGACAGGAGTCGAGACGACTACTTCGCCGAGACGTGGGAATCGAGGTCAGCAGCAGCAGCAGCAGCGTGAGAATGCGCAGTTCGACGACCTCATGTCGCGCGTCAAGAACGCCATGGCATCGCCTTCTTCGAAAGATGGATCGGCTGAGGCGGCGTCACCCACGACTACGATGACGGGTCAGGACGCTCCGGAGACTGTCGTGACGGGGTCGAGTCCGCCTCGCGTCAAGATGCCCGTCATCAAGTTGCCTTCGTCGGGGCAGAACAAGCAAGCCGCTTCCGCTGCAGTGGCAGCTTCGACGGCAAGTCCTGCAGCCGCAGCCCCAGGGAGGAACAACCAGGCCTCGGTCAGACTCCCCCCTCAACCTGCCGCTACCCCGGCTGCACCACCCAAGCCGGCTTTCGAACCCCGCGAGCCGCGATCGATGTTTGAACGTACTGCTCGAGCCCGATCGCCCTCCCCTGGCCCGGCATGGCGTTTGTACCCCGTCAAACTTGCATCTTACCCTACCGCGCACCGACCTGTCTCACGGTACAAGTTGCGCGATTTCAACGACGCGATGAAGCCTTTACGTGTCGCTTTATTGACGTGGAACCCACCGATTCAAGGATTAGGGACGAGGCGGTTGTCGAGGGACGATTATCTGCACCCCAAGAAGTTCACTAGGGGGGTTCCCCAAGCCGCTGTGCAGATGCCAAAGGAGAGGATCGAACGAAGGACCGAGATTGAAATCGTCATCGTTGATCGATCAAAGCCCAAACCGGCGGTGAATGGATCGAGGAGCATGGGTGGGACTTCGAGGTCGGCTACGCCTTCTGCTTTCGAGAGAGGATGGGGAAGTGGGAGCCCGGCGGGGGCGGCGGCGGGTAGGGCACGACCTTCGGATGCAGAGCATTGGAAACGAGCGACGCCGACCAAGGTCAATGGCGTTTCATCTGTTGATACGACGACCGCACCTTCGACGGCGGCATTGTTCGATCCTGCAACACCACAGCGCTTGACACCACCTCCTTCGAGTGCACAGTCCGCATCGCAAAGCGATTCGTTGTCTTCGACGTCGAAGCCTTTCCTTTCGCAAGTCTCGGCGGCGGTCTCGGCCGTCGCGGCGTCGGATCGAACGAGGGCTGTAACGGGTGATTTGGATGGGGAGGAGGTACAAAAGACCCCGAGGGCGTCGTTGTCTGCTCCTGGCGCAGAACGTATGGAACCGACGAGTCTCGTAAGCACGGCGATTTCCATATGTTTATGTTGGAGAGTTGATTTTGACGAACGACGTTTCCTACTTGTTTATCGCAGGATAAGGCCAAGGCTTCGTTCGATGCGACGAGCTCGCGCGTCATGCCAGCGGCGACTTCCTCTCCCTGGCCGGTCGGCAAGGCTCCTCTTTCCTTGTCGGCCCTCGATCCGACCGCTTCTTCACTCTGGGCTGCGCCCCCTTCGGAGCCAGGTACGCACGTCCGATCGATGAGTCTCCCTCGTACGCGCGTCGGAAACTCGTTGCAAGGTCTCGGCGACGACGATTACCCTTCGTCGATCCCCATGTCCCTCGCCGAACTCAAGAGTGAAGACGAAGGATCGCCCGAACGGACCAAGGGCCCTCAATTGCCCGAGAGTTCGACGCCGGTGCCGAACAATGAGCCAAAGTTGAGAGCGGCGGCGCCGTCGTTCTCTTCGTTCCATACCGAGCACTTTGCGGCGCACCAAAGTCCCGGATCGCAGACTTCCTCGACGTTGCGTTTCCCTTCGATCCAACGCTCGGTCGGGGCGCCCATTCATGGCGTCGAGGCGTACGCCTACTCTCCACAGCTCTCCGCCGCGACGCTCGTGGGGCACTCGTACTCGCCTGCTCACTATGCCACCGTAGCACCGCAGCACTATGCGTCGTACTCGCCCGTGCAGCAGCATCAGCATCTCTCCCAGGCGCAACAGGCTCACTATCAAGGCCGGACGACCTACGTCCCTACCTCGGCTGCATCGCTGTACGCCTCGGGTGTGGCTGCGAGTGAATACGCGAGCGTGCCGACGACGACGGCGCATCAGCAGCAACAGGCCTACTACCGTGCGCAAGCTGCCGCTTCGGCGCAGCAGCAGCAACAATCGCAACAGTACCTGGTCAATCCTGCGCTCGTCGCTGCGGGCTACGGTACCTCGTCGTATGGGTCCGATGCTGTCGGAGCTTACGGAGCTGTTGGAGGTGGGACGAGTCGACATGTTTCGTCGCACGGTGGTGTCTCGGCTGCGTCTACGACGGGGGGCGTCTATGCGACCCACCCTGCGTACGGGGTCAGCCCCGCCTCTCGATCATCGATGTACTCCCCCATCCCTTCCTCGAACCGAGTCTACGTCACCTCGAGCGCCTCATCGCACTATTCGCACGACCTTCCCCGTAGCGACGTCACTTCCTCCTCCTACTACGGCTCGACCGCCACCCCTTCCTCAACGACGACGAGTAGCAAGTCGCCTTACTCGCATTCCCGAACGATCGACAGCGCTCTGTCCAGCGGTACACCGGCAACGGGATCGAGTTTCATCTCCGGTCCCATCAGCCCCGTCATCATGCCTCAACATCTACAACCTCATGCCGTACACCTCGTCCCATCAGGATCGATCGGTTCCGTCTTCCCTTCCACCGCCGGAGCAGGGAATCGAGGTGCTGGTGCAGGAGCAGCACAGGGAGGTCGAGGTGGTTACGGTGGTATATCGAGTGGTGCGCGAGCGGTGTCCGCAAGTGTTGGCGGCGCCCATGGTGCGTACCCAGGGCATCAGCAAGCTGGGACTTATCGGTCGCAGTGGTGAGGGGGAGGGTGTCTAGCAGGGTCCCAAGATCGAGTCATATACAGACGAGTAAAAGTTTTGCAAAGGAAAGTGGTGCTTTCCATTTTCGGACGAAGTCCCTTCTCTGTGTGTGTGTGTGTGTGTGTGTGTGTAGGTCGTTTTGGTTGACGTTTTTTTCTACTTCTCTTGACCGAATGAACAACTTTCAAAAAGCTTTGTTACGTGATCCAGACCGTTTGAGAGCAACAGTACCTCGAATTTCAACAGCGTACAACATTGAACGTCCAAAATGAGACGACTCCTCCCCAACTCGCGAGAAAACGAAGAATTACCCCTACCCCGTCGCGCCGCCCAACAAATGACCCAACCCCAACGCCCTCCAATTCTGCTCCCTCTCCGACTCCTGCCTCGAACCACCTCCCCCACCCCCTTCCGAAAGACCCATCAACGCACCTAACCCCCTCACGGACCCCAAAGGAGTTTTCGCCCTCGCTTGAGAGGAAGACGTCGTCGATCCGTCGGACAAGGAAAGTTGATCGATCCTCTCTTGTATCGTCAGGGTCGGTGAACCCGTTCGTCCAGGATTGGATGCCGACGACGAAGACGACGTTGACTTCGCATTGGACGCTCGATATCCCCTAGGAAGGGCCGAACCTGTACGTCGAAAGTTAGGTCATCAGCCTTTTTCTTCTTTCTTCTCCTTTCGGGTCGATCAACGAAGAGGTCCCAAAGCATGGACGAAGGCGATCAGCTCACCTTCTTCCAACGCGGCCTGTAAGATCCCCCCCGTTCGATCGAGGCTATACAAGAACCTCAACAATTCCCTACACAGCGTCCATTCCCCCCGGTGCATACAAACTTTCAGCAAACCGACCGTATCCTTCCCACTTTGTTCCAAAGGTTCCAAATTGTGCAAGACCAACAGGTACGAAGCCGCGGTTTTGTATTCGCTTGATTCGATGCATCGTTCGAAGAGACGACGTGGTGATCCGGCATGGGTGAAGAGGAGTGACCAACGCGTTAATTCGGTCTTGCGGGCGCAGTTGACCACGATCGAGAGTGAGGAAGGGAAATGATCGAGAAAGTCGATCACGGTCGAGAGTAGAGTGGGGGCTCGAGTCTCGTCGTCGTCGTCGTCGTCGTCGTTCTTTTCCGAGGTAGGGGATTCGATCGAGGTGAGTTGGTTCGTGGGCTTGTCCGCTTCGTCTTCTAGTACACCGTGTAGTAAGATCTCTAGCGCATGCGCAAAGTAGACGAGGTGCTGGTAATGGGAGGCGAAGAGAACGGCCTCCCTCATCGGATGCCGAGTGAGGTGGAACCTGAGTACGTGGTGTAAGAAGAGTTGGGTCGAGGTGATGATGCGGAAAAGGGCAAAATCGAGCGTCTTGCGTAACGAAGTTTCCTGATCGATCCCGACGATGATACCTTTCTCCATCAGGACAGCTATAAGCATGTACGGTGTCCGACCAAAAAATTCAGCCGAAACGTCAAAATTCCACGACTGGCTCCCCTCTGACTCACCCAGCGGATAAAAATCCAATTTGATCGCTACCGACTCGCTAACTCTTTCGTACGCATCCTTTTTCGCATCGACTAAAACCTTCTCGATCGTTAACGCGTCCAACCAAATCCTGATCCTCTCTCCATCCCAACCCCACAACGAGTTCTCCAACGTGCCGATCCCCGAAAGATGGGTCCAGTAGAACTCGATCCGGTCGGCGAGGATTTGGAGGTCGTATTTGACTTCTTCGTGCGCCGCTCGACGGGGACGAAGGAGTACGAGTTGACCCGAGATGAGGAAGATGATCGTGGCGACGTTGAGGTCGTCGGCGGGGTCACCGAATTCTGATTCAGACGCAGGAAGAGGATGATCAGATGAAGGGACGATGGAATGTAGATCCTCAGGATCGACTCACGTTGTTGACTCTTGGGTACCAACCAACTCAGACCTCTGACTTTCCAAGGATCCTTGACGACGCCTTCGAACCCAATACTACCGCACAACCTCAATCTACTCCCCACCCCTCGGCCATTAAGGATCCTCGGATGAGGTCTCATCAAGAAATGATGAAACGTATTATCCTCCGTGTAGACCAACAAGCTCGAATCAAAGACGCTGAGCACCAACGGACGACTGGACAAAGCGATCGTTTCGAGCGAGGCAGAGTCGTCCAAACTCAACGCTTGTTCGCGTGCGAAGACGGCGAGTTGGTACCCCCTTTCGATACCTGTCGTTCGAGCAGAGCGTGTCAAGGTCGTTGGATCGACGCATCCGACGATCAATAGATTGGCCCACCAGGCCATTCCACCGACGACGTGGAACGCGTTTTCCTCCTTCTCGGATTCGAACAACTTCCATCGACCCGAAAGGGCGTTGTAGTGCGTAAAACCTCGACGACCGGCGACGGCGATGAAGCGCGCGTCGTGGGAGATGACGGCGTACCGAATTGGGTGTTGGGTCGCAATGTACGACGCCGGGATCTGTACGCGCTTCCCAACACTGCCGTAGGTCAGATGGGTTCTCGCCTTCCTTCTGCCACTGCGGTGGGCGTACCTTGATGTGTTGCCACACATCCGACTCGGGGTTGATGACGCTCATGTCCGGTTGGTCAGCGCCGCGATAGACCATGACCCGATCGTCCATTTGCAAAAAAGCGTGATTCGTATTATCGGGCGTATGAGCGGCCGTAACGGCACTCTTGGCGAATGGGATCACAAACAGCTGTTCGTCATGGGCTGCGAAGGGAATGAACCTGTTAAAACAACGGAGAGTGATAAAAGGCTCATAAGGAAGCATGCTCACCTTTCGACTTGGGATGCACAGGCGGTGGACACAATACGACCAATTCGTACCCTCCTCGGGTCCAAAACATCCCCCTCACGCCATTCATGAAATGGTCCTCGAACGCATCACTTTTCTCCCCTTCGACGCCATAGCCAGTCTTGAGACTCCCTAAAACGGACCACGAACCGAGTCGACCATAGACGGACCAGATGGACCACCCGAGGTGCCAGCCTACGGCGAGTGCATACCCGTCGGGCGTATAGGAGAGGCAAGCGACGTGGCCCGTGTCGAGGCCCGTGGCGGTCGTGTTGAGGGACTTGCGCAGCGAATGCTCGTGCGAAAAGGTCGGAGCGTAAAGTTCGGAGGACGATGAAGGCGAGTTGGAAGTCGTTGCGGCGGCGCCAAGAGATAGGTTGTATGCGCTGATGGTGCCACTGAGTTGCCCCGCAAAGGCGTGGTTAGCAAGTGGAGTCTGATCCGAACAACGCTGCATATGATGCCGACTCACTCTTGGCATCCCACAGCCACCAAACCAAATTTTTCGTTCAGAGCCAGACAAGTTCCGCCTTTACCCCGGTCCAGTAGCTTTTCCTGCTTGTGAAGCATCTCCTGCTCATCGCCGTCCTCGACGGCTTCGACTCGAGGGTGGAAACAGACGCCTTGCCATTCCCACTCTTGGGCAACGTGTGACTCGACCGGGGCATCAAAGACGACTTGGTCGACCCCCACTCGTTTCGGACCAGCATCAAGGTTCGGTGAGGTCGGTAAAGAAGAAGCTGGACCGAACGAAGCCGTACTCGAAGGCCGTCGGGACCAGGTGCCTGGTGTCTGCGGAGGGGTGACGGAAGGTGCCCACCGCACGAGGTAGGCCCTGGCGTCCGAGGTGAGCATGACGAACCGGGTCGGTGTTCGGGGAGGTGGGATGGTTGGGTGACTGTGTTTGGGCGTGGAGGTGGAGGACTGTCGGCGAGCAATGGACGGTCGAGGGTGGTTGGGGTTCGGGGTTTCGAGGGGTGTCGAGGTCGGCGCTTCGGGCAAGGGGATCAAGGAGGTGACCGAGACTGTGTATTCAAAAGAGGTTCAGACCCGTTCATCTGATCGGCACGCCTAGTACCGTTCGCTAACCTTCTCCGGAATCGCAGTTGATGAGCCAGGGCCATTCGTCGAGCACGACGGTCTCTGCCTCACTCGGGGCAGCCGGATTGAAGCCCGTAGCCAAGGCGTCCCATCCGGATCCTTCGCGTGCGTGGCCAGGCCGGTCGGTGAAAGCATTGAAGTTGACCGAGGAAGACGGCGGAGGTATCGCGGGTGGGGGCTGCTGGTGAGCCTGGTTCGAGTCCGTGGCCGAGGAGGACGGCGAAGGGAAGGGTACGATTCGGAGCGTCGGCGGATCTTGAATTGCGAGAATGAGCGAATGCGGGGTGAGGCAGACACTGTCGGGGTTGTGCGAGAGATGATTAGATTGGTTGGGGTTGGGGTTGGGGTTGGGGGTGGGGGGTGATCGAGTGGGTGCGGCGTTGACGTACCATCCGACGCCGTCTCCGATGGCCAAGCCCCTTTCGGCTTCTGCCCGGAGGACGATCCCCTGTAGGTTCGCGCCCTCGCCCGGTCCCTTGGGCCACATCGCGTCGCCCTTCTGGCCGCCGGGCACGGTATAGACGTCGTTGTTGCTCTTGGTGCGGTGGTTGACCGATGCGGCCGAGTCGATCGAGTAGAGCAGGTGGTGGCCGGAGGTGGTGGTGACGACGAGCCGAGTGGGGGTATGGAACGCGACGAGCGAGTTGGAGCCATGCGTGCGCAGCGACAAGGGCGTTCTCCTCAGTTTGGCCAAAACGACCTTGGGCTGTGAGGTGTAGGGACTGGGCGGTGTAAGTGAAGTGGGACGGGCGGCGATGAGGGTCGTACGCCCCAGCGATGTAGGCCTGGTGGCGATCTCCGACTCACGGTGACCGTCCACACGCTCAACTCCTCCCGCGTCAACACGGCCCAGAACCCACCATGATCGAGCTGGTGCTGATCATCGACCTCGATCTCGTCTGTGGCGCTCGCGATCGCGATCAACTCCTCCCCTTCCTCCTCCAACAAGCCGCCGAGACTGTGCTTGAACCTCGGGTGCGGTCCTCTTCCGGGCGTCTTGTACGGCGTCGGCTTCACCGTCGAACACGGTACACTGGGCAGCGCCGAGGTCGTCGTCGACAGTCGCGTCGACGGCAGAGCGCAGGGGACGTACATCCCTGCTTGGCCGGTCCAGGCGCCGTGCTTCCTGTACGACCCGGTCCGACCCAAGCCAAACAGCAGAGCCGACCACGTCTCCGAGTCAGTTCAACCGGGGCTAATGACCTGGATTAGTGACCCAGTAAGAACCTGGGCTGGGCTAATCTCCCCAGTAATATTAGTGAGCCAGTAATGAGCTCGGGGTAATGCCCCAATTTCAAACACACCTCGATCGCGCGCGGGTCAATCTGGGGAAGCTCAACCGGCAAACGACTCAGCCTCTCGATCATCCAGCTCGACTACATCGCAAATAAATCCCGTCAAGCTCCAGCTCCAGCTCCAGCTCCAGCTCCAGCTCAGCCTAGTCGCAAAGATGGGTATCACTGAAAAAATAGACGAGATCGTCAAGGAAATGCAAGTCCACCTCTTACGCACATGCAGTGCAGTGGGTGGTGTGCTGTCGAGCTAACCCCCGCGCTGAGTTGGATTGTGATGCAGGGCGAGGACGCAGAAGAACAAGGTATGATGCTCACTTGATGCTCACTTGAGAATGAAGCCCAACAAAGCTTGATCCTGATCACCTCTCCCTCCCGCTTTAGGCCACCGAAGGACATCTCGGATCGCTCGTGAGCACGGACCGATTCCCCAGCAAGCAACCCTCGACGAAACAAAGCCTCCTTCAACTGACCCGACCCAACCACCCGACCCAACCAACGCCCAGAAAGCCAAACTAGCGCGCTACCGAGCCGAACTGCTCGAACCGGCCAAAACGGGCAAAGCAGGCGACGGGTTCGACGTCTCCAAAGCCGGCTACGGCCGAGTCGCCTTGATCGGCTTCCCTTCGGTCGGTAAATCGACCTTGTTGAACAAGTTGACCGGCACCCAGTCCGAGGCCGCTTCGTACGAGTTTACCACCTTGGTCGCTATTCCTGGGTGAGCATTCACAAAACGAGGGAGCGATCGAGAGCAAGTGGGGGAGAGGTTCACTTTCGAGGCTGATTCTTCTCCGATTCTTTGCTCTGCGTGCTCAGTGTGCTCGATATCGACGGAGCCAAAGTTCAACGTGAGCTCCCCCCCATCGTAGCATCTTTCTTTGATCGTCAAACTGATGTGATGATCTGGACGTCTTGGCATCGCACTACAGTGCTCGACTTGCCCGGAATCGTCGAAGGAGCAGCGAGTGGCAAAGGTCGAGGAAGGCAGGTCATCGCCGCCGCAAAGGTGCGTCAACTCTTTTTCGACCTAGTCCCTGCGCAAGCACCTGCTAACGGTTTCGCTCTTTCGATCGTGCAGAGCGCCGATTTGGTTCTGGTCAGTCTTGACTTTGAAAAGGTCACCTTTTGATGTTTTCTAACCAGATCCCACTTGCTCACTGCCTTGTCGATTCGTACCGGCAAACAGATGATGCTTGATGCCACAAAGTAACTCTACCTCGTGGGGTGTAAGTGGTAAACCCAGCGCTGACATGTTCGGCTCCACTTCAACAGAGCTGCAAATCAACGGCGGCTGCTGGAGATCGAGCTCGAGGCAGTCGGGATGAGGTTGAACCGCAAGAAGCCTGATGTGGTCGTCCGGATAAAGGTGAGGACCATCGTGCCGAAAGTTGTCTTGCGGGGACTAGTGCTCATTCATGACCCATGTTCGCATCGTCTCACAGGCCGCTGGAGGTGTGACGATCACGCATACCGTACCTTTGACAAGAACGGACGAGCGCGCGATCAAAGGTGTGATGAGTGCCTACAAAGTATGCCTCACTTTCCCCCTTTCGTATCACCGGCGCGATTAGATGCTGATGTTGACTATTTTTTGACGACGTCAGTTGCACAATGCCGATATCATGATTCGAGAAGATGTCAGTAGCTCGGACCTCGATCCTGGCACTGGCTCAAGAGACTAAAGACCCCTCCACTTGATGACAGATCACGACCGATGACCTCATCGACGTCATCCTCGGCACACGCAAATATGTCCCCTGCCTCTACTGCTACAACAAGATCGACGCCGTCTCGCTTGAAGAAGTGGACCGCATCGCTCGGGAACCCAATACGGTCGTCATCTCGTGTGAACTCGACCTCAACCTCGATACGTTGTTGATGAGGATTTGGGAATTGATTGGGTTGAACAGGGTCTATACGAAGAAGAGGGGTGCTTTACCTGATTTGGGAGATCCTTTGATCGTCAAGATGGATGCGGATATCGAGGGAGTCGTGAGTGATGGGTGATCGGGCCGAGGAGTTGCCAACGCGCTGATCTCTCTTCCACGCTCAGTGCAACGCGATCCACAAGAACATTGCATCAAAGTTCAAATACGCACTAGGTCCGTTCTTTTCTACTCCACTATTCTTGATCGCTCAGATCACTGAAACGTCATATTCTTCGCAGTCTGGGGCAAGAGTTCAAAGTTCGCGCCGAAACCACAGAGGGTCGGTTTGACGCACCGGATCGCACCGGACGATGTGGTATCTTTGGTCACGAACGTGTAGAAAGAGTTGATTGCACCATGTGATGCTGCTGCAAGGAAATGAACTCGCGGTCGTTTGATCAGTCTTGCACCGAGCCCCGAGAGCGACGAGAGAGGAAAAGGTATCAGTGGATCTGAACGGAAAAGCGGAAGGGATCTAGCTCTCAAGCGCCATCCTAATGAGGCAATTGACCCGTATTAGTCGATGGTCAACTACACATGCGCGCGCGAGAATTATGGCACCCTTAAGGCATCCCTACGGCTCCATACGGCGCCGCCATACGGCCTTCCTAATCATTTAGGCGAATAGCCATATGGCCCATATATGGCCAGCCCATAGGGCACGAATACGTGCGAGCCATATGGCAGCCATAGGGCGGCTTGATATAGCCCCCCGAAGGAAGCCATAGTGAGACGATAGGGTGGCCTTACTGTAGAAGCATGGACGCAATGTGGTACACGTAGGGTATATATGAGGAGACCAGGTGGACGCTGTAGTAATGCTGGACCAGGTGCTGTAGGTACATATTGCTCTCTTCTTGCTCCTGTAGACTTATTACACGAAGCAACACTCATTGCAAACACTAAAAACATGTTAATACAAGTCTAAAAAACCCCGTTATACAAGTCTCAGAAAGCCCCACCCATGGTCCACCCCGACTCCACCCCAAGTCGCGCCCGAGTCCCCTTGCACACGTCGAATCCTTCAGAGAGCTTGTTCGATAGCGCGTTGCTTAGGGTTGCCCGTCCTCGATCTGCTTCTCATCTTTGGTGGTCTTGGTCTTCTTCGTCTTCCTCGCCTTTCCCGAAGCAAAACCCATCTCCTAGACTGCGTCCTGTGTTCGCTCCGGGGATCGTTCGTCAGTCCAAGTTCGGCATGTGGTCGACTGAGGGCGCCACTCACCGCTACGCGGCTTGCAAGGCTGAGGTTGTTGGCGGGATCATCGACAACTTCAGAACAGACCGCTTGTATCGTGTGTTCGCTGAGCGTATTCTGGCCTGCCGTGCGGATGCCGGAATGTCGCTTCATCTTGACCGTGACCATGTCGAAGAGAAACCTTGTACGCGCCAAGAAAGTCGCCAAGTGTCAGCATATTCGATTATGCCATGTACCTCACCATGAAGCACGAAGCTCACGTTTGATGATCAAACCCCCCATTTCTCTTGTAGCCGCCCGCGAGGTGTGCTGTCGCGGCGTCTTTGGCGAGGCTGTCACCGTAGCGCTTGAGCTTGTTCGCGAAGCTGTTGGCCTTGGAGTCTTTTGGGTCGAGGATGTTTGAAGCCTTCATTGCCTGCCACTGGTATGGTGATTACAAGCGCAGGTCAGGATCGAGGGTGGAGGCGAGCTCTTCATATATACTCACCAGTATACTCCACCAGATGACGTGTCCTTGGGTTATGGCAACCTGTTGGCCTTTGTACCATTGCTGCATGGTACGGCCGAGAGTAGCTTTGTCCTTTTGAGCTTTATTGATCTGGGAAGAGTTATAATTTTGTCAGGACCGCTCGGAGACCACAAGACGCGAGGCGTCTGCTCACGTGTCGGAGGAGATCACTACGACCCTGCACCAACAGAGCCGGAATGTTCGAAAGCAGGTTATGGCGGAACGTGAGATTCTTGTTGTACGCTTCGCCGGGACGATGCCGCTTTTCGTCAAGACCATCTGCGGGTGATGAAGCCTGTATGAGACAATCGTGCGCTGGTACCGAAGTGAAGGTCACGTACTGCAAAAGACCGGCCGAGGCCAATTGCTTGTAGAAGAAGAGGGTAGCCACAAAGATCTTTACCACGGGGGGGAGTCGGTTCTGCCAATGGTCGTGGAATACGTCTCGTCAGTTGAATCTATGCTTCGCGTCCTCACGCGTGGAGATCACACGTACCTTGAGATGGTCGATACTTGGCGTGTTGATGAACGTGATCACTGGCTCGAGCATGGCACGTAATGCCTGGAGCTCGCGCCGTATCTGGCCAAGCTCATCTTCAAGGCTCTTGACATTGGGTTCTTCGGTCGAGGACTGTAAGATTGGCAGGCCAACGACGGTCGATGCCAGAGAGCAGTGGGTCATGACTCTTGTCAGTGGCGCGAAGCGTGGCAGATGATCGCATCGGTCACAGCTCACCTTGCAAGGGTTATCCATATGCGCTTGGGTGCCTTTCAACTGGCGAGAACAGACCTGCAGGAGACGCAATGGCAGTCAGCAGGATGCGGATTCCTCTCAAGGCACACAAGAGCGCACCTCGAACGTGTCGTCGGGTTCGTCGTCTACGTCTGAGCAGACGACCTTCGTCTTGGCTAGTTTGGACCAATCTTCACCTAAGGCCGTCTCGGATGGTACGTTGCCATCCTTATCACTGCCGTCCCCGTCACCAGAAGCTTCAGAGCTCTGTGCGGGTTTACACTTCGTCAGTGTCGTCTTACTGCTAGACTAGAGGAAAGCCAGGCCGGGCTCGGACGTACGTCGGATTCCGAGCTTAGATTCAAGCGAGAGGAAGATGAGTCGGGCTTGGTATCGACCTTCTGCACGTCCAGGCGTTCCTGATTGGCGGGAGGTTTAGCTTGGGAGATTTAGCTTTTAGACGAGTATCTGTGATCGACCTTACCTCTGATTCTGGATTGACCTCATCGACCTCGTCGGCAACTCCCCAGGCACGTTTGCGCTTGGTTCCGTTCTCTGAGGGAGCCTGTTTGCGCTGCACCTTGAACAAACGACAGGACGTCAGCCGAGACTAAACCAGATCACAGAGTCGTATTCTCAGCTTGCGCGACATACCACCGAGTCCTCGAGGTGAAGGCCATGCGATGCTTCGGGTTCGAGGTGCGTGGAGGCCGCGTGGCGAGCGGATGGGCCGACATCGGCGACATGGCTCTTTCCATCCGAAATCGGCTCAAACAAAAGTGAGGCACTGGTTTTCGCGGTAGTGGTGCCAACCGTCAAGGTCTTCGTGTGAGGGGTGGGGACGCCAAGTCGCGGCGTGGTGATGGTGGGGTCGACGTAGTGGTAGTGTCGTCCGCAGGCTCATCTTGGGACTTCTTGGCTGGGTCTTCGTTGATCACGTATTTTAGTGATTTGCCCGTGGTCTTGGGAGCAGCCACCTTCTGTTGCGTCGTTTGGGGTCGTCGAGCAGGCGCACGCTGGAGTGGACGTGTCGGTCAGCCGGTGTCGACCCAAGTCGAGTGCGCCAGAAGAGGTCGAATGGAGCACGTGGGGTATGATCTTGAAGCACAGCGGTGAAAAGGACCTACCATGATGTCGGAGGCAGCGCCTCGAGCGCAAAGACGCCTGTGGGTGATCGGAAGTGGGTGGCACGACGTCAAGAGGCGAATCAGCCGAGGTCACGTTCGCCGTCCGGGCAAAATTAGCGCAAGGCCTGACGTCAGCCCGCAGGCCGCTGCGTCGCAGCAGGCTCTGCTACTGCCCGATCGAAGGTCTCGGGCGCTGCAACCCGTTTGACTGACGCCTAGTGGAACTGTGGAACGTACGACGGGTTCATTGGATCACGATCGTCATGAGTGGTTTTTGTGTGCTCTTCAAGTTGGGCATCTTTGGCTCCTGGGCCTCGATCATGTCGACAGCGCGGCAAAATTGACGGATTCGCGATAGAGCCGCGTGCGTTGGATCAAACGCCTTCTCGTGTACGAGTTCGTGTTCGACGACATTCACAATGGCAGGACCGCACGAGAAGGTATCTTGTTGTTAAGGTGCCCTTGTCGTCGTACCGTGATTCACATCGATGTTGAGATTAAGTACTTTGAAAACTTGTGCGTCCAGAGCGTAAGTTAGAGCGGCGACCGTGAGCTTCCTTGAGGAAAGTGAATGTGTATGGACCAGGCTCCATGTTTCACAGCAATCCTTCCCAGGAACCAGTGATTTTCGTCACAGATTGGCAAAAACCAGACCGAGTCGGGGTGTGCCCTGATGAACTGGGCGGTGCTCGCGATCCCGACGCAGTCGTGCCTTGCCCAGTCGGCTAAGCCACAATTCCAACTGATATTGTCCAAGCAAACGTTGAACATCAGATGAGTAAGAGTGGGCGTGAGAAGGGTGAACTTACTGAGCAAGTTCACAAGTCGCTTATGCCCAGCTGAGCTCGTTCAAGTTGCCCAAGGCTGGCACGCACGGTAACTCGTGCCACGGCAGGTTTAAAAGTGCTTCCTTAGCCTTGCTGATGTAAAATTCGTCGACTACGCACTTCTTTTCGACCATCTTCATCCACTCGAGCGCGTCTTGGATTCTCCTCCGCGCTTCGCACGAGAGGGGTCAATGAAGGCGTTGCAAATTGCTGTGCCGGAAACGGTTCAGTCAAAGGCATTCGATCATTGACACAGAATCGCAGGGACCTACCGCAGCGATGTAATCGCGAGGCGACACCACGTGAAGGGAGCGTCCGTGAGTCCTCCTTCGTATACTGGCGGGGCTTGAAGAGCGGAATCTCTTTTTCCAAGTTGGCCAGAAACTTTTTGACGGAAGACGCCGCAGGAAGACCCTGCACGCCGAAGGCCTTGGCGAATGCAAGCTTGTCGTCCAGCTCTTGCACGCCGACCCGGCGTTTGTGGGATCTGAGAAACACGACGATGATCATCAGCTATGTTCACAAGGGGGTCAGCTCCTGGCCGATCGCGTGATTCCGGAGCAACGAGAGTAGATCGGCGCACGTTCTGACTGGGGAAGGGATACCAGGGATGCGACGAATCGGGCACGCTTGTGTAGTTGCGCACGCTCAGCCGTGTCCGCATCGCGGGGGTGCCTGTCAACACAGCTACAGACAACAAGTTGGGCAATACTTGCGTTGGTGGGAAATTCACGAGGGGCACTGCATCATTGCTCGTCCCCACTCACTGGTGGAGCCCGCAGTGGCCCAAGTCTGCACCCAGTCATCCGACTCTTCTTCCTCCGCCTCGCCATCGATCTCGACCTCGCTGTCGGACTTGGAGCCAGTGCCCTGGGAATAGGGCGAGCAATTGCCTTCTGAAACGAAGAGGGCGTGGTCGAGAGCGGAATCCTCCTGATCACTTTGCGGGGACGGATCGGAAGCAGGCACGCGTTCAGACGACTTGATGATCTCGCCAGCGACAGCAAGCAGAGAGTGGCCTACTGTTCCGGTCTCTGCCGGATTTTCATTGAAATCGACCAAGTCGGCCTCGTCGCTGCTCGAGAGCGCCTGAGGCGTGGGTTGCAGTAACCGATTGGCCCAATTGACAGCGGGATCGGCTCGACTGTTGTACGCGTCGAGGTGCTTCTTGGTCGTGGCGTGCCGAACGGCGCGACGATACCACATGCGCTCGCCACCACAGTACCGGCACACATAGCCGGCAGAAGTTCGCTGAGAGGACCATTCCAAAACGAAGTCTGTGGATGATGGCGATGAGGATGATGACATGATGAAAGTGTGCGCGTCAAGGCGACTGCCACGAACCGGCGGCCGGGCGTGGGTCCGAGTGCCGCAAGGAGTCAGTGCTACCACCCAGGTCGGCCGGGAACCATGACGTAGTTAGCACCCACCATTCTCCATGACTTGTTCCAAATCCCTCGACTGAACGGACATCGTGTTCGCTGTCGAGGGGTGTGTTGTGCCCGGGATTGTCAAATGGGCAAAGGAAAGAGAGGGTGGGGCTCCGCGAAGGCGCTAGGGCCGCTCCAGCTGGCTCCTCTCGCCTCCTCTCGCCTCCTCTCACAACCGGTCGGTCTCAGCCACCGCCCCCGGCACGGCCGGAGCCACCCGCAAGCCGCAGACAAGCTCCGAGTCGCCAAGCTCCGAGTCGCCGCTCGGAGGCTGCTCGGCCTCGTATGCGACCTTGAGCTTGAGAATGAAAGAAAACATAGTCGTGTGACACAAGGGTGAAAACCCACTGTACCATGATCAGCCCTGTAGCCCGGAGTACTATCTGTGACCGAACGCAACTCTTGGGCTGACAACCATGGCTTCCGTATGGTAGCAAATTTATTCTACTGTAGTGCGACCTCATCGAGCCCGTACGGCATCCCTGCGTGTGCCATATGGCTCGTCGTTATAGAGCCATAAAACGAACCCTATCGCTCCCATATGGCTGCCCGCCGGCCGCCATAGGGCTCCCCTACCCCGATGCCTGAAGGATTTTCCCGATGGCCGCCGTATGAAAGCACTACGGTGACCGTATGCGCGCGCTACGGGCACATCCTTATGGCCCCGCCGTAGGGAGGCGCTAGGGAAGCCCTACGGGGGCCTTAAGGATTTTATTCTTATCGAGGCATTACAAAATGCCTTATGGAATCCCGAAACTTGCCGTACGGACCCCATAGGGCAAAAGCTGCCTTATGCCCTCCATAATTTTCGCGCGCGCATGTGTAGTCAACTTGGCGCGTCGTAATCGCCTGGGCCGGCCTGGTCGCGCGGTTGCTCTCTCGCTCCGACTGCCATCCGCGCTGCTCTGCGCTGCTCTGCGCTGCTGCTCTGCGCTGCTCTGCCGGCTGCTCGACTCTGCCCCGACCAAGACCCGAGCCGATGGCGACCCAGTGCGCGTCGACGAGCGCAAGCAGCAAGAATGCGCCGTTCGGCAGTGGCCTCGTACCGGTCGACTCGCCTGACGTGGCGACGTTGACGCTGGTGCAACCGCTGCCGTTGTGGGCGCGGTCGTACGTCGGGCCGTGGCTGCTGCTGTACCCGCTCGCTGCGTACGCCTTCTACATCAAGTACGACACCTACATCCAATCCATCGGTCAGTCCACCCATCCGCGGCCATGGGTTTCTTCTGTTCCCTGCCACCACCTCCACTGACGTTCACCCGCCTTCCGCCTTCCCTCTCCGTGGAACCCGCTGCTCATCCCGTCTCCGCTGTTCCCCACTCGACCCTGACAACCACCCCCCAGAATGGTCGTTCTTGTTGAGTATCTGCCTCTTTGGTGGCCACGCGCTCAGTTTCCTCTTCACCCGATGGAGCGTCGCCTTCCGTTCGCGCGGAGAAGCCCGACACGTCAGTCATTTAGTACCATCTCTCCCGGGCGTGCAGGCATCAGAGTAACTCATCCTCTCGAACCCAACAGGTCACCGACATTGACACCGCTCAGAAGATCAAGGTCATCCCCAAGCTCCATCGAGGCAAGGGCGAGATCGTCAACCTGCAGCGGACCGAGGTCAGTTCCGTTCAGCCTCAGCGTACACGTACCAACAGGCGATGTATTCACACGAAACTTGCCCCGTGCCTTCTCGATGCAGCGACCGGGCCAACCCCCCTTGATCTACTTCACCTACCAACGCGACAAGTACCTCTACTCGCCTGAAACCCGCTCGTTCGCGCGCATCTCGTACCCGTGCGATGCCAAACCCGCGCTATCGACGCTCCAGAAATCGACCGGTCTGTCCACCGCAGCCGAGATCGATCGAGTCCAACGCGACTACGGCCGTAACGTGTTCGACATCCCCGTCCCGACCTTTTTCGAACTTCTCGGCGAGCACGCCGTCGCACCCTTCTTCGTCTTCCAAGTCTTCTGCGCCGGGCTGTGGTGCCTCGACGAGTACTGGTACTACTCGCTCTTCACCCTCTTCATGCTCGTCGTGTTCGAGTGCACGACCGTCTTCCAGCGTCTCAGGACCGTCGGCGAGTTCCGAAGCATGTCCATCACGCCCTACGCGATCATGGTCCGCCGCGAGAACAAGTGGATCGAGGTGCAGACCCCCGACTTGCTCCCCGGTGATCTCGTTTCGATCGTTCGCTCCAAGGAGGACTCGGGTGTCGCTTGCGATCTCTTGCTCCTCCGCGGCTCGTGCATCGTCAACGAGGCGATGCTCTCGGGTGAATCGACGCCGCTGCTCAAGGAATCCGTCGAGCTACGCCCCGGCAAGGATGCGCTCGACATTGACGGTGTCGACCGCAACTCGGTCTTGTTCGGTGGAACCAAGGTGTTGCAGGCGACCGGCGTCGATCCCAAGGACAAGCTCGCCGCTCCCGATGGGGGCTGCCTCGCGCTCGTCCTGCGCACCGGTTTCGGCACCAGTCAAGGCCAGCTGATCCGCACCATGATCTTTTCGACCGAGACCGTGTCGGCGAACAACATTGAAAGCTTCCTCTTTATCGCCTTCCTGCTCGTCTTTGCTCTCGCCGCCAGTGCTTATGTCTGGGTCAAGGGTGTCGAGCAGGATCTCAAGCGGTCCAAGTTGCTGCTCGACTGCGTGATCATCATCACCTCCGTCGTACCCCCCGAGTTGCCGATGGAGTTGACCATGGCCGTCAACGCTTCCCTCGTCGCACTCAGCAAGTACTCGATCTTCTGCACGGAGCCTTTCCGCATCCCCTTTGCCGGCCGCGTTGACGTGTGTTGCTTCGACAAAACCGGCACGATCACGGGCGAAGACCTCGTGGTCGAAGGTGTTGCCGGTGTCGACACCAACGACCGTCAAAAACTCGTCCCCGTCAAGGAGACGTCGTACAAGACGACTTTGACCCTCGCCTGCGCCCACGCCCTCGTTCTCCTCGACGACGGAGTCGTAGGTGACCCCATGGAGAAGACAACCTTGGATGCCCTCGAGTGGAAGCTTTCGGCCGGTGACAAGATCACGCCCCTCGACCCGACGACTTCGAGCGTCGGTGGCGAAGTGCACGTCAAGCGCCGTTTCCAATTCTCGTCGCAGCTCAAGCGCATGTCGACCCTTTCGACCGTTATCCCCGCGAACGGCGGTGCCGCCAAGACACTCGTCGCCGTCAAGGGTGCCCCCGAGACACTCAAGACGATGTACAAATCCGTCCCCGAAGGCTACGAGCAGACTTACAAATGGTACGCGCAGCGCGGTAGTCGTGTCCTCGCTCTTGGCTACAAGTGGGTCGACTCGATGTCCAAGAACGAACTCAACACGACGTCGAGGGAAAAGGTCGAATGCCAACTCGAGTTCGCTGGCTTCTTGGTCTTCCACTGCCCGCTCAAACCCGATGCCGTCCAGACGTTGAAGGACCTTGCCGACTCGTCCCATCGCTGCGTCATGATCACCGGTGACAACCCATTGACCGCGACCCACGTCGCCCGCGAGGTCGAGATCGTTGATCGACAAGTGCTCATCCTCGACGTCCGCGAAGGAGGCGAGGGTGAAGCCGATCTTTCATGGAGGACCCCCGACGAATCCAAAGTCATCAAGGTCAACCCCGAGGAACCGATCGACGTCTCCCTCTTTGACGAGTACGACATCTGCATGACCGGTGCCGCCTTGCGCCAGTACGCCGATCGACCCGAGAGCTGGACCCAACTCGTCCAAAACACCTGGGTCTACGCACGCGTCTCGCCCGCACAAAAGGAGTTCATCCTGACCTCGCTCAAATCGCTCGGATACATCACGCTCATGGCCGGTGACGGAACGAACGACGTCGGCGCGCTCAAGCAGGCCAACATCGGTGTCGCGTTGTTGAACGGGACCGAGGAGGACTTGCAAAAGATTCTCGAGCACCAAAAGAAGGAACGCGTCAAGAAGGTCTACGAGCAACAATTGCGCATCACGTCTCGGTTCAAGCAGCCGCCGCCGCCCGTCCCTCCTTTGATCGCGGACCTCTTCCCCGACGCCGTCGCGGCTCAAAAAGCTGCCGCTCAGGCCGTCGGAGAGGACCGCCAAAAGGGTATTGGAACCAAGTTCGACGTTTCGGCTATCACCGATCAGCTGAGCAACATGGAAGACGAGACCGAGGTTCCCCAGATCAAGCTCGGTGACGCCTCCGTCGCTGCTCCGTTCACGTCCAAGCTCGCCAACGTTGTCGCGATCGTCAACATCATCCGACAAGGTCGCTGCACCCTCGTTGCGACGATCCAGATGTACAAAATCTTGGCGCTCAACTGTCTTATTTCGGCATGGGCTCTGTCCGTGCAGTACCTCCAGGGCATCAAGTTTGGCGACTACCAAGTCACGATCACGGGTATCCTCATCTCGGTCTGCTTCATGTGCATCTCGCGCGCACGCCCCGTCGACAAGCTCTCGAGGGAACGTCCGCTTTCGTCCATCTTCAACGTCTACGTCGTCTTCTCCATCCTCGCCCAGTTCGCGATCCACGTCGTCGCCTTCCTGTACCTGACCCAACTGTGCGAGAGGTACGAACCCCAAGCGGGGAACAAGATCGACCTCGACGCCAAGTTCGCTCCCAATCTGCTCAACTCGTGCATCTACCTCATCTCGCTCTCCCAACAAGTCTCGACCTTTGCGATCAATTTCCAAGGTCGACCTTTCCGCGAGGGCATTACGGAGAATTCGGCGTTGTACTATGGTCTATTGGGAGTCGCCGGTGTCGCCTTTTCAGGCGCGACCGATTTCGTACCCGAGTTCAATCGGTGGTTACAACTCGTCGAAATGAAATCGTCGTTCAGGAAACAGTTGTGCTTGGTCATGGTGCTCGATTATGGAGGGGCTTGGATCGCCGAAATCATCCTCAAGTATTTGTTCGCAGATAATCACCCCAAGGCGATCATTTTGAAAGGTTCGGAAAGGAGGTCCAAGAGGAGGGAGGAGCAGAAGAGGTTGTTGGAACAAGAGGAAGAGGGGAAGGCCGAACAGATCAAGGAGAAGAAGGAGTTGTAAACGACGAAAGTTGTGTAGGCGCGTTATATTTTTTCTAACAAAGCATAGATATCGCACACGTGTGAAACAAAAAAAGAAGCTCTAGCATTCCATGTCTCACCTGTGCGCACATGCTCGAACGTTCTGTTCGAGAGAAACCCGCCGGAAATGCGACGTGCCGGGGCCGGCTCGAACCACCTCCTAACCCGCAGCGGTGCTCGGCGCTTAAAATGGGCCGAACCACCGCCCGCGAAGGAAAGCGGCCTTAGCGCCCTACCAAGTCAGCCGAACGCGTGTCAGCCCACCGCCCAATTAATGAGCTTTTCGCTGACTCTTTTTGTTCTCGTTCTTCGGCCTCGGTCTGGTCCATTCACATCTCTTTCCCTTTCCCCCCCCCCCCCCCCCATGTACCCCTTCAATCAACAGAAGTTTTGAATCCGTGACTTTCCTTTCGTCTTACCAGCTGAGCTTTTACGCAACTCGAGCCGACCGAGTCGTCAACCGACCGCAACGATGCATACCCCCGTCATCCCGAGGATCACCACTTCTCCCGCCTCGAACAAGGACACGGATTCAACTTCGGCGCTGTCGGAGGTTCAATTCGGGAGTGAGGATCCGGCGCCCAAGTTGCTCGAAGAGAAGGAAGCTCAGGAGGGGAGTATAACGGGTACAGCGCCCTCGCACGAGGAGGATCGAACGCCAGGGGACAAGGACACACCAGCTTCGAATGGTGGTGACGTTCAAGCGACGGCGCGCATGACACCTAGGACGACCAAGAGTCCCGAAGATAGTCCGACGGATCAACTTACGCCAACGGTGAGAAGTGCACGACCGACCGTCTCTACCACGACCCGAGTGACTACGACTCGCATGCTGCATCACCGAGGCTACTCGTTGGACCTCCCAAGTGGAAATGACGCTCCGGGAGGATCATCAACCATTTCTGAAGGGTTCGTCAGTCCTTCGGGCTCGATGAGGAGTCGTAGGACCTGGGCCGCGGGGGAGACGTACGAAGCGAGGAGGTTGGAGAGGAATTTGTCCGCGCTCAGTTTTCAGAGTGCTGCAACGTGAGTTAAATTGGCGTCGAGAAATCCCGGTATTTTGGTTTCATGGGTTGCTGAAGACGTACACGAGATTATTTTTTTGTTTTCCTCGCAGAGCTTCGTAAGTTGATCCGGCTGAACTCGCTTCGCTCGCGATCAAGGAGGACTGATGTGCTGCCAAAAATTTTGGGGTGTAGACCTCTCGATTTCCACGACCTCGTCCAAAGTAAGCATCACCACGGTGTCGAAGGGTGAAGAGTCCCTCTCCGAAACTGATTCATGGTCCACTGCGATAGTCTACGAAATTGTCGCTTCCCGACGGGCCGCGTTCGACAATCTACTCTGGAGCGTGCCGTCAACTTCGTTCGCAGGCAAGTCGGTTGAGCAACAGGCTGTTGACCAGACAGAAAGTACCCGAGGCTGAATACACCATCGTGCTCTATGGTTCAACCAGCGCAAGCGTGAGTTCTCAATCCAACTTCTCAAGCCCCTGTAACGAGCTCAACTCTTCGGATCTCGAGAGCAGTTTCTTGTTCCAGATCGCGCTCGGAGGCGACTCTTCAAGATCGGCGCGCATCATCTCGATGTGTCTCTCCATCCTCATTTCCTTTCTAACTCTGCAGGTGAGCAGAGCACATACACTCAGATATTGAGTGATATGATCGACCTACTGACGTGGTCCATTGGGACTTTAGCTCTTCACGAGACAATTACAGGCCGAGGTAAGGACAGTTTCGATTGCCTCGCACCACCTGATCTCTTGTGCTGACTCGGATCTAGCTGATGTTCAGGCAGCCGATCATGCGTGGCTCGAGGGTAAGAGAGCTTCTAGTGCGTTGAACACACCGAATTGAACGGTTGGCCTCACCTCTTGCTCGGTTCCCCGTTCTTGTCCTCAGATTGGGAAATGGTGCGTTGCGGGGTGGTATCATTCAGCCGACCTTCTCAGCCTACATTCATTCAAAGGCATCCACCCATTCCCTCCACAGAGGCACAACGTGACACCGAGCGATCGAGCACATGGAGAAACGTGGCGCGGATACCGAGAGATCCTCCCCGTTCGAGCCGGGATCTACGCTCCGCTCGCCAAGTTTCGTGGGTTCTCGTTATGGAGTCATGGTATGGTCGTGATTGGGATGGTGGCCGTTGGTGGTAAGTTTATAAAGGGTTTGGATTGGGTTCAGTTCGCTGGGGGAAAGGAACACGGTCTTGAACGTTTCTGACAAGCGGTCAACGTGCTCGACGGGTTTGCTGAATTTTGGCGAGGCCATTTTTTTCGATCCGTTGTCGACAGTCTTGGTGACCAGTGCCATTAACGGAAAAGCGTGAGTTTCGCCGGGGGGCGGGGTTCCACTCGTTATTTTTTGGGGTCCATCTTCATAATCAGTGAAGATGATGAGTGAAGTTGACGACGCATCGACTCGCCTTTCCTTCCCAGGTTCGAGAACTGCTCGGGTAGCGGTGGAAGTGGAAACCATTGACGCAATACGGGGTCGTCTGTTATCTAATGCATACTTGTCAATTCTGGGGAATGGGGTTCAATCCCTGCTTGTACATACACACAAAAGACATAATCGTAGATTCTGACACCATGCGGATGAACAAAAATTCCTAACGTTGTTCGGTCAAGCTTGCTTCGCCGTACTGCCAGAGGTGATTGCCAGACCGTGCCACGACTCGTCTGGGAACTCGGCGGCGGCGAACCTCGGCGTCGGGAAGTACGCTTTTACTGCTCAGAGTTGACGAACCGAAACTTCGTCAACGTTTCGAACTTGGGTTTCTGCATCCTCTGGACGGTCTCCCCGTTATATGCTCAGCGAGGCTTTCCAGCTGGACGGGCTTGAACAAAAAAAAGCCCGATTGGGTGCAAGCAATTAGTATATACCGGGCTTACCCGGAGTAGTAAGCTGCGGTGATAGTCTCGTCTGCTACTGAATATACTACGCTCACGTGTTGCCTGAACGCCGATGGGAATAAGAATCGAGTCATACTGTTTGAAGGCACGCATAGTTCGGGGCCACTGAGCCTCGGCCTGTCAGGCGGCAGCGCAAGAGTTCCAGCGCGAAGTGGTAGCTTCCCCCTCTTGCGCTTCCGGCCCCGAATATACACGATATCAGACTATGTTTGGTTGATGTCGAAAGTGCGATATTCGCTAAAACCCAGGTCACGTGACTCGCCTTTTTTTTATTTTTTTACTGGGGCTCATCAATTGCAATCCTTCGGGTTGGCTGGGACCGCTAGAAAAAGAGCTAAAAGAGGTTATAAAGCAACGACGGCAAGCAATTGGGTGAAAGTCAAACCCCTGCGCGCAAAGAGCGCTGCGCAGATCAAAACTCGCCGAGCACCTAACGCGGACTCCAACGGGCGGTGAGTACTGCTGCCGCTTCACGTCCCAAGAGCGGGAGCGAAGATACTCGAAAACCAGGCAAGAGCGCCTAGAGAAAGAAAAGGGGAGAATACACAAAAATTCACGACTGGAAACACGGAGAACCAGGAATACTAAGACAGAGAGGAGGGGAGGAGGAGGGGAACACACCCGAGGGGCCAAGGGAGGGGGTCGAAGCCAGAGCTAGAGGTCCCCAGGGACTGACAGGCCGCAGCCAAGCCCCAGCTACTCGTCACCCCGACAGCGCCTGATGTCCTCCCTTGGCTGAGTCTCGAGTGCTGGCTGTTGAGCCGTCGGGGCCGAGCGAAAACGATCCAATACAACGAAACAAGCCTCGCCTTGACGCGAGGATATTGACCAAAAAAACGAGCGACCTTTCTTCCCGATCCATGCCGTAGATCTTGACCAACGCGAACGAACGATCTATTCGACGGAATCCAACACACGGCTTAGGAATAAAAGGAGAAGTGGCTGAAGCGTAGTCAACAACCGAGCAACAGGAACGAGATGAGGAAGAGAAGGGAGAAAAGGGGGGAAAGAGAGGGGAGAACTTCACAAAGCCTCCAACGCAACGACGATCGACCCGGCTTGCCGATCCATCCAAGAACGAAAACCGCTACTGCACAAAGTAGAGAGAGGGAGAGGTGCGCAGCCTTCCACTGCGCAACAAGTTTCAAGACAGTCAGCTTCTGACCGAAAAGGAAGGGAGGAAAGGAGGGGAGGAAAATGGGAAGGAAGGACTTAACTCGGTCATCACACCTCCCAATCTCGAACCCCAGGCACAAAACCCGCTCGAGAGAGAAAATCTCGCTCGAACGCTCTGAGCGCACTGGGAAGCGAGGGAGGGGCCACGACGTTGTCCAGCTCGAACCGCTGATGAACGCGCCAGCGGAGCAGGTGCAGCCGCTGGAAACCGATCGCGCAGGCCAGCCGAACCCACATCCATTTCGAGGTCGTTCTCCCACGACCCCGCAAAAGGGGGAGCCCCATAGTCAGCTGCTCCGGAGTGAACGTCGACGGATCGACGTCGGTATCCTCGATGCCGAGCTTGTCAAGCAGAATGCGTAGCACCCCACCCCAGAAGCTGGTCGAGTACGCGCACTCGAAAAAGTAGTGGGACACCGTCTCGATGACCGCTGCATCGTTGCCACAGAACAGACACGTCGGCGAAGAGGCATGACCCTGAGTATGCTGCCTCTTGCGCGTCGGCGTCACGTCGTACATGAGCCGCCAGTGGGTGTCCTGCTCGACAGCAGACGCGAACCGGTCATGAAGCCATCTCCAGAAGCGCTTCCTATCGCTCTGAGAAGTCCCATCAGGGAAACGCTTGACACGGTCCTCCCTCCCTGGGAACCGCACCTTGTTCACAAGCCGACGAAGCTTGCGAATCGTAAAAGGTCGGGAGAGCCCAAAGAAGTTGAAGCACCGAGGACGGGGAGCCTCCTTGAGAGGTATCCGAGCAGGTCGCAACGCGGTCTTGGGCAGCAACGCTTTCGCCTTGAGCAACTGACCCACGCGCGACCACACGTGCTCGTGCTGTAGGGCGGGTTCCTTAGAGTGCTGCCAGAACCCGCGTCGATGACCAACCAGAGCCCATCCCTTCCCTTCGTCCCTCCAGTACAGGTCCGCGATCTGCGCAAACTTCGCCACCGCGTCCGCATCGTCATATGCGTGCTGGGCACCTTCAGCATAGAGTGAAGGGAGGCGAGGCGGAAGCGAGAGCAATTCGGGAAGCGTAAGGAGTTCGGACTTGATGGTTGGAACTGTGACCCTGGCCGCTGCAACGACTGCCCCCCAGCGCGTCGAGTCGCGATACAGCTTCTCGACCCGAGCCGTGCTGCTGAAGAACCCCCACGGACTGAAATCGCGGGTCGCAGCGACGAGGGACCTCCAGCTCTCGCGAGCTAGGGGCGCCCAGATCGCCTCGTCCGAGCCCGCCACAGCATCCCAAAATCGAAGCGCCACCGAATGAACGATGTCGCCAATCGAAATCAAACCCAAGCCACCGTCCTCCCGAGCCTGGAACACGAAATCGCGAGCGACGGTATTTCGCCCTGCTCCTCCCCAGACAAAGTCCGTAAGTGCCGTCTCCGCCGCCTTAATGAACCATTGAGGCGGTATGTCGAAGGACAGCACGTGGAGGACCGTCGAGATGATGTGAGCGTTGGCATAGAAAACCTTCCCACTCGGCGAAAGTGTCCGGTCTCGAGCGGTGCGGGCCTTGGCCTTGATCCTGTCAAGAACATGGGTCCAAAACAGTTTCGAGTCACCGTGGCGAAAGAAGGCATAGCCGCACCACTTGAAGCTCTCCCCCTCCTGCACCGTTGGCAGCGCCTGCGCAGTCTCGTCCCGAAGCCAGTTCGGTCCGAGTGGTAGCACCAGCGTCTTGTCCGTGTTGGTCTTCCCGTTGGTAGCCTCGTACCACGTCTGCGACAGCGTTTGCAGCTTCGACAATGCCGCCGGTGACTCCACCACCACCACAGCATCGTCGGCAAACGCCAGATGCGTAAGCTGCGCACGCGGCCCCCCTGGCCACACCTTCTGCAGGTCGAGCGCGATCCCGCGCCGAACGAGGGCGTCGAGGAAGGGCTGGAACGTGATGTTCCAAACCGGGCACGAGAGGGGATCCCCCTGACCGAGACCACACAGCAACCGCACCAAGTCCGTGGGGAACCCATTGACAAGGTAGCGCACCCCCAGAGTCTCGGGATCGTAGAGAACGCGCAGCAGCGAGATGAAACGCTCACCGAACCCAGAGGCCTCAAAGACCTCGAAGATCCAGGCGTGATCGACCTGATCGTACGCGCTCTGCTGATCCAAAGACAAGAGGGCGCCCTCGGGGAAAACATCAGTGCCTAGCGACTTGAGTTTTTCGAGAAGGAGAGTGAGATGACTTCCCGCGTCCGCTGAACGTCTTGATGGCATGAAACCGTGTTGCGCCGGCGGTAAAAGCTCGCCGAGCACCCCATTGAGTCGCGCCACCAAGACCTTGCTGAGGACCTTGTAGGTCGTCTCGCGCAATGTGATCGGTCGGTATGCCCCCAGTGATTTCAGATTGGCCCCCGGTTTATTCTTGGGCAAGAGCCGCACCAGCCCCTCTGCCAAGGACGCCGTCATTTTGCCGCCCTCCCAAATCGAGTTGAACAAGTCCAACAGCTTGGGAGCAAAGTAGGTTGGCAGCGCCTTGAAGAGCTCGTACGGAATGCCCGAGGGCCCCGGTGATCGCCCCGAATCCGTCTTCTTCAACGCCGCTTCAACCTCGAGGAGGGTGAAGGGCTCGTCAAGCGCCACTCTCGCTTGACGAGGCAGCCGACGACCGAACGTAGGGTCCGAGCGGTCGTCATCGTAGCATTTCGCTGCGCGAATAGGGTCGAGCAGGGACCGGCGTGCGTTCGTCGGGTCGCCACGAGCTGGGTCCGGCGTGAAGAGCGACTGCGCGTGCCGTGAAGCAATACCCAGCGCCTCCTGCATGTCAACGGTCTCGGTGCCATCCACATCCTCCAGCGAGACGATGCTCGTCTGGCGACTCCGGCGGTTGAGGCGCGTGCGAATGCTTGCCGATTGACCTTCCCTCGAGTCGACTGACGGCACATGCGCACGAATGCGCAGCCACTGAGCCTCCTTTACCGCCAACTGGTCCAACCGCGACTTGGCATGAGCATACGCATCGCGCTCGGCCTCATTCATGTGCTCACCGCGTGCCTCCAAAGCCTCCATGACGGATTGGCTCTCGGCCCGCAGTCGGCGCATGTCGGCACGAGTCGAGCGGTATCGTGCATGGCCAGCGACTGCAACCGCCCGCAGAGCGGCGTCATAGACGTCGCCGAGCGGAGCGGTCCCCTCGAGCCTTTGATAGACCTCGTCGACGACCCCGGGAATCGATGTGACAAAGTCTTGATCGTCAAAGACCATTGGGTTGAGCCTCGAAATGAAATCGCTCGTGGAGGGAAGAGAAAGGGGGGGTTCGGCATCAGCGTTCGATGTAGGCAAAGCGAAAGTCGCAACTACAGGTCTGTGGTCCGAACAGGGCGCATCGAAGAGCGTAGAAGCGCTCAACAACCGGTTCGCCCAACTGCATTGGACAAGAATATAGTCGATCCGCGACCACGAGCAAATCTTTCGCTCTTCCCCTCTACCACGGTAGTGAGGACGAGTGAATGCAGGGGTGCAAGGATGGACATGTCGGACCGTGTCGAGTGCCTTGAACGCGATCTTTGACAGCAAGGTCTGCCAGTGCGATACAGGAGTCCAAGCGCGATCGGTGATGGACACTCGGTCGACCGATACATCCGGACAATCGTTGAGATCGCCGGCCAAGATCCGAAGAGTCTTGGGTCTCGGGGCGTTGAAGTGCAGAAGCCCGAAAAAGTCGCGACGATCGTCCTCCTGCACCGGCGCGTACATGTTGGTGATCTCGACATCGAGCTCCTCAAGACGAAACACCGAGCGCAGAATCCGACCGTCGAAACGAGGAGCTCCTGCAAAGACGACCGGGGTAGAGGAAAGGAGATGGCCCGCCAAAAGTGAGCCATCGGGTATGAGGGTAAGGACATGAGGAGTGAAACGAATACAAGCCCCCGGCCAAGCACTCTCGAAGCCTTCGCGCGACGCGTTGTAGCTGAGGTGGTGCTCTTGCAGGAGGATGGCCGCAGGGGCCGGCCGAAGGGTTTTGAGATAACGGATGATTTTGACTTGGTTGACTGCGTTCTTCATCGATCGGACGTTGAACGTCAACACGGTGAGTGACTCAATCATGATTAAATCAGTTCAGCGCCGCCCCCCTCGAATTCGGTCACCTCGGACCTGTGACCCCCTGAACTGTTGCCCCCTGAGCCATCACCCCCTGATGCACCGAGGATCATGGCGGATCCCGCCCGGGTGACACGTCGGTTGCCGGGTGCCGAGCTCGAACGAAGGCGTCGAGGACTCGTCGAGGCTATCGAGGTTGTCGAGGTTGCCGATGATCCCGACGTGCCACCGGACAAAGGCGAAGGAGAGGTCGGGGTCGAAACGGGCGCCGCCGTCGTCGTCTGCGTCTCCTTTGTTGAGCCCAGGGTCGCACGCGTCGACGTCTCTTCCCCAGTGTCGCCGCCCTCCGGTTCGGTCGAAACGACCGACTCGTCGTCGCCGTCGTTCGCGTCGTCCTTGTTGGCGGTTACTGCACCTGCGGGGTTAGCACGAGGTCCCAGCTGGATCATGTTCGCGCCAGAGACACGAGAGTTCAATGCGGCAGGCCCACCGTGCTTCCCATTCTTTCCAGCAACTCGGAAGCCGGTGGTCGAAGTCGAAGTCGAGGTCGAGGCCCCCGGAACAGGGGCGGCGGTGGCCGGAGTCGAAACCGGCTTCCTGCAAGCGCCCCACTGGTGTCCGGCGCGATCGCACACCGCGCAGTAGTGCGTCTCGAATTCGTGTCGCAAGCCGTACTTGGCGCCCAGGATCTCGATCTCTTGTGGCAAAGCGGCGTTGAGCGCACCCTTCTGCGTCTCGATGGAGCCTTGGAAAAGATCAGCATGTAAGCGAAGGTACGCGCAGTGGAACCCGTCTTCGGTCATGGCCATCGGATCGCCATTCGGATCGACCGCGAGGCCCCGCTGTAATTGCATCAGGGTATAACCTTGCGTGCGACCTGCGCGGCCGAACGAAAGGGTGATAGCATCATCGAGAGATTTTCGGAGCACGGAAGCGGGGATCGCGCTGGAGGAGGAGGGCAAGGTGAATCGCACCTGCACGACGTGGTTAAGGGGAGAGGCGCTGGGGAGCTCGGTAACCATCTCCTTGCCGTGGTAGGGGAATGGGCCCACTGAAGCGGCTTCAAGACAAGCTTGCTCGGATTCGAATACAAGCTCGTACATGTGACGAGCGATCGGGAACCTCTTCGTGGCTTTCGTCACAATCGGGTTCAGCTTCACGCATTTCGAGAAAAGCTTCTCGACCTCGGGGTCAAGCACGACGCCCTCGGGCCGCGCGAACATGAACGGCGTCTCGGCCAATCCAAAGTGCTTGCGCAGCGCGGTCTGTACAGGACCTCTGGGTGATCCAGGACCATCCATAATGACTCGAATCACATTGGAGGCCGGGGCTGCGTCGTTTCGCACCGCTCTTTGGGCGGCTCGTGCGAGCGCTGGCGCCTGCGAAGGCGGGGTCGAGGCGTCGTGCATCAGGACCATCAGTCGGCGGGTCGACTTGCTGGAGGGAACAATCCCGAGCACTTGGAAGGTCTTCTTCATCAGCTTCTCATGGTCCAACCGGACCTGAGTTGCCTCGGGCGACCAAGCTGGAGGATTCGCGGTTCCTCCAGTGACCGCTTCACGCGTTTGCGTGTTGAGTGATGAATCACTCGCGCCATTACCACCCAATAGGTCCTCGGGCGGGGGCGCATCGGCGCCGGGCGGATCCGGCATCGCGTGTTTGTGTTGACCTGTAAAGCTTAACGGGCTTGGAGGTCAACTACTCACTCTACACCACAGAAACTCACTTGTGTGTGTGTGTGTGTGTGTGTGTGTGTGTGTGTGTGTGTGTGTGTGTGTGTGTGTGTGTGTGTGTAGATTTTTTTATTACTGGGGCTCATAAATTGCAATCCTTCGGGTTGGCTGGGACCGCTAGAAAAAGAGCTAAAAGAGGTTATAAAGCAACGACGGCAAGCAATTGGGTGAAAGTCAAACCCCTGCGCGCAAAGAGCGCTGCGCAGATCAAAACCCGCCGAGCACCTAACGCGGACTCCAACGGGCGGTGAGTACTGCTGCCGCTTCACGTCCCAAGAGCGGGAGCGAAGATACTCGAAAACCAGGCAAGAGCGCCTAGAGAAAGAAAGGGGGAGAATATACAAAAATTCACGACCGGAAACACGGAGAACCAGGAATACTAAGACAGAGAGGAGGGGAGGAGGAGGGGAACACACCCGAGGGGCCAAGGGAGGGGGTCGAAGCCAGAGCTAGAGGTCCCCAGGGACTGACAGGCCGCAGCCAAGCCCCAGCTACTCGTCACCCCGACAGCGCCTGATGTCCTCCCTTGGCTGAGTCTCGAGTGCTGGCTGTTGAGCCGTCGGGGCCGAGCGAAAACGATCCAATACAACGAAACAAGCCTCGCCTTGACGCGAGGATATTGACCAAAAAAACAAGCGACCTTTCTTCCCGATCCATGCCGTAGATCTTGACCAACGCGAACGAACGATCTATTCGACGGAATCCAACACACGGCTTAGGAATAAAAGGAGAAGTGGCTGAAGCGTAGTCAACAACCGAGCAACAGGAACGAGATGAGGAAGAGAAGGGAGAAAGGGGGGGAAAGAGAGGGGAGAACTTCACAAAGCCTCCAACGCAACGACGATCGACCCGGCTTGCCGATCCATCCAAGAACGAAAACCGCTACTGCACAAAGTAGAGAGAGGGAGAGGTGCGCAGCCTTCCACTGCGCAACAAGTTTCAAGACAGTCAGCTTCTGACCGAAAAGGAAGGGAGGAAAGGAGGGGAGGAAAATGGGAAGGAAGGACTTAACTCGGTCATCACACCTCCCAATCTCGAACCCCAGGCACAAAACCCGCTCGAGAGAGAAAATCTCGCTCGAACGCTCTGAGCGCACTGGGAAGCGAGGGAGGGGCCACGACGTTGTCCAGCTCGAACCGCTGATGAACGCGCCAGCGGAGCAGGTGCAGCCGCTGGAAACCGATCGCGCAGGCCAGCCGAACCCACATCCATTTCGAGGTCGTTCTCCCACGACCCCGCAAAAGGGGGAGCCCCATAGTCAGCTGCTCCGGAGTGAACGTCGACGGATCGACGTCGGTATCCTCGATGCCGAGCTTGTCAAGCAGAATGCGTAGCACCCCACCCCAGAAGCTGGTCGAGTACGCGCACTCGAAAAAGTAGTGGGACACCGTCTCGATGACCGCTGCATCGTTGCCACAGAACAGACACGTCGGCGAAGAGGCATGACCCTGAGTATGCTGCCTCTTGCGCGTCGGCGTCACGTCGTACATGAGCCGCCAGTGGGTGTCCTGCTCGACAGCAGACGCGAACCGGTCATGAAGCCATCTCCAGAAGCGCTTCCTATCGCTCTGAGAAGTCCCATCAGGGAAACGCTTGACACGGTCCTCCCTCCCTGGGAACCGCACCTTGTTCACAAGCCGACGAAGCTTGCGAATCGTAAAAGGTCGGGAGAGCCCAAAGAAGTTGAAGCACCGAGGACGGGGAGCCTCCTTGAGAGGTATCCGAGCAGGTCGCAACGCGGTCTTGGGCAGCAACGCTTTCGCCTTGAGCAACTGACCCACGCGCGACCACACGTGCTCGTGCTGTAGGGCGGGTTCCTTAGAGTGCTGCCAGAACCCGCGTCGATGACCAACCAGAGCCCATCCCTTCCCTTCGTCCCTCCAGTACAGGTCCGCGATCTGCGCAAACTTCGCCACCGCGTCCGCATCGTCATATGCGTGCTGGGCACCTTCAGCATAGAGTGAAGGGAGGCGAGGCGGAAGCGAGAGCAATTCGGGAAGCGTAAGGAGTTCGGACTTGATGGTTGGAACTGTGACCCTGGCCGCTGCAACGACTGCCCCCCAGCGCGTCGAGTCGCGATACAGCTTCTCGACCCGAGCCGTGCTGCTGAAGAACCCCCACGGACTGAAATCGCGGGTCGCAGCGACGAGGGACCTCCAGCTCTCGCGAGCTAGGGGCGCCCAGATCGCCTCGTCCGAGCCCGCCACAGCATCCCAAAATCGAAGCGCCACCGAATGAACGATGTCGCCAATCGAAATCAAACCCAAGCCACCGTCCTCCCGAGCCTGGAACACGAAATCGCGAGCGACGGTATTTCGCCCTGCTCCTCCCCAGACAAAGTCCGTAAGTGCCGTCTCCGCCGCCTTAATGAACCATTGAGGCGGTATGTCGAAGGACAGCACGTGGAGGACCGTCGAGATGATGTGAGCGTTGGCATAGAAAACCTTCCCACTCGGCGAAAGTGTCCGGTCTCGAGCGGCGCGGGCCTTGGCCTTGATCCTGTCAAGAACATGGGTCCAAAACAGTTTCGAGTCACCGTGGCGAAAGAAGGCATAGCCGCACCACTTGAAGCTCTCCCCCTCCTGCACCGTTGGCAGCGCCTGCGCAGTCTCGTCCCGAAGCCAGTTCGGTCCGAGTGGTGTAGAATTTTTTTTTTTTGTAGAATTTTTTTTTTTGTAGAAACCGTTCATCATATTGCCCCCAATTCCTGTTCCCCCTGATTGGCCTACGGAAAAACTAGATGGAAGTCGACGATGATAACACAAACCGCCCGCAAGATGCGAGAAACGGGCCAAGTCCACCAATCCGATACTTCGGATTCAAGTGCCCCAGCCAAGCGGTTGCTCCCCCCCAGGAGACGAATGAGAGAGAGAAGGAGAGAGAGAGAAAATGAAAAAGAACTGGCGTACTAACGACAAGAGGCCCACCCCGCACCCACTTCCCAACTCGGTCGAGACAAAGACAGGAGAGCGACTGCGCAGCTACCCTGACCCGCGAAGTCCCCAAGTCTATGCTCGGTCACAACAAGACGCGGTGGAGGCCCCTCAAAACCTCCACCTCAGCAGTCCCTGGCCCCTCAAAGCCGACTTTCTGCCTGTGTCTGCTGATCCCTCCCTTGACTCAGAACCCCGAAGCCAAAGAGCGCGAGCCACCGTCGAGTCAATCCCAAATCGCGAGCCGGTCCATGAGCAACGGAGGCAGACCTGTAATAAAAGAAAGAAAGATGAAGAAAACATATTTAGTATACAGTTTTTGTAAGAGGATGTGTGATGTGGGGTGTGTGAGTGTGGGATGGGGTGGGGGGAAATCGAACCTAGCCTCTACTGCCCTCGCCTGCCTCTTGCTCCTCCCGCCCTCAACTTCATCCTCTCCTCCAGTACCACCCTCCTCCGCTCCAGGCTTTCCATCCTCGTCCCGTGCTTCTGCATCCTCCATCTCCCACTGCTGATCATCTCCAAGACCATCCCCGTGAAGATCTCGATCGTCCTGCCTGCGCCTTCCTGTTCGCTGAGCTTGGCCTTGAGCTTGGGGAGGCCAAAGAGTCGTTGTAGTGTCGTGTACTCGGCGTCCTCGATCGTGTCGCATCCGAGCGCGTCGCAGAGCACGCCCCTTGCCGCGGTCCAGACGTTCCGCGAGTCGACGCAGCCGAAGAAGTAGTGATCGGTGTCGTCCACCGGCGCTTCGCACACGAGGCACGCGGGAGAAGTGACATGCTTTTGCTCGTGCTGGAGCTTGCGCGTCGGGGTGAAGCGGAGAATCAGCTTGAACCAAACTTCCCTCTCCCTCGCTGTCAGTGCCTTCGAGTTGACCGCCTTCCAGAAGCTCCTGAGATCGTCTGGCTGCGGTGGTCCCTTGAGCCCGAGCGTAGAAGAAGGATTGCCAAAAAAATGCTTACCTATACACCAAAGGCCCGCCTTGGCGATAATGCTTTTGCATCGCAGAATCGCTGAGATGGTCGAGTGGTCTAAGACGGAGGACTTAAGGTATTTTCTTTGGAGCACTTGCGTGTTCCACTGGATAGCGCTTTCAAGCAACCCTCTCCGGAAACGGGCAAGGGTTCGAACCCCTTTCTCAGCAAACAAGAATTTTGCCACTCGACTGGCTTGGATTTGGGGGTTTGACAAAGAAGAGATGGGCTTCTTTTTTGTTTTTGTTTCAGTCAGAGTAGTAGTCGGCTGCTTGAACGTTGACTGCGGCCGACACAAGTTGGCGAGGGCCGGAGAAGCGATCATTGAATCGCCGAATGTCTCCCTTCGCTTCCCGTTCGCGCGACCACACGACTCGACGAAGACCGACCCAGCAACCGACATGAGCTCGCACAGTCCGACTCCTTCACGCGCTGCAGCGGCCCACCTGGTGAACACCCCTTCGTGCTCTGCTCCCAACGCTCTCGTAGCTTCTCCCTCCACGTCCTCCTCTTCGACGACGGACGATTGCGAATCGTTGTACCTCGTTGCGCAATCCCTGTTGGCACAGGTGGTGACGCTCCTGGAGGATGTTGTCGTATCGGATCAACAACTGAGTACGGTCAGTGAATACGTTCCGGGGAGTACGATTGGGAAACACCTGAGGTCAGTACAGCAGCCAGCGCTTTTTCTCCGATGGGCTGCGAACGAGAGAGCGAGGATGAACGTCGCTCGCGAGGACAAAGAGCAACATCGCCGTTGTATACGATGTAACGCGGCACTTGGCAGTCGAAGAGCTGATTTATCATCTGATCCTGATCCTACAGACACCTGCATGATCACTACCGACTCTTACTGGACTCGTTACTCGTCGCAACGCCACACGACGCGTCCTCCTCCTCGTCCTCGCCGTCCCCGGTCGAGCTCTCCTACGACGTTCGATCGCGCAACATCGCTTCCGAGACCTCGCACAAAGCCGCACTAGAGGCCTTCATCCAGCTCCAACACCGTCTCGAGACCGAGACGAGGAGGGGGACCGCGATCGAGCCCGATCGCACGATCTGGTTGGAGGCGGTCACACCGTTCAAGGTTCGCGTCGAGTCGAGTTGGGCCAGGGAGGTGAGTCGCTTCTCTACACATGCTGTTTCGATCGACCGAGAATGCTGATGGTGGTCAATCGGGTTCGGGTTCGCACGCTTTTCCTCGCAGCTCTGGTTCGTGAGCTTGCATGCGACACATCATTTGGCGCTCGTGAGGGTCAGTTTCCTCATTTTCAGCCTAGATCCAGATCACGATCCCACAACTTGACCCTGACTTTTGACTTTGTCTCATTCCAGGTCGTAGCAACCGAACTGGGCCTCACCGTCCGGGACGAGTTTGGCGTGGCCCCTTCGACGCTGGTCGCACGCACCCAAAGGCACGACGACGAGACGCAGACCCGATCCGAGGCGAAGGACAAGGTCGAACACAAGATCAAGCGCGATGAGCAGAAGCACGAACCGGGGAAGAGTGCCAAGAGGAGGGAGTCCAAGTTGTAGGAGTTGATCTCTCCCCCCCCCCGCGATCGGCGCATTCCGGGATCAGTAGAGGGCCTCTAGAATGATCTTGCATTGCAGCCATTCGCACGACTGGTATGACTACAACTAATGGGAAAGTAATGGGAGAGACATGTAGGACCGACAATAGTCAAGTGAGCTCGTCGAGAAAGTAACAAGGAAGAACACTCCGGCTTAAGATGGGTCCCTCGCGTGTGTACGGTGGTCAGTCTACGATACAGGGGCCAACACTACCTGGGCTCGATCATGGAAAGTGATACAAGAGGTGGTGCTTTGCCTCTTTCCTCGCTTTGTGAAGGTGAGGAGAGAGGCGAAAAGCTGTGGCGATCGAGAGACGAAGCGATCCTGACCGGAGTCGCGGATGCTCGTGCGAGAGAGAAGAGGAAAGCAAAAGGGCGTCGCTTCGCTGGCGCGTCCCTTTTTCCGGGTTGCGCACCGCGTCTAATTGGGCATTAGAAACCCAAGCGATCTCTAAGGGGGAATTGCGCCGTGAGAGGGACGCGTCGCGCGGTTCAATTTGGGCTCGCGTGGACGCGTCGGCACAAGTCAAAGCTCGCGCTCGGTCGTCATCGCACTCCCTTCCCCTACACGTACACCCAGTCATGGCAGCAGCAACTCTAGACCACCAAGATGACGACACCCCCATGCTCGATGTCCCCCACCCGGCATTGGACAAGGGCAAGTCGAAGGCGAGCGCGAGTGCAAGTGCGAGCAGCGGTCTGGACGCGTTGGCGATGGATGTCATGCCTTGGGTTGAGAAGTACAGGCCGGTCACGTTGGACGATGTGGTGGCTCACAAGGATATCATCTCGACTAGTACGTTCTCGGTCCGAGGCGGCTCTCACCCGGCGAGCAGGAGAGCCCTGGACTGGCGAGGACGACCCCGCACGGGTCAGCCGGATCAGACGAGACTGAGATGTTCAAACACCCACTTTACCCCTTGACGCAGTTGATCAATTCATCGCCAAATCGAGGGTACCCCATCTCCTCTTTTACGGCCCCCCAGGAACAGGCAAGACCTCGACGATCCTCGCCGTAGCGCGAAAGATCTATGACGGCAACGAAGCGAGCATGAGGAACAACTGTCTCGAGGTGGGATACACTCGGCTTCATACAAACCGTTTTCCTCACCTTGAAGTGACTGAACTTGTGCTCTGGGATACTGGCAATCTCCACAGTTGAACGCCTCGGACGATCGTGGTATCGACGTCGTACGGGAGCAGATCAAAAACTTTGCCTCGACGAGGATGTCCAATGCTGGAACGCGAGTCCGAAACCCACCTTCTTCCCTCGGCCTATTCAACCCTTGCTGACTTTGCGCTCTTCTTCGATGAGGACAGTGCCGGATTCAAATTGATCATTCTTGACGAAGCCGACCAGATGACCTCGGCCGCTCAATCCGCCTTGCGACGAGGTGAGCTTGCTCGAATCTCCCGAACCGAAAGAGGAAGTTCTCCACTGACCGAGAGTCTTTCTCCTCGCAGTCATTGAACAATACACCAAAAACGTCCGCTTCTGCATCATCTGCAATTACGTCAACAAAATCATCCCCGCCGTGCAATCGCGATGCACTCGCTTCAGGTACCAATCTTTTGGACATTTTATTGTCCGTCCGCGGCAAGCAATGCTGAATATTGTCTGGTATTCCTGCAGGTTTGGTCCTCTACCCCGGCCCGAAGTGGAGAAGCGACTCAATCATGTTGTTGATGCTGAAAAGTACGTTTCGTCGATGGCTCGGACAGAAAGTTGGGGGGCTGATGCTGTTTTCCTCTGCGGTTACTTTCTTAGGGTCAATTTGACCGAAGACGGACGGCAGGCACTGCTGAAGCTCTCGAAGGGGGATATGCGACGCTCTCTAAACGTACTGCAGGTCAGTGTTCGGGCTCTGTTGAGTTGGGGCGTGTGCCGCGCCAGTGCTGAAATTTCGTTCTCGCCGCTCCAATGATAGGCATGCCACGCCGCATACGACGTCACGGACGAAGCCGCCGTCTACAATTGTACCGGCAACCCCGATCCAGCCGACATCGAAGCCATCATGCAATCGATGATGAACGAATCCTTCGAGACCTCGTATCGACGCATCTCGTCGCTCAAGATGGACAAAGGTTTGGCGTTGCAGGATATCATTCAAGGGTGTTTTGATTTCGTCGCGACAGTCGAGTTTCCGAGGCAGACGAGGGTCGTCTTGTTGGATCATTTGGCGCAGGTCGAGTGAGTGATTGATCCCCACACCGGACGGTCGGAAAGGGCCATATGCCATATCGCTGATCCTCCTGAATCTGTCCCGCTGATTAGGCACCGCTTATCGACCGGCGCGAGTGAGAAGTTGCAGTTGACGGCCCTGCTGGGAGCGACCAAACTCGCTATCGAACTCAGTCAGAACAAGTAAAAGGCCATACCAGCGTGTACTGTAATGTTACTGTAGACTTTCCAGGACCGTTGTCGAGACAAGTGTGATGATCGCGGAACGTGCGGCGAAGCACTTGGTCGGATTATCATGCTCATGCGCTGGACATTCGCCGGGCGCGTTAAACGCAGCAGATCTTGGCAGGCAGAGGTGACCGTCGTCCGGGGTCCAGCCTGAATCCTCCGAGCCGTGGCATTCGAATCAATAGTTTGAAAAAACACAGACTCGGTACCTACTGCTGCTGTTGCAAACGATGAATCCGGATTCCGACCAACTTCAACTTCGTCGACAAGTTTGAGCTCGCCGCCGATCGCACTCGTGGTGGGCCTGGCGCGAACCGACGTAGATCTCTCTTCGTAGGGACCTACCTCGGTTCGGACATTCTTGATTTTGGGTCGTCGCGTAAGCCTTTCTTTCCAATCTCCTTGGGCCAAAGCTAGGTTGACTCAATTTTGTGTGATCTGGTTGTCTACTTCTGCCATATCGTTTTCTGTGCCTTGATCCTTTCGAGCTTGTTTCCCGATTGGTTCCCGGTGGTAGCAGGCCCGTGCAGTGGGGTGCCGTGGCGCGTCAGGTTTACGGTATAAGTTATATAGCACAATTTACAATTACGCACGGCCACGTAACGATTGTCACGCGAGACTCCGGCAACAGTCCACCAATTCGCGGTGGGCTGGCTCTAGCTTCGGGCAGAATACGCCGCATGTCAACTTTTTGCAATCGCCCTGCATATGGACCGCCCACAGCACCTCCTCAGTCGCCTCGATACGCAATCGTCGGTCCTGCGTCTCGTCCGTCATCCATTTCGCATGCGCCAGGAATTTCTCGGGCGAGAGGCACGCATCGTCACCCATGACGCGCGGTTGCACGACCGTGGCGAGCAGTTTCGGGTTCACAGGCTCGTACTTGATGACGGGCGTGCTGGAATAGACGCGTTGGAACTCGACGAAGAGGAACATATCGCTGATTTGTTTGGGTTTTTGTTCGCCGCAATCGACGAGCTGCTTCTTGACCCATTGGTCTTCCCACATCGGGACATCGTAAATGCCCCCGATGGCATCAATATCGGCGCAGACGGATCGTGCTGGTCGATCGTAGAAGCTGTTGATGTAATAAACGAACGCGCCCATCCTTGCGCGCGACCAGAGTGACATGTACACGCCTCGCTCTTCCGGGAGCCAATCTTTGTAAGGGAAGCGTGTAAGGATGTTGCTCATGGGGAAGAGGTCGGCGTCCAAGACGAGCACACTCCGAATTGTGGCACGCACAAGGTCAGCGCAAACGCAAGATAGGAACGAGCATCCACGGTTTCTGTTTTTCATCAAACGCACCTGTCTATCTTCTGTGTGATCAGGTATTGGTGGAGTGTCGCCCATCGCTGAAAGCAGAACAGCTCGTAGGCGACCGGGTTCAGCGACGAGTGCTTGTACGTGCGCGCGAGTTGTCGATGCGAATCTGTATTCTCCTCGACCCAAACGACCTTCACCGCCGCGGCTCGGAAGAGCGATGGCCAATCGACCTTGACATCGTCCACGACCTTGTCGTCCAGCGGATTCCGGAGCAGGTGGATCGTCGCGTCCGGGTGCGAATAGCGCGTGTACAGCAGCGCGATCGCCTGCCAGTTGAGCATGTGCCCCGATTGCACGAACGCGATGTCATTCGTCGTAGTGTTGTAGTCGGTTTGGTTGATGTTGGGAGGAGGCTGCAGGCTTCCTCCAGATGACGAGAACGACCTCGACACTCCGAACAGGACCAGCAAAGCAAGGGCCGTCGCGGTCGCGACAATCACTGGCTTCACGTATGGCCGGGAAGCGCCCTGGGGCCGTGTCGGCACATCACTGTCCGATATTTGAAGCGGGATGTAACCCCCTCTTGTCGTCATGTCGGCGGGCACACAGGGTGCACAGCTACTCCTGAGGGATCAGGCTGCTGGCTGAGTCTGAGACTCTGAGATCGCGCGACCGCGCACCGCGACTTAAGCAGTGTAGCACCTCGGGTGGTTTCGAATGGCTGCTGGCAGGCGCGCGACGTCTACAGTTAAGTCACTGCTTCCTTCAAGACAAGACGCTCGCTGGCCCGAGGAATCAGGATAACCGGCGCCTGTGCTTTGTCTAAACGAACACTATATTGTGTTTACTAGTTGGGATTAGTACCGTACCGCGTGGCGGCGAGGAATGAATGAACCTCACTCGCTCGCGCCCCGGCCATTTCGTTGACCATGAATCCTTCAGGTCCAATTAGCTGAGCTGAGAGCTCGAAGGGGTTTATTTGACGGTCTCATTGATAAGAAGTCGTCCATCTCGAACAATTGGCACAACCAATAACCGAATATTGAGCTAGATTCGTGTATAACCTTCGTCCAAAAGAATGGTGGCACGGAACGGCGAGAAATAGACAGATCTGCCAAGGAATCGCCTCGCTACTTTTTTCATGAACTTGAAGACGAAACTGTCTTCTTCAAAACGTATCAAAGCCCTCGTAATCTCAGCTTCTTCAGCTACATCATTTATCGTCAAAGCGACATTACATCCAAAATTCGCCATGGCTGTGGGCCTGTGATTCGGTGCCACTGGTGACCGGGCGGATCCTCTACTAGGGACTAATTTTCGCTGGAACTCGGCCACTGCTTCCGCTGAGAACACAACGTAGAACTTAACAAGCTGCAGGTGTTTAGTGAGTCCGAAGCCCCACTCAGGAGTCATCTTTCAATGGCTTCGCCGCCCATCTCTATGTGGGTTTTTGGTAGCCTGGACTGTTGAGTCGCACCATTGTATTGAGTCTCCTGAGTCCTCGAGGATTTCGCTGACCTGCTGCAATGCCAGCCAAACGAAGCCTCAGGCTCGGTTTGCGCAGCCGAGTCGAACGAGCCCCTCCGCGCAGCGGCAAGGTGATCTGATCTGATTTGAATTTTTCTGATTCGGCCTTGATTGATGATCTTGATCTGATCTGAACAGATCAATTTGATCTGAGACATGAAATTGCCTAATTTGGCGCAGAGAGACTTCTACATGTCTACATGTTGAAATCCCTATCTTCTTCCTCCACAACTTCAACCTCACTCGTCCTCATCTCATCCTCATCCTCATCATCCTCCAAAGTGATCACCTTGCTAAGCCGCCGCTTTTTGGAGGAGCTCCCCGCTTTTATGACTGGATTGCGCGGCATGATCCCGATAAGAAAGTGTCTCGATTAGTCAGCACTTGACACTGCAACGAAGGCCCATCAGAGGAGGACCATACCCTGTAGTATTTCTGTGGCGCGGGGCCGACACCCAATGCGGCGGCGATGCCAGATAGTAGATGGCGCGATCCATTCTCTCTCATGATCAGGTGCGCCGCAGTTGGCATTTCAAATCACAATGGCACCACCTAGGTACCGCCTACTTTTGGATTTTTTTCCTCGAGGCTCTATTGATCTAAACTTGATCTGACCCCTGTCAGATCAGATCAGATCAGATCTAATGCGGACCCTTGTGAATCAGAAGAGGGTTCCTCTCCCCTGGTCTCGAGGTTTCATACGAGGTGGTGCAACCGAGGCATACTGTGCGGCTCGCCATCGAGAAGCAAATCCTTGCTCGGACGCCCGCCATCGGCGTAGACCACCATGGTCTGACACAATCGCTTTTTCGACCTCATTAAATCATCCCGTCGGGAGTCGCGGCTGGGCCAACCTCTTCTTGCGTCCACTACAGCAGACTGAGTGGCAGACTGCAGGCTGATCCGAAGGAGCCAGCCGATTGATTCACACACGGGGTGTGCTCGAAGCGCACGTTACTCCAAGCTCCAGGGAAGTACGATGGTCACAAAGGTCTGTCACGGAGTGTCGAATAAGCCAATTTAGCGCCTACAACGCTCTCTCGCAGTCACGCACGAGGCCGACATGTTCGCATCCAATAGGGGGACGAGTCGCAATTGTGCAATTGCGCAGCTGCATCCTCGAATCCCAGAGGGCAATCTTTCTATGTCAGCAATGCTATGTAGCAGGCAATGATACGAGTGTTTCAATCGGAGAAAATTGACTATGAGGCTCCATCGCGAGATAAAAATACCACCTAAAGCCAAAGTCGTAACTCGTGGGTGTCTCGGGGTCGATCAGCCCGCGCTGATGTACTGCGCTCTTAGACTGTCGACTCCTCCATAGTGCGCGCTGTTTGTGGCGTTTGTTTTAGGATGGAAGAGTCGAGTTGCAGTGATAAGAGAAAAACCCGCACTCCGTAACAAACGGAGGGTTTTCTAAACAGGAGTTATGAACAAGTAGGGTGGGAGGGAGGAGCCCCAAAAAATGGTCGATCGGCTTTGCTCAAAGAGCGCAGGTCCGATTAGTAACTAAAACACTGCAACTGACTTGGGGGATAGGCCATACCTTTGCTCGAAAAGCGCAGGGCGATGGCAGGGGAGGAAGGCGACGCGGTAGGTAGACGCGGCCAAACGAGGTCTGTATACAAGGTAGCCCCATGAGTCAACTTGCCCAACAAGGACAAGGAATTTGGCAACATGCCCAACAAGGACAGTCGTGATCCGGAATGCGAACCTTAGCTAGAAACAGCGAGCCGCGATAGTGCGAGTCTCGAAAAGTTCGCCCTTGCTCTAAGCAGTGGGTGCGATACGACCTTGCAAAGCAGCGGGTACGGCGGCTGCTTACAACGTAGTGGCAGGCTAGCTCATCAGTCCAACTGTCCAACAAGGGCAGAGGGTTTACGAGGGATGTTACCCACTTTGAGTGAGTAGAGACTGGCAGGGGGGGTGCCGGAACCACAACACGAAACGCTAAGGCGTGCGGGACGACGAGGGAGAGGGAGAGGAAGGGCCCGCGCGCGCCAGCGGGTGAGCAAGGCGGGAGGCCCAAGGGGGCCGAGAAGAGTGCGTGCTGGCACAGGGTCCAAAGAATGCGTGTTCGAAGAGTGGAGCGCGAGCGGGCCCCGTTAGGCCGAGACCAGCGCGCTTGAGCTGTCCGCGTCAAAATCTTGCAGCGAAGGCCGAAAAGACTATGGAGGAACACGGCGCTGTTATACTTTCGGAGGAACACGGGCCCAGATTCCATCTAGGAATGAGGTAGAAAACCAAGGCGCATCAAGACCGCAGCTATGAACGAGAGCGAATTTGTGAAAAACGTAAATAAGTGAGTTGAAGAGAGCTGCCCGAGCCGTTCAACAAGTTACATTCGGTCTCCGGCGCGTCCTTCAGGCATAGCAGGCGCCTCGGGGCCTAGTCCCAACGGTGACGACATGGCTAGACATGGCTGTTTCGACGGCCCTCCTGACTGTGCACGAGCTGTTTCTGATCGTCTCTCCTATCCACGTAAGACGGCCCGGACTGCTGAGGTTCTACCAAGGCTGAACACCCGGAACCGCAATCCTACTTTGTTTGTGGTACGTCGAAGAAAGTTCCATATCGAACCTCGACGTCATAGAAACAAGTAAGGCCTAGACGTTTTTTCGACCGAACGGCACCTTGTCCGTCCCGACGGACTTCCGTGGCCGACCTTTACAGGCGGTCCCAGCGCGGCCGTCGAGCTATGTGGATCATCTCGGGCTTCGGAGCTCGGAGTGCCGAATGTACGAACACGCAAGGCCACGTTGTGTGGTCAAATGCGATGCATTGCGATGGTTCAGAGCCCAACTTCTTACCCACGCCTTGATCCTACACCTCCTTCCGAGCCCAATCGACCATCCTTTCTCCGACCCCGCCCACGACGCCTCGAACCCATTCCCTCTTCTTCCCTTGTCCACTGAACGTCACCGTCTTGGCCACGATCAGAGGCGTATTGTACATGACCCTTGTGATCCCAAGTCTCAACTTCTCGCGCCTCGAAGGCGTGCGAAGGACAATGAAGAGCAGGAAGGCGTAGATGTAGCGGTCGAGATGGGAGAGGCTGTCGAACGCTGGATGATGGGGCACGGCGAATCGGACGGACGGCGATTTGCCCACCGAGCTTATCCGTGTTGGTGTCGAGCTAGAAGATCGATTCGGGTTCCCCCTCAGCGTCGATGCCTTCGATGTGTCCAGAGAAGAATCGGCGAAATGCACATGCCCTTCGCGGGTGATCGTCGCCGCCGTCGCTGCCTTCGAGCTGGTCGAGGATTCTAAAGTTCTTTCCTTCATCGCCATCCGCGTTTGCGCGACCCTCGGGTTCCTCAAAGTCACCAGCCTCAACAAGACTCGAACGACGAACTCTATTCTCGCCTTGAGGTTGCGATGCAAACTCAGGAATCGCAACGCAGCTAGGTAGGTCAACGTGCGAACCAAGTCTCGCTTCCTTCGACGCTCATGGTGAGGTCGAGGGACTTTGGTCGGATCGACGGAACGGGAGGGGACGACGGCGGGATAGCCGTAGTAAGGGTTCGACAAATTGTAAGGGGAGAGATCGGTCTGTGACCCTCCCAACCGAGCTGAAGACAGACGCGATGTGTGGAGGTGCATGTGTCGTCGAGAAGGGGACACGTCCCTCGAAGTGGCGCGCGAGGAGAAGCGTGAGGATCGCGCCGAGGTCACCGTCGATCCGATTCGGCTGGCCCCTTCCTCCCCTTCGCGCCCTGCTCCATCTCCCTCTTCATCGACCAGACTTGTGCCACCGCTAGAGAGGACAGTTTCCGGACCTTCGGTACCCTCCTCCCTGAAACTCGTCTCTTCGGGAATGTCGTCCGCTTCTGACCCGGAATCGTCAGACTGGATCGCCGCCTGAGTAGCCGCCAGTCGTTCTTGAAGATCGGCAAAGCTCGTCACCCTTCGTAGAGCCCCGGCGGCACCGGAAGCGACGGTCGTAGGGGTCAAAGCCCCCGAGTCCAGACCAGTTGCTTCGTGTCGAGTGTGTCCAACCGCTTCTCCAGGCGAAGTGTCGACCGCGAGGGGATCGTGGGCGGCCGCTGTAGGGGAGGCTCGAGGACTCCGTCGCCAAAGGGTCGGAATGGGCAGCGCGAACCCTCTCAGTCTGCTCTTGGTCGGCGTCACGGTCTGCTCCGAAGTCAGAGGCGTGGCCGAAGTGATAGGTGAGGCCGGTAACAACTGGACGCCTGGTAGTGGACTTGTCGCCGAGGACGGTGAGCTCGCTTGCGTGTGGGAGAAAAGTTCGAGCGAGGCTTTCTGCAGCGGGGATGCCGGCGTCATGAGCATATTTCTCGGTGCTCGGATCGAGAGGTTCTCATTCGTGGAGGAGCGACGCGAATGCCCCGGTGTCGCTGCTCTCGAGTTCGTGGCGGATTGGAAGACGTCAGAATGCAAGGTCGACGAAGAAGGTGAGGGGGAAGGCGATGGTGAAGGGTAGGCGCTCGTGCGCGGCGAATTCGGAGCCGAGCGAAGTGCCGGGGGAAGAGGTGTCGGGGAATAAGTGGTGAAGATGGGATTCGCCGGCGTGTATTCATAGTCGACCTTGCCTCCGTGTTCTGAGCGAGAATCGTGTTAGTCGTCGTCAGTTTGTATGCTAATCAGTGAAACTTTTATAAAACTCAGAACTGACCAATTAGTAGATGGTCTTCGTCAAAAAATTCGAGGAGATCCGTCTTGGTCGGGAACAGTATTCTCTCGAGCGCAGTGTTGGGCAATACGCGCTTTGCGAGCTGCCACATTCCGGCGTACATCCAGCCGTAGTTGAGGACAAATACTGCAAAAGGGACTGAGGTCAGATTGCTCATCGTGCCGCCTAGTTCGGATGGTCGTTCGCGTCACTCACTAGCACCGACCATGCTAGGAAAATGCTGCTTGAGCATGTCCATGAAGAATGGCAACAGCTCAACCTCCTGCGGAACGACCGCAGACGCGCGACATGAGTCTTGAAATAGAAGCCGCCTCGGGAGAGAAGCAGACTTGTTCCTCACCAGGTTGGCCATCCCCGCGCCTTCGAGATCGACGATCATCACGATCTGCAACATGACCTGGTCCTTTCCTTCTTCTTCCTGCCTATCCGCCTCTTTACTGAGTGCGGTCAACCACTTCCGTGCGACCTCCCACCCGAACTTGACAAAGTTCTTGAGCTCGTCCAGCTGGCCATCCTCGGTCCTCGTTACGCGTCGGAGATTGAGCACCCCACACGGGCGACCGAAGCGGTCCCTCAACGAAGGGTGGAAGAAGAAGAGTGGAGTTTCGAGGTAGATGGGGTCGATCGAGTGGAGGCTGAGCGAGGTGAAGGACGACGACAAGCGGTACGAGAGCGTTGCCTGCAAGAGCTTGTAAGCTGCCGGGGCCGAGAAGCGCGCTCGTCGACAGAAGCGAAAGACCGTATCTGCACAAGCGATAGGAGGTCGAGCGAGTGTCAGTCTTACATCTGAGGAATGGGACCCGATGAAGCGGGCATGCTTCAAGGTGCAGCAGGTGTGACTGACAGGGGTCATTTAGAAAGGCCTTGGCTGCCTTGATCGCCTCGTCCGAGAGGTCGAACTCGGCGCTCAACGACGCAACCAGTTCGTCAAGACAGTCGTTCTGGACCTGGTGCACAAGTGGGAGATGCTCGTGGTACTGCTGCGTGATGGCATCGTGGCGGGCTCGCAGGGATTCGACGGTCGCACCGCGGGTCATACCGGCCCGAATAGATCGCCGGAAACGTCAGATCCGATCAGAGCACAGCGTAACGCAGGGTCGAATCGGGTTCTGAGCAAAGGGAGCTTGGTCTCGTCGGGCGTGCGAATGACTGCGGTAAGCAGCTTTGACCTTGTTGGGTATCGAGCTCGCACAGAAAGCGTGAGCGTATTGAGCCTTGGACAAGCTGAAGGAGAGGCTCGTAAAGCGCTCGCCGCCCGCCCCCACACACAGCGCGCGGCTCTACTTTTGGTATGATGGGATCCAAACGGCGCGCTTCACGACTTGTCGCGTTTTGTAATGGCGACTTACTAATGGATCGCGCACGGGTTCTGGCCGTCGCGCTTGCCCCTAAATAGACGCGTCGCGCGAGAACAACGTCTGAGCACCTCAGGCGTACCTTCAAAGATACAGTGTAGACCGCGCGCGCGAGCGCGCCAAAAACCTCGATCCTCAGCGGGTTTCACACGAGGAATGGTCGCCCAATACCCGGATAGCCAGGACTCCACATCCCGGGGCGGTCAACAGCGACAGATGCATAATACGGACCGACTCAAAAGGTCTGATGTTTCCCAATTTTAAAATAATGTGAAACAGTGGTGATTCGGGACATCTCAATCGCGCAAACTTTTTGGCAGACAGTGGCCGTGGCTGGCCGTGGCTGGCCGTGGCCTGAGCTAGCTTAAGCACACGTCACGTGTCGGTTGCGCGCCCTCTTCGCCTCTTTCCCCTCGTTGTGCGCGCACTTTTCAACCAGCGTTGTACAAAAGCTGCCCAAAAGATATCAGTGAGTTCCAGAGGTGTATGTTTGCTGCCGCGCCGCGTCCGCCTCCCCCGCGACCTGGGCGTTGACAGCCGCTGGCTAGCTCAGCTCACCTCCCAGCCAAACTGGCTTTCGTGCTGTCAGAAAGCGTAACGTCTGACCACCCAAAGCCATCGTACTTATCCCTAGGCTTCTTCTACTTCACATCTGTTGTGAGATCACCTTTCTAGGTGCCTGATCTCCGTTTGATACCTGTCCAAAATACACGTACGTCACGTCGTTATTGCCCAGCTCAGCCCACGTGACTAGTTGTATACGACAATCGATCGACCCTGCCTTCGATTGCTCCTGCTGGAATTGTCTACTGACTACTCTCGGACCTGATCTCTTTCTAGCTTCTGAGAGTTCTATCTTCCATGGACGGCACGATGGATTTCTTGTTCAGTCCCGTCTCAACCGCCAACGCGATGCCGGGTCTTTCTACGTCCAATCAGTCTGCGCGTGGCCAGTATCCCAATCCCAGCTGCTGTTCAACATTCGATCAACGATCTTCAGGCTCCACCACCGAACAATTACGGCCGTCTCCGACCTCCGCCGGCGCTCGCAAGGAATTCCTACCCGCAGGTGCTCGTATTCCTTAAGGCATGATCGAGCGCGTGCAACGCAAGCCGCCTAAGCGCTATATCCTCAAGGAAGAGAAAGAAGGACCGTCATCGTGCATTTGAGCAGATGCTTGCCGTGCCTTCATGGAATGGTACTATTACGAAGAGAACATCCAGCTGAGCGATTCCAACGCGTCACCCAGTCAAAGGTCGTCAGCAAAAGAAGGGCGCTGAGCACGTGGGACACCTTCCGGACGAGCCAGTACTTCTGGAGAAACTAGCCAACAATGATGGTATTGATCGTAAGCAGATTACAAACCTTCCTCGTTGCCGTGTTGAAGTGCTCTGAATAGCCTGATTGCTGCTATTCCTACTCCCCAGTCCCAGTCAGCCTGATAGAATGGCAACCGATCGCCAGCGAGTTGTGGACTCGGATCAACGCGACAGAAAGCGGGCGAGCCGAGTGCGAGGACATCCCGGCGCTGGAGCAAGATACGACAGCCATAGGTGCCGATGATGTGGACAACTCTGTATCCACTATTGCCTTCACGTAACCCTGTACAGCGGCGGTGTCTGACAAGGCAGCTGCACAAGCTTATAAAGAACTTGCCTCACAATGCCAAGATACTGTGAGTTGAGCTTCTTGTGGAGTCTCTTCATGTCTGTTCAACACGCTTACTTACACAGTGTGCTTCTTAGAGCGCCTACTATTCGTTGAACTTCCAAATCGAGACATTCGCTGTGATCGGCTCCAGCTGTGTGGAGCGCAAGGAAGGTCGCGCCTCCCGGTGTTCCGCTGGGGCAGAGGCTTTCTCTGAACGCATGGGCTGGTTCGGAACCGACCAGGAACTTGATATAGTCAAGCGCTTCACCAAAGTCGTAACTGGCCATGCTGCATTCGAGGAGTCAGTGAATGGACCAATCCAGCTAGGTGCGCGGTGGAGATTCCGACTTGACCACGCGCTTTGACTATGCTCCCTGCCCTCTTCGTTCTTGCTGACCCTTGCGTGCCATCTACTCCACTGCAGTCTGGGCCGGCGACGTTTACGACAAGAAATTGACATTTCGAGATCTCAGCATCTAGTACCGTCAATTGGTGCAGCAAGCGTTTGGTGAGTGCTGTTTGTCGCGTCGCTTCCCGTGTCGGACCGATTCCGTTCGATCTGGACTCTTGACCCTGATCCCTTTCTGCCCTCTCTCGACTATTTCGATAGCCGGTGCACTCCAAACACAACGGGCTCAAGAAGGCGTTGGCATGCCAAGCAACCCGAAGACTTGGTTCAACAGGCCGAAACTTCTTTCTCAATACAAGATGATTGTCCATGTTAACGGGGGGTTTGCGCCTTGGCGATTTCCGCTCCCCGACTGGCTCACCCAATACGATGAAAATGGTGGTTCAAGAACGCTTTGGCGCATCAGCAACGTATCACACTCGTTATTACTAACCGAATGTAATGTAGCTATACCATACACTCAACGCGAAGAAGCCATCTCTTGGTCTGATCAGTCACAAGCATCTGCAACGCACTTCACTCGGGAGGGATCATTCGAGACGTGCGGACCGTCTCACAAAGGGGCGCAAGTACTCAGAAACACCAGAGCGATCATTGTAGCTGCCAAGACTACTACGTAACGACTTGATTTTGGCTTATTCTGCCTTACCTCGCCTTCTGTGGTTTGAAAACACCTGTGAAGGACGCCAGAGCGGAATCGCCGAGCGCTCTCGAAGTTATCATTTATTGGCGGAACCTTCCAGTGACCGGTGAGAACAGATTCTTGCTCTATAAGTGTGAATTGTTTTGGTTTTGGCATGCAAGACTGCGTGTCTGAGAAAATAAGTGCATACGGAAGAGGCACGCCGCTTGAAAAGGGACAACGCCACTCGATTTCACTCCTATAATTCTTCACTCTTCAAGACGCGTCTAGCTCGGGTTTGTATGCGCGATGAGGTTGGGGCATCGCCGATCGGCGATTATTCTCAAGTTCAGGTATCACTGCGCTGTACCAGATGCACCTCAGAAAGCCTAGCACATGACCTTGTGGACTGAAGTACGTGCAATCGGGCCAATCGCCCCTTTATCGGGCTAGCGACCTCAGTGTTCATAATCCACCCTCCAGTCTCAAAGATACATTGGATGTAAGAGAGCCGAATTCGAGTGAGATTGATTTGAATGTCACTATCGTGCTCAGCAGTCAAGTTGAGCCTCATGCCGGCCTTCAAAGGACACTTTCTCTTGAGCTCAAAATAAGAGCATCGGGTGGACTCAACGGCACGCTGCGCCTACCGCCCCTGCCCATGGTATGAGATAGTATTTGACGGCTTGACTCGAGGCAGCTCATTCATCGAGATGCATCCGTCGAATACTCTCCCCTGACCCGGCTTACCGTCATGGTGTCACCTAAACCCTTGCGGAACCCCGGGTTTGACTTTAGCGGGGGGGGGCAAAAGAGCCGACTCGGCATCCTCGCACGAACCCTCGGTCGAGCTGGGTGGGAGATAGAAAACATGTACTGCTGTTCCAATCTTCTTGAACGGTTCAATGAAGTCTATTGTAAAGATTTCGTGACCATATTAACTGTGCCCGGACTTTTCGTTGTAGTGTTTCCCGACTTTCAGCGTCGAAATGCCCGAGACCAAGGTTCGTCTTGACGTTCTTGCACTCGGTCGGGCTGGGTTAGAGATAGGAAACATGTAGTGCGGTTCCAAACTTCTTGGAGGGTTCAATAAAATATATCCAGGTAGCTTCGTGACCATGTTCACGGTGCCCGAACTTTTTGTTAAAGTGTTTTCCGACTTTCTGTCTCGAAATGCCCGAGACCAAGGTTCGTCTTAACGTTTTGCACTCGGTCGAGCTGAGTGGGAGATAGAAAACATGTACTGCTGTTCCAAACCTCTTGAACGGTTCAATGAATTCTATTGTAAAGATCTCGTAACCATATTAACTGTGCCCGGACTTTTCGTTGTAGTGTTTCCCGACTTTCAGCGTCGAAATGCCCGAGACCAAGGTTCGTCTTGACGTTCTTGCACTCGGTCAGGCTGGGTGGGAGATAGAAAGAAGGTACTGCTGTTCCAAACTTTTTGGAGGGTTCAGTAGAATACCCTCGCGACCATATCACTGTGCCCGAACTTTTCATTATAGTTTTTTTCGACTTTCAGCCTCGAAGCACACGCAGTTGACGGTTAAATCCGGCACATTCACCTTCAGCCCCTATCAAGGTCTGAACATTGCTCTTCTGAAGGCGCGGATGACTATGAAGAGCCTATGTTGGGGAGGTAATAGAGGACTTTTGGTCCGTTTGAAGCACTTAACGTTTTTGGCCTCCAGAAACCGGTAAAAAGTGCAGTGGTACCCCTTGGCGATTTTGGCGATTTGAGTGATTCCGTGGATGGAAGCAGAAAACCCTACAGAGTGGCAGACAACCCTTCTATTGTGCCACGTAAGGTATAATGAGATGAAAAGGAACTAGGAGGAGGCAAGAAGAGGTGTTGAACACTGTGTCTTGGGGTGGAACACGTGGGTGGCCGATTGCAAATTAGATCTGCCAGTGGGTAGGGGTGGGGGCAAGCGCCGAGTAGAAAAATAAATTACGACATGTTTAAAGCGCAGTATCAATCTACTTATGTAACCTGCAGTATGTGACACCTGGACGCCTTCGCCATCGGTGCAGCCGAAGTTGGGGAAAAGTTGAGGGTTCACGTCGACGTGACAGGGCCATTGATGCGCGAAAGCGCGAAGACACTTGTGGCAAATTCAAGACGGGGGGGCAATTTAGGCACTAACTAGGGCTCGTTTAGGCACTAATCATCGCTCTACACATCGCGAGAAACGAGTATGTTCAGTCGAGTCGACCACAAGAGAGAATTTGATACCTATACGCGCGTTCTGAATGTGATGCTTGAGGTTACAGGCAATGTTTTACAAGACCCCAATGTTGGCTTCGGGCTGTTCTTGTTCTGAGACGTGCTTGATCAGAGCCAATGCATAGTACAGCCTACAATGTCGAGCCACCCCCAATGAGGAGGACAGTGATTAAACACTGCAACGATGTTGTGAAGATGGTACAGCCATACGTACGTACCGCCGCTCCTCTCAAGGTTGGATATCTTGGAAACAGCGTTATGCCGACACACTACACACGCACGCCACAAGAGCCGCGTCGGTTTTCCCGGGCCGAGCTTCTCAGCGCCATCGTCAGCAACTTTCTAAGATTCTGTGCATGCCTGCAAGTGGAGATGTTAGAGGATCAGGGCAGAGCAGGGCGTTCTCTGGACTATCAGGCTGAACGACGTACCTTCTTGGACGGGGTCGGCGCCCGCTCGACCGCCTCTTTCATTTCCGATATTTCTGCCGCGCTGATGAGCAAGTCCGGCGTAGTCGCTTGTGGGTCATACTTGGCTGCCTGGTTGCGCCATTGCTAAAAGTTTCCATCACGCGCAAACAAGTGATCAAGTGTAGGTGCCCGGTATGGCAGGTTCAATGTGTTGGTGCGAATCCTGCAGGACATTTGGCGGCAAATGAACCCTTTATGTGGAAGAGGCGATTGTCGGATCCAGTCTTGTGTGCGGCCAATGCTCGGAACTCGTCGAGTGCTCGTTGCCATTGAGGCTCGCGATCCTAGAGAAGTGCGCATGCAGGGGAATAGATTAGCACCGGCCCACACAAGACTCATGAATCGCGCTGAATTTGACCTCAACTTACAAACTAATGAGACGCCAGCCCGCCTGAATGTCCCCATCCGCATCTTCCATAATGATCATCCATCCCTTGGGACATCCCATCATCGGACGAGGGATCAACAACCCAGCAAGATTCTCCCACCTGTAGAGCTTGGAATGCGAAAGCAGAAAGCGGTCTCGAGGCAGTTGCACTCATAAGGCCAATCTGAGCCAGTCGTTCGGCGTATGTGATTTGGGTCACTAATGGATCAAGGACAGAAAGAGACCTCGTGGGGAAAGTCTGTGCCAAATGGAGCCATTGGAGACACAGGTGAGCGAGCTATCCCCGTTCCCCAGCAGAGAAAGCTGAAGAAAGATTCGGAATTGCTTACGACTGGTGGCGCCATGGACCAGAATGGAAAGGACGTGTGTGCCTTCGCAGTCGCACGGGGGCGAGGCCACCTCGTCGGCGATCCTGAATCCGTTCTCGACTTCAACGATGCGTGGATTTAAATGCGATTTTGGGCACGCCACAAACGACATGTACTGCACCCAGAGTCGAGGTCGTGCGTGCTTGCTGAATGCCGCCTCGCGCACAAGGAAAGCGAGGTATGTCCTGTCCACCCTTTCAAAGGTATGAATGGGGGTGACGATGGGGTGGAGCTCATTCCTAAGGCGGTCCAGCGTCATCTGAGACATGTTGTGTGAATCGTAGGCACCCAGTCGGCAGGGTTCGAGGATAGGAGGAAGTGTGCGTTGGCAAAATTTCTGTTCTAACCACCATCGCCTTCGTGCATGGCTCTGTCGTCGAGATCTGAGCGTTCTCCGGCGCCGTCGTCCTCGTCTGCCCCATAGTCGTCGCTATACTCGACCACAGCGGCAGCGGATGCGGATGCCGGGTCCGGTAAGAGTGGGACTAGGGGAGCAGGAGTCTGTGCCGAATTCGACGTCGATGATAATGAAGCTGATGATGCGGTGGGTCTTGGTCTAGTCGAAACGATGTTCATTCCACCTTAGGGACCGTAGACCTTGATCTTGGCGCAGGCTGGGGGGATCATTAGGTCTTGCGGCCTCAGCTTGCGTGGTCTGAACTGTCCAGGAATGAAACGGTGAGTCATCGTGTCGGAAGATCTAGTGTCGATGTACGGCTGCCGCTCGCGATGTGGCAGGAGAGGAATAGGCACGTGCGGTTTGGCGCGCGTCTGGCAGTTGGTCGCGACTTCAACAGATAGAACAGACTTCGATCACGGGTTGCACGTGACCGTGAAGCACCTGGCGCAGGGCCGCAGACTCAGCTCGGAGGCCATCGAGACTCTGACAAGACGAATTTATTCGAAGTGGCATCACGTGGCAGCCTGGGAAGTATTTTTAGGGGATTGGACCCATCGCAACAATCTCGTAGTTGGACTACACACACTGCTGTCCCCTTGACGGCCCCGGGGATGTGGAGTCCTGGCTACCGCGGTATTGGGCGACCAACCCCAGTGTGAAACCCGCTGAGGATCGAGGTTTTTGGCGCGCTCGCGCGCGCGGTCTACACTGTATCTTTGAAGGTACGCCTGAGGTGGGATCCAGGGTCCCGGCGGGGCCGGGCCGGCGCTAGGCTTCGAGCCTACAGACCTAATTCAGCATGATAAAGCGTTGCTCAAAGTAATACTCCTTAGTCATGGTCTGGTGATATCGTCATATTGTCTCGCATCAACGCACCTTTCCGAATCCGAGTCGGTCTTTTGCGGGAAATTAAAGCACGGCGCGGGGTGATCGGCGTGGCAGACGACTTTCAGCCTCACTGCGGTCGCGGACCAGGAATTATTGGGCCTGCTAAGTGCTGGGCTAAGTTAATGGCATATTCTGGCTCGCTCAATCGGAAGGATTGGCCCCGTGATGATAAGCACTCATGTCACAGTGATATTACGGACAAAATTCTAACGCGTCGACTCCCCACGCGAGTCGAGCTGACGCGCTGACGGCTTAGGACGACAGCTAATTTGCGCGCCTGCCAGCCTGTCGTTAGCACCGGAATCTCACCAAACACTGATCGAGCGCCTCCTCTCTTTCTGGTGCCCACGCTCTCATCACCTTTCCTTTTTTTACCCGCCGTCTGCTCATCAAGTCCCGTTCGTACTTCAGAAGTTGCGAGGCCGAGGTCGAGGCGTGCTGTGATGGAGTACAAGAACGAGTCGCCGCCTCCTCCCGCACCTCCGCCCAAGCCCAAGTGGATGCCTCAACATGGTCGCACCTCGTCCAGTTCCGCATCCGCGTCCGCATTTGCATCCACGCCCGCCTCGGCCACGGCTTCCACATCGTGCTATGCATCAACCTCGTCGACCACGCCACAGGTGTATCCGTCGCGGGCGGTAGCTTCTCCCACCACGGTGACCCGATCGCCGACGGTGACTCGCTCGATCCAACCCGCAGGCACGGCCGCTCACCAGCGCCAAGTCGAGCGCGCCAATTCGTCATCGACGACCCCGACGCGCTCGCCGCTCAACTCGATCATCCGCAAGAGGAGTGCATCCAACGCGAGTGCGACGACCCTCTCGTCGTCCGTCATGGAGGCAAGCAGAACTATGGCTGGTGCATCGGTGTTTTGTGACGTCGTCGTCGATCAGCTTCGAGTCGACGCCGGCAGCGGAGAATGTGTAGAGCCAGAATGTGAGTCCTCGCGACCCAAGGCCCCTGATCTCGCGCTAGAGCTCACGCTAGAAGATGAGCCCCGCACAGTCTCCTCTTCCTTTCTCAACGGTCTCGGCTCCCTCTTGCCCTTTGAACAAGGTGATGGCCCCGGTCTTGGCACCTCGACCTCGTCGCGACCCTCGTCCCCTCGCAAGCCGGCCAAAGTCGACCTCGAGATGGTGCGCAGGATGCTGATCGAACTCGCCCACACCGAAGACAACTATTACAAAAAGATCAAGTCACTGCATGAGGTAGGTTTGATTCGGCGAATTGCAGTGTCGGTGATCGGTGTACTCATTCATGTCCACCGATTATGCGATCTAGGACTTTGAAAAACCTTTGCGCAAGTTCGCCAAGGTACCGACGACGGCCATCATCGGCGAGCGAGCCGTCGCTGGTCTGTTCTCCAACTTGCAGTATTTGGTCCCGATCGCGCACATGTTCAATCAGGACTTGCAGGCCATGTTGGGTGAGATGACTCGGGAACGAAGGGTGTTGCCGACCGAGTTTGGGCCCATGATTCGACATCATGTACGTTGTTCTCGAGCTGCTATACCGTTTTCGTCCAGATTGCCCACGGCTAACGTGATGTACTTGTCTCCTTATGATAGATTCGAGGAATGCGACCTTTCGCCGAATACCTGAACGATCATCGAGCCGCAGATGCCATCCGTCGAGCCCTCGACTCCAAAGTCTCGGGCTTCCGTACCTTCATCGAACGGCAACAAGTCACGTCGCGCGAAAAGACGCAGCAGACAGGAGGGTTCAAAGAGTTCTTGGCTGAACCGTTTCAGCGGATAGCGAGGTACCAGTTGATGCTCGAACGTGAGTGTGTACTTTCACTGAATGCTCTTGATCGAACCACGATCACTGACCGGTCGCCCTCGATACTGCAGCTATCCTGCGACATCTACCCGAGGACGACCCCAACGTCGAACCCTTACAACAAGCGCTGGACACGTTGATTGATATCTGCAGTATGCGAATCGACACCTCGAAACACCACCCCGCAATTCAATGGGCCCTGCGAACGTCGATCGACTCCCTCCCCTCCCCATCCCGCGGCGGGAAATACCTCGCCTCGATCGATGTCGACGAAACGTACGAAGCCGAACTGGGCGCCAAACCCACCACGCTCCGGTGCACCTTGTTCTTATTCGAGAACGAACTCGTGTTCGCCAAACGTCCGTCGGGCAACGCGAAAACGGGGTCGCAGTTGCTGGGCTTGAACGATTTGGAAGAGCTGCTTGTGCAGTACAAGGTCCAAGAAGCAGTCATGTACTCCGGCAACGCTGGAGGAATCCCTTCGTCTCCTACCAAGAGATCAAAAGGTGGGTTGGGAAGCACGACTGTGATGGGCTACAGAGGTCGTGTCGATGTATTGGACAGTGAGCCGCGCAACTTTTCGGTCGATGGGCAACCGGGCTTCGCACTCGTGCTGGATCCACCGCCAATGGACCAAAGTGAGCGATGGAATGGGCGTGGGATCAGAAGATACACTATCGCGAGCACGTACTCGAGTGACGCCAAGAAGTTATCGGAGAAGAACGAGTTTCTGAGTCGCTTGGCCGAGGCCAAGGCGAGGAGATGGCTTGGGAAGGGTGCGCAGGCCGTGAGGAGGCGCGGTAGTGGGCAGAATCAGGTCTATTGGGTGCTCTGGGGGACCAAGGAATGGGAGGATCTGGCGGGGCAGAGACGCGTGAGTTCATGTTTTTACGAGTCTGCGCAGACCAAAGCGTGATCACGTGAAGCTGACTCCAAAATCTGGACCGGCACAGGGAAAACTCGCGCTCTATGTCGACGATGTCGGCAGTGGCACCAGTCGTGAGATCCTTCGAGGCGTCGATGGGCATCCCATCGAAATGGCTCGTGCTACTTTGCTTAGCGAGAACCAATGTCGCTTCTCTGTTCGGTCGATTCGCGACAACGCCTTTCCGAAAGGTGAGATCATCGAATTGGGGCGAATTCCGGCGGTCATCAGTGAACTGGGGACGAGTCAGAGCATGCTCGACGTGCCCGTGCCTCGACCGACGACGCCGGGTGGTTCGGCACGCAGGACTCGATCTGGTCTTATGGATGCCGCTCTCAACGTCTTTGGTGGTGGATCGGGTGGTGGTGGAGGTGCGAGCTCGACCACGTCGTCCTTGTTCAAAGGAGGTAATTCGACGGCAAGTCGGACATCGACTGGGTCGATGTATGCCACACGCGGCTCTGCTTCCAGCGGATTGGAAGGCTCCTTTGCCCCACAGTCGCTGAAAGAGTCATCCGTCGCGTCGCGGGATCGTCCGAGGAGTGGCTTGTTCGGCAACAGGAAGCGATCGGAACCGGACCTTCCGTCTCGCCGAGGGGCAGATTCGACGTCCGAACAGGTCTATAGCCTGGGCAAGTACGACCTCGGGACATCGTCGACGCCTCCCGTGCAGAGCCCGGCCTCGACGACGCCCAACGCTGCCGTCGTCTCTCGAGACTCTCGACCGAGACATCGTCGTTCGTCTTCGTTACCACCACCGCTCCACGCTCGGTTCGACTCGACATCCTCAGCGATGGATGTCATTGTCTCCTCGGCAGAGATCGAGGACGAGGCCGCTGCATCATTCGCCAGCCGAAGGCGCTCCCTCACCGAGCCATCGGAGCAGCTATTGTACTCCATCCCGCCGATTATCCCGCCCACGCCTGTCGATTCGTCGTGGATCCGTTCAGAACCTTGGGCACCCGCTTCGTCACCGATGGAGTACCGCCCCCCGAGTCGACGTCGAATGATGGGCCCCCGGGCCCCCGGCTCGACACCAGGAGGTACTCCGGGCAATGCAGGCCCACCCGAGTCGCGATCCCAGCCCGACGGTTCGCCGTCCAATACCGACATCCTGATGTCATCTCCGACGAGAAGTGCCGAAGCCGATCGTGTTGTCCGAGCAGTTTCCCGCACTTCTACCCATCCGTCCGTCCCACTCTCCAACGCTCGCGATGAGAGCCCTTCGCCTACGCCAACCCTCACGCCTGCGTCAGCATCAGCTACGATGTCGGACCCTAATCCTCGGTCACCCACACCTTCCGCCGCAGCGGTATCCGCCGTCCCGCCCCATATTGTAGCTGTCGCGTGCCCACCTAGTCCTCTGCGTCATTCCATCTCGCGGCGTGATTCAGATGCAGAGTCGATGTCGCCCCCGACGACGAAGCGTCCGCTCGTTCGCAACGACGGCTCAGTACCCAATTCGCCCGCACGTAAACGCCCTTCGCTCGGTGACGCATCGGACACACTTTCAAACACCAAAGTCCGCGGCCCTCGTGGTCCCGCTTCGGGGATCAATCGCCCTCGCTTTGGTGCCCAGTCCGGTACTTCCTCATCTGAGAACAGCACCGACGGACGATCGGCGTCACCCGCTCCTCGCAAAGTCTCAGCCAGTCAGATCAAGATCCGCAGCCGACGAGTAACGTCTGGAGCTTCGATCGGTTCTGGGACGTCGACGATTCGCGGATGCTCGCCGCCTCTACATCGCCATGCTACACCTCCTCTTCCTCTGAGTGAAGCCGATGCTCAAGATGTCTTTGTCACGCGTGAAGCGAGCCCGGCCCCTCTAGAGCTCAAGCGCGTCGCTTACAACCCCGACGACTCAATGGACGACGACGACACTTCCTTGAGCAAGATTGAACGCATCAGAAAGCACGTTCGGTTGATGAGGAGTCGCCTCTTGAAGGAAATGGCCAACGCGTCCTCGTACAACAAGGAGAATGATCGCAACGTCCCTTCGCCTGGAGGGATGACGAGGAGTCCGCATACTCGGAATGTCGCTGTAAGTTCTGAGATGGCCTTCTTGTTGGCATTTGGACAGCGACATGCACTGAAAGAAACTTCTCCGTCTACTGCAGATCAAAGCCAATACTCCCTCTTCGGCCTCTTATGCTTCATCTTTTGCGAGTGGTCGACTCGCAGCAGGAATGATCGATCTCCACCACCTCACCCAATGGCTCGACCAGCTTGACGGCCTCGTTGCCAAGTTGGAGGAACTCGAAAACCTCGCCCCGAACCTCGCGACAGAACCAAAACCGGTCGTGTCGCAGAGCATTTCGCCGACCGAAGCCGAGTTTGCGATGCTTGAAGCGGAACGGGAACTCATCTCGGCTGAGTTGGATGCGTTGAAACATGAGTTATCGATGGTGAGTGCTTATTCCGTCATCATAGTGCGGCCAAGATCGCGTAGCTGACTGTTTGGCGACGCCTGTTGCCCATTCCAGCGCGTGACGGACGACGCACGAAGCGCCGCAGAAGCCGAACGACTGGGCAGGGAGAATACCACTCTGCGGACGGCGTATCAGGACATTCTGAGCGAAATTGAAGCGCTCTACGAGGTGAACTCAAGCGATCCCTCTCTGTTCGTCTTTCGTAAATCACAAGGCTGACAACGCTGTCTGTTGCTTCGTTCTGCGCAGCAATTCAACACGCGCCTCGGCGAAGGTGAACGACTCGTGACCTCTGACGGAAGCAGCGATCTGGTACTGACATGCTCTCGATATACTCGCAGTTGTAACAGCGATACAAGTCGATCCCGCGATTGGTGTATCGAACGACACGTACATCATCCTTACCAGCCAACTGCGCGAGGCCGTCCTGGCGCGATCCGACGCCGAACACACGCTAATGATCGCGCAACACCGCTTGCAGCGTGAGCTGGACGAGAAGGAGGAATGGAGGAATATATTGGTTACGCATGGGTTGTTGCCCGTTCCAATCTGAGGATTCACTCGCCTCACGGTGCGCTCCGTTGCTTTGAACGTGTGTTTCCATCAGTAGAAGAGCCCTTTTTGGCTTCACCCTTTGTGTCGTCGCGCATGCTTTGTTGAGGTATATCGCATTTGTCTTTTTCTCTGTCTTCGTTTCGTTTCATGCCCATATCATACTCAGGCCTGCCCTGTACTTAACAACGCGTTGCGCTACCTCAGCGGGTCACTGGCCCTTCCGTCCGGCTTTCGGGTAAATAGGCGGCCGATTCGGCCGTAACGAGACTTGTTTCGAGCTGTTTCGAGCAGTCGGACCTGCTGGTGGGGCAATGCGTCGGTCTCGCGCAGCGGCACCTCTCCCCGGTCCCCTCTTCGTTGCAGCTGCAGACCGAAGCAAGCGCTGGGCACGATTCTTCATCTTGTTCACCTCTTCTGCTCCCCTTTCGACCGTAATTATCCGCCCCCTCTCCCCTCCTCTGCCCGTGCTCTCACCCAAATGATTGCGCCTCCTCTCACGGTCGAGACAAAGTACGGCCCGTGGTCGGCTATAGCGATACGTAACCGCTCAGTAATGAGTCGACGGCCAAGCTTGATCCTGCTCGCGGAGGAAGAGCGCCGGTGTTGAAATGGCTGGTGAGTCGGTGACAGCTCTCTGCAATCCCGTGTTGTGTATCGGGCTGCTAGCTTAAGCTCGACCGCGCCGTACTCACTGGCACAAGCTCCCCCACTTGTAGCCTCGCAAAATCTTCACATCTTCATGTTCTTGAGCACGATAACTCCTCGAACTTTCACTCATTATCACAATTTCATGACTGACTTGGTCACAGGGCGTCCCGTACGGACAAGTAGGTCGCTGGGAGCGTCCAGTGACCCCTAAATCTTGGACCGAGCCACTCGAATGCCTCGAATTCGGCGCCAAATTCCCTCAACCTGAGAGCCCAGCGGGCGATTTGCAAGTCAGATCTTGAAGAACCTTCCCCGTCTGGATCGCACTTCTCTTGGTGTGATGTACCATGCCATCCCGCGAGACGGACACTAAACGATCGACGCTTTGTGTCCTGCAGCTTTGCGCCGATCTTGAACGGTCTCGGTCGGACCTTCGTCATGCAAAGCGAAGACGCCTTCACCCTCAACATCCTGACATCAGAAGGTATCACGCCAGACTTCCAAGTTGTGGTCTTGTTCTGGGTCTATGGCGGTGCCTTGAACGGAGGTTCGAGCGATTCGATTATGTTCGACGGCACCGAATGGAGTCGCGCGGAAGCGAGCCGAGGAAAGAAGTCTATCGTCGTCACGGCCAACTACCGCACCAATATCTGTGGCTTCTTCAGCGCGGGGCCGACGTCAAGGCGGTCGACGAGTTGGGACTCTCGGGGAACTACGGAGCGTACGATATCATTCACGCGCTGACGTGGGTAAGTGCGCAGTGCCCGTTGCCAAGTGCATGCTAGTCAAAGCTGTCACCAGGCTCGCGGATGGAAGATGGGCCCATTATTGATCGAGGGGTCCGTTGAAATGGCCCCCCAGTTCAGGAAAATATCGCTGCCTTCGGTGGTGACCCAAACAATGTGACCCTGTTCGGAAAAGCGCGGGGGCTTTCCTCGTCAGCGCGATGCTCGTCTGCGGCAAGCGACTATTCCGTCGTGCGATCATGCAGTCCAGCGCGGCAGAAACTATGGTAACAGTTCGAGCTCAGCTTCTCTCATCTACGCGTTCAAGCACCTTCTGACTCGTAGTTGTTACCACAGGCAACGTTCCCGTTGGACCATGCCTACGCGGCCTATTCCGCCGTCCTCGCAAGTCACGCCCCCGACGCTGCCACATCCAAAGACAGGATTGACCAGCTCCGTGTTCTTCCCATCGATGAGCTGATCGAAACCCATCGCGTGAACTACACTTTCTATGGTGTGGCCCTCACAATCGAAGATGGTCCCCATGCAATCTGGACCGAGAACGTGATCGATCGGCTTGAACGTGGGGAATGCAGTGGGACGAATGGGTCGAGGCGGTGATCATTGGCACGAAGGAGCACGAAGGAGCTACGGCGGCGGTTTTCATGCAGGTGCGCGCCAAATCTGCCCTACAGAGCTGAACGTTCACCGTGTACGATGAACTCATTCAAAATGGATTGTATCAACAATCACCAGGCAGACACGGCCGCCGGCTTTTCAAGGCTTGTCTCGACATTCCCCTCGTCGCTACAGACGGAGATCAATCAGAAGTACCTTGAGGACGGTCGATGCCCAGCCGAGTGTGAGCTTTATGCCACACCAGTGGCAGGGAGCCAAACTGTTGGGGGACAAATTGTTTTTCACCCCAGCTTGGCGCCAAGCGCGAGCGCTCGCTCGTCAGCCCAACAAGAAGAGCGGGCGTGAGACGCGCGTGTACATGTATCGCTTCAGAGAAGTCAACGATCGTCTTGCCAAAGCCCTGCCGCTAAACGTTGGATCTGCGTCAGTCCGTGCCTATCCTGGGATTCGAACAAGAGCGTCGGCTGATCGTCCTCCTCCCCTGCTTGTACCAATTCCGTCCGCGGTAGACATGCACTCGAGATTGCCTTCGTCTTCAACGTCGAGACTGCCTGGGATGAGGGAAGTCACGAGTCCAAGACAGCGGCCGTCATGGGTTCGTTGTGGTCTGAGTTTGCCATCAACGGCAGCCCTGGTAAGGCCCTAATGCACCAGATCACAGGACGCTGATCTCCCCCGCGCCTGCCTACTGAAGCTCCGTGTGTGCCCCTTCAGGTCCGAACTGGGCCCTGGCGACCATTCACATCCGAACAGCCGTCTTGGCTGGCGATCGAATCAGGAGGCAAGATCAAGAACGAGTCCTTGGTTGATTACCAAGACACTTTGGTGGACTTCACAGGCAGGAATTTCGCCACTTGATCAGGGTCAGTGAGCTTGCGCGTGATAGTGTTCGATGAGTCTTGGACCGCGCAACAGGCTTTATCGATTCCGAGCGAGTCGTTCATCATTCCAATACTTGACTTAGCTTGTAATGAAAAGCTACTCTATGGAATCTATTCAGCCTGAGAAGTCCGCCAAAGAAGACCGTCAGGGGGAGTGATTGTGGTGTGGGAGTGGTTGTGGGTGTAACCCTCTAAGTACTCACCTGGACTGTAAGATCGACTGGGGCATCGAAATCGATGAAATCGTCCGTGAAGCCTTCGAGGCTCTCGGTCTTGGTCTTTCCTCCATCTTCAAAGACGAACCAGCTCGGCTTCTTCGAGTCGAAAGGTTCCCAGGCCTCAACGGGCTTGCCATCAATGACAAACCGAGTCCAGTTCTCGCCAAAAACAGCGGTCGAAGCCTCCTCGTGGGACCCTTCGTCCCAGCAGGGCTTGGTGTTGAAGATGAACGGCAATGCGATCGTGTGCCTACGCAGAGGGTAAAGAGACACTATCAACCTCCGATCGTCAGGCCACGATAAGAGTTGAGACCTACGCGGATCCGAGTTTGAAGGGTCCACGAGTAACGCTGTCGATCTCTGCGCGGCAGCGGTAGAGGTAGACGGTGCAGGGCTTGCCACTTTTGGCGTTGGGCTGACTCGCCATCGCCTTAGCCTGGTCGTAGGTCGGTTGGGCGAATAACTGATCGTGTAGGAGGCGGGAGGCAGGCGCCTCGACGAAGGACACTTCTTCCGGGTGAGGCGCACCCTTGAGATACTTTTTGTTGATCTGCGCTTTGTATCTCGGCAGGCGATTCGCGACATATGCATCGAACGCGGCGGGTGTGTTCATCTTTTCGGGTCGAAGCGGGCCGCACGCAGATTCAGCTTTAGTGAGAAGATAGTCGATGGTGTGTGGGATTGCTCACCTTCATGCCAGCTGTGAACATGGTCCCTTCGTCCTCGTTCGTTCCCAGAATGACTCGCTCGACCCAAGGGTCCCACTGCCCGTCCCTGAGTTTGTCTACGACTTTGCGATCCCACGTGGCGTTCGGACCTTCCTCGATCGAAAAGCCGACACTGGCGAACGTCTCGGACGCCGTGTGCGCAGCCAGAATTTGCTCCATCGGCGCCTTCTTTAACGCCTCCACCCTCTCGGCCGCCGTAGGCAGTTTGTCAGCGCCAATGGCGGCCAAGATGGCGGCGTATGTAGGGGACGCTGTATCGACGGGACGAGTTGGAAGAGTCGGGGCCGCACCGGATTGTATGATCGCTTTTTGGAACAACCGGCGACCAGAGCATAGCAGAGTGGAAACCATTATACTTCCTGCCGACTCTCCAAAGCACGTGACGTTGTCCTTGTCGCCACCAAAAGCACCGATATTTTCTTGCACCCATTCGAGGCCCTTGACACAGTCGTAGACGCCATAGTTTCCACTCAGCCCATCCTTGTCAACTTCTTGTAGGTCCTTGGAACTCAAGAAGCCAAATACGTTGAGCCGGTAATTGACCGCGGCAAAGACGAACTTTCGACCGAGCTTGGCCTGATCACGAATCCAGTGCGACGGATCGTAGTTGACTCGCGAGGTCGAGCCGGTGATGAGGGCCCCTCCGTGAATCCAGACCAGGCAAGGGAGAGCATCGCCTGCCTTGGTTCCTTCGGGCGTATATACATCGATCGTGTGCGATGCCTCGGACTGTGCCACGAAGTCGCGACGATAGTCACCCAGGCGGGCCTGGTAGAACGGTTCCGTGATCCCATCAGGCTGCTGGGGAAACTTGGTGCGGAACTCGAAGCACTCGATAGGCTGGGTCCAAGGATCCGGTGAAGTAGGTCGCTCGAACCGACCAGCTTTCGCATAAGGGATGCCCTGAAACACGGGCCGGCGGATTGGGGAATCGTGTCAGCGGGTTCCGATCAAGTGGGGATGCGCCGAAGCCTCGGCAATCATAAGCAACCGGACCGGCTCTGGCGAGTAGCCACAGCAGTTGTGTTCGGCCACATTTGCAGCTGTATCTGCGTACTTACAAGCCATTTATAGATTGGTGCTTCTGTACCACTTTGCAGAGCTGCACTGCTTGTATTGCGTAACGGGTGCGTGTCCTCAAAGCCCTGGATTGGACCAGCCGAGGTCTGTACGAGAAGCGTAGGCGAGGGCATGATTTCTGATGTTCGTTACGGCCTAGGTTTGAAGAGGCCGAGAGGAAGAGAGTGTGCGTTGTAAGAGCGTGGCCACAAATCAAGAGGCCCCTGATTTGTGGCCCCGCTCTGCCCCGCTTTGAACGTGTAGCGGCGACCGCTGCTCTGTGCTGCATTGTGGGGCTGTGGGGCTCGGTCTGGCTCGGCGGGGTCCGGTGGGGGGTTGGCGCGCTTGCCACAATTGACTGTTCCCCGAGACACACGACTCGGAGCGACTTCTGACATCAGCAACTTTACCACTTCCCGGTGCGCTGCTAATAATTAGTGCGTGTTCGGCTGCACTTTTAAGCAGTTTTAAGACCACTTTTTAGGGAAATCCTGAGCCATTCTGAAAGCCTCCCGAAAGTGCTTAAAAGTGCCTAAAAGTGGCGTGTACGGTTGCGTCGCTAAAAGTCCCCGAAAGTGACTTTTAGGGACCATTCCTTAAAAGTGGTCCGAGGGCACTTTTAGCACTTTTAGGGACGCACTCCGAGCTTCGACCCGCTTAGGCTGGCGCTGGCTGGCGGGGCGCCTGCGACGTAAGCTCATCAAATCCCCTCCCTTGGGAGGGGCTTGCGCATTATCGACTCCCTGAACCGCTCGCGCGACATGTAGCGGTAAAATGAGTCAAGTTGCAGCGGGATGAGGGACAACTAGCGGTGTGTCCAACTGTTCAACAAGAACGAACTATCCAAGGGCGTCTGACAACGAAAGACGAGATTGAAACCCAGCGAGTGTAGCGAGATGGAAGCCAGAAGAAACGGAAATGGACGTAATGGGAAGGCAGACTGAACCGAAGAAGAGAAAGGAAGAATTTTTTGGAAAGAATGAAGTAGTTTTCACGCGAGTGACAAGGGATGGAGGGTGGGATCAATCAGACAGAGCTTTGCAAGAACAATCTCAGGGTGATGTCAGTTGGCTGCAACTGGTAAGAGTGGGGATAGCTACCTTCGTCTCAGCATACCTTTGCAAGAACAAGCGAATCTCTGTGATGCAGCGGAGGCAGCCAGAGGCTGCGTCTCAAGCGAAAGGGGTTCTGCAACGGACTGCTGAGAGATGCAGGGGGTGCGAGTCAGATAAGTGGTCCAACAAGGACTACCGACTAACTGCCCGTACAGGACTAGCAAGATCACTGTAGGAATCGAAGTGGTAAGTTCACCGTGCAACAAGCTTGGGTGACCAATAACACTTACCCCGAGTTACTCTTGGACAGAGCCACGTCGAGGATTTAGACGAGCTAGCGGCTGCTCGGGCTAGCTGAGAAACGTCCTGCAAGATGAAACGCTCGGTCAGCGACTTCGTCAACTGTGAGGTGATCTTGGGAGTGAGAAACGCACCCGTATCAACAGGTGGTAAACGCAGCGGCAGAGGCTGGTGGAGACGTCGACGGTGCAGTGAAGACCCTGAAGGGAACGTGCAGCGCGAGTGACCGCCTGTGAGCCCGCGTGTGTGTGAGGCACAGCTATAGCTCAGCAGGGGAGAGAGGAGAGGGGAGGTCCGAGCGCGCGAGTTCGATCGGCGCGTCAAATCCTTGCAGCAAAGGCCGAAAAGAACATCGGCGCGTCAGGCCCGGTTGCCCTCCGAATTCCCTGGGCCAAAAGAGGGTGGTTTGCTGTACCATGGCAAATATTGCATAACTTCTTGCGACAGCTGAAGAGGTCATACTCAGATAGTTGAAAAGGTGTATTGCAAAAGGACAAGCGAACACATGCCGTTTACATGGTGCTACAGCGGAACAAGTCCCAAGGCTACGCTTAAGCTTAGTTAGTTAACTAACTACGCCACCGCAAATAGTTAACTAACTATCCCAACTATTGAGGCATAGTTGATAGTTAGTTAGTTCTGGCTCGGAGGATATCATAGTTAACTATTGTAACTATGGCAACTATAGCCCCTCGACTCCTCCATAGTGCGCGCTGTTTGTGGCGTTTGTTTTAGGATGGAAGAGTCGAGTTGCAGTGATAAGAGAAAAACCCGCACTCCGTAACAAACGGAGGGTTTTCTAAACAGGAGTTATGAACAAGTAGGGTGGGAGGGAGGAGCCCAAAAAAATGGTCGATCGGCTTTGCTCAAAGAGCGCAGGTCCGATTAGTAACTAAAACACTGCAACTGACTTGGGGGATAGGCCATACCTTTGCTCGAAAAGCGCAGGGCGATGGCAGGGGAGGAAGGCGACGCGGTAGGTAGACGCGGCCAAACGAGGTCTGTATACAAGGTAGCCCCATGAGTCAACTTGCCCAACAAGGACAAGGAATTTGGCAACATGCCCAACAAGGACAGTCGTGATCCGGAATGCGAACCTTAGCTAGAAACAGCGAGCCGCGATAGTGCGAGTCTCGAAAAGTTCGCCCTTGCTCTAAGCAGTGGGTGCGATACGACCTTGCAAAGCAGCGGGTACGGCGGCTGCTTACAACGTAGTGGCAGGCTAGCTCATCAGTCCAACTGTCCAACAAGGGCAGAGGGTTTACGAGGGATGTTACCCACTTTGAGTGAGTAGAGACTGGCAGGGGGGGTGCCGGAACCACAACACGAAACGCTAAGGCGTGCGGGACGACGAGGGAGAGGGAGAGGAAGGGCCCGCGCGCGCCAGCGGGTGAGCAAGGCGGGAGGCCCAAGGGGGCCGAGAAGAGTGCGTGCTGGCACAGGGTCCAAAGAATGCGTGTTCGAAGAGTGGAGCGCGAGCGGGCCCCGTTAGGCCGAGACCAGCGCGCTTGAGCTGTCCGCGTCAAAATCTTGCAGCAAAGGCCGAAAAGACTACAGTCGAAGTGCTGGAAGTGCAACACCAAATTTCCTAGGCACCTAGTGTTCGATCAAACAGCTCCAGTGCAGCTCCGATACCCGAGCCTGATGAGCCAGGAAGTATCCGCCAGGTACCAAATTATAATTAATAAAAACTGCTGCAGCGCTCATGCCACACTATTACTCCGCCCGCGGGCGAGGCCTGGTCCCCAGAGTCTTTCGCGCCAGAGAAACAATTTACCTCGATGATGATGATGAGGTGTAGGTCTGTCATGTAGAATCAGATTACTGTTGTCAACGGTTGTTTCAAGAGTAATGTATACCGCTCGAGTTCATATATACTCTACTATTACACTATCATAAGAGGGTAGTTTGAGAGCATGGCATCGAGCGGCTCTCATAAGTCGGTGGCAGAACCAGAGGTTCAATAGGCTCAATACAACCAAACAATTGTTGTATACTGCTGAGCCGTATGGGATAATTGCGCTGGGTAAGCCCTCAACGACGCTCGGCGTGCGCCATTATTAGGGGCCATTTTGATAGTTTTGCATAGTTAACTATCCCAACTATAGTTAGTTAACTAACTATTGGGTCATAGTTGATAGTTAGATAGTTATGGCTGAAAGGTGGGATTTTACACATAGTTAACTAACTAACTATGGAGCAACTAAGCTTAAGCGTAGCCTTGACAAGTCCTGAATGTTTCCTAGACGCACTCGCGCGCACGGACAGCGCACGCAAGGCCAGTAGCCGGCAGCCAGAAACGGCGCGGAAGCTGAGCATGCCTTCGGCTCCGTCCGATAGCTGTGTACGAACATCAACATCTCAGTAGCTCATGGTACAACCTTCCTCGGGGATTAGTTAATCAGTCACGAACGGTGCTCAGTCGGTCCGACAAATCAGTCATTGGTAACAAGTGGCATTTGTGTTCCCCACCCCTGCGGCGATGTCGATCTCTCCGACCAGTTCACGTGTCTTAGTCGTGCCTCCCGACGCCGAGTCATTGCGACTCATTGGACAGCATCTGGGAGCTTGGCTTGACAAGAGGCAGTCGCTCTTGCCAACATGGCGAACAAGTTCAGTACACTTATCATAGACTGAACAGATCTGGTTCCTCGCAGTCGCTTGACGAGGATCTAGACTCTAGTGATCAGGTGCTCGTTGCGACAGCTCGTCTTGTCCAATGTCAACCTTCGTGCACTGCCAGTGTGGAACAACTGCAGATTCTCTGTAAGGCTCACAACTTGCAGGGCTACTCTCTTCGGCGATCAAAGGTTACATAATTGATTTTGCGTGTTCTATTGTCTTCATGCGCTGGGCGTTGTCCAGCATGCGAGAGTGGCTACATCTTCAAGCGAAGCACAGCCAATGACACTCTGGTCCCCAGCCTGCAGGCCTACAGCGTTTGATTTCGAGGAATGGCGTGCTGCCATCACTGATTCGCGTGGTCCATCCGCGGAGCGACCTAGAGGGCCAGCCCACCTACTACTAGATTTCATTATAGAGGCTGACTCGGGGTACACTTTGTGTCCTCAGTCTCGAGCACAAGCTTGCCTCCGGAAAGGCAGCGGCAGGAGCACTTGCTCGTGGCGTCCGAGTCCGAGGCAAAGTTGCGACTCAGGGCATGTCCAAGTTGCGATCCTTCCTTTTCTGAACATGGGGAAACAGAATAGAAATTGGGAAATACTTAATGTAAGTTGAATCCGTTGCAAAGAAAGACAGAGACCTGACTCCTTCCTATTTCTCACCCTCACCGGCCCGGCCAGCGATCGAATTCAACACGCCAAACCTACTAACGGCGAAGCGGCAGGTGGTCTTCATCCACCACCAGTTGATCACACACAGGATGTAAGTAGAGATGTATATGTTTGCCTTTGTGTGCTCCAGCTTCTGATGATTGGACGGACAGACACGGGTGTGTGCAGTCATTGGAAAGATGGAGTCACAGGGGGCGACTGTAAGGCAAGGCCTTACGACGGGCCACAGGCATTAGAAATAGAGCTTGCGCGCGCCTAGCTTCTTCAGCTCTCTCTTCATCGAGCTGACACCAGAAGCTAGGTGAGTACTGGTGTTCCCTATCTCAGCACTATCGTATCTCATCGAGCTGACACCAGAAGCTAGTTGTAATCCATATAACTTGCACCTGTCATCTTCGGTCACCAGTGAGGCTCCGCTGTCCGAGACAGCGTGCCTTTCAGCGACCCGGTGCTGGACGCCGGCGTGATTCCGCCTGTTCCCAATTGGACCCGGAGAATGTTCTCGACCTGCCCGATTACAGTCGATTTTATGCGGAGGTCCGGGAGGGGCTTTTTACCGGTCGCAAGTACGCCAAAGGATATCCCACGCAACTCCCCGTGACTGTCGATGAGCACCCTGGGCGACTTGCACAAGGATATCCCACGCTAGGGAGTGGGCACCCTGGGTGGAGGTGATCTGTGTGCGGTTGTCTGCACCGTCGAGGCTCGCGCTTGGAGGGACAGGTCCTCCGGCAAACCTTTTGTGCATATTGTATGGGCCTGATGTATTTTCCTTGTCTGATGTGCGGCAGATGACACGCCAGACCACGCCCACGCCGACAGTCCGACTCAGTCCTAGGCTGGTCATTGCCTCTCCTGTCAAGCGTTCGGCAATGGACGCTGAGCTGAAGATTGACTTGTCGAGCACCGATGGTCATGAGGATGAGTTCAAGCCCGCAATTCCCACTAAACTTTTTATACGGGCTGATGGGCTTGGTTACTTGGCGTTCAACAGTCACTGACAACAACAAGAATTCGGCTCACGCGCAGGCGAAAGAGGCCGCCGACAAGGATCATGAAGTCTCTTCGGAACGCGCGGCTGGCTCCTACCGCAGGACCGGGAAGGCTCATGCTTGATTGGTCTCATGCGAATGGTGAGGGAAGAAAGGGTTCCTGGACCTTGTTCAGACAACGGAAACGAAAATAGAGATGTCTGAATGAGGATAGGCAGAGAAGAAAATTTAAAATGAAATGCAGTCGAAATTGAATGAAATGTGGATGTCGTTAGAGTCTCTAGCCTTGTCTTGCGGTGGTTATTCGCTTGCGGCTAAGTAGGAGGTAGTGCCTGTCCTCGGGCCATAGTTGTGTGAGTGTGACTTCATAGAGGGCACTGGAGGTTCAGGGACTTGTCGCCGCCCCGCGGTGCGTTAATCAAAATGTGTGTCAAAAAAATAAATGCGCCTCCGGCTGGGCTTTCGGGGGTCCTCCCCTCCCTTTGGGAGGGGCTTGTGAGTTATCTGCGCTTTTGGCTGAGTTGCCCTCCGAAATTTTGGCCCTGAAAAGTGCCCCCTTGCTGTAGCATGGCATATATTGGTGCTAACTGAAAACTGGAGGAATCCGTCTTTACTTCATCATTATTGATGAGGCTTCACCGAAGCTTGAAGTCTAGGAACGCTTGATCATCTCGCTACAACAGCTTGAATCAACTAATTCCGAACGAGACGCCGGTCGGCGCACGGACCAGTCGTAGTCCAATCCGCGTCGAAGGCTGCATAGAGCCAGGTCACTTAAGCCCGGCCACGCCTCACGCATCCTCTCTCTCCTCCACTCAACATCGCACCTCCCCTCATGATGAGCCATGTCGGTACAAACACCCAGGCCGGTTAGCATCAATTGAGTTCAGGGCGTCTCCCTTGCGATCAGCTTCAAGGGCCAGTCCTACGACCCCAGCACCTAATCATTCAACCAATTCGACAACCGTTCTCGGTCACTAGAGGCCACGTTTGACTCACCAGGACCGACAAGATTCCAGCGAATTACGCAAGAAGATCAAAGTTATTCTGGGCGAAAGTCTTGACGAGGACTCTACCCCCCGGCCTGTGCAGATCGAGGCCATTGCTGCCCTTTTCGAACTCGATCAATTTGGGAACCGGAATCGATATGACGCTGTGTTCGTCACAGCGCCAACGGTTCAGGCAAAAGTGTTATCTTCGAAGCAATGTATCTCATTTACGGACGCCGGGCCGTCACCATTGTTGTCATTCCACTGAATGCACTGAGCAATCATCAGGTGAGTTTTTCTGCCGACTGGGCTTGCTGGACCGACATTCGTGCTGATTTCCGCAGTCACATGCTTCTTTCAGGCTGCCAATCTCAATTGAAAGGGAAAGAACGCGATTGTCGTATCTGAGGAGACCTGGAGAGACGGCGAGCTGTACAGGCAGTTGGACGACCCCAATCACAAGATCTCCTTCATTCTGATCGTATGTGCCGGTTGACCTCCAGTTTGGGTGAAGTGCACATGTCTTGATTTTCCTTTTTGTTTGCTGCGTGTCAAGTCTCCTGAAACGCATATCAACAATGCAGATTGGGCAAAATTGATCTCTAAGGAGTCCTTTCGAGAGCGCGTCAAGTTGCCCGTCTATGACGAGGACAGGGGGTGGTGTGCATCAAGGATCGCGAAGACTGAGGCCAAGATGAGGGACCAGCCGAGCAAGCGCTCGATATATCTGAGCTTTGATCCCGGTTGTAAATGACGAGTCGGATTGAGGAGTTGGGAGGAGATGCTGGAGATTGACTCGCGGCAAAGACGCTTGATGTGCAGAGTAGGCTCGAAGGTTGTAAGCGCCGGCAATATCTCCGTTCTGAATGTGGGCGTAACCAAAAGTTCCATGAAGCAGCTCGGTTCGTCGATCCAATTGCTGATCGTTGACGTGATGTGTGACGTCAATGTTGTCAACGGTCACATGGAAGTACTTGTTCGAGCCAATCTCCTTCAGTTTCGTCGAATTCGCCTTCGTCAAGCTCGCAGCTGCTTGGAGTCGCCCAGCGAGATGTCGTCAAGCCGCAATCGTACAGAAATGTTGTCAATCGGTCGTTCGCTCCACATGCGAGAGTCATGAGACCGTTGCGATGCTGCATGGCGTTGTTCCTTCGGTTGCAAGCGAATGCGATGTGACCCATCACACTGCGGTAAAGCTGCGGCCAGCGTGTTGAAGTTTTTGATGTCAGTTCGCTGCGATACCCAGCCGAGCTAGGGTCAGAAACACTCACAAACTCGATACGCCTTTTTTCGTGACCAGGCTCTTGTTCTTGCTCTGGATCGGAACCATTCTCCGGGGTGGCTTCTTCCATCTCGACATCAGTGGAGGCTGTTGGGTCCTTGTCGCAATTGATTGGCTCAGCCGGTGGTGGGTCTCCGCATTGTGATAGCAAGTTACGAATCCGTCCGCTGATGAAAGGGTTGTCTTCGGCGATTGCATCGAGCCGGGCGTCGATGTAGTCGGATGCGAGGACTTCGGGAGTCAAGTCATGGCTAGCGACGAAGGCGCACTTGGTTCGCTTCATCTCTTTAACGATGATTGGGTCGGCCTGCACGCGGATAAGGCAAGTATTCAGTAGCTTTATTGGATCCGGAGAATCAATCCGAGAAGTACGAAAGTGTTGCCCACCTGCTCGGCGATCCAGCCATTGATTCGGCTTCTTGACTGCGCGCCATCCTCGCGTGCAAGTCGTAGAATGAGATCAAGTACACGCTTAAGGCTGGACCAGTTGCTGTTGAACAGCTTTGACCGGTGTGCTTGAACGCCTTCAAATCGTATGGATGAGCTGAAGTACCACGACAGGTATTGACATAGCGAGAGATCGCGCCTACGAAATTGAGCGAATAGATCCGCCTCGCGGCGATTGATCTGGCGAGTTGATGAGGTATGGCGTCTGCTTGTTCAGGTCATTTTTGGTTTTAGATATTGTCGCGCTTGACGTGGACGACGGTGATCGTGAAAAGAGGAGAATAGCGAAGCGGACTGAAAGGGATCAAGCCGAACGGAGCAGTCTCGCCGATGATGAGAGTGCCACTTGCACGATGCGCTCGGACCATCTGAGGCCCGATCGACCGAAATCGCAGACCTCGGAGCGCTGTAGCCCCACCCACAGCTTATAAAAGCTCTCGCCACTTGAAGTATGTCATTTTTACAGCATAAAGAAAAATGGGGTCCTTCACTTTTGCATGGATGCGCCTACTTGCCAAGTTACAGAGAACCACCTCAAAATGGCCCTGAAATTTCGGAGGGCAACTGGGCCAAGCGCGCCGATAACTCGTAAGCCCCTCCCAGAGGGACGGGATTTGATGAGCTTACCTGGGACGCACTCGGACCGCTCAAGCTGGCCTCGGTTGCAGCATTGGATCACGGGCGCGTCGGTTGGCCTTCGTCGCGTCACGTCGTGCGCTGTCGACCATGGCCAAGAAATCCGCCTATCACACTCAGCAAGCGACGACGACAGCGAGAACCACACCGAGCACTCCGCTCATTCGAACACTCTGCGCAAAAAGAACAAGAGCAAACAGGCAAGAGCAAGAGCAGGAGCAAGTCGAGAGGGACGCGGGCGGAGAACTGGTCCGTTGCGCAGACCACATTTTTTTGGTCCACCTCTATGGCAACAACATGCTGTTCCCCGAGCTTCCTCTGAAGTTTCCGGCCTGGAACATCATTTTCGCTGCGATGGTGAAGCAACACCCCGAGCGCAAAGAGAACTGTAGCCGAGACCAAGTGAAAGCTCTCTGGTTCAAGGTGAGCCGTGTGGCGACGTGAGGAGACGCGTCGCCAGTGACCGCATCCGTCCGTCATGTACTTCAACTAACCCTGTCGTTCTCTGGTTTTGTAGAAAAGACACAGGAAATGACGACACGTTTCAATAGATTGCATCTCACGGGCGGTGGTTGGGACCACGAGCTCCATCGACCGGCATACTCGGACGAACGATGGGCTGCCGTGGGTCCGAATGGCCCTGACCCTTCCCCAGCTCCCGTCAATTCGGACGCACTGATAAACGCGTGTACAAATGATGTACTTCATCAGCTCGAGGAAAGGACCCGGACTGGAGTCAGGTGCACTCAGGCTCGTTTCCGTGGTACTGGGACGCAACAAAGATCATTGGTATCAGCTACGCTCGCGGCACCGACATCACCGACATCAACGCGCTATTCAACCCCGGGAAGAAGACCGCTTCCTCATCAAAGAAACGAGCGCACTCACCACAATTTGAGCAGTCTGGAGCAGACCTAGGCCAAGACGCGGAAAGCGAGGGCGAAGACTAACCAGGTCCTTCGCTCGCCCGACTGGGCGTGCAGGACTTGTCGCGTCCCTTCTGGTCACCCTCGCCTGCTGCTGGCGCGCAGGCTCGTGTGCATGTGAGTACCTATTGTCAGGAGCTCTCCCCACGTCGCAACCCGGGAATATACATCAAGTATGTGGCCTGTGATGTTCTGCGCCACTGATCCGTTCGCATTATGCCCCGTAGACAAAGGCCGCCTTCGCTTCGCTGCTGAATCCGCTCGACCCGTGCCAGTCTTCGGAATTGGCTACGAGCAGCAGCAACGGTGGGAGCAAGGCAAAGCGCGAGAGCCTTGGAAACAGCGAGCGATTTACCTACTTTCAAGACGATCCAATGCTCAAAGACGCCGTAGCCAATCTCGCCGGCCTTCAGAACGCCACCACATCAGAGAGGCTGACCCACTTCTCGAAACTAGTGGGCACACTCAGCCTAGAAGCAGACGATGTTCACCTGCTAGCCGATCATGCTCTTCTCACGCCGACTCCGCAAGACATCCAGAAGGTGCTACTCCTGGCTGCCGCGGGAGTATTGATTGATCTCCGCGTCAGGCAATTGTTCAATCGCCTCTCATTTCAACCGGTATCGTCGAGCAACGCGCTGCCGAGCCACGAGGCGCCGCAGTTCCCACCGTGATCACGTGAAGCTGACTCCAAAATCTGGACCGGCACAGGGAAAACTCGCGCTCTATGTCGACGATGTCGGCAGTGGCACCAGTCGTGAGATCCTTCGAGGCGTCGATGGGCATCCCATCGAAATGGCTCGTGCTACTTTGCTTAGCGAGAACCAATGTCGCTTCTCTGTTCGGTCGATTCGCGACAACGCCTTTCCGAAAGGTGAGATCATCGAATTGGGGCGAATTCCGGCGGTCATCAGTGAACTGGGGACGAGTCAGAGCATGCTCGACGTGCCCGTGCCTCGACCGACGACGCCGGGTGGTTCGGCACGCAGGACTCGATCTGGTCTTATGGATGCCGCTCTCAACGTCTTTGGTGGTGGATCGGGTGGTGGTGGAGGTGCGAGCTCGACCACGTCGTCCTTGTTCAAAGGAGGTAATTCGACGGCAAGTCGGACATCGACTGGGTCGATGTATGCCACACGCGGCTCTGCTTCCAGCGGATTGGAAGGCTCCTTTGCCCCACAGTCGCTGAAAGAGTCATCCGTCGCGTCGCGGGATCGTCCGAGGAGTGGCTTGTTCGGCAACAGGAAGCGATCGGAACCGGACCTTCCGTCTCGCCGAGGGGCAGATTCGACGTCCGAACAGGTCTATAGCCTGGGCAAGTACGACCTCGGGACATCGTCGACGCCTCCCGTGCAGAGCCCGGCCTCGACGACGCCCAACGCTGCCGTCGTCTCTCGAGACTCTCGACCGAGACATCGTCGTTCGTCTTCGTTACCACCACCGCTCCACGCTCGGTTCGACTCGACATCCTCAGCGATGGATGTCATTGTCTCCTCGGCAGAGATCGAGGACGAGGCCGCTGCATCATTCGCCAGCCGAAGGCGCTCCCTCACCGAGCCATCGGAGCAGCTATTGTACTCCATCCCGCCGATTATCCCGCCCACGCCTGTCGATTCGTCGTGGATCCGTTCAGAACCTTGGGCACCCGCTTCGTCACCGATGGAGTACCGCCCCCCGAGTCGACGTCGAATGATGGGCCCCCGGGCCCCCGGCTCGACACCAGGAGGTACTCCGGGCAGTGCAGGCCCACCCGAGTCGCGATCCCAGCCCGACGGTTCGCCGTCCAATACCGACATCCTGATGTCATCTCCGACGAGAAGTGCCGAAGCCGATCGTGTTGTCCGAGCAGTTTCCCGCACTTCTACCCATCCGTCCGTCCCACTCTCCAACGCTCGCGATGAGAGCCCTTCGCCTACGCCAACCCTCACGCCTGCGTCAGCATCAGCTACGATGTCGGACCCTAATCCTCGGTCACCCACACCTTCCGCCGCAGCGGTATCCGCCGTCCCGCCCCATATTGTAGCTGTCGCGTGCCCACCTAGTCCTCTGCGTCATTCCATCTCGCGGCGTGATTCAGATGCAGAGTCGATGTCGCCCCCGACGACGAAGCGTCCGCTCGTTCGCAACGACGGCTCAGTACCCAATTCGCCCGCACGTAAACGCCCTTCGCTCGGTGACGCATCGGACACACTTTCAAACACCAAAGTCCGCGGCCCTCGTGGTCCCGCTTCGGGGATCAATCGCCCTCGCTTTGGTGCCCAGTCCGGTACTTCCTCATCTGAGAACAGCACCGACGGACGATCGGCGTCACCCGCTCCTCGCAAAGTCTCAGCCAGTCAGATCAAGATCCGCAGCCGACGAGTAACGTCTGGAGCTTCGATCGGTTCTGGGACGTCGACGATTCGCGGATGCTCGCCGCCTCTACATCGCCATGCTACACCTCCTCTTCCTCTGAGTGAAGCCGATGCTCAAGATGTCTTTGTCACGCGTGAAGCGAGCCCGGCCCCTCTAGAGCTCAAGCGCGTCGCTTACAACCCCGACGACTCAATGGACGACGACGACACTTCCCTGAGCAAGATTGAACGCATCAGAAAGCACGTTCGGTTGATGAGGAGTCGCCTCTTGAAGGAAATGGCCAACGCGTCCTCGTACAACAAGGAGAATGATCGCAACGTCCCTTCGCCTGGAGGGATGACGAGGAGTCCGCATACTCGGAATGTCGCTGTAAGTTCTGAGATGGCCTTCTTGTTGGCATTTGGACAGCGACATGCACTGAAAGAAACTTCTCCGTCTACTGCAGATCAAAGCCAATACTCCCTCTTCGGCCTCTTATGCTTCATCTTTTGCGAGTGGTCGACTCGCAGCAGGAATGATCGATCTCCACCACCTCACCCAATGGCTCGACCAGCTTGACGGCCTCGTTGCCAAGTTGGAGGAACTCGAAAACCTCGCCCCGAACCTCGCGACAGAACCAAAACCGGTCGTGTCGCAGAGCATTTCGCCGACCGAAGCCGAGTTTGCGATGCTTGAAGCGGAACGGGAACTCATCTCGGCTGAGTTGGATGCGTTGAAACATGAGTTATCGATGGTGAGTGCTTATTCCGTCATCATAGTGCGGCCAAGATCGCGTAGCTGACTGTTTGGCGACGCCTGTTGCCCATTCCAGCGCGTGACGGACGACGCACGAAGCGCCGCAGAAGCCGAACGACTGGGCAGGGAGAATACCACTCTGCGGACGGCGTATCAGGACATTCTGAGCGAAATTGAAGCGCTCTACGAGGTGAACTCAAGCGATCCCTCTCTGTTCGTCTTTCGTAAATCACAAGGCTGACAACGCTGTCTGTTGCTTCGTTCTGCGCAGCAATTCAACACGCGCCTCGGCGAAGGTGAACGACTCGTGACCTCTGACGGAAGCAGCGATCTGGTACTGACATGCTCTCGATATACTCGCAGTTGTAACAGCGATACAAGTCGATCCCGCGATTGGTGTATCGAACGACACGTACATCATCCTTACCAGCCAACTGCGCGAGGCCGTCCTGGCGCGATCCGACGCCGAACACACGCTAATGATCGCGCAACACCGCTTGCAGCGTGAGCTGGACGAGAAGGAGGAATGGAGGAAGATATTGGTTACGCATGGGTTGTTGCCCGTTCCAATCTGAGGATTCACTCGCCTCACGGTGCGCTCCGTTGCTTTGAACGTGTGTTTCCATCAGTAGAAGAGCCCTTTTTGGCTTCACCCTTTGTGTCGTCGCGCATGCTTTGTTGAGGTATATCGCATTTGTCTTTTTCTCTGTCTTCGTTTCGTTTCATGCCCATATCATACTCAGGCCTGCCCTGTACTTAACAACGCGTTGCGCTACCTCAGCGGGTCACTGGCCCTTCCGTCCGGCTTTCGGGTAAATAGGCGGCCGACTCGGCCGTAACGAGACTTGTTTCGAGCTGTTTCGAGCAGTCGGACCTGCTGGTGGGGCAATGCGTCGGTCTCGCGCAGCGGCACCTCTCCCCGGTCCCCTCTTCGTTGCAGCTGCAGACCGAAGCAAGCGCTGGGCACGATTCTTCATCTTGTTCACCTCTTCTGCTCCCCACTGTCTCCCCCCTCCCCTCCTCTGTCCGTGCTTTCCGCTGAATGGCGCCCTCTCTCACGGTCGCGACAAAGTACGGCCCCGTGGTCGGCTATAGCGATACGTATCCGCTAAGCAACGAATCAACCGCCAAGCTCGATCCCGCGCACGGGGGCAGAGCTCCCGTTCTGAAGTGGCTGGTGCGTATAATCTACTCGAAACGGTAGACCATAGAGAGAATCGGTGGCCCTGCAGCTGGGCGGGAACGGTGCAGGTGCAGGGCGCCACATTGCGCCAAGTCGTGTCGTGTCCTATGGGGGTCGCGCAGTCTTCTGTCATGGGTGTCGGTAAGATGCACTTTACTGACGGCTCACTATACCCCATAGGGTATACCATACGGTCAAGCTGGTCGTTGGGAACGTCCCTCAGCCCCGGCACCATGGACTGAGCCGCGTGAGTGCCACGAATTTGGCACCATGTTCCCTCAACCCCCGAGCGGAGCGGGAGAATTGTGAGTCATCTATGCCACAGTGCGCCTCAATTTACGTGACAGGCCTGACTTATATACCCCCTTCCGCGTATCGTTCAGCTTTACTCCTCTCTTCTCCAACTTTACTCGGGCCTTCGTAAAGCAGAGCGAAGATTCCTTCACGCTCAATGTGTTTGCCCCCGAGGGCACGACCGCGGACTCCCAAGAACGAATTCCGGTCATGTTCTGGATCTATGGAGGCAGTCTCAACAACGGTTCTAGCGATTTGGTCATGTACGACAGCACCGAGTGGATCCGAGCTCAGGCGGAGCAAGGGAAGAAGTTCATCGTCGTCACGGCCAACTACCGCACCAATATCTGTGGCTTCTTCAGCGGTGTCGACGTCAAGGCCGCCGATGAACAAGGTCTCTCGGGCAACTACGGAGCTTACGACGTTATCCAGGCGCTCACATGGGTGAGTGCATTCACCTGCCCTGGTCCAGCCTGACGCGCAGGGCGTGCGTGGCAGGTCGGGCAAAACTTCCAACAACGATGAGCTAATTCCTTCCTTCGTTTTCTGACCGTTTACAGGTTCAAGAAAATATTGCTGCTTTTGGTGGTGATCCTGGAAATGTGACCTTGTTCGGAGAAAGCGCCGGCTCTTTCCTCGTCAGCACATTGCTCGTCTGTGGCAAGCGACTCTTCCGCCGCGCCATCATGCAGTCCGGAGCGGCAGAAACGATGGTGAGTTGAGGTCAGACTTCAGACTGGTGGCCAACTTGCTTTCGGATATTCACGGAAACTCGAATCGGTAGAGCACATTTCCTGTTGAGCGCGCCTACGGTGCTTATTCGACCATTCTTAATCTGCACGGCCCGGGGGGAGCCACCCCCCAAGCCAGAATCAACGCGCTCCGAAGCGTGCCCATCAACGACCTCATCAAGACCCACATCGAGACCTATGCCTTCACCGGTATCTCCCTGACCATCGAGGAAGGTCCTCATGCGATCTGGCCCGAGAAGGTCATCGATCGACTTGAACGCGGCGAATGGGATGAGTGGGTCGAAGCGGTCATTATCGGCACGAACGAGCACGAAGGGAGCATGTTTGCATACACCCTGAAGGTAGGTATATTGTCACTCCTTTACAGGCTCGTGAACTCCACTACAATCATCTGAGCTGATTCAAACGTGGCTTCCTTCCCTCTGGCCATCGACCAGGTCGCCTCCGAAGCCGGCTATTCCGCTCTAGTGTCCAAGTTCCCGCCATCCCTTCAGACCGAGATCAACAAAAAGTACCTCGCCAATGGATCATACCCTACTGAAGTAGATCTCTTCGAATCTCCAGCAAGCAAAGTGCTCGGTGACCAAATCTTCGTCGTACCTGCTTGGCGTCAAGCGCAAGCGCTGGCGCGGCAACCAAACAAGAAGAGCGGTCGCAAAACGCGCGTGTACATGTACCGCTTCCGGGAAGTGGTCGATCGTCTCGAAAAAATCCTTCCCATGAAGCTTGGGTCAATGTCGGTTCCTTTTTTGAGACTGTTGGCTTGAACCTGCCGAGGTAGGACGTTGACGCAATGCTCCTCTGCCCCTCATTTCACAATAGGCATGCGCTCGAGATCGCCTTCATCTTCAACCTCGAGATCGTATGGGGCCCGGGCACTCGCGAGTCCCAAACTGCTGCAGCGATGGGATCTATGTGGGCCAACTTTGCCATCAACGGTAACCCAGGTCAGGGCAAAGATTCCCTCTTGCTCGTGGCTCCTTTTACCTGAAGGCTAAATTCGATCCGTTCCAACAGATCCGAACTGGCGACCATTCACATCCGAACAGCCGTCTTGGCTGGCGATCGAAACCGGAGGCAAGACCGAGAACGAGTCCTTGGTTGATTACCAAGACACTTTGGTGGACTTCACAGGCAGGAATTTCGCCACTTGATCAGGGTCAGTGAGCTTGCACGTGATAGTGTTCGATGAGTCTTGGACCGCGCAACAGGCTTTATCGATTCCGAGCGAGTCGTTCATCATTCCAATACTTGACTTAGCTTGTAATGAAAAGCTACTCTATGGAATCTATTCAGCCTGAGAAGTCCGCCAAAGAAGACCGTCAGGGGGAGTGATTGTGGTGTGGGAGTGGTTGTGGGTGTAACCCTCTAAGTACTCACCTGGACTGTAAGATCGACTGGGGCATCGAAATCGATGAAATCGTCCGTGAAGCCTTCGAGGCTCTCGGTCTTGGTCTTTCCTCCATCTTCAAAGACGAACCAGCTCGGCTTCTTCGAGTCGAAGGGTTGCCAGGCCTCAACGGGCTTGCCATCAATGGCAAACCGACTCCAGTTCTCGCCAAAAACAGCGGCCGAAGCCTCCTCGTGGGACCCTTCGTCCCAGCAGGGCTTGATGTTGAAGATGAACGGGCAATCGATCGTGTGCCTACGCAGAGGGTAAAGAGACACTATCAACCTCCGATCGTCAGGCCACGATAAGAGTCGAGACCTACATGGATCCGAGTTTGAAGGGTCCACGAGTAACGCTGTCGATCTCTGCGCGGCAGCGGTAGAAGTAGACGGTGCAGGGCTTGCCACTTTTGGCGTTGGGCTGACTCGCCATCGCCTTAGCCTGGTCGTAGGTCGGTTGGGCGAATAACTGATCGTGTAGGAGGCGGGAGGCAGGCGCCTCGACGAAGGACACTTCTTCCGGGTGAGGCGCACCCTTGAGATACTTTTTGTTGATCTGCGCTTTGTATCTCGGCAGGCGATTCGCGACATATGCATCGAACGCGGCGGGTGTGTTCATCTTTTCGGGTCGAAGCGGGCCGCACGCAGATTCAGCTTTAGTGAGAAGATAGTCGATGGTGTGTGGGATTGCTCACCTTCATGCCAGCCGTGAACATGGTCCCTTCGTCCTCCATCGTTCCCAGAATGACTCGCTCGACCCAAGGGTCCCACTGCCCGTCCCTGAGTTTGTCTACGACTTTGCGATCCCACGTGGCGTTCGGACCTTCCTCGATCGAAAAGCTGTGTCCGGCGAACGTCTGGGACGCCGTGTGCGCAGCCAGAATTTGCTCCATTGGCGCCTTCTTTAACGCCTCCACCCTTTCGGCCGCCGTAGGCAGTTTGTCAGCGCCAATGGCGGCCAAGATGGCGGCGTATGTAGGGGACGCTGTATCGACGGGACGAGTTGGAAGAGTCGGGGCCGCACCGGATTGTATGATCGCTTTTTGGAACAACCGGCGACCAGAGCATAGCAGAGTGGAAACCATTATACTTCCTGCCGACTCTCCAAAGCACGTGACGTTGTCCTTGTCGCCACCAAAAGCACCGATATTTTCTTGCACCCATTCGAGGCCCTTGACACAGTCGTAGACGCCATAGTTTCCACTCAGCCCATCCTTGTCAACTTCTTGTAGGTCCTTGGAACTCAAGAAGCCAAATACGTTGAGCCGGTAATTGACCGCGGCAAAGACGAACTTTCGACCGAGCTTGGCCTGATCACGAATCCAGTGCGACGGATCGTAGTTGACTCGCGAGGTCGAGCCGGTGATGAGGGCCCCTCCGTGAATCCAGACCAGGCAAGGGAGAGCATCGCCTGCCTTGGTTCCTTCGGGCGTATATACATCGATCGTGTGCGATGCCTCGGACTGTGCCACGAAGTCGCGACGATAGTCACCCAGGCGGGCCTGGTAGAACGGTTCCGTGATCCCATCAGGCTGCTGGGGAAACTTGGTGCGGAACTCGAAGCACTCGATAGGCTGGGTCCAAGGATCCGGTGAAGTAGGTCGCTCGAACCGACCAGCTTTCGCATAAGGGATGCCCTGAAACACGGGCCGGCGGATTGGGGAATCGTGTCAGCGGGTTCCGATCAAGTGGGGATGCGCCGAAGCCTCGGCAATCATAAGCAACCGGACCGGCTCTGGCGAGTAGCCACAGCAGTTGTGTTCGGCCACATTTGCAGCTGTATCTGCGTACTTACAAGCCATTTATAGATTGGTGCTTCTGTACCACTTTGCAGAGCTGCACTGCTTGTATTGCGTAACGGGTGCGTGTCCTCAAAGCCCTGGATTGGACCAGCCGAGGTCTGTACGAGAAGCGTAGGCGAGGGCATGATTTCTGATGTTCGTTACGGCCTAGGTTTGAAGAGGCCGAGAGGAAGAGAGTGTGCGTTGTAAGAGCGTGGCCACAAATCAAGAGGCCCCTGATTTGTGGCCCCGCTCTGCCCCGCTTTGAACGTGTAGCGGCGACCGCTGCTCTGTGCTGCATTGTGGGGCTGTGGGGCTCGGTCTGGCTCGGCGGGGTCCGGTGGGGGGTTGGCGCGCTTGCCACAATTGACTGTTCCCCGAGACACACGACTCGGAGCGACTTCTGACATCAGCAACTTTACCACTTCCCGGTGCGCGGCTAATAATTAGTGCGTGTTCGGCTGCACTTTTAAGCAGTTTTAAGACCACTTTTTAGGGAAATCCTGAGCCATTCTGAAAGCCTCCCGAAAGTGCTTAAAAGTGCCTAAAAGTGGCGTGTACGGTTGCGTCGCTAAAAGGTCCCCGAAAGTGACTTTTAGGGACCATTCCTTAAAAGTGGTCCGAGGGCACTTTTAGCACTTTTAGGGACGCACTTCGAGCTTGGACGTGGTGGAAGGCTTTGCGCAAGGTTCGCCGGGTTCACTCGGACGCCGAGGATACCGGCCACCTTCTCTCCTGGGGTCCCTCCATCCGGGCAGCCAAGTCGCCTCCCCAACCAGCCCCCACCCCAACAATCGATCGGCCTACTGTGTGATGTGCCTCTCGGAAGCACCCGAGTGCCTGGCCCACCTCGCGGTCGGCTGCCCATTTGCCCGGCGTCTCGGGTCTGCTCTGTCCCCGACCCCCCACCCAGTCTTTGTGGACTTTGTATGTCCGGTCGTGTCTCGCTCGGAACGTCGACTTGTCGAACTACGAGTCCTCTTCTTTCACTCGATCTGGAAGCTCTGTCGCCGTCGCCGATTCTCGTCGGATCTTTTGGAACCGATCACCGAAACGGACTTCGAGGGGCTTCGAGCCTCTATTCAGGAGTCCAAGGGTCGCCTAGTGTCTCTGTCAGCCACCAAAGGGGGTTTTAGTGGGTATGGTTGATCCTGGTTCAGGGTCAGTGAGTCCTACACTACTGGCTTCTGCCAGTGTGCGTAACAGCATTCCCTCCGACTTTTCCAAAGATTTCTAGGTATTAATATAATTATGCTGTTGATGAAGTCTATCAAATAAAAAAAATGGACGGACTCCGAGCTTGGACGCACTCCGGAGTCCGAGCTTCGACGAGCTTCGACCCGCTTAGGCTGGCGCTGGCTGGCGGGGCGCCTGGGACGTAAGCTCATCAAATCCCCTTCCTTGGGAGGGGCTTGCGCATTATCGGCGCGTCAGGCCGGGTTGCCCTCCGAATTCCCCGGGCCAAAAGAGGGTGGTTTGCTGTATCATGGCAAATATTGCATAACTTTTTGCGACAGCTGAAGAGGTCATACTCAGATAGTTGAAAAGGTGTATTGCAAAAGGACAAGCGAACACATGCCGTTTACATGGTGCTACAGCGGAACAAAGTCCTGAATCATGTTTCCTAGACGCACTCGCGCGCACGGACCTGGACGGCTCGAATTCGAACGAGCGGCTGCAAGGCCAAACCAGGCTTTGGCTCTTCACCGCAAGCATGTCCATTGTCAGCCCAAAATGCTACCTCGTCGACATCCCTCAATTGAAATCAGAGAATCTGCTAAGCGTTCAGCCAGCAAAGCAAGTGTAACAGCATCTATCGGCCGTGTAGAGCCGTCATCCAACCCGACCTCCGAATCCCCCTCGATCGTTCGATGGAACTCACGTATTCCAAAGGAGGATCGAATGGACCGTGATTCGCTACGCATCAAGGTCAAGCTGCTGCTTCTCAAAGAGTTTGGTGACGACTTCGAACCCCGGCCGTTTCAATCGCTGGTCTCCTCGAGCTCGACAGGACGCGCGGATGCACGAATACGTTCGACGCAGTCTTCGTCGCCGCACCAACAGGGTCCGGCAAAAGTACGCTTTTTGAAGCAAAGAATCTCGTGTTCGGTAAGCGAGCAATGACAATCATCATCAGTCCCTTAAATGCATTGAGTGAGCATCAGGTAAGCAAGACTTCTGCCGGCCAATGTGTCGGGCGTCTACTGACGGTCACGCTGTGAGCATTCAACAGGCCGCAAAGCTATGCATGAGGGGCAAGATGGCCGTTGTTGTGTCCAAGAAAACGTGGGAAGACGGAAAATTATACGAGCAATTGAAAGATCCCCTTTGCGAAGTCGAATACATCTTCATTGTAAGCTTCAAGACCTTGTGACCTTGTGACCTTGCATTTTCTGCTTCAAGTTGGCTGAACATGGTCTATTGTACGGCATTGTTGACTTCGCAAGTCTCCAGAAATGCATGCGCGCAACGTTCGTTGGAGTGAATTGATTTTCACTTCCTCATTCTGAGTGCGGATCAAATTGCTAATTTACGACGAGGCGATCAAGATCGCCGAGTGGGGACTCACGGGACGAAAAGACCGAGTCGGCGCTATGGCGCATACTGTCATAGTCAGGGGCCTATGACAGCTAAAGGGCTCAGTTCGTAATCAAGTTACATCTTGATTAATGTTCCCTTTTGGTGGCCTATGTGGCTAGAGCCCCAGACTTAATTAAATAACTGAGATAAAGTCTGACTCTGATACATGCCACCGAGGGATCCAATCCATTTCGCGCCGAGTATGCTCAAATTGTTCAACAACGTCTCCGAATTGGTTGTCAAACTTTGTTCCTTACTGCGGGTGCGCCATCCGACAAAATTGACAAAGTTCTAGCGGTTGCCAACATCTCTAAATCGCGAACTTTTTTTGCCAAAGCCAACCTGTTTCGCCCTAATTTACGCAACATCGTCGTCGAAATGACACCTCATACCAAGGCTACAATGACAGATATTCCCAGAATGTTCAGCGTTCGATCCGATCCAAGTACTATCCCTCAATCAATCGTGTACTGCAACAGCAGGGAGGGAACATCGATCGGTCTTTCTGCGCTGCACAAAAGTTGGGGCCTCGAAGTCACGGTCGATTCTCCGCTTGCTCGACAAAAGCGAGGATTTCAAGGATTTCGAGTCACTCTTGCAGAAAAGTTGTCAAGCGCTTGCTTGCGCCGCATGCCAAGGCGAAAAAAACGTTACGATGTTGCGTGGCGTTGCTCCGACGACTGCAAGCGTACGCGAGCTGCCCCATCAGAGTGCGTGAAAGCTGCGAAGTCTGAAGTGTGAGCACGACGAGACAAACAACCGGTGAGAACCCACAAACAACAAGTGCTGTTCCCTACGATGTTGCGACTCAGTGCCGTGTTCTTGCACACCATGGCCATCGGTATCTTCCATGACCTCATCTTGCGCGGCACGATTGGCAACGACGCCATCGATCGGCCCTCTCCAGGCAGTATCTGCGCACCGAGACAGTAGGTTTTGAATGCGGCCAAAAAGAAACTGATTGTCGTCTGCAATTTTTCGAGCCCTTCGTCGATGCAGTCGGATGTCAGATGGTCGGGTGTCATCTCGTGGCTGGGGACATGAGTTGGCTTTGATCTCTTCGTCTCCTGAACAACGATCGAGTCAGACTGTTCCAAGATAACGCGATGTCAGCTACAATCTCGGGGGTCGATCATTTGGGGTTGTGAAATTGTGGTAGATGGCTAGCATTACCTACCTGCTTGGCAATCCACGTATTGATGCGATCTCGTCCTTTGCTGCTACTTTGTCGGCCTCCTTCTACAATCACATTGAGCACGTGTTCGAAGCTGGCCCAGTGACCGTTGAAAAGCTTTGGGCGATGCGTCAAGACCTGAAGGGCTGTCGTGTCTGGGTTGAAGTACCACTGGACGTATTGACATAGCGAGATGTTGAGCGAACGGAGCTTCTTGTCTACCTCGGCCTCGCGGCGTTGCTTTTGACGGGATGAAGAGTCGTATTTCCTTTCCGATATCATCGGTGGTCCGAAGACTTCATCTTGGTGCGTTGAGATATTGCTGACGATGGGAAGTGGTTGCGACGATCGAGGGAGAAGAAGCGGGAGCCACCGGCGTGAGCTCGCTGTGCCAGAGTCAAGAGGGCTACACCGGCGCGCTCGGACCACTTTTAGGCCTTTCCGAGCCAGAACGCAGACTTTGAGTTGCTGCAGTGGCAACTCCTGACGGAGAGCCCGGGCAATACGGTGATTGATCAAGCTTGTAGCGTCTAATCTCGCCGAGAACCTGATCCTTGGCGGTGGCGCAAAAAAATGCCAGGCCTAATGATAGTTCTTCCGAAATACGGGAGGGCGTGAGGCGTCAGGGGTCAAACTCAGCCCCTTCCACGAAGTTATGACGTGATAATGTATTATAGTAGTTCACATGGCATTCAATTGTGCGGACATTAGAGATTTTAAAAAAACAGCTGAATGACTGAGCAACGGAAACGGAGACAAGAGAATGCAGAAGTCTATGATGATATATGAAAGTTGGAAAAATGTAAGCCGCACAATCAGAGCGGCAAGACTCGGGAACCGCTTCCTTCGGCTTCCTCCACCTTTTCGGCGTCTTGCTTCTGGGGTTCTCGGGTCTTCTTCCCCTTCTTGGAGAAGAAGGAAGCTGACATCTTGAAGTCGGCGATGCTGAACTGTGGACGAGAAAGGTGAGGCGGGATCAGTGCTCGGAACACTGCAATTACTGGGAGCTCTGTAGTCGACAGTGCGCGCTTACAATGTAGGTCAAAGCAAAGACGGCGAAGTAATTGAAGCAGATGTAAGCGCAGAAGATGCCGACATCGCGCCATCGATGACTGTACTTCATGCCGACGGTGGCCAAGAACTCGTCGCCGTTTCGGTAGGTGCAGAAACCGCACGATCCGTTGTCGAGGACCTGGGCGTAACCGCCAGCACGGGAGGTGTAGGCCGATAGGTAATCGACGCAGCCTTGGCCAGCAGGTGGGACAACGACTTGGAACTCTTGCTGGCCGCAAGTGACCGTCTTGCCACCGATAGCGTTGGCCACGAGACCTTCAATCAAGTAAGTGAAAGGCGTCAAGTGGTACATCCAAGACGACCAGAACTTGGGCAATTGGGCGACCGGTTGGACAACACCTAAAGGGGGATAGCAGTGAATGACGATGGTAAGGATGAGGTTCAACTCCTTGCTGCAAGAGCCTTTGCAATGTTCAGGCACTCACCGTTGAAAATGATGACGAAACTGAATAAGCAACTGAACAGAACGGACGCGATCATGCTGTTGGCCGACATAGCGGCAACGAACTGGGCGAAGGAAGCGAAGTACAGCTCAAACAGAACGGCGTAGAGCAAGTAAGCGTAGCCGGCTCGATCAGGGCTCGAATCGAAGCCGCAGGTGAAGTACCAGCACAAGAAGAAGAGCGTTCCAGCGAAGATGTTCCACGGGATCTCGGCGACGACATTGGCAAAGACCATGACGGGCCAGTTGTACATCCGCGAGGGCCGCTCGCGGGCAAGGTAGAGCGTGCGGAGACCGATAAACTTGGGCTGGAGCTGCTGTGACAAGGGGGCTGCCAGCACGACGGCCATGAAGACGGCGAAGAGGTTGTTCTGGAGACCACTGAGCGACATAGGCGTCTTGTAGAAACTGAAGCCGATGAACAGACCGGCGACAATGTTCAACATGATCTTGGCAACTGCGAGCGTTCATGGAATCGAAAATTTTAGCATCCTGGATCGCATGGCGCCGTGCGCGACAGGCCTTGGTAAGTTACGTACTGAGGTAAGTGCTGTCCCGGTAATAGTTAGCAAACACTCTCTGGCAAACAATCTTGAGCTGGGTTCCAGTGTGCGCAGCGTAGCCTCGGCCGGAGTCGGGGTCGGCGGAAGCAGCTGATTCTTTGTTGGCATATTCGCGGTGGTACTCGTCGATCTCGCGTTGAACGGTCTTGTTCCTGAAGCAAGATAGGAGACATCGTCTAAGCTAAGGCTATTTCTGAAAGTCAGGGGAGATATTTGCGACTTACTCGTCGGACTCCCTCCAAAGCGCGTGCCAATCTTGCTTGGTCTTGGCTCCCGCACCGGCTCCGATGACTGGGCAAGTCGATCAACACCGTCCGTCAGCCTCCATGATTTTCTGAGAGAATCGGAAAACGAATTCACCTTCGAGAATGTACTCAGCAGGATTGTCCGACTCCTGGCACTTCATGTCTGATCGATCACCGAAGTACTTGATGAGCGTCTCCGAGTTCTCACCGAGGTCACCAAAGTAGACGGTCTGGCCACCCTTCTTGAGCAGAAGCAAGCGATCGAACACCTGGAAGAGTTCGGACGACGGTTGATGAATGGTGGCGAGGATAGCTTGGCCGTGATCGGCGAGCTTGCGGAGCAGTTGCATGATGGACCAAGAGGACTGCGAGTCGAGACCCGACGACGGCTCGTCGAGGAAGATGAGCAGCGCCGGCTTGGCAGCGAGCTCGACACCGATGGTGAGACGCTTGCGCTGCTCGACGTTGAGACCCATACCGACTTCACCGACCAGTGCTTCGGCGTAAGCCTCCATCTCGAGGAGCTTGATGATCTCTTCGACGTAGGCATCCTTGTCCGCGGTCGAAACCGAGGCGGGCTGACGAAGGCGGGCCGAGAACTGCAACGCCTCGCGGACGGAAGCAGTCGCCAAATGCGTGTCTTGCTGTTGGCAGTAACCGGTTTCGCGTTGGAAGGAGACGGGAAGAGGCTTGCCGTTGACGCACATGTCACCCGTGACGACACCGGTCGTGACGCGCTGAGCGAGAACGTTGAGCAAGGTCGTTTTACCAGCGCCGGATTCGCCCATCAAGCAAGTCATCTTGCCCGGTTTGACGTAGCCCGCGACATTGTCGAGCAAGCGGCGCGTCTCGCCCTTGATCTGGACATCGTAGCAAACATCGCGCCAAGTGAAAATTTCGGTCGCGGCCTTGAGTCCCTCGGCGGCTTTCTCCTTTTCCTCGTCAGACAATTGGTGCTCCTCGACACGTTCGGCCGCGGAGCCGGCCTCTTCGTCGCTGCCATCGGAGACACCTTGGAGGGCGTTTTCGAGCTCCTTGGGCGCCGCTCCACGCTTGAAGATCATGACGCCACCGGCGGCGGACTCGTCGGGCTGGAACTCGGACGAGATCAAGTTGACCGCGAGCCAGAAGACGAAGTAACCGAGGACGATGCCAAGGTTGCGCCAAGTGTGGGCGTAGGTGTAGCCGAAGGACGCCTGCAAGTAATCCGCACCAATGACGATGGATTCACCCGTGCGCGAGCCCGCGACGGTGCAGACTTGGTTGGCGAGGGCGACGTTTGCGTAGCCCGCTCCGCTAGGGACGAGGCCGGCACAAGGGACGTCGAGGGTTCGGACTACGTGAGAAGAATAGGTCAAGAATCAGGTTGCCGAGCTCTAGTGGCAGTCGAGGTGATAGATCGTAGGCGTGGCTCGACTTACATTCGTTCGCAATGAGGGCCTCGAAACCGAAAGAGACGGGCTGCGCGTACGACAGCCAGCGGAACCAGGGTTTCATGCTGGGGCGAGGGATCGTGTAACCGACGTAGATGGCGATGATCAAGACCAGAATACCGGCCATCATGGTGGCAGGTGGCTGTCAAAATAGCGTAATGAAGAGTGCAGGTCAGCTCATGTCCATTCAACCCCCATAGACCGACAAGATGCGCGGACGAACCTCTTTGCGGTTGATGGAGGCGAGCGAACGGAAGAGCGCGAGCATGGCTAGATTGGCAGCGAAGGTGAAGAGCAAGAAGACGAAGAATTGCGACGCCGAGTTCTGCAGACCACTCATAAAGTAGAGAATGACGTCGAAGAAGAAGATGGTGACGAGTTTGAAGGGGATATCGACCAGGTTGAGCGCAAACATATCGGCCGAGGGATGCAACATCGCGTACTGGCGTTGGCGGACGATGATGGGGCGCTGGCTGAAGGCGGTGGTGATCTCGGCCATACCGGTGAACGAGTTGTACAGGATCGCGAAGAAGATAACACCACCGCGTGAGAAGAAGCCGGACGTGTTCTTGGGCATTTGGAAGTAGACCGAACCGATGATGAGAGCTTGGAAGATGGCGGCGATGGTCGTGACCATGAGCGTCGAAAGCTCACCCATCTGTAGCTGGTATCGACGCTTGCACGCGAGACGGACTTGCATCGGGTATGAGATGAGGTACTTGGAGTCCTTGCTGAGGTGCTTGGCCTTCTCGAGCTTGGCCGACTCGCGGAATGCCTCGAGCTGCTCGTGGGCACCGTCTGATTCGTGGTGCTGGAGCTCCTTCTCAACCTCGGCGAGGTTCTGCTTGCCGAGCTCGCTCTTGCGCCAGTGCTCGGCGAACTCCTCTGCCGTCCTGGGCACACGACCCTCAAAGCCCTTGCGAACGAATCGACCGTTGGGGTCAGTAACGGCGACGCAGAAGTCGGCCGACGTCTGACGAGGCTGAGGCTCGTAGCCCATGTCGACAAAGTATTGCACCGCGTCTCCCCTGCAATAGGCAAACAACAAGGCAACGAAATTAGCTCCAATTGAAATCAGCCGACCGCCGTTGCCTGTATCGCAGCGCGACTCACATCTTGCCGAAAAATACCATGCGACCATCGTAGATAATGCAGACCTTGTCGAACATCTCGAAGATATTTTGACCGCACTGGTAGATCGACAAAATCGTCGTCAAATGCGAGATGTCGGTCGCGATGCGCAAGGCGCGCGTGTACTCGAGAGCGGTCGAGGCATCGAGACCTCGGGTCGAGTTGTCGTGACAGCCAATCTTGCAGCCCGTCGTCAACAGCTCGGCGATTGAGACACGTTTTCTTTCACCTCCGGAGACACCACGGATGATATCGTTTCCTACTTTGGTGTTGAGGGTGTGTCGCAGACCAAATAAGGTAACGAGTGTGTCCTTGATGAGGTTGGCTTGTTCATCTCGAGAGCCCAAGCGGGCACCACTGGCGGGCGTACGCGTCTTGGCGGCAAAGTCCAGGGTTTGACCGACCGTCAAGCTCGGAAGATGGTGGTCGTCCTCAGGGAGGTAAGCGACATCGCCGGCGTCTATGCGGGGTCAGGGAGAGATCGTCAGCTCCAAGAGGAGACAGGAGCTTCGCACAAGAAGGGGAGTGAAATGATAATACTCACGGTGCTTTCGCATCTCGTCGGCCGAGGCACCATCGAAGGAGACGGCACCTTCGACCGAAGTGAAAGCCTCGGTATTGTTGGACAGCGTCTTGAGGAGCGAGCTGCAACCACTCCCAGGTCTATGCACGAATCACAGGACGGGGTTTTCAGAACGTCAGCGTCGACGGTGAGAACATGTCGAAGATCGCGACCCGCCGATGAGTGCTTCTGCAAAGCAGCAAGTCACTTACCGTCCGAGAACGAGCAGCATCTCTCCAGGCTTGACCGTTCCCGTAAAATCGACAAGGATGTTCTTGCGCACTGGGTGGCGCATCGACTTGATCATCGAACCCAGACGGAGCGGCGCCGAGAGCAAGCTACCGAGGGTGTCGCCGTAGCTGAGGCCACTTCCTTCACCGGTGACGTGGAGATCCTTGAACGTGACACCGATCTCGCGACGCTGGAGCCCTTGGCTATCGGCCTTGCGGATGAGGTGCTTGAGGTGGGTCTCAAAGTCAAAGTCTTCGGCGGTCGGGTCCTGCGTCGTGGTGCTATACGAGCTCTGGATTCGCGACAGGCGACGTTCGAGCTCGGCGGCACCTTCCCGGTCAAAGTAGTTGAATTGTTCGTGGCGGGTCGCGGTCGTGGTGCGTTGCAACTCGTTGCGTTCGCCGACGGTCTTGAGAGGGGCGGCGAGGTTGCCCGGCCCACCTTGCGCGGCTCCGTTGGTGGTGCGCTTGTTATGCGCATCGGCGGCCGCGGTCGGGCTCGCATACTCGGCGGGGGTGTTGGGAGCGCGCGTCTCGTCTGAGGACGAGGATGATCGCGACATATCCACGGGTGGTGGATGCAAGAGGGGGGAGGTTGGAGTAGGTCAGGCACGCGTGATTGGGCGGATTGACGGGGCGAGGGTGCGATTACGATGGTCCGGTTTGATGCGAGGCTGAGCAGGCCCACGGCGCAAAAAGTAGAAGGCTCCGGTGACAATCGAGCTGGGGGCGTCCAGCGTCCAGCGTCCAGTGGACGGACTACGACGAGCGACCGGCGGGAGACTCAATTACTCGCAACGACGGCGATACAGTAGAGGCAAAGCAGGTGTTGACACACTTGCAAGCTGATCAGAGGTAGATCGGATGCTTGGTCGGGAGATGGGAGGTGTGCAACAGAGCAGGAGGCAAGAGGGACGGACACTGGCATCTGCGGTCGTCTAATCCGTTATATGAGCCCGGATGCTCCCGGATGAGTCCCAGCTGGCGCCCTCGGGGATTGCGGCCTATGTGCCTGATCTCGGAGATGCTTGCTCGGAGTTGTCCTTGCGCTGGAAAGCCGCGCGGCCCTTCGACGTCTCCGAGTCGGCCACTCGGGGGTCACCTCGGCGTGCGCTAGTCGCTACCTCTTGGCGCGGCTGAATTCGTCATCCCCTCCACCTCACAGTTCCTGTGCAAGCCAGGTTTCGCCGAAGCATTGCGAACTGGCGTGGCCATCGGGTACGCTTCAGTATCGGACGGCGGTCGCGATCAAAACTTCGTTACCTAGGTATCCAGGCACAATCTCGGATGTGCATGTACTCAGGTAAGTAAATTGGCCCCCGCCCTCTACAGAAAGTCAATTGACGGCTCTGTATTTCCACGGGCAGTTTCACAGTCCAGTTGAGTCCATGCCCACGCATGGTTTGAACACGGTGAACGCGACGTGGCAGTAGTGACATATATGGTTTGTGTGTTGACCGTAACCTCTTTGAAAGTTTGCTCGGGTTCCTTTGCCGACGACCGGTCACTGCATGAACACGACGCGGATTCGCACGAGGAATTAGTGGGGACGGGGCAGTGTCGCTGGCCGGGTTCAGAATTACACGAGGAACGAATCAATCTTTCGCAAATGAGGATCAAATCAAGAAGAAAAAAAGTCCAAGAGGCCATGTACTGTAAGAACTTGCATGCCGCACACAATCTAGTCCCGCTTGCCGAGGGGGCCAGTGGGGAGGACAAAAAAGGACGTGTCGGGCGTCAACAAATTGGCCGCAGCGACGTACCAGGCATTCTATGGACGGGGAGCCAAGCACCAGTGGTCAGCTACATTTTCATGCCAAGAACGCCTTGGCTTGGCTTGGAGAGCCAACTCACGAAAGCCGTGATCAGACCGAAGGCACCACCCGCAATCTTGATCGTGGCCGCGTGCGCGACACCGAGTTCAGCAACACTGAGAAGAAGGAAAGTGACTACACAGGAGAGGGTATCAAGATGGGTCAAAGGCTTTTCATGGCTCTGTCGTAGCTCGATGAACAGCTCACTCGTTAAGAAGAAGAAGACGCCGGTAAGGGCCACAGACGAACGAAGCGAGGCGATGAACACTGTAGATGGTATCGGAGAACCATGATCAGTGATGGGCCAATTTTTGACAAGTGAAGATATCAACAAACTGACTGATGAAGGTGAAGATGAACCAGCCCCAAAGGAAGAAGGCAACACCGGAACCAAAGTCGGCCTCGACCTTGTACGACGACGCGATCGAGGACCAAGGCGAGACGATGAAAGCGTATGAGAGCCAGAAACTGAGCAGGTGAAACCATAGGGAAACCGATCAGTTGAGATTTTTTTTATCATGACAGGTTGCCAAGAGAAGCGCGCTTACGCTCCGTAAGAAGAGAAGGCCGTGGCACCGAAAGTGTTACCGACGGCAAATTCCCACATGCCGGCAAGGAGTTGCGCGAGACCACCGTAGAAGAGAGCGGGGCCGACAACGACATTAGGCGCGGCGACACCACGGGCACCAACTAAAGGTAGGGCCAAAATAGACCAGGTCAGCGTTGCAGTGTAAAGCACTGCACTGCACTAGCCCTCGGGAGGAGAGCCAATCTGCGACGCAGAGACACAGTGCAAGCCAGGACCTCGGAAGGGATAGGGAAAATTTCTTACCGTTGATCAAGGACAGCATGAAGGTGGTGAGAGCGAAGCCGCACAATCCAAGAGGAGCTATGTGCCGGACCAAATTCGAAGGCGAGTTAGTCAAGCCCTTTACGTTGATATTTTGCCCGGGCCTTGAGAGCCAGCGGGTGCAAAGCGACAACGCCCTCGCGTTCGACGATCATCGACGTAGGGCTTGAGCTTCGCCATCGGATACGACTTCGTGATGGGATAAGAGCTTACCAGGGTTGGCAAATTTGCGGTGGCTGCGGAGTACATGATGAAGAACATTCAGCTCCGTTGTTTGAGACCCCTCTCAAGCAGGCCAAGGCCGGATGACACTCACTAGACAGGGAACGCGGGCTGAGTCTGATCGAGAGGGTGACCTCCCGGAGTGATGTTGCCTAAGACATGGCGAGACACGCGGGGATAGATGCACGTGACGAAAGGAGCGTCAAGGCCAGAGCGAAGGGCGATGCCGGGCCAGGGAGGGGGCAGGTGAGCAGGCGCGCGAGGTCACGAGGAGTACCAAATGAATGGGCCGGCCAATGGGAGCGCGGGCCGGAGGGGTGGGGGAAGCGAGCAAACGACGTCAGCACTCCAGCAAGAACTTGGCGGACTTTGCTCCCGATCGTTTCGGTTCCAAAGCGGAGCTAGCATGAACTAGCATGAAGCGAGTGTCATGGTGGATGCAGGGTACAGCTGCACGCTCCCACGTCCCACGCAGAACCAAGCGGCGGTGGTGACATGGGACTCACGGTTACCAAGGTTAGCGCCTCCTTCGTGCGAGAACTTGTAGCCATTTCCGGCCTCGACATCGGATTGGGAAGGGTTCGACATGGTCGTAGTGGGTGAGTTGTAGTGTTTATGTGGGCTGTGGACTGTGATTAGTAACGGAGCTGGTGTATGAAGGCAGAGTAGAACTCGGAGTGGACAGCAAGAGGGAGAGGAGAGGCGCCGTTTGGGAGCAGAGGGAAGGCGCTAAAGGTCGAACGCGGGTCGAAATGAGCCGAGCCGGGGGGGCACCGCGGAGCTCCATTCGGCCCGCGCCGCTCGCGCTAAACCTGTGGCGAGCTGGGCCCTGGCTGCTCCCGCCCCCGCTTGTTCAGAAATGATGAGAGCCAAAAAAAGCTACGCCCGACCGCGGGAAACGAGGACGATCGTCCTCGCAGAGTCGCAGAGTCGCAGCCTCGCAGGCCATCTCTCCGCTTTCACGCACACCACTTCTGCGACATCTCCCGAAGCTCTCGACGATCTACATTCCTCCGTCGAGGACGGGGCCCCGCCCTAAGCGGGGCCAGCCAAAATGATCGCCTGCTGGGAGTTGAATTACATTCTCGGACAGGGACTGCTACATAGTTTTCAGCCCCTGTGAATATCTCATGGTAGGTAGGGCCACCCACTACATTCTAACTGCCTAGATGAAAAAACGTCATCTTCATCACAATGACATTTCAGCTGCTCTCTTCTGCCAAGACCCAAGCCTGCGAGAAGCTGTAGAATCCGTCCGAAGAGCGCATGCAGCACGGCTTTCCCCCGAGCACCCCACGCCTCGATCGGGGTCGACGCTCACGCTGTTCTTCTTTTCGAACGTGCTGCACTGCTGGCCTCGGTCAACGTCAGCACGTCAACCGCATGCCAAGTCGGCCGTACCGAAAGGGGGAAGCCGATTGGCGCCTGCCGCTCGTCGCGCGCGATAATATCCGACGATTTTGAGTGCCCCGCTTTGTGGCCAGATCCATCACGCTGATTCGCGAAGGAAGCCGATTCGACGATTGCGCCCGATCCACCCCGTCTCGCTCCACCTGGCAGAAAACTTCAGGAGGTTCGGACCCACCAAGATGAGCTCAAGTCATGTGTAAGCAGGGTGCCCAGTGTTCCTCGATTCACCTTCGTTGACACAGCTGACACATGAATCGCGTATCCAACTATGTATGCCAAATTGTCGCCACTCAATCAAGCCCCGTCAAAACGTCTGGGGCAGCGCTCCAAGCTCTGATTGCTTGCAGTTGGCGTTGATGCTTCACGAGCCATTCGAACACCTCAACCCTGTCTGACAGCAGGCGGCCAGGCGTGCCCTACCAGGCTGCCTTAGGTACCTGGCTCGACATCATGTAGCTTCATCCCTGGAGGAGGGATACACAATAGAGAAAATAGATCGCCATCACTTACCTTCGACGGCAATTGATCGAGCGGCGGCGAAGGCTTCGATTAGTATAGCAATCGAGGGAGCAGTCCGACGGCCTAAACTCCACTGGAGATGCTGGTACTTCATCCAGTCGAGAGAAAGCCGCTGATCCCTTCCCCTAACCTCTCTGAAAGATTCAAGGGTTCCAATATATGCAAGCTGAGTGTAAGGCAGCTGTGCCTTACGCACCTAATGTGGCACCCGGTATTTGAATTACATCAATTCAAATTGCTTTACTTTTGGATCACGCGTTAGGGTGCCGCGCGCCTTTCACTGAGATTAGCCTGCCGGTCAAAACGGCAGCCTCATGCTGACTAGTAACTGCTTCGATAAATTCCATCCTCGTACATGTTATTGACGAATTACGAGCCATGCCGCATTGTTTGAAAGCTCTGTCATCTCACGAAGGTAAAAAGCAGTCTGACGCAAGGGCAAAATGAAGGGGTGCATTAAAATGTGAAGTTGATGGATCGGGGTGTTGACAAGGGAACATGGACCATCATATGAATTGGATTGCGAGTCTCGATCTGATATATCGCAGAGAGCCTTCAAAGTCACGATGAAATATGATGTTATCAAGACAAGAGAGAAAGGGAGTGAAACGGTAGTGAGAACAGGTGGATATATAGGTATGGGACCAGGGGTAGGAGCTGCACAATGTGATGCTGTGCGGGCGATGCGAGTGCAACTTACGACAAAAGGGGCCAGAGACTACCTGCCAGGATAGAAAGCAAGAACATCACGACATCGCTGCCACTGCAAGTACGGCAACGACGGAGAGCACGATAAGGTGACTAATTGTGGCGCGATTCGACGCGGCCCCCGTGATATTGATCTCGCCGGCGAGAGATTGAATCGAGGCGAGGAAACCCGTGCCACACGTCTCGCCGGTCCCGGTCCAGAGATCGCCTTGGTGACCGAGCATCGGCGAGTTAGACAGGCCGAGGGCATACGGCATTCGAATCTCCCAACACACGTAAGCGGCGAGGATAGACTTGGTGCAACTCGTGCACAGGAGCGCCGACGACATGTTGGCCGACAGGAACAGGAACGGGAGTGAATGCGCGGCCCAAGTCGCCGGATTGGGGAGCACACCGGTCAAGTCAAAGGACAGGTTGGAGCCCGATGCAGAAGCGGGGGCGGTCGTCGAAGCGGCTGCGGACGAGGTGGTGTTGGTCGCCACGACGGGTGTTGTCGAAGCTACGACTTGACGCCTCCTGAGGAACCGCCGGGCCTGAACGGTAAACTGCACAAAGAGCTCGCTCGGGCTGACCAGAGCGATCGAGTAAGACTTGGAAAGCGAAGCCACAGGCGCAGGTGTGGCGACCGGTGTCGAGCTCGCTATGGATGCCGACTCTGATGTGGCTGCACTCGCACTGGCGCTGGCGTCGGCCGAAGAGTTGTTTGCATTCGTCGCGATCGTATCAGGTGAGGGCGGAACAGTTCCGGCGGCGATATCGGTGAGGCAGTAGCCTCCATTCACATCCTTGGAACACACCGAGGTGTGGAACGGTTGCAAGATGTACAGAGTGTCGTATTCGCCGAGCACGACGGCCTGACGAGCTTGCAGTTCTGCACTGCAATTCCCGTTGAACGCCGTGAGGGCGGCCCGGATGATGGTGTCGGAGCAGGCGTTCGTAGCGCAAAGCTTCTCAAGCGAGGTCGTGATCGCACTCTGCGTCTTCGCGTAGCTTGCGATGCCATTCTCGGGGGCGAACAGATCAAGGGTCGAGATCAACGGGACGGTGCACTGCGCGATCGTTTGGTCGCCGTTCAATTGCGCAAGGAACGTCTGGCAGCGTGTGGATATCGAACTTGGAATCAAAGGATTGCTTGCGCCTGATGTCGAAGACGAGATCGAGGTCGCATCGGACGACAACGGCATGGCCGCCCAGGCACTCGTCGGCGTGGTACCAGCCAACGAACTAGCCACAGCTGCGAGGGGGCACAAAGCGCGAGTCATTAGTCCACTGCCTGGAGTCTCGACGTACACCTTGAAAGGGATCTGCTTTATCGATGCTAGTCGGGGGAGAGTCGCTGATGACCCTCACTGCAAAGGGCTGTCCTGTCTCCCGTTCCTCCCACACGTCAAGGAAGCCCCTTTCAGGAAGCCGACGGACGGCGGCCACGCGCACGCGCCTCCGATTCGTTGTTTCCTCGTCGACCGACCGACGGTCACGCGCGAGATCCAGAGGGAAGGATAGAGATAGACAGGCTCAAAGAAACATACCTGATATCAGATTGCTTGCAGCTATGGTGGTGGAAGCCGGTGCAGCAGCAGTCGTGCTGCTTGCGACGGCGGCAGGGGCGCTCTGTTGAGCGCTAGCGCTTGTCGCAACCAAGGCGGCCATCGCGGCGATCCACAGCCGCGTGGGCATCGCTAGTCGTTTCGCAAAGGTAGTAGGCATCGAAGAGTGACCTTCAAGTAGATAGGACGGTCCAGTTCGATCTTGTGGGGCCGGCCGGCTGCCGAAGCTAATGACTGGGATGATTGGACGATGGTCTTTGTTTTCGTGGGTGGGTACGGAGCACGGAGCGATCCCGGCGTTGTGGTGCAGGTCAACGAACAAGGGCCGTTGTCGGAGAGCGGGAGCTGGAGGAGTTGATGGCTGGATGGCTGGCACAGGGACTTGAGGTCTGTTGGCGGTGGTTGTCTGGCGGTCAAGATATGCAAGGTTTAATAGGTTGCAGCGCACAAGGCAAGGCTTGGAGGACCAAGAACCCAAGAGCGGCACAAGTTCTTTTTGGGGGAGCGCTCGTGGGTGCAAGACCTCGATCTCGCCTCCCTTTACATTTCGCAATTCATTAACCCTGCCGTGTGATTCAAGTAGATGCCTACAGCCGGTGTTCAAGACTGAACTCATTTTTTTGCCAGAGTGTATGCAGTACCTGTATTCCGGGGATTCTCGCAGCCATGTACTAGATAGTACCTCTTGCAGCAACGACGACTCGACCGATTTTCCTGTGGTTCGCCCGCACTCCGTCTGCGATGGGGATCGTTCAACCAACATTCGCTTGAGCGTGGACGTGGGCCACGCCCGGTGGTGGGCAACTTGGGGCCGCTACCATCGACCATCGCGAAATGAACTGACGTCAGACCCAGGGAGGGAGAGTGCACACGTGTGCATTGTCATTGCTGTTGTTGCTAGGAGCCTTGACGAGTATGAGCTGGATACGACTTCATAGTACTAGCCCGCTCCGAAGGTCTTCGGTCGCCGCCGCCGCTCGCCGGGGGCCCTGCCAGTGGGCCCTGCAGTGAGGAGGCGGGCCGGGCTGAGTGATCTGATCTAATGCGGACCCTTGATTACTGTCCTGCTCCTACTTCGCCTCGGCTCGACGTGCAATCGGCGGTGGACGAAGACAGGGCTTTCGCAACGAAGCAGGTAGGAGCTGTTTATGTCTAGTGCGGAAAGACGGCGAGGATAAAGGTCGTGATGTAGATATTGTTCACTCATTTTCTCAAGATGAGATCCTAGGGTACCACTATTCTGATAAAAAGAACTTAGCCGATGCCGAGTCTGTATCCATGATCATGGCGCTCTCTACAACGGGGCCGGACGTCTAAGGCTGGGGTCGGGGTTTTCAACAAGAGATCTTAAACAACAAGGCAGAAAATTGAAGGGGTTTACATCCTTATTACGACAGGGACCCCCTTTTGTGTCGTTTCAGTCTAAGTATCTCATTTCTCTCTTTCCCTCTCAGTGATCACGTTCACTCAAACCCGTTTACAATATACCTTTCTGAGGGAATAAAAATTAGAGTAAACAATCGGCACGGTACTCGCGATCCTTCTGTAAGGCTAGCCTCGCGTGTGCACGCTTGATGATGACACCGTCCACTGCACGACGCCGCTGATCGTTCATGCATCCCACTCGGCCCAAGATCTTGGTGCTGTGTATTTAAATAGGTCCTGCAGTAAAAGGGTCACGACGTTGAAAGCCGAGACGGTCTGTTGCGCAGATGGGTACTCTTGGTGGTCAGTGCGTTAAATCCATTCCGGGGACTCGAATTTGCGGGGAAGCAAACTCGCCTCGGTTTCCATGGTGGAGATGAGCCTCTCAAATCCGTTCACATAGTAGAAACCAGAGTCTGGTCGGACAGGTGCCAGGTCTTTGCGGGGATCACGGATAGGATTGAGTTGAGGGTAGGCGAGGAACGTCTTTGTCCACGTCTTGGCCACGTTACCTTCGCCGAAGATATCGTTCAACGTCTCCGGGGCTAGCTTATCCTCGGAAAACATCTTGACGACGTGCCACGTTGAGTCTTGTCCGAACTGATCGCCTGCCTCCTTGGAGAGCGATTGGAGGTAATTGAGCGAGTTGAAGGTCGGCCCAGGTGCGACGCCTGTGTCTTTGGTCGCAAAGATGGCCTTCGGCATCTTGGTCTTGTCAGACAGGCCAAAGTAGCTCGGTTGAGGTGCCGACAAGTTGGTGATGACGAATGAGACGTGGAGTTGAACATAGGGTTGAGGCGGGATGAGCTTGGCCACGTCGGAATTTCGGATCCGGATGTCGGTCTGGTGGAAAGGCGCAGCGAGGATCACGATCTGAGGAACGGTACCGAGGCATCGTGATCAGCGGAGCGGCGATCGATTCACGCCGTGGTGGTAAAAGTCGCCACCCACATCATAAACGTCACCTCGATTAGCCTCAGAGGTCTGAACACGCCACTTGGGTCTATCGCCATCGATCTTCTCAATTTCTGTGACGGTGGCCCCCTCGCCCATCCTCAGTCGTGAACCACTCTGCGCGACAAAGTGCTCAAAGATTCGCCGGTTGCCATTGACGACCTGCGATGCGCCAGTAGCAGCCAATGAGACGAGCGCCCCGACGGCATGGATCTTGGACACGGGCGTGCCATAGTTGACTTGAGTCGCAGCGGCGACCATTTCTTTGACGAACAATGCACCGACTTTGTGGCGGTTGATGAGAAAGCCGGCCGCGGTCGATCCGCTCATAGAAGCCAGGTTCGTGGCGCGAGCAAAGTCGAAGAGAGAGGAGAATGCCCCACGCGATACAAAATCGGCTTTGTAGAGACCAAGAAAGTTATCGACCGTCGTCTTGACCAGGGATCGCATGGTCAGGGGTGCTCGGCCGTACCTGCACGGTCGGAAACGGGATATAGAGGTGAGTCTTCCGTTCCGTTCGGTCGCTCGACGGTTTTTCGCGCTTCCCGTCTACTTAGTACGAGCCGCTGACCTGATGAGCATCTTTGCGTTATCCCACCAGCCCCACCCTTTGCTCTCGGTGAATACGAACTTTGACCCATCCCAGATCGCCATCCCGCCCGGCTCGCCGCCGTGGTCCTTGAGCGTCAGGTTGAAAACGCGGGCGGCTTTGTGAAGGTTCTCGTTGGCTTCAGCAAAGATGGAAGCGCCGCACTCGACCGGAGGATCGATAAGCTCTTCGTTCTCGTCACGGCCGAAGTCGTTGGGGATCTGGTAAGGGTCGTCGAGCCACGGCCTCACCGGGAAGGACCGTCCACCGATGAAGCCGGATCGCTCGTAGATGGTCACCGCGGTCTCGAGCCCATTTTGTGCCGCGGCAAAGTGAGATAGAAAGAATGCGGAACTCGAACCTGCACGCAATCATGAAGTCGGAAGAATTCAGCCAGGCTTCGCATTGCTGGCGACAGACTCGAAGCGAAACTTCGGCTACTGGGTGTCAAGTGCTCAACCTCTCCCTCTCTTTGACTGACCTCCAGCGCCGGCGCCAATGATCGCAATCTTGGGTACTCTCGGCTCGCTCCATAGGCTCGATACCGATTCCTGATTATCTTGTGGCCACTTCGTTACCTGACCGGTATTTTCCCGGTCGTACGAGGACAAGGACTCGAGATCGACGAAGCCAGAGTCGTAACGGGGATCGGTGCGTCGAGAGATGCGCTCGAATTCCGACACGAGTACGTAGAGGATGATCGCGATGACCAAGCACCCGCGAAGTGTTCGAGTGCGTTCCCACAGGGATTTCTTGCTCGTGTAGAGTGGAGCGGTCTTGGAGGTGCCCGCGATGGGCCGTTCACGTGGCGCGCCACGGTGGGGGGCGATCCCTTTCTCGGCCGACATGACGTGACAGCCTCCCAAGACTCCAGGAGCGGCAGAGGCAGACGAAGGTGATGCTGTTCTGGCTTTGAGATGAACGATCTGTTGAGCGCAGGTAGAGACGAATACACCACTGGCGTAGCCAGAGGTGCGCTGCATAAAGCTGAGAACGAGCCCGCAAACGCACAAAGGACGATCGGCGCGAGCGTTGGCAGCGTCAAGCTGCGCCAACTTTCAACTCGGAAATCTCTTGTTAATTGGCAGGCGACATGGGAAGAAGCTTCGCATGGCCCCCTTAGGCCCACACCCCCTTCACAAGAGTCCAACAAGATAGGCTAAGTGTTTCGGGATGGTGATCGTTAGGTGCCAACCCCCCCCTGTGCGTTCGTCGAGGCAAGCAATCGCTTCCGGCCAGGATTATGCTCGACCGCGCCAATGACCGAGGCCGTGGTCGGCACGTGACCGAATTGTTCGGTTGCGCCGGCTTCTTATCCACCCTCCCTTCCATTCGTCCGTGTCGTGGCAGGTCATGAATCGACTCATCAAAGCAGGGAGTTGGCAAACCTTAGACGGATTACCGGCGAAGTGCGCTGGCCGGACGTACCTCTGGAGGGTGCGAGGGAGCTCAAAGAGTTTACCGGGAAGAGCGTCGAGAAGTACCGGAAGCTGTCCCAGGGAGGTGAGAGCTCGGAGGTTTCGGTGATTTACTGGTTGCAGGTACGTCATCAGCATGAAGCATCGAAGATTGCTCAGACTTGCTGACAAGAAGGTTCCGAGCAGAGGATGCATAACCCTTTGTCGGATGATCGGAGGCCGCTGTTTCCTGCAGTGGCCAAGCACACCGGCGCCTCGGGCTCGGTCGCAAGCTGGCCGGCGCCATCGAACAGATGGGCAAGCGTTCAGAGGTCACGGACGAACTGTGAGTCCCCCGTTTCGGAGCTTTGAAGGTATAGTGCTGGTCACTGATGCCCTACTTACACGCATCATCTCAAAAAAAGGGGGGGCCAACTTTCCCATGTTTTGGCAACTTGCAGAGTCGAGTCTCACTCGCGCGCCTCACTAATTCACGTATTGGTCTATTCGGAGACGGCACGGTCCAAGGGCGGCGGTATCTCGATCCCATATTCGAAGCCTATTTCGAATGGATGACCAATAGTATAACGCGGTACATCAAGGAACAAGGTCTGTCTTTCATCACGTGGGCCGTCACCCATGGCCATCTACCGTGTCGCGTCACCCTCTCGGCTCGACCGCGACAGAGGAATGGGAAGAGATCTCGAATCGCCTCAAACGATGAAACCTCAGCGAGCAGATGGACCCGAACTCGGCAGCGCTCAAGGCTTGGTACGATGGTCCAGAACGGCATGCCTTGCACACCAAATGGAAGGGGCGTTTCGGCGGAAACAGCGGTCGGTGAACGCTAAAAGGGGTCACCGACGCGGCGGGGAAAGAAACCAGGGCAGGAGATGAGATGCGTGCTCAACAACGATCTCAATGCGACGACCGAGCTTTGGAAGTATAGCAACGTCTTGTGGTTCAAAAGTGGGGAAGTAGCGCCAGCTACTGGGGGAGGGGGTGATAGACAGGGGTCTAGTCTAAACCCGTAGGACTGCCAGTGAGGCTTCTCCAGCGGCGCCTCCTGTCGAGCCAGAGCCACGCTACTCCGTGCGGTGCCTGAGATGTAGGATCATTGATGGTGCAATGTACCTATTCTTCATATCTGAGCATCTAGGTAGGTGCCATTTACCTACCTGATCGGTTGGACTTCGTCCCAGACTATTATAAGTGTCGGGGCCGTGTGGTGGCTTGTGCTCCATCGACTTAGAAACAGAGCCCGAGGCCCGGGGGTTACCAAGATACTTAGCGCAGGATTTGTGCCCACGCGGTTGTTGCCGCCGCGCCTGCGAGAACCACGTGATGCGACCGAGGCGCACTGTTTGGTGCGGAAACGAGGTCGATGACTCGGAGGTCGTACGGTCGCAGGTCTGCCCACCTCAGCGGTAGGATCTCACGTTCTTGTGCTCACCGACATGCCAAGACGATCAACCCGGTAACAGCGAGTCACAGCGCTCCACCCTCCTACCTCTGCACAACCAAATCAGTGATCACCCAATCGTTCGAACCCTGACTCGGACGAGCTGCTGCGGCCCGGTCTTTATCTCCGTCCCGCGATCGGACACGAGCTGAACTCGAACTCCAGGCCGATCGGCGCACCTCTTGGGTGTTGGGGTCAAAAAATTACGAAAACATCGCAAGGTAAGTTTCGTCAAAAAGATATGTAGCATTTCGAGCCCACGAGTCTCCCGTGAGGTCACAGGTGGAGTTGCGGTCATGCAGGATTCGGCGCCCGAGACAAGTCTGGCGCGTGGACAATTCGAGTGTCTCGACTCGAGTCACTCGGACCGCGCTCAGGACGCCTCGAGCGGTGGGGCGACGAATTGGCAAGCACTCGGCAGAAGGGGGGAGCAACAGGAAATTTCAGTGTCAGGTCGCAGGCTGTATGACGTAATGTCTACATGGTTATCTCGGGTGTGAACGCTTGTGGCATCGGAGGTCGGCGACCTGGTTCGGAATGATGCTAAGGAAGGCGCTAATGGATGAGCGCTACGAGCACCGACTGGGCTGCGCCGTTGCTAATAGAACTCGAGGCGCGACGGGCTGCGGCAGGGCCTGACAGGGCCTGACAGGGCGTGACCGCTGCGGCCACTGGAGCTCGTGCTCGTGCTCCGTTCTAAGCTCTTCCCTTCTGCGCCGCTTCGCCATTTGGCTGACCCTACCACCTACTTGCCCACCATGTTATGAAGCCCAGTAGCCCGCTACGATCCCACACCAAAGCCAGCTGCTCGGGCTTTCCTCGACTTTTCATCGCCTCGCCTCGCCTCGCCTCGCCTCGACGCAGCTGCGTTCCTTGTCCTTACGACGTCCTCGCTCCCCCCACCCCGGATTCGCTCTCTGACTCGGCTGTCGGCTGTCGCCCGGCGCACTCGGACTTGGGCTGACGACGCTTGACGTGCTCGACCCCGGCCCCCACAACGCGTTACCTGTACACATCCTCACTCTGCGCGATCCCGCCTTCATCATTTGCACGTCGACTTGGGTCAGTTCGGCCACGCGACACTCGTCAGTAGTGATACACGCGCTCGACGATCATTAGAGTGCGCCTGCTAGCGCCGGAGGTAGAGAGCCCCTCGGTAACTCCGCTCCGCAACCGGCGCCGACTGGAGCCTGGGGCCTGACGAGGTACGTCACAGCTCAGACGCGCGGATACAGGTATCAGCTGTAGTGAACACACGAGTTCCGCTCCGGGCCACCTGTTCGCCGTGTTGCTTGTCCACACGAATCGAGCGGCGGAGACGACGTGGCTGCTTCGTCCACGTTCTCCACACGCCCTCGTGACGACGATCACTACTTCCGCCCCCGGACAGCTCCTCTTTCACCGATCTTGAGCCGCGCTTGGCAAGCCCTAGATATCTCCTATCCTCTCTTTTCACTAGCGGGCAGGGTACTCCTCGTCGAGGCTCAGCGAAGATCTCGTGGATGATCACGACGAGGGCTCTACCACCGACGCTTCAGCTTGACGTGCCAACTTCTCCGCCTCTCGTGTCCCGTCATCGCCTCGGCTGCCACGCTTGCTGCACCGCTTGCTGCACCATCACGAAAATGCTCATTTTCCTGAGTCATCACGAGTCGCTGATTGTCTCCTCTGCTTTCATTCGTACCCCAGAAGCAAAGCGATGGTGGCTTTATCGCCGACCTCGGCTTCGGCATTCAAATCACCAGTCGTGCCCCCACCCAATCGAGCCGACTTCCCGCCGCGATCCCCACCCCGCTCGCCACCTCGGAGCTCGACCCCGCTAGTCGTAGCAGACTCGTTCATCGATCCACATGCGCGCAACGGATCCCCTTTATCGGCGATGAGCAGCCATGGCAGGCCCAGCGGAGTTCAATCGCGGCGTGCGGCGGCCGTATCGCTGGGCCTCGGCGTATCGTTCGCGCCGCTCGTCTGCGACCCCACCAACTCCTTCTCGAGAGCCACATCGCCCAACTCGGTCCATGCTCCGTCGCCACAGCGAGCCGCTTCCCCTCGCTCCGACTCGGTACAGTCTTCCTCCTCGACCCGTGATCATTCTCGCCATGGCTCGTTTTCGGCCACGTCAGGGGCTGCGATGCCCGTCGGGGGCGTGTCAACCCGATCTTCGTCGCGCATACCATCACGCAGACCGTCATTGACACACCTCGCCAGTTTTCTGAGCGGCATCGAACACCACGCCCGAGTGCGAGATCCTGGGCCCAGCGGAGGAAGGGGTGTCAGTCGCTCGGCCTCGCGGTCACAGAGTCGAGCGGGCCAGAGGTGCCCGGCGACCGCATACGATGGTGTCTTTGACGAGGAGGAACTGGATGATATCGACGACGACGCTTCGTCGAGCGTGTCGGGCCTGGCGTCCGCAATCAGCTCGGCGGCTCGTCGGAGGGCTGGGTCGAGGGCGAGCTCGGTAGCCGCAGCGAGTCGGAGGAGCTCCATCAATCTCTCGAGCGAGAGTGGGAGTCCACATCCGTTCCTCCACCCTCTCGTTCGGGATAACACAACGGGAGGGCCTTCTCCCTCGGTCAAGAGCCCATCGAGCTCGAATGACGGCAGTTCCGGGTGGGGCAGAAGGCGCGACTTCGCTGACGACGACGACGACGGCTCGGGCTGGGGTGACAAAACGGCCACTCCTGTACCTCGTGATCTCGCCACCATTCGGACCTTTGTCCCGCCCATGACCCCTCGCGTACTTTCGACCGAGATGGACGAGGAGCCTTTTCTCGACACGGCCCCCAATTCACCACATTCCACAACCAAGCGCGTCCACTCGTTTTCTGCGCTTGGGGAAGCCGCCGACCCATCGGTCGTCTCGGACGCCGACCTGAGCAGCGTCGATGTCTTCGAAGAAGGGGAACGAGTTGGAGTGGACATTTGGCTCGAAGGTCGCGGCGGCTGGGTCCGGGACTGCTTCGGTTCCAACTCGGAAGGCGGACCAGGAAATGGGATAGGAGGCCCGAAGGAGCTCGAGATAGAGCGGCGGCTGGGGGAGGGAACGTACGCCATGTAGGTTGAAGCTCGGGACTCGATCTACTCATTTCAACGTCGTGTCGAGCTCACCTGGTTTGCTTGATTCTTCTCGCAGTGTCTATCTCGTTCGGGAAATTTTGTACGACCCCGTGGCCGACGACGGAGACGACATCCTCTCGCCCATCGATCCCATGACGTCGTTCCAATTCGACTCGATTGGCTCGACCGTGCAGAGTGGCAGCACGCGCCCACGGGTACAATCGTGGGCCTCGGACCCGTTCGCCGCGCCATCTCAGCCGACTTATGGAAAGCATTTTGCGCTCAAGTGTCTGTGCAAAAAAGATCTGACAGACGACTTGATCGAGGTTCAGCGAGGCGAAGCGATCTTACATCGCGCTCTACCTGAACACGAGTACATCGTACGACTTTACGGGGTGAGTACCTGTTGATCCACTTTCCCATCGATGCAGACCTTCTCATACACTGACCTCGCACATCGTCCTCCGTATACAGGCCTACGAGACCGACGACTGGCTGTTCCTCGTGCTCGAGTACTGCCCCGGTCGGGACCTGTTCTATTGGTTGCTCGAGTCGCAGAACGACGATGAGATACCCGAGTCGCTGAGGGCGTCACCACGGCGACGCGACCGCTTGCTCGACGAAGACGACCTGGAAGGTGCGCTGTCGCGAACGATCACGGCCAGCAACGCGCTCGACATCATCGATGCCACTCCACCCTCGCCCTCTCTCTTGTCTTCGATGACCAACTCCCACACGACCTCGCGCAAGCGATTGAGGCTCATCTCGCGTATGTTCGCGCAGATGTGCCAGGCGGTCCAAGCCTGCCACGATGTCGGGATCGCCCATCGGGACATCAAGCCCGAGAACTTTATCGTCATGGACGGTCGCAATGGCGGTGAAGGTTTGACTGGCTCCCGCGTTGTTGTCAAGATAACCGATTGGGGCCTGGGCACGCGCGAAGCAGAATGTGAAGACTTCGATTGCGGCTCCAAACCCTACATGGCCTATGGTAAGTACTCGGCCAGTCTACCGGTGTGTCTGGATCAGGGGTGTTGACCTTGTCCGAATCGTTAAAGAATGCCGCAACAACCTGGCCCCGACGTACGACCCGCGTCAGGCCGACGTGTGGTCTCTCGGCCTCGTGCTCCTCAATTTGCTCTATCATCGCAACCCATGGGCCGATCCCTCACTTGACGACCCCGATTTTGCCGAATACGTGCAGGATGGTCGCTTCTTCCTGCAAAACCGATTCGAGGGCATGAGCGACGAGGTGGCGACGTTCTTGACCGATCGTGTCTTCTGCGACGTCTTGGACGGGGAGCCAAACGGGGAGCAGCGTCGCCGCGTTTCGGCGGGCGAATTCGGACGGTGGGCCAGTCGACTAGTCATCATGCTCAGTGCCGACCATAGACCGGTGGGTGGAAACCCCTTCACGGCGGAGATGGTAGCGTCGTCGAGACCTTCGGCGCCTTCCGACAACTTTTTCGAGCGCCTCATGGCCACGACGCCCAAGTCGCCGTTGGCGGGAGGTCCGCTTAGCGGCGGCGGCGGCGCAAGTCTGCTCTCGCAATTTGCGCCGCGACCGAGCAACCTCTCTTCGGGTGGACCGCCTCCTGCCGTAGCTGCCCTCACCCCTCGCCTCATGGACAAACTGCCGATTGATCTGCGAGAGGAGCTACCCAAGGTGATCGAAGAACCGGAGAAGGAGGCATCCAAAGACGAGAGAAAGCCGGTGCCTCAAGTTTGGAAACCGTCCGCACTGAGTCCCAGTGGGTTTTCGGACGACGAGTCGCTGCCCTCGCCTTCGTTCTCGCCTTTGATCGCACCGGCTAGACTCCCGCACTCCCCTTCGACGCCGCTCGTGCCCCTGTCACCTCCGTTTGCCACGACCTCTCTTCCCACTTCCTCTCAAACTGAGAAAGAAGAGGCGGCGCCGCAGCAGTTGACAACCGTGCACAAGATCGAACTTCCTCTGCTCAGTCGCCGGAAGAGCTTGACGCACGAGAACGGCTCGAACGATCTGACTCTGGTGTCCGAGGACAAGGGTAAAAGCGACAGTGAAAGAGGCAGCCCTTCGATCGGATTGACCGAGAAGCCAAAACGGCGCAAACGCGGCGCGAGGAAGAGCAAGGCGACCCGCCTGGCCGGCGACATATCACCGCCGATGGAATCGATCCACACGCCAGGGTCCCCGACGGGCCGGCTTGCCGCACATGAGCACCAGGATCGGGTTCTACAAGACCTCGCTTCGGCGTCGCAAAACCTGGCCCGCGAGCTCAGCAAAACGCCCCGCTCCCATTCGACCCACGACCATCGATCGTTGCGGCATAGCTCGAGCTACCAGACTTCGTCGTCGGCTGCTTCCGTCCGATCCTCCTCCGCGGCGGTCGACATTGTTGATCAGGTCGCGAAAAAGCCGGTCAAGTCCGGCGGTGTGTTTGGCCGCTTCAAGACGCTCGTCACAGAGGGCAATCCCGACCTCCTGGCCTTCAAGCAGCGAGCCGCAGAGCGCGACGCGTCGATCGGAGCCAAAGCCGACACGTACAGTGCCCCGGCTAAGATGCAAGGTGCGCCACGTCGACACGAGACAACCCTGTCGAGTCGCGGGTCGGTCGGGACGCAATCTTGGAGCTCGACTCGATCGATCGAGGGGGACGACACGGTACGGGGTCGCGTTGGTGCCGCGGGCGAAACGGCCGGGCCGGTGCACTGGTCATCGACCTCGAGTCGTCGGGAGCGTCTGGACAAGCAGCGCCGTCGTACCGGCGAAGGCGATCTTTCCCCATCGAGTTCGTCGCGCAACGGCACTGCGACGTCGCTGTCTTCTGCCGCCTTCGACTCGCGCAGTAACACTCCGCTGTCCAGTTTCTCCAGCGTCAACAGTGACACCTTCTCGTCGATGCATGCGCACCAAGCGATGCAACCCGTGGCGACTGTGCGAGACTGGCGCACCGCCAGCCCGCGCGCGACGTCCCGAGAACGACCGGCATACACCACGCGATCCCGAGCACCCACGCTCGAATCGGTGCGCAAGAGCAACAAAGACAGCTCCCACTCGCCCCCAAGGTTGATCTCCGACCCCAAACCAAAGCTGGTCGATGCTGCGACCGACACTTCAGACCTCGTGTCGCCGGTGTTGCCCGCTTCGCCCACGCTCTCTTCGACCTCGACCAGGACCCTCGCTCCACCACCAACCCCACTCGCTGCACTTCCAATACCGATCAGCAAAGGCAAGCCCAATTTGTCCGATCCGATCACTCGGCCTTGGTCTGCAAACGCGATCACCGGGCGGAGCAACGCGACCTCGAGTCCGAGCTTTGTAGACGATCTCACCTCAGCTCTCCCTGTGGCTGTCACAGCTCCTCCCGCGCCGCCGCCCGTCAAAGCGCCTACCAAGCTCGCCAAGATGCTCAATTCGATTTCGGTGTTCAACTCAAGGCCCGCGTCCGCAGGGGCCTGAAACCTCTTTTGTCCTTCGTTTTACATCGTTCATTCCCCATTGGTGTACGTGTGCGTATGTGTTCTGTAGACCATCGCGGACGCCATCTGTGGACTTCTTGAGGAAGACGCTGTTCTCTGTTCTTTCTCTTTTCCCTGTCTTGCCAGCCCACTCTCATATTTGTTTGTACTTGTTTCTCCTTTCACCCAATATAGCTCGCACCAGTGGACGCTCAATCTTATCCATCGCAATATACCGAAATGCAAAATTTGATCCTCCTACGCACAACGAAAAGCTCTTGCCAAAAAAAGGAATCGAGGACGAAGTTGTGATGACCACGACCGGAGCTCGCCCCCGAAAGCAAAGCTGTGAAAAACAAACTTTCTTGTGGAATCAAGATGAATCGCCTCGGAAGCGCTCGCAGCCTTCTTCGTTTTGACGTGGTGCTACTTGTCCAACGATGTGTTTGGCCATGATGACATTTCGTGAGCATAGGTACCGTCCGCGATTGATCTCGATCCAGTAAGGTTGCATTTTCGCGACGATTGAGGAATCTGGCCCGTGCTAAGGAGAGACGGCCACGCTCGGCAAGTTGCTTAGCATGAAAATGCTCCAACGTCAATCAGACTGCGTTGAGGTAAGGTCGTTGCATGTAGTAGACCACCGTTAACGTCTGAAAGATGGCCTCTGAGGTGTGAGAGAAGCGAACCGTCGCGCGCCCGCACTACGCTCCTTTCGTGGTATGTCTTCTTTGATGGATATGCTCCCGACCTGAACCACGGTGCGAATATGGTCCAGCCTATGCCGGGGCCCAGGGTCGAGCTCGTGACCCAGACGGGAAACCTTTCTGCTTAAAAGTCCTTCTTGTCCTCCTTCTGGTCATCATCCGCTCGGAAACCGGTGCCAGAGGCGAGTCGAACGTGATGGGGACTCAGAGCTTGAATAGGCTGTAGAGCACCTTCAATGCTGTGCAGGTATCGTTCGCGCTGTTGCAGTAGACCATGATCTTTGGGGTGGGGCTCGGGTCAGGACGCCTATCAAAGACCCTGAGGTCCATCATCTTGTGCCTGTTTTTTAATGGAACCACGGGGCTGACGAAGTTCGCGTACACGCGCGACCCTCGCTCGTGCGGATAACATAGTCCGTGTCCAGTACGCGTTTCTTATGAAACCCTTCTGCAAAACTTAGGCTTTGGTACTCTGGAATCCATATGAAATGTAAAAACCTTACAGCATCAGCTCACTAGCGGTTGCCATGAATGGAGTGTTGATTAACCGTCTGCAGGTTTCATGCGCTTAGAAAATGACAATCTCAACTTCTTCTCGTGTCCACCGTGGAATCCGTATGATCCAACACCACGAGGCTAGTGCGAGTCAGACCCTGCGGAACTCAGGAGCGGATCCGTGCGAAATCCCCAGCCAAAAGGGCTGGCCGTGTAGGATGGCCCTGAAGAGATTGACCTCGGCGAAGAACGTGCGGGACCTCGCGATTTGTGCCCGCTGTGAAACGCGATGAAGCTTATGAGGTGGGGCTTCAGCGGTAAGGAGAACATTGCTCGTGGACTCGGGTGGCATGAACGTGCAAGGGCGAAATGAAACCGCGTCGCCGCGTCGCCTCGCGCTTGATGGTCGCGGACTCCCGGGACAGCCTCAATCGGGCTAATGACGTGATCTCGCCGTTGCTAGCTCCTGACGGAATGGTGGGGCCGGTGGGCTGCTCTCCTAGGGACCGAGGGTGCTGCTGTGATGTAGCTTTGTGCTTTCTATGTAGTTGAACCCCTTGCATCAGGTCGGTCCATAGAGCTGTGACCTCTGATATGCTACACCAAGACAAAAGTGAGGAGAATTCATCCTGCACTCAGGTCTCAGGAGTTTGGCTTGGGTGATGATCAAGAGGAGGTGAAAGCCAGTGTCAGCCGCGTGGTTGCATTTGCGCAACCTCTTCCTTCCTGCTAGTGCATTGCGAAGCATCTTCATCTACGAGAATCTGCCAGCTCACCATGCTTACGCCCAGTACAGCCCGCTCAAGCGCGTTAGGAGCTCGCCTTCGACAGTCTCGACTTGCGAAGGTGGGCGCTGGTCGGCCATGGGAAGCTCAGTGCTGAGCAAGTGGAATTCTCTCAGTCTACTCCTCGCTACCTCAGTACCTTCAATTCAATACCCTGCGTTATCCCCTGCACAACCAACAAGGTTGCTACGGCTCAACTCCAAAGGGTAGCTGCTACCGTGCAATGACGAGTGAGCCGGTCAATGCTGAACGAGGTGCTTGGCGCTCGCCGATCTACTGGCTCGTGTTTGTCCTGCCTGTTTGCGTGTTCGGCTTCAAGATGGCCAAATATCGTACACCTCCTACGTCAGCAATGCAAGGGATGAGGGAGTAGCCCGCACCCAAGACGATCGCATACAAGGACGCTGCCGATCTGGCTCATCACTTCTAAAGGTCGTACTTCGCCTCTCGTGACCGCAAGCAGGCAGCGTGAGAGATGTTCCGGGGCAACGAGAAGATTGGCAAGGGAAAAGAGTCAAAACGAAGGAAGCAGTGCTTTGGATCGGGTAGATGTAGCGCGGACTGCAACGCAAGTGAACTTGAATGTGGGGCTCCATTCCGACTCGTCAAACGTGGAGAGTCGCCTGGTCTCGCGATGTGAAGGTCATCGAGTAGCAAGGAGCAGACATCTGTTGGGTTTAGTAGCATCAGCAGCGCATCTCCTCTAATTTTTGCGGTGTCTTCGTAGTAGTATCAGCCAGTCACGACCCGGCCAAATAAACACTGCAATCGACCTACTAGACGAGTTGTTGTACAACGATCAATTCGATCTGCCATCAAAGGGCGAAATCAATATTAGCTCCTTCGATTGAATTTTCCAATCGCCTCCCATTGAACCTGGTCGCGCCACAGATTCCGATCGTGGACTCAGTCATGGACCGCGCCAGACCGCGCCGGCACTGCGCCGGCGCTCCGCCTAACGTCCCCTGTCAGCTCGGAGCCGGCGAGCGGGTGGTCCTTCCGCCTCCGCGTCACGACCCTCGCGTCCCCCTGACACTGGTAGCAATTCTAGAGATGGCTAGTCACTGATCCCAACCACCGCGCGATCGACCCCACAGCACTGACAGTTGCAGCCCACGTGTGCTCTTTATCGTTGCTTCGCAGCCCAAGGCACGATCCAAGTCGTTGTCATGCCTGTTCGCCATCAACAAGCCCTCGGGCCAAGTCTCGATGCAAGTGAGTCAGTTTCTACACCTCTTCTCCCGCGTACACGCGCTGACAAGGCTGTCTTGGCTATTGCTGTAGCTGTTGAACCAGCTTCAACCGCTGTTCGCAAGCTCGTCGCTCTTCAAGCCCGGTCCGGCCTCGGCACCGCATCCTAATGACAAGACCAAGCGACGCAAGTGGAAGCAAGAGAGGGTCAAGATGGGTCAGGGAGGAACACTCGACCCCCTTGCCGATGGTGTACTCGGTAAAGCGACATCGAATCGAGCCCCGTCAGGCCCCTTGCGATCGACTGATTCTGTATTTTCAATCCGTCTCGACAGTGATCGGTGTCAACGATGCGACCAAACAGCTGTCCAAGTTCTTGGACTGTACCAAAGAGTACCGCGCCATCGGTTTGCTCGGCTGCTCGACCGACAGCTACGACTCCGACGGCAAGCGGGTCAAGCTCGCTTCCTTCGATGGCATCACTCGCGACAAGATCGAGGGCGTGTTGGGCAAATTCCGAGGCGAGATTGAGCAGATTCCACCGATGCAAGTTTCAAAAGTTTTAACATGAGGCCCATCAACCGAAAGTCTTTCTCTCGAGGCTGACGAGCGCTCGTGACAAGTCGATCGCAGATTCTCGGCACTCAAGATGGACGGCAAGCCGCTGTACGAGTATGCTCGCACCAACACTCCTTTACCTAGACCGATAACCTCGAGAAAGACGACGATTCACGCCTTACAGCTGCTCAACTTTACACCCGGTGATCAGCATTCGTACGAGTACCCCGCCGAGGAGCTGGACGAGCAAGCCAAGCTCGAACTCGGTCGACTGGAGAAGATGGTGTCGGAAGGGTCGACGATCGTACCCTCTGAGCCAGCAGAACCGGCCACTGCTAATCCATCTCAGCCGGAGTCCGGCTCTGCTTCACCCAGTACGTCTTGGATGAAAGAATAGGATCAACGAAGGCTGCTTGAGAGCTTGAGCTCACATCGCTTCTTTCTCCAACCTTCCGGTGCCTTGCAGCTCGACCACCAACCTTTGAGATTTCGCTGACCGTCTCTTCGGGAACTTACGTTCGATCCATCATCCACGACATCGCGATCGCATTGGGGTCAAGAGCGCATGTTGTCAAACTGACTCGCACACGTCAAGGCCAATTCGTCCTCGACGACCCATCTCCGGCCGGCCCTCCTGCTTCGTCGGAAACGGCAGAAGGTGAGACAAAGGTAGTCGCGGAAGGAACCACGATTGGATGCGTTCGGTGGGAAACGTTGGAAGCGGCCATCAAAGCCTTTGATGCGGACAAGAAGGCGGGAAGAAAGCCAGCCCCCGCTTCAGAGGATGCAGATTATGCAGAGTGGGAGAAGGAGCTCCTGAGCAAATGCAAAGAGTAGCTTGCCGCTCGCCTGTCGGATGTCGCTGTTTGAATAATGAGAAGGACTGCGTGTATCTGGATTGGCACTGCAAGACTGCAACGAACACTATATCATGTGGTGGGGTCAGATTATAAAGCTACAGTGATAAAATATGAAAGAGAGAGTTTGGGGTAGTGCTATAATATGAAAGAGAGAGCTTGGGACGCATGTGCAGAAGGGAAGCATGTGGATGGTTGCTTAGACCACCTTGACGCGAACAACACTTCCGCCCTCGGCTGCGGCCTTGCCACTGAAGGCCGAGCAAGCTTCCTTCATCAAGTAAAGTCTACCCAGACGAGGCATGAGAGAGTTGGCCTCCACGATGGGCCTCAGTCGATCGAGCACATCACGCGTTGAATCGCGCTCGTCGAGCTCGAGCGAGGCAAACCAATAGTTGATGTGTTTCTTGTTCTTCTTGAAGATGTTGCGACGGAACGAGCGGACCGATTCTTTAAACTGCGTCGACGAAGTGGGTGCGACAGCGGATGATTCACCGACGGTCGTCACAAACGAGCCCGAGTTGAGAAGCACGCGACGAGCCGCTTCGTAGACTGTGAAGAGGAAGTAAAAGTCGCTCAGATATGATCAGCGACTTGAATCGGCCAGTGCTATCCTTCAGAAGACTCACTTTTGCTCCCACCGATCGTATCAATAACAACATCAAACTCGTTCTCGTGCAAGCGATTGATCGCCGCAAGGGGATCGTCGAGGAGCACATCCGAGGCTCCGCTTTCTCGACAAAACACCTGGTCCTCGCGTCGTTCGGGCGGGCATTGTGCGACCAAGTACAGGTCGCGGGCGGGACGAAGGTGTCGGGCAAGTTGGAGGCAGAGATTACCAACCCCGATGTGAGCGCCGAGGACGAGGATCTTGGCGCCAGCTGGAACAGTGGAGCAAAGCACCTCCATCACCTGGAGCGACGCTGCACCCGCTATCGGGAGGGTTGCGATTTGCTCGACGGTCAGATCGCACGACGGAGCCGGTGTCACGAGACTCTTGTGAATCGTGATCAAGTCGGCCAACGCGCCAGACTGTCAAACAAAGGCCAGAGGCGCAGTGAGTGACGGCGTTGAGCAACGGTAACAGCAAACATTGCAATCTCACCTTCTTGAGGGGTTGCACGCCCCACACAAGTTCGCCTTGCTTGACCTTGTTGACCTCCAAGCCGGTGTCAACGACCTTGCCGTAAAAGCCACGCCCCGGGATCCAGCCGAAGCCCTCCTGTTGACTCGCCGCTTTCTTGGCGCGGTCCACGTCGACGCGCTCGATCGGGACGGCAAAGACTTCGACGAGAACTTCGTCGGACTTGACCTTCTTGGGGAGCGGTTGCATGGACGAGACGGTTAGATCGCGCAGCGGGTCGAACTTTTTCGGGGAAGCGGTCGAAGCGAGGGGAGGTGCCGCCTTTTTGAACAGTGACCACCCGCTGCCGCCCGATGCAAAGGTCTTGGGCTGCGCACCTAAGGCCGCAATGGCCGAAACCGAGACGGCGGTCATGAGCGAGGTTGTCTGTTGAGTTGCCGTAAAGTCAATAGGGTCCGCGACGAGCGACTCGCGATTTCGCGCCGCGATGATCTCGTGGCGAGGATTCTTGGGAGGGCGCGAGTGTGCGCCGGCGACTGGCATGCTCATGGCGGAGACGCCAGAGATGGATCGAGCATCGCCTTCGTCATCGGAGCCAGCGTCCGAATAGCTCGAGACGGCCTGGGGCACGTCTCGCGAGCTTTCCGACGACAACTCCAGCAGGAACGGGAAAGGAAGGGGTGTGAATTCCATCTGCGCGCTGTTGTCTGAGTTGCGCCTTGTCAACGACATTATACGCCTAGGGGCGGTTTCGAATCTGGACGCGTCGGAATCACTAGCAGGGGCCGATTGCGACAGTGACACCGTTCGACCGAGACTCGTGCGCTCGGCGCGAGAGGCAGACTCAGCCTCCGGGGGCGAAGTCGAGCGCGACCTAGAAGCTGACGACTCCAGCGTCGGGGCAGTCGACGCGGCAACCTCGTGCATAGAGGTAGGACGAGGTGGCTGACGCGCAGAAGCATCATAGTAGATCGGGCTCGGTAAAAATAGGCTGTCGGGTCTCGGAGCTAGCACGTGGTGGGGCAGAATCGCGGGCGGACCTGGTGTTGGCGCCACGGCGGCTGTTCGTGGCTTGGGGTTTCTCGGCTTGCCGGCGCTCCGCTCCTTGACCCCGGTGGGGAAAGCTCCTCGGGAAGGCAAGCTGGGCGAGCTGGGCGAGTGTGCGTGCCTTGATGCTGATATCGGTAAAGCTGCAAGGGCAAGAGAAGAGGCCGGAAGGGCGGGCATGGGTTTCTCGTCCTCGCGCTCCTCGGGCATTGGTTCCATGATTGACTTTGGCCGTCGAAGGTTCCCCGCACTCGCTGGTCGACGCATGTCCTGGCTCGTGGTCGCTCGACTCTGTTGCTGCTGCTCATAGTGGTGCTTGACCGTCCAGTGCGGTTCCGGCGTCTTGCCCTTGAGCTTGGGGGACTCGACGAGCGGGGTGATGGGTTCGCCGAGCGCCTTGATGCGCTTCATCCATTGCGGTTGGTCTTGGGCAGCCGTCGTCGTCGTTGTCGTCGACGCCTTCGGGTCCTCGATCGAATCAATGGATGCGGATCGAGTGGATCGTTTTGAACGGGGACTGTCGGACCCGACCGAGGGGTCACTCGTCACCGGCCTGGACACGGACTCGGACGACGACTTGCGACTTGCCGTCGAAGACCGGCGCGAGACTTCACCCTCGGTCTTTCGCGGGGATTGCGAATCATATCCCGAAAGGTCAATGTCGCCTTGCACTCTGTCCGCAAGCTGGTCCGATGCGGTGCGAGTCAGCTGGATGCGGGGAACTTCGACGGGTGTGGTCGGCGTCGTGGGTGTAGCCTCGTTGAGGGCAATCTCATGCGCGTCAGAGTCGTCGGCCAAGGAACAGTCGGTGACGATGCGCGGTATGTCACCCGGCCCGGCTTTCTTTTTCTTGGCCGAGGGGGGGATATCATCGGCGTAGGTCGACACCGTTTCGGTTTCCGGTGTCAGAGGTTCCGAACTGGCAGCTGTGGTCGTTGTCGAAAGCGAAGGCGTCCTCGAGTCCTGTCGATGCAGCACCCGCAGCCTTGTCGTCAGCTAAAGTCGCCCAGACCGAGAAAGCCACGGTGTTACACTTACATCGGAAGCAGTTTCATCGAATGTGGCCAACGACGTGCCGTCCTTTGACGGCTTTGCCTCGGTTTCCACTTTACGCCCGTGCTCGATCTGCTGTTCCTCGAGCACCTTGATGAGTGCCGTCGTTTCCTTCGCCGCCGCCGCAGTGGCCTTTTGCTTGACAGCCTCGGCCGTCGTCGGTTCCTCCTCCAGCTCGACGACGCTGTCCAAGGGCAACCCGGCTCGCTTGACGGCCTCCTCGATGAGCGTGTTGCCCTGGGTGCGCTTCTTGCGCTTCTCCTTCTTCAGCGCATCTTTGCTCATGGAGGGCGGCGGGAGGAGGAGGTCAGGCGAGCCCAGCATGGGCGAACTGGTAGGATACACTGGGGTGAGGGCTCCACGACTCGAGCCGGTGGAAGAAGTCGTCGAATAAAGCGAAGGGGTGCGATCGGTACCGGTCAGGGAAGGGTCGTACGATGACGAGGGCGTCGAAGTTGTTTTCTTGTTCCTTTGCGAGGAAGGTTTCTTAGTCGTGTATTCGGTCGTCGTCACAACCTGATAGCCACTCGTTGTGATCGTTGTCGTTCCCGATGCGCTTGAATACTTGCGCGAGGTTTTCAAGGTCGAAGGATCGGGGCCAGACATCGATCGGGATCGCGAAGGTGCCAACCCGTTGCGGTAATAGTCCGAGGCCGTCGAGGAAGCAATCGAAGCTGTGTCGCTGGCCTCGTGGCGTCTCAGCGATGGAGTATTGGCAACATCGGTGTACCTCCGGCTCGTGCGTTTCGTGACGCCCGGTACATTGAGTGCCAGCGAGCCATTGAGCTGATCGCGTGTCCACGCCGACGAGACCGAGGCCGCGCTCCGCAACGAAGAGTGGCTCTTGGCGCTGCGCAAGCTCCTCCCATCGTCCTCGTAGTTCGAATACACACTATCGGCACGAATGGAGCCTGCGTCGCTCGCTGTGGCCCCTACACGGCGCGCCACGGCGCGAGAGACGGATCGTTTCACGCCGAGCTGAGACCCAGCGTCACTCGGGTGCAGATTTGAGCCCACCCCAGCCGAGCCCTTGCGCGATCCGTACATGTCCCAGCTCCACTGCTGCCCTTGTGCGCCCGTGTGCGCGTCGTCCCCATTGACGGACGAGGCGTGCGAGTAGGACGAACGGCTTGAGCCCCCCGCGCCTTGTCGGAGCGAAGGAGCGCGCGACGACGATCCTGCTCCTCCTCGCGCGGTCGGGAGCGGTGGTGCCTGGTCATACGCACTCGGGCCTGCGGCTTGATACGACTGCGATGGCTTGCGTAGCAGTGTCTGAAAGAAGGAAGGCATGATGGGTTGATTCCGACCTCGGCCCTTCGAAGACAGATAGGGGCAGCGGACGATTGTCGGTCGCCGTTGACGACCTGCCTTCGGCCCCGCGGGTAGGCGCGTAGATCGAGAGAGGCCTAGACGACGATCGAGTGCGAGAGGCCTGGGTCCTCAGCTGCGACGAGTGGACGCCGAGAGTGTCAGTGGGAGGCAAATCAAAACAGGTAACCAAAAGTAGAGCAAAGATGCTTATCGAGATCGTACCCGAGTCTAGAAGAGGTAAACTAAAGGCGCCGATCGGTCGAATGCCAACGGTCGCACGGACGCACGCGCAGACGAGAGTTTGTGCTGGGGACGGTGTCGCGTGGGTTCGAATGGAATCGCTGCAGTAACGGTCTTGTCAGCGTCGCTGTCGAAGGACCGCGGGATCTCTTGTGGCGAGTGCGAGCGAATGCTGCGATACAAGGTACAGGACTAAGGCACAACGTGGTAACGGGCGAAGAGGAGGGGGTGGAACAGAGAGGAGGGCCTCAGGGGACGGCAGGTTTGACGTGAAATGACGATTCGAGTCTGCGCCAATCGCAGGCCTGTCCGAGTTAAATGGATCGGCGCTGTCGTCGACGATGACACGCGGAACTTCTCATTTGGAAAGCTCGGGGTACCGATTCCCGAACCCCACAGATCACGGTTGCGGTAGCCCAAAGCCGACATTTGCAATTGATTAGCAACGCGGGGCCGCGAGAAAGCGATGACGTCGAAGCGCGACGGATCGATCGGCACGCCCATCCCGACTCGATCAGGGCAGCTCGAGGCTCGAGCCGACGCCGAGTAGAAGCAGGGCGAGGACCACTGATCACCGAGGAGTGCTCAGAGGGTCATTAGGCGGTCCGAAGAGTCAGCGAAGTGAGAACACCTGTGCGAAACTTAACAGGAACGTGTCAGGGGGCAGCGAATCGAATGAATGGCACGTGAAGCTCAGGCTTCCGAGCGGGGGCGACCAAATACCGTCATAACAGGCTGAAATGAAGTCAAATCAAGTTTTTATTCGTGTAGGATGCTAGTTGAGACTCGGAAATACCAATACATACATCTACACATCTACGTACGGCGATGCACACGTTTGCACCGCCGTGCAGTCTCGACGTCTTGTGAACTTATCTACGAACCATCGGAACTATATATCGCTTCGGGCGCTGGCGGGTCGGATACTCGGGTCCGATTCCCAGCGTCTGCACCCCCTTAAAAGGACAGTGCATGACAGTGCACTGCCGTGCGATCTAGTGGGGTAATCCCTGAGACTCAGACGCACAGCCATGCATACCGATGCACAAGAACGATGTAGCCGAAAATTCCGGTCACTATTTTCTCAGGCTGTGACCGTGTTCTCGCAAGCAGCTCGCTGATTTACCTCTTGTTAGTTGTGAGCTTCATTGGCCCCCAATCGAGTTCCAGCGCGTGAAAGGGTCGTCTTTTCGGTTTTTTTTCGGTTAGTCCACCAGAATTCCAAGCGTTCGATCTCCGAGATCGGAGAGCCCGCACGAAGACGTTGGTCACCGGTAGGTCGCGTCAAGCACGCGACGGCTTGAGCCGCCTATGCCGATGAAGAAATTGAAGATTCGAGCGTCCAAGGAGAGGATGTCGCGAAGCGCCAGCTCGGGCGAGCGTATGGTGTCGAGCGCTTGCTGCTGACGAGTGCTGTTCATCGCTCGTTCTGAGGGAGGGAGAAACAGCAGCGAAAACAGCAGCGAAAGCAACAGAACTTCTCACATTGGCTCCGCTCTTTTCGCACCGGGCCTGACTAATTACAATTGCCCTCGGGTGTATTTTGCATCATGAAGGTAAGTTTATTGGTACAGCCGCTATTACTTGCTCCTCTTGTCAAATAGGCCACCTGATCAACTCATCTCGACCTCGGGTACTTCGGACGCGACGGGTGCCGCAGTTGCAGACGTAGCCTTTCAAGCGAGGGTGAAGCGAGGTTAGCAAAAATAGGAGACATCCCGAGTGCCCACTTCGGAACCACGAACTGACCTGGCCAGAGGGCTCGGAGTCGGCTTGCTTGAGGTACGAGTCCAATTCTCGGTCGAGGTCGTCGGCGGTCTTGGGCTCTTTCCTCGGTGGTCGCGACCCTCCGCTGCCCGACCCTCCACCTCGACCACCTCTTGTTACGCCGACAGCTCGTACGCCACGGGATGACCCGTTGGATGCTCTGTCGTCCCTATGCGACGAGGAATGTACCCCTGAGCCGCGTGCGTACCGGCCCGATGGTGGGTCGCTACGAGCTGCGGGAGGAGCATAGCGCTCCATGTCACCCTTGGATCGCCTCCCTTTGTCACTGGGGGTAGGTGACGAGTGCAAGTCAAAAATATTTTGCAGTTCGATCAGCTCGGTGGTTCGCCACAGGAGCATGCACTGCGACAGTGACTCACTCGTCAATGCGAGCCAGCAATGTGCCCGGTGCGGCCTGACCACGCGTGTAGGTGTTGTCGAGAAAGTAGTCATATTCAAGGCGAATCTTTTCACCTGGGAAGACGCAAAATTTTCAAGGTTGAGAATCTTTGTCCTGTCCAGCGCAGACTAGCGTGGTGGACGGACCTTTGCAGGGCGCGCCTTGGAACGCGTGCATGGCTTCCTCGGCGTTTCTCTCGTCCGAGTATGTAACAAAAGCCCTTCCGGTCGATCGACCTGAAGCGTCAAACTGCAACAGCACCGGGTGGCGGGGTTGTAAGCGACGAGTCTGGTGGGCTGAATGGGTCCCGTGGACTGCGTCGACGCGTCGAGCCACGCCTATACGACGGTGCGATCATAGACGTACGATAATCTTGGGTCCTATCGAGATGGGTCCGATCTGACCAAAGAGCGCCTGCGATTGCGGGGCAACACGTTGATATGGGCGGGTCAGCACTGCACAAGCTCCCATCTGTCCGGGACTCAAGACGTGAGGGGAGCTCTTGATCGCCTCGATCGGCTCCACGGGAGAAGGGGGGACGACGCCTACCTTGAGCTCGTCCTCGGAAATGTCGTAGTGGACGTTGGTGATCTTGAGCCTAGCCGAAGGTACGCCGTAACCTTGCGCCCTGCGCCCGCCCGCAAAGGAGTCGACGTTGGTGTGAGCGGTCGGGGCCGACTTTCGTTCGTACATGTCGTGCGACCACGCCTCGTCGTCCCTCGGTCTCTGCATAGGTTGAGCTTGAGCATATCAGTGGATTGATAGCGCGAAGAGGGGAGAGGGGGAAGAAGTACTGACCGCATAGGGGCTGTGACGAGTGCCCGGAGCGGTGTCGGATCTCCTGGGTCGACTATTGCCGTTGGTGTCGGTGCGCCCACCTTGAGCCTGCTCTTTGACACCTTCGAGCGTACGCGATAAAAGCGACGACATGGTCCGAAATTGTATGGGGCGAGAGGGTGGGAAAGGCGGCGGAAGGGGGTGAGAAGCAGGAAAGAAAGGGGGTGGCGACTCGTCTGTATGCTACTTAGTTCGTGCCTTGGGCTAAGCCAGCGGCAGGGCAATTAGCCGTTTCTTGCACCAAGCCTGAATACATTCCACCTCGCTAGACTAGTCTAGGCTTTTTGCCGCTTGGACGTCGATAGAGACACTCTTCTGCCGCCCAACTTGAACTTCTCATGGCGAGGATGTAGCACCGCATGAGACTGCATCATTGCATGGGCGGCCGGGTCGGCGACCGTCGGCCACTTTCACTCCGAGCGCGCCGCAAGGCTGAGCCTGGCCTCCGCCAGCAGTCTCGACCCAGGCGCTGCCCGGCTTGAATCCAGCCCCACATTGCTGCAGTTCACATTGTCTGCTTTCCACGTCACCTTGCCTCCTCCCCCGGATTGTCACATTTGCGCTGGTCTCACTCAACGAGGCGCGCCATCAACGACAGCTACAGTCACGAGCTCGGACATCTCGCCAGCAGCTCTCCCCCGTTAGCCCCCGTTCGCCAGGCCACGTCGCTCGTCACGCCGTCGTCTGAGCCGCTCGTTCCGTCATCCGTCATCGCGTCATCACCGACCTCCTGCGCGACCCACCGCTGCTCGACGTGCACCGAACGACCGTGGTGGAACCCAGATACGGGCATGCCACCAGACACGATGAGTAGGTCCCACCTGAGCAGCGTCTTGGCCCCACCACATCAACCCTGATCGCTCCATTTATCCCACTCCCCACCGTTCCCGTTCCAGACGGAACACAGCAGCCCCCGCCACCGGAGCACGACCTCGTTCGTCTCGCCACCGACCTGTCCGAAATGGCGAGCAGCAGTGGCATGTTGGGCCCGCTGCAGTTCAACCTCGACACCCTTCAAGACGACCACGGCCAGCCTTTCCTCGTGCGTCTACTCCTTACCGATCTCTCGGAAGAGCTCTCCGAACGACTGCTCCAGATCCAGCGCAACCACGCTGACAGCTCGCTTGCGAACGGCCATGACAGACTTCCAAATCCAATCAACAAGGGACTTCGCACAGGCAAGTCGAGCACCGTCATAATTCGAGCAAAGGACTCGCTCCGGGAATCAAGGGCGGAGCCCCCCCCCTCCCCACACGGCCCAATGCCACCCGACCGGGCTGGGTCAGGCGACGAGACAGCAGAGACGAGAGCTTACCATCGGCTCCGTCCTCATTCAATCTGCAGATCCCCATGGACGAACCACTATGCCCCTCCGACCACGAGCAGCAGCATCAGCGCGGCTCTTTCCGGTCGAACTAGGGCCCTCGAGGTGGCATTGAACCAAAGCGTGTCCGAACTCCGAGATCGGTCAGTGCAACCAGCCGGGGACGAGCCTTAGCATGGGGTTGGTAAAGCGTACTCACTGACACGAAGATCCACCACGATAATGAAATAAAAAGACTGTGGCCAGGTGGTGTCTCGTCCGTCTATCTCCGCGAAGCCGAGGCCGCCCAACCTACCCATGGTGTCGCCCTTGTCAAAAAAGGTCCGTTCTGGCCACCTTAGATTTGCTTGATCCGTTGCAACCCTAATGAGTTGATCTTTCGTAGCGGTTCGTTTGGGAGGTCATGTTACGGCGTTCGATTCTAGTGAGTCAAACACCCTTTACATGTCTCCGGTCCGTCAGGGTCGAATCGACGGCTGAGGCCGGCTCCTCATGCGCGCCACAGTTCACGAGTTCTCTATCTCGCATCTTCCCCACGCTCCCTCCGCATGGTATACGCTCGACTCGACCATCGAGGTCCACAAGGACAAAGTCGGTGGATCGACGTCCAACTCGAGTCGATCCGAATTGCCCGTCGAAGGACCCTCGACTTCGTCGCAGCACTCGTCCCACGCCCGCAACGTGACGCAATTGATTGAGCAGCAGGAGAAGCAACTGCGCGAAACCTTGCAGGATATTCACCGCTCCAGTGAGTCTGTTTCGATTCTTCGTGGTGCAAAGTGTCTGAGCTGACCGAGACCCGGTCTCTGATCCAGTCGCAGCTCCACAAGCTTCGACCACCGCCGATGACGATTACCAGAGGCATGCGTACCCGCCGGCTCCGAACGACGCAGGAGACGACTACGGCGACTCGGGATCGCGACAACTGCTCGACGAGTTCGGGATCGACGAAACCATGCCCCCGACGTCGGGTCGTGTCGCGGCGCAGAACGGACCCTTCACGCTGTGGTTGCGGCGCTTCCTGCAACTTCCGCTGAGGATTTTGGCGATCCCCATCGGGTTACTCGGTATCGCCTTTGGTATCGTCGCTAGGTTGTTGCGCATCCGGCCGGGTCAAACGTCGTTGGGGCCTCGAAATCCGTTCGCGAGGGACGCTCGTAGTCTGCAGCGGATGGACCCCGTCGGTTCAGCCGAACGTTTCGTGCGCTCGATAGAGGAAATGACGGGGGCGGTGCGGTGGTCCAGACGGCTGGGGGATGCCCAAGGATCGAGCTCGTCCGTCGTCGGCACGAGTTCGGGAGGTTCGTCGAGTCTCGAGCGACGACGGTCGGGTTCCAACTCGAGCGCGAGAAAGGCGCTGCCAGATTTCTGGATCGGGTCGTACGAGTCGGTCCTGAAAAAGGCCAAAGACGACTTCCAGGTCTTGATGGTCGTCCTGACCTGCGATGAACATGAGGACGACGAGCTGTTCAAACGACGGGTCCTCACCGATCCCGAATTGCTCAACGCGTTGGCGAGGGAAAAGATCCTCGTCTGGGGTGGGGACGTACGAGACGTCGATGCGTACCAAGCGTCCAAGGCGCTGCAGTTCTTCCGCTTGCCCTTTGTCGCTTTCGTCGCCTTGCAACCGCAATCGTCGAATCCGACCCTACCGGGCAGCGCGTCCATCTCGTCCCCCAAGCTCTCGGTCGTGACCCGGCTCGAAGGATCCCCCAGTTCGACCCTCTCGGCCTCGAGTCTGCTTGCGCACCTTACGAACGTCGTTCTGCCGCGCGTCAATCCCTTTATGGCTCGTTTGAAGGCACAACATGCGACCCGCTTGGAGGAACGCCGTCTGCGCCAGAAGCAGGACCGCGCCTTCGCCATGTCGGCCCAGAAGGACGAGGAACGCGTGCTGCGCAAGCGCGCCGAGGAGAGTCAGCGACAACGCGACGTTGAGGAGCGCAAGCGCAAAGAGGAAGCGGCTTTGCGAATTCGTGAGGGGTCGAAAAAGTGGAGGGCGTGGAAGAGGGGTCAGTTGCAGGTTGAGGGCGAGCGAGAGGGGGTGAGGATCGGGGTACGATTGGGAGACGGAAGGAGAGTCGTGCGTTCTTTCGCCAAGGAGGCCAAAGTCGAAGATGTGTACGCGTACGTCGAATGCTCGTTCGAGACCGACGACGGAGAGCGTCGCGAGGCGCCTCCCGAGGATTACGAGCACATTTACGAGTTCCAACTCGCCGCGCCGTTCCCGCGCTACGTGCTCGAGGTTGACGGGGACGCCGGCCAGAGGACTCTGGAGCAGATCCCTTGGTTGGAGAAGAACGCCAGTCTGATCGTCGAAGGGCTAGAGCAGAGGAGGATCTCACTGGGTAAGAGTGAGGCCAGTGATGACGAGGAGATAGAAGAGGACGATAATTAGTTCTACGCCATGACAATCGTGCAATGCCATCATCTCGCTCTTCCGTACCCGACTCTCACTCGAGGATCACAACAGCTACTCTCACACTATTGTGGTATGACATCATAACCGGAATGCCTAAGCAAAGGGTCCGAGAGCTCCTCTCCAAAAACAAGAATTGACTCTTTATTGATACCAAATACATAAGTCCCCCAAAGTCCAAAGGCATGAGAAAGCTATAAGACGAGAACGAGAGCAAAAAGAACGAAGGAACGACGATTCGGAAGAAAATTCCCGGTGCGATGCGATGAGTGCAGTTTTTTGGGGTCGAGCCTCGTTTACGAAATGTAATTCCATACCATGCTGATGACGCCGTCGGACAGGGAATGCCCCAGCGCCTTGAAGGCCGCCACGGACAGGTCGAGGTCTTGCGCGTCGAGGCAGGTCGGGCAGCTGTCGGCCACGACAGCGTCGACGCACTTGGAGGTGTCCGTGGCGCAGATGCGCACCTCTCGACCGCAGTTCTGGCCCGCGCCGTACATCTTCGTGGTCAAGGCGACGAGAGGCGACGAGTCCAAGTTGACCTGGCCGCAGTTGCCGGCGATGCCCTTTTGCTCAAAGTAGGTCGCCGTGCCGTTGTAGGCAGCGGTGAAGTTGCCCTTGGTCGTGGACGTTGCCGCCGCAACATCGGCGGCGTTGTCCGTGGTGGTCGCTGAGCTCGAGCTCGTCGAGGCAGACGACGAAGAGGCGGTGGCAGCGTTTTTGCCGTTGTTGAAGATGTAATCCGTCGAGCGGTTTCCGGTAAAGTGCCACTTGACGTTCATGACGACGTCGTTCTTCGAAGCCGGGGTCGTGCCAAACAGCTCGGGGAAAGCACCAATGACGACGTCGACCGAGTTAGGGGTCTTGACCCACTTGTCGTCGAAAGCGTCAATCACATAGAGGGTCGTATTGCGACCGTCGGGGGTATAGAAGATGGCCTCGAGTCCGCAGTCTGTGCGAGTGGGGGTGGAGGTGCACGAAGGGGTGTCAGTTGGCAGCCAGCAAGGACAAGGTGAGGAGAAAGACCTCGACTGCGCAAACTTACAAGCTTCTCCGGCCTTGATGGGATCGCCGCCATAGTTGGAAACCATGGTCTTGTAAGACGGTGCGAAACCGGGCAGCGAGTCGTTGTAAGGGTTGTAGCACCAAGAATGACCGTTCGTCGAGTCGGCTGAGTTGTTGGTGCGGAACCAAGAAGCGATCGCGCCCGTGTTGTTGCTCAGATTCTGCGCTCCAAAGCCGGTAATGTTGTTCTGGGCGATATTGGCGGCGATGATGCTCGTGTTGGCACGGAGCGAGAGCGGTATCGTGTAATTGAGCGGTTGCGACGTGCCGACGTTGGTGGCGACGTTGCCTCCGGAGGAGTAGACGTACGAGTCGTTCGACGAACTCGAACCCGAGCCCGTGTTGACGCTGACGGTCACGGTCACGGTCTTGACGGCCGCTGCCGAAACCGCTGTCGGGGTGGCCATCACGGTGATCGTGACGGGCTCTGCTGTAACGGTGACGATTGAAGTCACGACTTGGGCCGCGTTCGAGGCAGCAGCACGACTTGTCGCTGCTGTAGTGGCGGCAGCAGTGCGACTAGCCGCTGCTGTAGTAGCCGCGGCAGCCGATCCTGAGGCGGCGCTCGCCGAGGCTGAGGCTGCTCGAGACGGAGTCGTGGCCGCCACCGTCGTCGTTGCAGCGGCCACAGCGGCCGCAGCACTGGTCTTAGCCACTGCGGCAGTCGTGGCAGCATCGGCCTGAGCCGACACCGCTGCTGCTGTCTTGACTGCAGCTGCGGTCGAGGACGACGAGTGGACTACCGCGGCGAGAATGCGTGCCGACGCGAGGCTATTGCCATCGGCGACACACGAAGGCGACGGCCAAAAGTTGAACGCGTACCCTTCGTTGCAGCCTGCCAAGATGAAGGTTATTTAAGAGGTGTCAGCCAAGATGTAAATCACCTTGAGACAAAATTCGAGAATGGTGTCGAGCAAATTGCGCCCAGGGCAACGGGTCGCCACTTCATAAAGACAACCGCATGCACACGTGCGACATCGCGACGCTCGACCCGCGACGAGTCAGGACGAGGCAAGCGGGGCGCCGCATTGATCGGCGCGCGCTCGCGCTCGCGCACTCCGACCGGGCATCCGACCCGGCGACAATGATGCAGACGCGCACTGGACTTACGATACGAGCAAATCGAGCTGAGGCACACCGCAAAGGCGTTGGCCGGAATAGTCAATCCGTCGCAATCACTGTCGGCGTCGCACGTGATTGCACGTTTGCGCAGATCACGCAGGACTGGACAATTCGAGAGTCGGGAGTCGAGTCGAGTTGAGTGCGACCGCGCGCGCGGGTTTAGCGCGATCGGATTGGATCCGGAAAGGGCAGAGAACGTGAGGCCCAAAGCGCCATAGCAAGAAAGAGAGTCGAACCAGTCAGCTCCTCGTACTCGCATACGAAGACCATGAATCAGATGGCAAGCAGGTCGATGGTCCATTCAATGCCTATCGAGGTCATGGTAATTGTCGAGACTGACCTGGATAGCCATCATTCGTATCACGCTGCTCGAGCGAGTTCTTGATCGCCGGCAATGCGACGGCCTCCGCGACCAGGGGCGCCAGCGCCAGCAAGGCCGAGATGAAAGGAGCGGCGACGACCATTTTGTTGGATCGAGATCTTTATCTTCTTCGTGGAACGATGAAGAGGGGAGCAAACGAGGCAAAGAGCGTTTTGACGAAGACGATCCACAACGTGTCGTGGCCTGAAAGAAAAAAGGAAAGACTTGCCCGGCGAGATCAATTGCTCGTCAACGCCGACCAACGGGCACACGGCGACAACTCGCGAGGCAAATCGCCGGGTCTCGCTTGAGACCTTTTTCCAGCCAACGCGTGCCTCCGGCCGAAACTTTAAAATCGCGAATGACCACCATCATTGCCTGACTGGCGACGTGTCCTGATTCTCGCCACCAGGTAGTTATGCGTTCTACTACATGAGTAGCTCCTACCTCTCAAGATCAATTTTCTTCTTACTCCTGTGGAAATTCCGCCCGAAAAATAGCCGAAGCGGATACGTCAACGCCGACGTGGTATCTCCGCTGATGCCGTCTGGGGGATTGCCAGGAATATGTTTCACGCGTTGAACCAAGGAATCAGGTTTGTAGAATCCTAATCCTCGACCTGTTGGACTTCCCGAATCAATTGAAATCCCGCTAGCGTCTCTAAACTCCACGGCCGCAGCAAAGAGCTGACCCTCCCCGGCCATGCGCAGCCCGCCGCAGCAAGAGTGCAATCGGGCCGGAGACCTCACCGTCGGCGGATCCAAGTTGTTCTCCCCACATTCTCCTGGATCTGCCCCACATGAACCCTGGGGCATTTACGCATCAGGTAAGATTCGTCTAAACAGTTGAGGGACCCGTCCCACTTCTCACCGTTCCTCCTCTTCCTCGAAGTATGGATTCCATACGTCGGCCCCCCATGACCGGGGTTAATGAATCCAGTAGATTTTGTGCAGCTTCCGTGACGCGCATGTGCTGCTGGGCTGCGCATCCGAACGCGTCAAAGGGCGCCTCACCACCTATAAGATCGCTCTGTGCCGGGCTTGGGCGGCGCACCACACAAACCTCGGCCACCGACGAGTCACCGGTCACCGATGAATCGATGACTGGTGAGTCGTGACTACTCGCCAGCCTGCGCAAGGTCTAACAAAGGACGATCTTGCACCTACCTCCCCGGGGTGCTGAGGAATGTCGCTTATTAATACTGCTCGGCAAATCATGTATCAAACTGTAACAGCAGAATTAAATGACGGGCAAATACTATCTCCCGCAAAGAGGTGAGACACTTTTCTTCGATCGCTAAATTAATTATCGACGCGCGGATCAGACCCCGGTGATTGTCCATCATCTTAAGCTGGGGTTCGTCTTGGAGGCCGAATAGTTGCAACGAAACAAGCTTCAAAAGCAAGTATTTCGGAGTAGCCCCATGATGTGTACCCGCGAGGAACTAAGGCTTATACGAAATGAATTGCTTGGGACGTCAAGCGGGCCGCGCGTCGGATCGTCGGATGCTATCGGAGCTACCGGCCCGGAGCCCCGCCGGATTTGCGCAGTTGCAGACTTCGGTCGAGGCTTAGACCACTGCTGAGTATGAATGCACACTTCAAAACACAGGCTTACACAGAAACCAATTACAAGTGTAACGCAAGAGAATACTAAGTACCGCTAAACCAAACTAATTCGGACTTCTAAGGCAACTTCTTGGCACTCCTGCGCGTGATTGACAAGTACGTCCCGTTTCTCCGAGTCATCCGGCCGCCGTGAAAGCGACTACCCCTCCTCTTCCGTCGACGGGTTTGAACGTCCTCAACTTTTGCACTTCGAGCAATAAGGTCGTCTTGTCCTCCTTCTCGATCTCTTCGTCGCCTTCGATCGCCAATTGCATTTCGTCCAACAAGCGATTCCACACCTCGCCCCTGAGTGTGCCGAAGAAGTTGAGCAACTTGTTGACTTTGCGCACCGAGCCCATCGTCGCGCTCGGGGTGCGATGGGCGGGGGGCCCTTGAGGGTATGCGATCGAATCTGTGGGCGAAGCCGGGGGTGAGGCGGTTTCGGGTGCTCGAATCGTGCTGTGGGTTTCGTCGTCGATCGCTGACTCTTCGCTGGAAAAAAATCGGTCCGAATCGAGACTGAGCGCTTCGACGTGTTGGTGAAGTAAGGGCCTCGCTTCTTGAGGAACAGCGGGTGGGTCCGCTTCGATGCCAATCACCCCGTCCTCGCCTTCATCGTCCTCGTGCAAAGCCACTGCAATCTGGTCCAGTGCTTCGGGGTCTTGCTCCATCAGGAAGCGCAGACTGGCTATCGAGGTGCGGTACGACTCGACCGAGCTAATCGACGTAGGTAGACTAATTTCGGAAGACTTCGAGTCGGACGAGCTCCGGTGATCCATGCGTGGGGGAGGCTTGATGTTCGCGGTCTGGAACAGGTTTTTTGGCGGGAGCGCTCCGAATCGCTGCGACAGACAGGGGGTGCATCGGCACTCACCGGGTCAGCGTCTCATCCGTCCGGGATCCCAAGCTGTCCGCTAGCACTGAAACTCACGTCTTCAAGCTTTCTCGCGGTCGCGAGATTTTTCAATTCTGCCGCCCGAGTCGATGTGCTATTAGACGTTGTCGGGCCTACTCCCGCTGAAGCCTCCGGGGTTAGCACCGCCAACACGTGGCGGTCCGGTTCGACATCGACAATGAACTCGTCCCTCCGAGCCTGTTCGAGCCCTGCTTCGTCGTGCTGTCGAGCGTAGTTGTGCCAAGGCGCGTGCACGTGGCCCTTGGCGCGCTCCCAGATCTTTTTGGCCCCCGTCCCGTTCCTCCTCGACCCCGGCGCCTCGATCGAGTCCAGGCTTGAGACCGAACCCGGTTTGCAGAGCGCCAGCTCGACAGGTACCTTTTCCCCCAGCAGGTGATGTAGCTTGGCCAGTTTTTTTCGACGTTGTTCGCGGTTCTTGAAGGCCATCGTCGTGGCGTCCGTCGCACCCGTCGGCGTCGTCGGGCTAAGTGGGGATAGGGCCCCGCCGGGGCTCGTCGGGCTCGCGACGCCGAGGAATTGGTTCGAAGCAGGTGGTGATGTGGGCGACGAAGGATTCGGGCTCGTATTCGCTCGCCTCATGTCTTGACCCCCAACCTGAAGGCTCCACAGTTGCGTCGAGGGCCCACCGTTCTTTGCCGCTTGATGAACGTTCGTCGGCACCAGAGGGTGGCTGTACGACCTCTTTCTTTGGATCGACGATCGACCGTCTGAATAACCGCCCTCGAGCGATGATGCGCCATTTCGAGTCCTGGCCTGAACGATCTCTTTGGCCTGGGCTTCCTTGACGGGCTTGCCGAGGAGGTGCTCGAGTTTCTTGGCTTGGCGGATGAAGTGGCGACGCTCGTCGGGGCTGAGCGTGCAGTTCGTTCGAGAGGCAACGGCCGCGGAGGGAGAGGAGGGGTCGGTTTCCGCCTCATGCGATGCGGAGGCTTTGCTGATCAAGGAAGAGAAGGGTGGGGCAACAGGCGAGGGAAGAGTGTCCCTGGCGGTATCCTCGATAAAGACAGGGGGCGGACGAGGTTTGGGGGAGAACGACCGCTTGGGCTGAGAAGAGAACGGAGCGGCCGCGACGGGCGAGGAACACGCAGCAAGCAAAGGGGTATTCGACAGCACGGATTCGGTATCGCTCGGTCTCGAATTGTGTCGCACGTGTCCAAAGGGAGAGGACTGGGCCGAGTCGAACGTCATCATCGACGGCGAGCGCGTGTAGCTTTCAGCACCGTACGACCCGACCGACATGGGGCGCGGCTTCTTCCCTGTCGCTGTCGATCTGGGCGGGGTGATCGTCGTCGAAGACCCGGAAGGCAAGTAGTGGGCCAAAGAAACTCTTTCCTGGCTCACCTCTCGAGAAGTTTGATCCGCCGGTCGAGAGTAGCTCGTTGCCCAAGACACGGGTTTCGGACGAGCAGTTCCCACGTGTGTCGAACCGGAGAAGTAGCGGCGAATAGCTTGATCGTCCTGCTCCAAGATCGCATATCTCGCCCCGCCGCCGGATACTCCAAAGCATTCTGGGCTGACGAGTTGTGCCAGAGAGGAAGCCAAGAGGCGACAAAAGACGTCGGAGGTCGGATTCGCGAGAGACAACGGCGAGCGGCGCCGGGCCGCAACGAGCGCGGATATGTCGCTCACCCAGTCCGTCGTCAATGGAGTTGTGGCTGTGAGCGCATTAGATGGACAGGTGAAGCCAAAGTGGGTGATGATGTAGGCCTCGAGCTCGTCGATGCTGCTCTGCCAGAGACGCTGCGCGCGCACGTTGTAGTCGGTCTCGGACATGGCCGAGACAAGTGAAGGTGCGACATGACGAGGAACGTATAGGGGTGAAGCCCATGCCCCATCTTTTTCGACGCGGTGCATGTACTAGAGGTGCACATAAATTGAAACGCCGGGCGTTAGTGCGCTAGCCGGAAATAGCGGGCTACACTGGAGATTTGGTTCCCCTTGTACTTTGTGACCCATTCGAGTGGTCGCAAGGGGCTCGTGCGCAGGCGCCGCCTGGAGCGAGGCAGCAGGCGCATTCGACTACGAGTACAAGTCTTCGGCAGGGAAGTCCATACCGACAGAAACAGGTACATTGACTCACAACCTCATTCATGTAACTGGTCCGCTGCGCCCAACAGGGACGAGATGCGCGATCGGTGACGGTGTCGTGCCCGTCGGCCCGTTGAATGGCTCGGGCATGGGTACGGCTGTGAGCGCCGACGGCCGCTGTTGGCGCGCTCGATCTCGGTAGCGGCATTGTCCGAGTCTCGGCGGTCGGTGGCGGCCCCTGAGAGGTGTCCTGACTTGATGGGACGATGTTAGCAGCTTCATCGTTGGGGCTGTCGTCTCGAGTATCGTCTTGGACGGGTACAGCATGCTTGTGATACGTTGTGGCCTCGGTCCTCTGCGAACAAGGGGCCAGTGCTTGGACGAGTCGACACTCCAAAAGCAGCAAAACGATCGCGAGCGGATGCGCCTCGTTCTGGGTCGCCGCACCGGATCGAGGCATGCGCAAGAGACGTCGAACGAGCTCGACCAAGTCGTTCGAACCTGTCGAGGCGCTGCGGGACGGTGCCATCGTCGTCGTCGAGGAGGTGCTGTCTCGGAGTGGCAGGTTGATATCGTGGACCCGCGCGCGAACGGAGGCAGTGGGGCTGCGGCTGCGTGTGGGGGAAAGCTGAGAGTCCAACTCGGGATCACAATGCGTCGGAGTTCTGTCGTCGGCGGCAAAGGCTTGTCCAGTAATATGGCCAATGGTCGCACCGAGCGGTGGCATACTTAAGAGCTTACTTGAGCTATCTTGGAGCATAAGCAAAAGGCCGAATCCTCGAATGTATGCGTACCCCAACTAATCTTGTACTTCCGACCTGCGACAGCCCGCGATTCGTTAGCTCGTGCTGCTGTGTTAAGGAGCGCCTCATCAAGGGGCCCGCGCCCCACTTGGCGAATTGCGCATTGCTACTCCGCCCGGCGGAATCCAAATGTGAATTTCCCCTCCAAGCCCCGGGTCAATAAGCCCAGGTCAATTCCAGTCGATCGGCTTCCCCTTGCTCAGCGCATGTCTTGAGCTCGCGCTTATTCTCTGTCGCCTCATTCTCTTCTTGTACCTCACACCCCACGTTTACCAGCGATCCAACGCCATGGAGGACGATTACGAGTCGGTGCTCTTTGTCGCACGAGACGCGCACGTGTACCGCGTGAGTGGGCTATTCCGCGACGATGAACGGGCAGCCAGGAACAGAGCCTCACCTGTACACCAAGCACAGGCCTGCTAATCAACTCCAATCAACGATCCTAGATCCCACCACGAACTTCGACGGAAGGCTATCGCGCTGCGAACTGGTGAGCACCTTCATTCACCCGGGATCCGCCGTCCCTGCCCCCACCTTCAGAGACTCACACGTGCATCTTGACTCGTTCCGACTATCACAATCAGGGGTGACATGTGAGCTAGATATCTTGCACCTTCACCTTCTGGAGACGTCGACCCAGGGTTCACCGACTGATCCGTGGCCTTCCGATTCCGAACGCACAGGGGTGCCCCACTCTGGCGAGGTCGACTGCGAGTCGTCGAGAAAGGCTCGGGCACACCTTCAACGTGTGCGATTCGGTTGGAGGATGCGGATTCAGGTCAGTTCCAGACACGTTCTCCTTCATGTCACTGCTTTATGATATGTACTGACGTCTAGCTGTTGCGATCGATCGGGCCTCATCTCAGGCGAGCTGTTCGCCGTCTGTCCGTACAAACCGACCAAGACGAACACGAACGGTGGAGTCGAGGCCGTGCTCGATTCAAGTCGGTACTTCGTCCTGACCATCGTCGATCAAGTCAGTCCATGCCCCCCCCCCCCCCCCGGCCCCGATGAATGAGATGACCGACGACGACGAGACTGATTACCATCTCGTCTCCTCCTTAGGATTCGGGTACGCGCGCTTTCCTCGGAATGGGTTTCCCCGAACGGTCCGAATCGTTCGACTTTAACGTCGCGCTCCAAGACTGGTCCAAGCGACAAACACCTCCCAAACTTGCCTCCCCGACGACATCGACAGACACCCCTAGCAACGCGCCTAAAGCACCGAGCAAGGATTTCAGTCTCAAGGAAGGGGAGGTGTTGAGCATCAAGTTCGGGGGGCTCAGTACGAAGAAGAAGGCGACAACGAATGAGAACGGGTTGAGCTTGGGTGGGGGAGGGGGGTTCTTGTTGCCGCCTCCTCCGCCGCCACCGAGTAGGCGGTAGTGGATTGGGAAGTCGGGATTCGTTGGTCCTTTGTATACGAGGGTGGAGGAACCTAGTCAGGTCTTTGCAGTCCTCCAGAAAGGGCAAGGAGAAAGCAGGGCCAAGCTGGAACATTAGAAATGCATGACTTGGGGGGATTAGATACGATTGCAGAAGAGAGAACGTTTGGAACGAACGAGGCGGGAACAGAGTAGGAGTACGCAGCAACAGATCCAGACAAACGAAAAACGAGAGGGGTAGGGGTAGGGGTAGGGGTGTGTACAACACTGAAAGCAGAGGACACCTCGGAAGGTGTGATGGGTTCGGGAACGAAAACGGGAACGGGAACGGGAGGAGGTTGTCGCAACTGGCGATTGCAGAACCCAAGGGCTGGCATTGTCGATCCTCGAAAGGTGGAGCGTTCAAGGCCAATCGCTCTTGTTCCAGCTGGGGTCCTGCAGGAATGCGCACAAGACTTTGGAACCGGTCTGTTGACGCGCACGGCCAATCACAACTCGATCAATACTTGTTCCCCAGAGTAAGGCTGGGCGAGCGTGACTGACCTGAAGCAATGGGTGGCCAGCGACGATCTGCAAGAACCTCTCGAGCCCTTCCCTCCGTTGCTCGATCACCTCGTCCGAGAAGCGGCCGGAGAAGACCTTGCCGGGCAGAGGCGGGATGTTGACGCGCGTGGATTCGCGTTCGAGGATCTCGCGGAACGCCTCAAAGTCCGAGTAGCGGCGGCGTACGGACGAGTAGCGGACTCGGAAGGCGGGGATGTTGGTCTGTGGGGGCGAGGAGCGTGGAGGTCAGCTCTTGGCGTGGACGCATGCGAATGCCACTTCCAATATGGACGGACGCGGCACATGATTTCATAGTCGGTAAACATCTTGCGACCAAACTCTGTGCAGTGCAGCGGGGATGATTGGGGGTGGGGTTGAGCGATCATCGTTGGGCGTCGTCGACGTCGACGTCGTCGGTCTCGGCCGAGCGGTGCGAGCGTCGTTGCTGGCCATCACCCAACCCGAGACCGGCTGCACTGACCTTGCGTTCTCGGATCCCTGACCTCGATCTCCAACGTGTTCTCGGGTGCCGAGTACATCTCCTCCAAGGTCTGACCCCTCGCCTCGTGGCCAGCCGAAGGGGACGAAGGCGTATTCACGGCTCCGGCCTGACCACCTCCACCACCGCCGACGCCATGGTGATTCTTGGTCGGACTCGTTTGTGACGACGAGGACGAGGACATCGTCGCAGGGGTGGGTTCGTGGTAGGCGAAGCGAGAGTGCGAGGGTCGGTCGGTGACGTAGGGGGACGAACCAGAGGGGGACGAGAGCGAGGTCGATGGGAAGGACGAGAACGAGGTCGAGGGGGGGAGATTGGCCCGAGCAAAGGGGGAGTGGCCGGACGAGGGCGCAATCGTACCGCCTGAAGTGTAGCCCGACATGGCGAGATGCGGCGGGAGTGGCGGGAGTGGCGGGAGTGGCGGGTGTGGGTCTGGGTCTGGGTCTGGGTCTGGGTCTGGGTCTGGGTTTGGGTGTGCGCGAAGGCGGTGCGACAGACGCAGTGGAAGAGTGGGGGCCGCGCGGTCGACAGGGGGGGGGGGGGGGGGGGGGGATTCAAATTGCGGGGTGGATTAATCGATTTGAATACAGCATTAGTAAAGTGTCGGCAGGCGCGGCGGTGCGTCGTCTGTGTTGGGCTTCTCGACTCTCCAGTCACCACTGCACCGTGCAGACTAGTATCCTATACCGTCAACGTTGGATCCGTGTGTTCTCGACGTGCGACACATACCAAGGCCACCGAGTGCTGACGCCAACACCAGTCCGCCCACTCGCTGTTGCTGCGATCTCATTCGAGGCTCGAGCTGACTGACTCGAAAACGCACGTGACTACGCAAAGCTCCGACACGCGTAGGCGCACTTCGACTTCGGTATATACCATCGCTCGTACTGCGTATCCACCTCTTCGTTGAACGGATACCTACCCAAGATACAACAAGGTTGCCCAGCCTAGGCACACCATCCACAAGAGCATAGACCCGCAAAGACTGAGCGCTGCATCAACGCGTCCGATCGCGTCGCCTCCCTGGCAGGCCCCAACTACCATGTCCAACTTTGCCCTCGACCCAGCGTTGATGGGGCCGACCGCGTCGACCTCGTCGCTACCGTTGGAGAACTTGCACCACTTCAATTCGCTCCGAACGTACCCCGTCGACGATGAGTTCGCCGACGACTCGTTCGGGGAAGACGACGGCAGTATCGACTCGCGCGACGACGAATCCCACCATAGCGACGACAGCATCGAGGACGATGGCGAAGGCGAGCATACCGGCGAAGATGTTGAGACGGATGCAGAGGACGAGTATAGGATCGAGATGGGCGAGGTTCAGCGCCCGCCGAATGGCGCTTCCCAGGGCAAGGGCAAGGCCAGAGCGCTCAACCAAGACAGCGTGGACCAAGACGACGACGCCGATCCCGAACACGGAGAAGGTGGCGGTGATGAGGAATTGAGGTCAGTGCTACTTTGACGACATTGATGGCTCCGGGTCGAGTCTGACCCTGGCCTTGAACGCGTTCTCGACAGCCGACTCGTCGCGGCCCTTCGAGACTCGGGAGCGTCCACTTCGGTAGGAGGCAGGACCGCGCTCGACAAGGCCTTTGATCGCTCGATCGAAGAAGAACTCGACGGCATCGACGACCCTTTCAACAACGGTCTTCCCAACCCCAAGAAGCGGCGCATCGTCGTAAGTCGCGCACATCGCCGGCGAACAGCGAACAGACAGGATTTTCAACTGAGGTCCGCTAATCGAGCCTTGTTCTGACACAGCCCCGTCGCCCCGATGCGGAACCCTCGAACGAGGTCAAGGTCATGCTGGGTAGTGCGAATCGATATTACGCCGAAGGGCACGTCGACCAAGCCCGCGAGATCCTGACCGAAGTCGTGCGCATCGACCCGGCGATCCGACAATCATGGATGACGCTCGCAACGATCGAGGAAGAGTTGGGCAACTATGACAAGTCCATCACGTTCAGGATTGTCGGAGCACATTTACTGCCGATCAAAAAGTCGTCGCTTGAATGGGCTGCGCTCGGTGCTCAATCTCGGTACGTAAGAACGAGTCCATGAATTCTTGACCCGGTCTAACTCGGGATGTCCCATACCGTCGCAGTGACAATGGTCTTTTGCACCAAGCCATCTACTGTTTCACTCAAGCCATTAAGGGCGACAAGGAGGATGTCGACTCCATGTGGGATCGAGCCGTCTTGCTCAAGATGTCCGGTAGCACCACCTTGGTAAGTCGAGTCGGATGGTCGCGGCGTGGACCCTAAAGCGCGTGAACTGACCACTCCAAGCCCTGCAGGCCATCACCGCTTTCACTGCGCTTCTCAACGTCATCCCCCATGACCCCGGGGTCCTGCGTGAACTCGCACCCTTGCTCGCCGCGACGGAACAACACGCCCGAGCGACGACGCTCTTCCTCGCCGCCTTTGACCACTACCGCAAACTCGTACCCCACATCACACCGCGCAACATCGAGCGCATCAACACCTTTGGCTACCAGGATATCGAAACGATCGCCGATTTTCTTTCCATTCAGAAACTCTACACGCGGTGCGTGAGCGTCATTCGCACGGGCGTAAGGTGGTTGCAAGGGAGGGAGAAGGAGACGGCGTGGGACGCGCTCGAGGATGATCGCGAGTACGACGTCATGCGCAAGGCGCGGATCGGGTGGGATAATGATCCAGCCACGAGGCATTTGGAAGATGCGGAAGTGTACGACCTTGATGTCCGGTTGAGGTTGAGGCTTGGTGTTGCGAGGATTGGGGAGGGGAGGGTCGAGGAGGCCAAAGTGAGTTGCCGGCTTTCATGGATCTTCTCACAGAAGGTGGTTCGATGCTGAATACTGGTGGCATGGGGTCGACGAGGATACAGCGACATTTTGCGATCGTCCTGCAGGAGGATGTGGCCGATTTTCCCGAGTTGTGGGGTGCCATCGGGGACGCCTACTTTGAGCGCGACATGTTTGAGGACGCGCTCGAGATCTTTCAGGAAATGGCAGAGGATGAGATTGTGAGTCTATCCAGCGTGTGATGATTTCGCTGGAATTGACTATTGACCAGGATCGTTGACAGACCAACGGACCGGCCGTGTGGGCCAAAGTCGGCGCTTGCCACTTTGAAACCCGTGATTTCGAAGATGCACTCGAATGCTTCCAGGCTGGTCGGTCGCTCCCGAAACTGATATGAACAAATGAAGACTCTAATGCTGATGGGTGAATATGCGTCGCAGTTATGGAGGAGCAACCCGAAAACTTGACGGTCAAGATGCAGCTCGCTCGAACTTGGGAGCAGCTCGACAAACCCGGCAAAGCCCTGGAGCTCATTCACGAGAGTGAGTGACCGGCCCGGCCACATGCCAGCTCAACAACACCAGTGCTGATTATTCTCCCTACGTGTCTTTGCAGTCGTCGAAGTGCGCCGACAATTGCGTGACGCCGGCCAGCTGAGCGAATTGGCTCGAGTGCCGAGCACCCGCGGTGCTCGCCGCGGCGCCACGCAGGCCCGATCTTCGACCATTCGCCCGCACGTGACCCCGGCCGAACGCGCCGCTCGACGCCAGAACGCCGCCACGGTCGAACGGCAACGCCACCAAGAGTTCACCCTCGCGGTCGAGACTTTGCGCAAGCTCGACGACGACGTCGAAGCCGAGGATGCGGAGGCGATCACCGAGTGGCTCGAGGTTGCGACGTTCCTTGTCGATGCGTTCCGCGAGACCAAGTCGTTGTTCCCGAGCGATGGGAGGAAACGCTTCATGGGGGCGATGCGCAGGCAGTGGAAGAGGAAGGGTGGGAATGAGATGGACATTGAGAAGCAGGCCGACGAGATGGCTTCGCGGTTGGAGAGAACCCTGGGTCGGTTCTTGCTCTTTCTTGTGTGAGCCTTGCGGCCACTGACCCTCTCTTTTGGTGGTCCCCGCAGTCGATAACGACGATGACAACCTGGCGATCGACTCGTTCCGAGGCATCAGCTTTGACGACTGGCTGAAATTGATCATCAAGGTAAGAGTCGCCTTGCTCTTCCCAGGCCGTCACCCACCAAAATGTAACGAGAGTCGTCCTTCGACAGTACTCCTTCTTGCTCATCAAGAACGACGAGGCCGAAGCCGGGCTCGAAACCCTCAAGCACACGCAGAACGCCGGTCCGTTCAAACACTCGGAAACGCGCTCGCTCTCCATCTGGCTTGCCCTCGCCGCGGGCTACAACTACCTCCGCAACTACGGCGAGGTCGTCATGATTGCTCGCCGCATCTCGCTCCGTCGACAATTCCAATCCGAGCCCCTGCGCTTGCTCCACGCCCTCTTGCCGGGTGGGGTCGCCGCAATCGAGGCCTTCAACTCGACGAGGCTGGCCAAGTATCAGATGCGCCAACTGATCATGCTCGAACGCATCTCTCGAGGCGCCGAGGTGCGCGTTGGTGCCAATGGTACGATCGTGATTAAGTCTTTGGGAGTCGACAAAGACATGGACGGGGATGACGAGGATGAAGATGTGGTCGGTGCTGGTGGGCATGGGTCGCTACCGAGCTTTGTACCGACCGTGCCGAACCCGTGGTACAACTACGTCTACGCGTGCATGCTAGAGACGTCCAGGAGTTATCAATCGGCTCTCCGTGAGTTGAATGAGAGGGTTGGCGTCGAGCATTTGACTTCACAGGCTGAATACAACCGACTCCGCTTCCTCTTGTCTCAGAGTATCTGCTGCGAGCTTACGAGCGGATGCCAAGGCAGCCCTTAATCAACCTCACGATCGGGATTGTCTACATCCATCGCGCCATGACGCGTGCGACCGACAATCGACAGCACCAGATCGCTCAGGGGCTCGCCTTTTTGAGCCAGTACCGAGCGATCAAGGGGAGGTGTCAAGAGGTCGAGTACAACTTCGGTCGTGTCTTTCATCTGCTAGGTGAGTGCTTTCCTACTCTGAGACGCGAAAGTATCGGTACTAACGCTGTGCTTCGTCATTGTAGGCCTTCAATCTTATGCGGTGAGACACTACGAGGCCTGTCTGGCGATCGCGGCCGAGGACCGCAAGGCTCGGATGCACCTCGATGGTGATGACGCGGAGGACGAGGACGGCGAAGACGACTTTACGCGCGTCGCGGCATACAACCTCTCGAACCTGTACATGCTCTCGGGCGAGCCCGACCTAGCCAAGGTGATCGCGCACAAGTGGCTGTCGTTTTGAGGCTGGGTAGATTTTTTTGTTTTGGTAGAACCTCTTTCAATCATGTGCCCCCTTCTTTTTTGGCCACTCACACAGCGAGCTTGCTGCACTGCGGGACAATTACGGGGAGACATGTACTCCAAGAATGTGAGTCGCAGGCGATGACATCGATCGAGTCTCGGAGATGAAGTGAACAGCAAATCTGTCGTCGAACAATTGCCTCAGATGGGTGGAATGGGATGAGGTATTCAGAGTCCGAGGCGAAGAATACTGGCGGTGGTTTGGGCGAGACCGGCATGAAAAGGATGAGGGAGGGGCCGAGAAAAGGGGTTCGCGTGCGAATCACGGGTCTTGTTATGCTCACAGTGGCTGAATCATGTACCATGGTTGTCCACAACGTTGGCCGATGGTTTCTGGCACGGGCTTGGGAACCAAGAGTGAACGGTGTCCGGACATCGGTGCGGCGCTCCCGAGTCCCGCCAGCACAAGACTGACTCGGGCCGGGGCCCTCGGCGCAGGAGCGGTAGGCGAGTGTCACCTTGCTCGTTGGGATCTAGAATCATAGACTGCGTTATTCCATCGTCAGATTTTGTGTTCCTCCCAAAAAAGGGCATAGGTGGGACAAATCGCGTGCACTATTTTGTCCAGGCCAAGATCGCGATGCTGCGTCTCGATGAGGGTCCTCGAATACCTGTGCATGGGCGTGCGAGACTTTCTGTTCTGACCCAAAATGGCAATGCGTATGATACATGATTGCAATCGACTTGCTCGCTGCGACATCACTACTCCTCGACCCTCATCGGGGGGATCGCCTTTCCCCCAATCCCGTCACCCTTGTCGCGATGACGTGCCCTTTCCCAATACCTCCGCTCCGGCGTGGCATTAATTAGAGCCCACCTCGCTAAAACCGATGCCTTGGGATCTCGGACGTCGTTGCCGGCGGTGCAGACGAGTGGCTCCCATCGTCGGCGACGAACGCTGATCCCGACTTGACCTTGGCCTCGTCCTGGAGGTTCAGGGCGACGGAAGTAGGGAGCCACACACCAAATCGCGGTGATTAGGTTGCAAAGAACAAGAGATTTGGGAGTCAGCAGTGGCCCCGCGAGTGAGCCCGGTGCCGACAACGATCGCGAGAGGACGTACGTCCAAATGCTTCTTCCACGCCTCCTCCCCAGCCTGCATGGTGTGGGTGTGGATCCTGTACATCCCATACAGACCGTCTGAAGCTCCCGAAGTGGTTGGAATAAGATGCCGTGTCAGCCAGTAGGACAGGGTCATCGAGGCCCCCGTTCCCGAAGCGCCTCTCGGGTGGGATGACGTACACACGGACAAGCCGGCCAGGCCCGTGACGAGTGTACGGTGTGCGATGTCGGCCAGACCTAATCGAGCGGCTCCAGACATGGCTTGTGAATTCAAGCTTGGACTGCAGGATATGAGCGAAGGTCGCGGGGTTTTGGCAGTCGGTTGAGGTTGAGGTCGCGAGCCAAATGGCGATGTAACTTCCGCGCCGGCGGCCCGACGTCTAAGGCTGGGCTTGGGAGAGGTTGGGAATTGTTTGGGGCGTCTGAAGAAAAGAGCACAAAAAGGGCGGAAAAGAAGGAGGTTCACCTCATTGTATCTTGTAATCCATATCTTCAGAGCCTACCTTTTTCATTGCACTCAACACTGCTGACCGAAGCTTGAGAACGCTTTGAAGTGAGGCCGCTGCGATCGGGACCGCCCGCCTGATTCTCAAGCTTAGACAACCCAGATCTACGTGTACCTGGCGTAGGTGTACTGGCTACACCGAGGATTCCCGACTTCGGTGCGCACGTCGTACGACAAGAGAGTACGGCAATGTACATCATGTGTTCGTCTATCCTTCTTCCCTTCTTAAGTTGATGTTCTTATTTCCCCCCCCCCTTTTTTTTTTTTTTTTTTTTTTTTTTTAAAAAAATTTTACTGGGGCTCATAAATTGCAATCCTTCGGGTTGGCTGGGACCGCTACAAAAAGAGCTAAAAGAGGTTATAAAGCAACGACGGCAAGCAATTGGGTGAAAGTCAAACCCCTGCGCGCAAAGAGCGCTGCGCAGATCAAAACCCGCCGAGCACCTAACGCGGACTCCAACGGGCGGTGAGTACTGCTGCCGCTTCACGTCCCAAGAGCGGGAGCGAAGATACTCGAAAACCAGGCAAGAGCGCCTAGAGAAAGAAAAGGGGAGAATAAACAAAAATTCACGACTGGAAACACGGAGAACCAGGAATACTAAGACAGAGAGGAGGGGAGGGGGAGGGGAACACACCCGAGGGGCCAAGGGAGGGGGTCGAAGCCAGAGCTAGAGGTCCCCAGGGACTGACAGGCCGCAGCCAAGCCCCAGCTACTCGTCACCCCGACAGCGCCTGATGTCCTCCCTTGGCTGAGTCTCGAGTGCTGGCTGTTGAGCCGTCGGGGCCGAGCGAAAACGATCCAATACAACGAAACAAGCCTCGCCTTGACGCGAGGATATTGACCAAAAAAACGAGCGACCTTTCTTCCCGATCCATGCCGTAGATCTTGACCAACGCGAACGAACGATCTATTCGACGGAATCCAACACACGGCTTAGGAATAAAAGGAGAAGTGGCTGAAGCGTAGTCAACAACCGAGCAACAGGAAAGAGAAGAGGAAGGGAAGGGAAAAAAAAGGGGGGGGAAAGAGGGGGGAGAACTTCACAAAGCCTCCAACGCAACGACGATCGACCCGGCTTGCCGATCCATCCAAGAACGAAAACCGCTACTGCACAAAGTAGAGAGAGGGAGAGGTGCGCAGCCTTCCACTGCGCAACAAGTTTCAAGACAGTCAGCTTCTGACCGAAAAGGAAGGGAGGAAAGGAGGGGAGGAAAATGGGAAGGAAGGACTTAACTCGGTCATCACACCTCCCAATCTCGAACCCCAGGCACAAAACCCGCTCGAGAGAGAAAATCTCGCTCGAACGCTCTGAGCGCACTGGGAAGCGAGGGAGGGGCCACGACGTTGTCCAGCTCGAACCGCTGATGAACGCGCCAGCGGAGCAGGTGCAGCCGCTGGAAGCCGATCGCGCAGGCCAGCCGAACCCACATCCATTTCGAGGTCGTTCTCCCACGACCCCGCAAAAGGGGGAGCCCCATAGTCAGCTGCTCCGGAGTGAACGTCGACGGATCGACGTCGGTATCCTCGATGCCGAGCTTGTCAAGCAGAATGCGTAGCACCCCACCCCAGAAGCTGGTCGAGTACGCGCACTCGAAAAAGTAGTGGGACACCGTCTCGATGACCGCTGCATCGTTGCCGCAGAACAGACACGTCGGCGAAGAGGCATGACCCTGAGTATGCTGCCTCTTGCGCGTCGGCGTCACGTCGTACATGAGCCGCCAGTGGGTGTCCTGCTCGACAGCAGACGCGAACCGGTCATGAAGCCATCTCCAGAAGCGCTTCCTATCGCTCTGAGAAGTCCCATCAGGGAAACGCTTGACACGGTCCTCCCTCCCTGGGAACCGCACCTTGTTCACAAGCCGACGAAGCTTGCGAATCGTAAAAGGTCGGGAGAGCCCAAAGAAGTTGAAGCACCGAGGACGGGGAGCCTCCTTGAGAGGTATCCGAGCAGGTCGCAACGCGGTCTTGGGCAGCAACGCTTTCGCCTTGAGCAACTGACCCACGCGCGACCACACGTGCTCGTGCTGTAGGGCGGGTTCCTTAGAGTGCTGCCAGAACCCGCGTCGATGACCAACCAGAGCCCATCCCTTCCCTTCGTCCCTCCAGTACAGGTCCGCGATCTGCGCAAACACGCTTTTTTTTTTTTTTGTAGAAACCGTTCATCATATTGCCCCCAATTCCTGTTCCCCCTGATTGGCCTACGGAAAAACTAGATGGAAGTCGACGATGATAACACAAACCGCCCGCAAGATGCGAGAAACGGGCCAAGTCCACCAATCCGATACTTCGGATTCAAGTGCCCCAGCCAAGCGGTTGCTCCCCCCAGGAGACGAATGAGAGAGAGAAGGAGAGAGAGAGAAAATGAAAAAGAACTGGCGTACTAACGACAAGAGGCCCACCCCGCACCCACTTCCCAACTCGGTCGAGACAAAGACAGGAGAGCGACTGCGCAGCTACCCTGACCCGCGAAATCCCAAGTCTATGCTCGGTCACAACAAGACGCGGTGGAGGCCCCTCAAAACCTCCACCTCAGCAGTCCCTGGCCCCTCAAAGCCGACTTTCTGCCTGTGTCTGCTGATCCCTCCCTTACACTCAGAACCCCGAAGCCAGAGAGCGCGAGCCACCGTCGAGTCAATCCCAAATCGCGAGCCGGTCCATGAGCAACGGAGGCAGACCTGTAATAAAAGAAAGAAAGATGAAGAAAATATATTTAGTATACAGTTTTTGTAAGAGGATGTGTGATGTGGGGTGTGTGAGTGTGGGATGGGGTGGGGGGAAATCGAACCTAGCCTCTACTGCCCTCGCCTGCCTCTTGCTCCTCCCGCCCTCAACTTCATCCTCTCCTCCAGTACCACCCTCCTCCTCTCCACGCTTTCCATCCTCGTCCCGTGCTTCTGCATCCTCCATCTCCCACTGCTGATCATCTCCAAAACCATCCCCGTGAAGATCTCGATCGTCCTGCCCGCGCCTTCCTGTGCGCTGAGCTTGGCCTTGAGCTTGGGGAGGCCAAAGAGTCGTTGAAGCGTCGTGTACTCGGCGTCCTCGATCGTGTCGCATCCGAGCGCGTCGCAGAGCACGCCCCTCGCCGCGATCCAGACGTTTCGCGAGTCGAAGCAGCCGAAGAAGTAGTGATCGGTGTCGTCCACCGGCGCTTCGCAGACGAGGCACGCGGGAGAAGTGTCGTGCTTTTGCTCGTGCTGGAGCTTGCGCGTCGGGGTGAAGCGGAGGATCAGCTTGAACCAAACTTCCCTCTCCCTCGCTGTCAGTGCCTTCGAGTTGACTGCCTTCCAGAAGCTCCTGAGGTCGTCCGGCTGCGGTGGTCCCTTGAGCCCGAGCATGTTGGTAAATGCCTTCGCGTTCAGGACCCGGCGGATGCGACGGACTGTGTAGGGGCGAGCCATGTTCAGCAGCGTATACTGGCTCGCCTGTTGTGGAAGCACCGGGTCCGGAAGGCGCTGCTCCATTGCGAAGCGGGCCACGGGCTTGGGGATGATCGCCTCGAGCGGTGCGCTGGTGCCGATCCGGGGAGGCACGTTGAGTCGTCCCGCCGCCACCGCCGCCGCCAAGGGGGTGTTCTTGTGTCGATCGACAGTGAACCGGTACCAGGCCGCGATTGCCAGTCGCTGCGGGAGCCCGCGTCGATCGTACTCGCTGTTGTCGCCGAGCACATCCGCCGGCGGCGTCCAGAGGTGAAACCCCCCACCCGCATACAACTCGCGTCGATAGAGATCCGCCACCTTCGGGTAGCCCTGGAGACGAAGGTAGTCAGGTACATGAACCGCGTCGATGGTCTGTCTCCCTCTGATGGGGGTGTGGAGGCTGCCGAGCAGGGTGGGCAGCGCGAGCAAGTTCGCGGTGGTCAAGGCCCTCGGGTTGACCTGCGCGTCGTGAAGTTTCGGAACGCCCAGTGCGGCGTGCCATCGGGGATGAAGGTCGTTGGGGATGGGAGTAGATGGATGTGGCCAGAGATCGGTGGCCAGGTCGAGGTCGGGCTGAGCTCGCTGGAGTGATGCGCGCGCAAGTCCTTGCCAAATCGCGCCGGAACCGCCGAGAAGAACGTCCCAGAGCCGTGCCGCAACCGCGTCCACAACGTCCCGCATCCTTATCACCCCGAGTCCCCCCTTGTTCTTGGCGGTGAACACAATGTCTCTGCCGTAGCTGGTCCTGCCCTTGCCCCCACGGACGAAATCGACGAGCATGTCATCGAGCTTCTTGACGACTTCGGGCGGCGGGATGTCGGCTGCAAGGAAATGCAGGATCTTGGGAATGGCGTACCGATTGACGTAAAAGGCACGGGTGTGGTGCGTGAGCCAGCGATGCTGAACCGCTTCCAGCGTCGCCTCGAGCCGTTCGATGAGATTCGCGTAGGCGAGTTCGGTGTCGCCGCTGGGGTCGAAGGGGAGGCCGATCCACTCGAGCGACTCGCCTGCGGCCTTGACGACGATTGGCCGTTCCCCAGGGTCCCAGCGACGTCCAATCGGTAGGACGACCGTCTTGTCCGTGTTGAGCCGGCCATTCGTTGCATGCCTCCAGTCGAGCGCCAGGTCATCGAGCAAGTTGAGTGACTCCAAGCCCGCGACGGCGACGACAACGTCATCGGCAAATGCAAGTGATGTAATGGCGCGGCTCTGTGGGTACGGATGAAGTGCAGGTATGGAGAGATTCAGCGCGATGTTTCGACGGTGTAGAGCATCCAGGAACGGCTGAAACACGATGTCCCAGACCGACGATGACGCCGGGTCCCCTTGGCCGAGCCCACACGTCAGTCGCACCGGCGCCGTCAGGAACCCATTGATGATGTAGCGCGCCGAGGTCGAGTCACCCGAGTAGAGCATCCTCAGCACGCGAAGAAAGGTGGTAGGAGCGCCCAGAGCGTCGAAGATGGCAAAGATCCAGTCATGCTCGACGAGGTCGTAGGCGGATGATTGGTCAAGAGACAAGAGCGCGGCCGCGGGGAACTCGGTCCTGCGCGCGCCAAGTTCCTCGATCAGGAGACGAAGGTGTAGTGCAGCGTCGGCCGATCGGCGGTCCTTGACGAAGCCGTGCTGCTGCGGCGGGAGGAGATCGGGCAGAATTTGGTTCAATCGGGCGACGTAGACCTTGGTAAAAATCTTGTAATCGCACTCGCGCAGGGTGATGGGGCGATACGACGAGAGTTCGGCGCGATCGGCATTCTTCTTGTGGCGCTTGAAGATGAGGCGCACGAGTCCCTGGCCCTGCTTGGGAGAGAGTGAACCGCGCTCGATCATCGCGTTGTAGGCCTTGGTCAGCACCTTGGACCACGCCTCCGGTGCGGTCTGATAGAGTTCGTAAGGCACGCCCGACGGGCCCGGCGATCGCCCCGGGTGCGTCGTCCCGATCGCGGCCACGACCTCGTCCTCGGTGATGGGTTGCTGGAGGAGATCAATCTGCGCTTCCGAGAGTCGGCGCAGAAAGAGCGGATCTGAGCGCGGGTCGTCGCAAGTCCGT